GGCGGCTGTGCCCACTCAACCACTGTGCTCCGTACAGGTTCGTCCTGCATGCATGCAGGCATGCATGGTTTGGCTGAGCGGGCGTCGGTTGATGCTCATGATTCGCGGAGCTGCGCCAAAAGGTCCTATCCTATCATTCCCTTCACCTACAAAGTACAAAGTATTGACTACCTGGGAATAGTGGTACTACCCACGGAGCGCATATGGTGCATATGCATCCAAATAGGTAGATTCGACGGAAAAGTAAACCGAAAAGACCCTTGGCCGATTCCTCCATCCAGTCGAGCCATCATACTGTAGCGAATGCAGATACGAAGAGAGGCAACTCAGTATTTGTAGCTCCAAGGTGGCCCTTGGAAGCTCGGCACAGCTCGACGCCACCAACTGGCCGCTGTCTGGCGCCCATCAGTTGATATATGGGGAGCATCCTGTGGGCGAGTATGCGCGACTTACTCGCACGTTGTGCCCCAAGTCGATCTGGCGTTCCACTGGCCGGCCTCCATGTCATGTCCCCTTTCTCTCTCTTCCCCTTTTGTCGCCGGCAACGCCAAACTCTCACGCAACTCGCGCGTTGCCCCAAGGGCGAGGATGCGTGCCTTCGGCGAGACAATGGGCCGCCATTGTTGATTACAGCACCGGGATGGCTTGCTCCGTTGTCATCTCTCTAAACAGCGCCTGTGTCCGCATTGTCTCTTGGACCAGTTGCTTTCTAAGCTGAACAACGAGCCAAAAAAAGAAGAAGAAGAAGAAGAAGAAGAACGAGCATCCAGATCAACCAGCGCTACTGCTTCTGCTCAACTAAGTGGCAGCTCTAGGCGGTCTAGCCCCCAGAGATCGTCACCTTTGAACCTCGCTTGACCCAAGACCCCCACAGCTTGAACACCGACCGACTCGGAGCTCAACATCAGAGTATCCAGCCGGGATAACCCAAGGTCACGATGCTGTGCCTGTATAAGCGGTCCCGTGTCTTGCCGTGGTACGGAGTAGCGTTAGGCTCGCACCAGCAGCAAGTGGTACAGGCATATCCAAGCCAACAAGTGCGTACAGTAGTACGAGACACAAAGCTCACACAGACCTGGCTCCCCGGCACTTGTCCAAGCGACTGACAGGAATTTGGTGTCGCTCCTCCGGGTCAAGTCCCAACATGCCATCTCAACTCTCCTCCTATGATTCGTTCTCGGACTCGAGAAGCACTTGGCAGACCTGCCATTTGCTCCATCTAGCTCCCATCTTCCACGACATACTGGCAACCTCGGCACCTCGAACTAGACACGATTCGCAACGGACGAGACATGGTTCCCAGCTTCTGCCCGGTTTATACGCACTACCCGTAGTGCTACTCACAAGTGTAAACGCCTACGAGTAGCGGCACTGCTAGTTACTCCGTACGAGCACTCCGTACTTACTTATTCAGACGCACGCAGATGCAGCCTTCAAATTAGCTCCAACCCCATACTAGCACCGCACTTGGTGACCCTAACGCATGCATTGCATGGCGCTACTCGTATGTCTGTGCGAGAGTTTGTCGCTGTCGCGCCCGCCATGGCTCGATTCAACGTACATAGTATCCAATGGATGGTGTTCGACCGACAGTGGGGGTGACATCATGGGGGCTAATGGTGAACGGCGAGAGGCGCCTTACGTCTGTTCTTTGTTACTACTAACTACTACAAAGTTGTACAAGCAGTAGTTCATACGGAGAGCTACCACCGTTGGTGCTACGACCGTCGACATGCCAACTCGAAGCCATCCACGGCACAATCACAGATCCGGCGATTCAAACCACAACGGTGTTAGTGTAGATGCGAGTCCAGCATGGCGAAAGAACGACGACTGGGAGGTCGATTGAGAAAAGCCGATACTACGAAGCACTACGCACTACCACCCAAGTACCTACTCGTACTCCGTACAGAACAGCCAAAATGGGAGACCAGCCCGTGTTCCTGCAGAAGGGTGTGATGCGGTCATGGAGCGGGTCGCGTTTGGACATGCTGGTACAGTGCGCCCCTTAACTGCATGTGTCTGGTACTGTGCCAACCAGCTCTACCAACGTCAGGCGAGGGGCCGGCAATTGGGGGAAATCCTAAACACAAACTCCCCTTTTCGACTCACGTCCGCCTCGCTTCCCCTTCGCCGCCGATGATCGCGGCAGGACGATGTCTGCGAGTGGCAGTCGCAATGCCTGCCCAGCGTGGAGTACAAGTACGAGTATAGTCAGGTTCATCTTCTTATTGCCGGTCTGCTGGTCCGAGTTACAGGTCGTCCCGGTGGCATCATGCACGGTCGATACTCTCCAAGTACACGTACTTGCGAGCAACATGCATGCACGTAGCAGTGCTACTTGTTACTAGTAGCATCAGTGGCGCCATCTCTCTGAGCCTGTGTGAAAGATGACAGAAAGCTCAGCGGCATCTCCGCAGAAAAGGGCCAGCATGTCCAAAGGGGTCCCTATCGCAGAGGCACCCAGGGTAGCCAGCTGATAATACGTGATCGATACGATACACGTGGTGGCGACTTCTATGTATATACTCCCCATGAAGTAAAGCATGCATCCATTTCGTACACTTCGGGAGGGATAAAAAAGGTAGCATCGCCTTCGAATACGATGGACCAAGGCTTGTCTTGTCTTGTCTTGGGCGCACAGTACGGGACACACGATATGCAAACACAGTGCAGCATGCCCAACCGTCTCGGAGAAGCTCAAGGAAGCTCCACAGCCTCCTTGCCCCTGACTAGGACCGACCGGGATTCTGGGACCCTGTCGCTTGGCATCACTTCCAACCAGTAGTCGGGAGGCGCTCCGCCCAACCGCCACAAGCTACCCGCTTAGACTTGTGCTAGACCCAAAGGACGATAGGGAGAGATCGTAGCATCGAGCAGACCGGACATATGCACATGCAAGCGGAAGTGCAGGTGCTTTTTAACAGAAAGAGCTCCATATACTTGCACTCCCGGTTCCTATCCTATCCCATTTTGAGAGCTTTCTACCTCCGATCGATCATTCACAAGCACGGCTTTTCAACTTCTCCACACAACCCCAGCGGCATCCCTTCTCACGCACAATCGCCTTGCAGCATGTCGGAGACTCCAAGAATGAAACCTTGCCGACGGCTCGACTTCCCACATGTCTCTGGCTGCATCCTAGGATGAGACCAGTAAACAAACGCCGTCTTGATCCCACCCTCGTGGCAGAACTTGAATGCCCGCAGTTTGTCTAGTCCCATCCAACAAGATCGAGGAGCCAAGTGGACTGGCCCATCTCAGCTCTCTTAGTTCTCACAACTTCACAATTGCTGCGTGATCCGACCAGTTGGGGGTTACACACGAATAGCTGCTTGCTGGTTTTTCAAGGTTCCCAATCGATAACTTGGTAGGCAGATGTGTCTTTGTATTAGAAGCCGGCGAACATGCTCTGACTCCCCTACGCAAACCTCGCAACTCGCTGGCCATTTTAGCCGTCGGCCAAGACACTCGATGCATGCAAGATGCAATGGCGATGAGACTAGTAGTGTCGCAGGATGCTTGACTTGTCTTGCCACTTCTGGGTCTCCATGGCTTAGCCGAGGGGAAAGGTTCAAGATATTCACCCGACGCCGCGATTGTCGGAATGCCTGCTCAAACAGTGAGGACGAAGGTCTAGCCAGTAAGTGGTATTAACTCTACTGCAGAAAGACGTCAAAGGGCTCTTTGCATTCGACTAATATCTATTACTATACCAACTTTTACGTCTATTAATAACATTTTTCCAGCTTGACTCGAGCCTTTAGCAAACTGGATCCCACCAATTGGAGTTGCACAATTGAGCTTGACAGCATTCGGGTTAGAACATCAGCACTTGGAGGCAGTGGAGTTCAGCTGGACTCTCCCCACCAAAGGTAGGACAGTTCACACACTGACTCGAGCGTCCAAAGCAATACTGTACTCGATGCTGCCTACAGTATGGAGTGTCGGCTTAGGCTTTCAGCAGACGCTGAGCCACACATCACGGAAGAGTACAGTATCGAATATTGCCTTTTAGAATTCAGATACAACGGTTCAGTCGTACGATGTTTCATGCTGCCCTGATCCTCACCTAGCTTCCTCTTTCTACTCTGTATTCTCTCCCTTTTCGTCACCCCTGTCCGCAAAGTATCTTTGTGTGCAGCATCGCCCATCAGCATGCTCTGTGTCTCACTTCAACAAGACCATGACGAACTAGGCCGGGGAAACGGATCCGCCCGGAAAGCGTACTTGTGGCATATCCCTCCGCTTATCTGCAAGGAAACCTAATCACGATGATACGAGCACTCAATACGCATAACTTGACCTCAAGCTCAAACCTAACCCTCGCTTTCCTCAACCGAACGGATTATGGTGCCTTGATTTGTGAGCCAAAAGGCATCATCGACCCATTAAATAGCAAACAGGCCTCTGCAACCAGCTTCTGGAGTCCCGATTCTGCGTCCCAGGCCGCCCTTGAATCGATCACCGTTTTGGAACACCAGCCAAGACATGTCTATGGGGACGGAGCAGACCGCGGTGGATGCTGGACGTCGAGGGCAATCGAACTAACCACATACGAGTATAAAAAACTTCCTACCGTGGCCGATTTATATGCAAGGCGTCGGCATGTCTCACATTGTCATGCTTTGGCATGATGCATGACGGCTGTCCCTTGCAGCAAACCACGGTTACCAGGCTGATTACTACTAGCTGCATTGCATACTACCACTAGTATTTTGTGCAAGAAAACATATTATGAAGTCTCCATGGGAGTTGTAGGATCGTCTTAGAAATAGCGAGATCCGTTGTGGAGGCAGCACGAGACATGAGAACCCCCAGCACATATGGCGGGCGTCTGGTGGGATACCGTTGTACATGCACATCCAGGTAGGAATGCCACGAAGCGCCACTGTCAGTTCAAGACCGGAACCTAGGATGATATTGTGGATTGAAAGACTCTGGCTTGCGTATGAACAAAAAGGGAATAAGCAGGGCGAGAAGCATCGGCTTGTTTGACTTCAAAGCTCTCTCATTACCTCCTCCACAGCTCTGGCGGCCAGCCGCTTTCTCTGCGCCTCGCTCATGCCCTCCCCCATTTCTCTAGCTGCTTGAAGCTTCCTCATCATCTTCTCTACCTTGGCAACATCTTCGTCATCTAGCTCACGGTCCTGCGTCTCGTTATCGTTGGTATCAGCGGCGGTGCCCGCATTGACATCCGTCACCTTGGAAATACCCGACTCGGCTGGTTTGGGAAAAGTATTATCGGCATCCCCTATCTCGAGCCGGCTTGTTTCCCATATTGCCATACGCAGCCCTTCAAAGTCAGAACGGTCGACACCAAAGTCCAAGCTCTCTGGATCAAAGTCCTCTGCATCTTCGGATTTATCGGAGTGCGTCTCATCAAAATCAGAGAGTGGGTCATCGTTTAACTGCTCCCAGTCGTTTGATTCAAGGGCTTCCTTTACACGGGAGATACCCGTCTTTTCTGTAAATGTGTTTGCAGTCAGCAAGCCGTCACACCAACGGTAGTGCTATATCGCACAGGCCAGCATTGGCAAAGGTGATGCGGGAATGTTCTTGAGTCATCGTACCTCCAAACTCGTTTTTATCCTTTTGCCCGCTCTTCAGCTGTACAAACTCCAGGCCAGCCTCTGCGCATAGCTCATCCCATTCATCGGCGTCGCCCTCACCGATGCCAACGGCCAGTCTGACTCCATCCCATTCCCATCCTCCAAGGCCCTTCTGAACGACACTGCCGACGTGCCGAATAAGACCGGGGGTGTCGTTATCCGCGGTTAGAGTTTCGGGCTTGGCATTGGGTATCGCGAAGACCAGGACAAGGCCGCCTAGAACTGCAAGGACCTCGCGAGCCTCTTCAGATAGGAAAGATGAAGCCCATTCTGACGGGGAAGCGATTAGATCTATCCAAATTGGGATTGAAGCTGTGTAGTAAGAAGTTTTGAGCTCAAGGTCATGCGTGGTGCCCGCCAGTGACGTTGATGCCGCTTCTGGTGATGACCCGGTAAGATCTGGTGAGATACAGTTAGTCCATAGAGCAGTACAGCTTATTTGATGCAAGATTGATGAGATTGTAAGCTCCGTGGGCATAGTTATGAAGGAATTCCATATGGGTGATGGCGGCAGCTCGTAATCGTAATATATGTGATGAGAGATTCATCCAATCTCCCACTTGTATCCCAGATATACAAGTCGATATACCACAGAGGCCACAAAAGACGCATCCTAAGCAGATAGGCTCATAACAGCAAGGGAAGAGAGCATTACCTTTAATGACACGACTCAAATGATGCTCTGAGCCCTCTAGGCTGACTGCCAGAATCCTCCTCGGGTTGGAAATGTCCATTGTGTTGAGATGTTTGGCTACCCCTTCCTCGTCCTTGCGATCAAAAGCAAAGTTTGCAAGAGAGTGATTTGCTCTCTGTGTTGCAAGGCGATATAATCAATGGTGGCTATGAAAATTAATTGGTGATGAGTAATGGAGCCTTAAATTGTCTTCTTCTGAGATTTTGTAAGGTTGGAAGAAAGAGGAATATATAAGTTGCAGTGTAGAAAGTTTGGTGTTGCCTTATTTACGCTTAGTGATGGCTTGTCAGCCACGCTTGAGCAGATTACAGCGGGGGCAAATTATTGGTTGGAGGGGCAAAGCGCTGTGGAGTCTGAATGCTAATTCCACTGTCAAGTGTCACAACAGACAAGCTATCAAAGTGCATCATGAAAAAAGAGTTGAAACTGTAACCAAATAAAACAGATCAAACGAATATATAAATTCATATCGTGTCCAGTATATATGCAATAGCCAATAAGGAATAGACATGCTAAAGATCGTACATAGGAATGGCTCAACCCGCCTCACCTACAAAAAGGAAAACCCATCAAATGCTACCCTGTAACTCCAAAAACTCCTCCACCAAACAAGTCTTTTTAAAGTGTTGAGGGAAGTAAGGAGCGCTTTATCCAATGAAATGCGCATCTCCAGCCCATCTAAATTCGCACCGTTTCCATCGCCTTGTTCTTTACCACAGAGCTCAACATGCAAATCATTCACCGTCTGCCAAACTTGAAGCGCCGGGGCTGGCTGCCGCTGTCACCTCCCCATCCAAACGACCTGTTGACCACACCCATAGCCTCTACACCAGCCTGAACCATACCAGCAAAGCCACCAGCTTGGTCAGCTGGCTGGTCGGCCCTCTCCACGTCTCCCTGGTCAAGGTGGCCCTGTCTGCGTTCCAAGACGGCCTTCTGGATAGCTCTCGCCCACATCTGATACCACTGAGCCTCGCTCATGGAAGCGTAGCGACGCTCCACGCAGCCAGTGCCATCCGGCTCATCACGGCTCATGGACCATTCGGCATATACTGTCTCCCAACGCTTGGTGCGGAAGAATAGATACGGCCAGGCGATGAGGAACATGAGCGTAAGCATAAACATGACCTCGATCCACTTGGTCAGGCGCATCTGGTTGACACGACAGGCATTGTAAATCTCCACACGCGAGTTCCGCACTGGGAAAGTAATGCTGGTGTGGCCACGATAGTTGGTGTCGTGAACCAGGCGTTCCAGCTGCTTCTTCAGATAATCCCAGTCCCAGCCGGTAACACGGCGCTCAAAGGCCATGTTCTTGAGGCCGGCACGGCTGGCACAGAAGCGGTGGCACCATTCCTCGACGGTAGGCTCGCCGCTTTCGATGGCACCACCGCTGCCACCGAAGCCAGGTGCGCGAGTTGTGAAGACAGTACCTCGGCGAACCTTTTCCAGGTTGCCAACGCTGTGGAGCTGTCGCCAGGCCCCGTTTGTAGGGTCCCGGATATTGTGGTAGAGCAAGTGTGTGAGCTCAATCTCAATGTCAAAGTCAACCACGGTGACCTGCTCCGTCTTGTCATCAGACTTGCGGCGAGTCTCAGTGTGTGTGCCGCGGATCTGAGCAAATGGTCGAGGAGGCAGCTGGGACAGGTGGACGAGGGCATCGTTGAGATACTTGGGATCAGAGTCGAGGCGGGAATCCAGATAATAGACGGTGTCCGAGCGAGGGTCACGCTTGAAGGGCTCGAGGTTTAGGATGCTGGCGGCAGGTCCAGTAGGAGCAAGAGGGTCGATGAAAGGCACGGCATCGTTCTCGTGCTCGTCATACAGAGGGGGCAGGTCGTCGGTGGCGAGCTCGGTAGGATCATCGTCAAAGTACGTCTGGCGATGGTTGCCGAGATTCGCGGGGGAAAAGGTATTCGACGTTGTGCTGAGCGAGATGGAGGCGGCGCCTTCGGCCAAGGGCGATGCAGGGCCGGCAGCCGGAGACGGAGGAGGGAGGAAGTCTGGCTTGCCCATGGTGTAGTTGCTGGTAAAAGTGGAGCAAGAGGGAGAGCAAGAGTAAGAGGGAGAGGAAGTAAAAGGAAGACGAAAGGCGAATAAGCGGAAAAGAGCACGAAATGGGAGAAATAAGAGAATGGAAGAGCGAGAAGGAAAAGATGGCGTCGACGAGTGTGGGAATCGATAAGGAAAAAAGAAGCTTAAAACCGGTGAGAGAGAGGCAGGTACGTAAGCTTTGGGTAGCGGTCCCGGCTGCTACTCGTACTTTCCGCTTCTCTGCTTGTGCGCTCTGGCTTTTTGGCTCTCTCCGATTCTCTCTCTCTCTCTGCAATCAACTGATTCCCGCGATGATCCCGCGATGATTCAAGTCTCCTCCGGTCTTCAATTCCAGCGTCTCTCGAATATTAGCGGCAAAAAAACGAGCACGAGATGCAGAAACAAAACACGAACGTGGCTCCAACTCCGGCTTTATCTGTCTCCAGGCTGCGAGCTGGGCAGACACCAGTCTCCAGTCACCAGGCCCAAGAGCGGACCAAGCGTAGGTGCCCTATGAAATGCAGGAGTGCGTCGAAAGCCAGGCCATGCCGTGCTAATCAACCACTAGACGGAACAATGCGGCTGAATGGCACTAGAGTCCTTTGCAAGCTTACGTCGGCCGTTGTGATTCTTCAGCACCGCCTCCACTTGTTCGTGGCATGATTCCGGAAACGGAAATGGCCGCGGCATTTCACCTTGGTTCGAGACGAGATGACACGAGACGAGACGAGACGAACCTTGGAGCATCATGGCCCTTGGAACAAGCACTACGAAGTACAAGAGAGTTAATATTGCCATTCATCTCTGCCACTACGGAGTGCTGCTCATAGCATTGCCATCTCGGCGACTCCATTAGCTGCCTCTGCTACTGCTCTATTAGCTACCTCTGCTACTGCTGCTACCTCTGCTGCTGATGATACCACTTAACTGCTGCTGATGCTACTACTGCTCTGGTGCTATCACTGCTACTGCTACTACCACTACTCCGTACTGCTATGTAGTAATGGCGCTCGTCGGTGTAGCCGTCTCCATCCACGGCACACATGTCCCGTGCGCCGCATGGGCCAAACTATATTCTACACACAGGTAGCTGGTTCAAGATACTGACTAGCCTTATTATACGACTGTACAAAAACCTCAAGATGCTTCGATGGATAAATATTGGACCGTCTGGGTTTTCACTGAGCTGCTGCTCTCGCTAGTCCGTTTCCACCCGTCTTCCGTCTCAGCTTACCCCACCACCATCACGACCTCACCATGCCCTTCTCAACCGAAACTGCTGCTGTTAGTCTGTACGTGCAATCATCATTGCGACTACACAGCCTTCTTATGAGCATGGGGCTCTCCAACAGATACATCTGCGACGGCGATTGGCTCATGAATGGCATGCCGGTGTATTCCTTGTAAGCGGCTCAATCACATACTTAGCTCTATGATTTTGGCGCGCGGCTGCTGCCTTACCCCACAGCCAAGGTTGAGTGAGTAAGGAGGTGGTATCGCAGCACTACAAATACTCCGTCCATCGAGATTTCCTGGTGACTATCTAGATCGATCGCGTTGATCCATCTATCAAGCATATCGAGGAGCTTATACTACCCCCCCTTAATTCTGTGACCGGGATAGGTACAACATGGACCCTCTCGGGATGTCGTCCGGGGTGCCAAATCTGCTCATAGGCGCCATCCAGGCCAGCAAGACTCTACATGAGACCATCCAGTCCTTTAGAAACTATGAGCGGACGATACGCGATCTCCGTTCCGAACTCGAATCCCTTATAGGTGTCCTCGAGACTCTCAAAACAGTCGTCACCACCGATGAAGGGCCCATGATATCCATGCTCAAGATCCCGGTTCTTTGCTGTCACCAGACTTGCCAGGATTTTAACGCCGTTATTATAAAATGTACCAAACATTCAGCTGGCTCTCGAGCGAGCTTTCGCGACTGGGCTCAGATCAGATATATGGGTGGCGATATTAGAGACTTTAAAGATATGCTGGCTGGCTATAAATCAACTATTGCCATCGCCCTTGGAAGCCTCAACATGTCAGTTACTCCTTCTCGCCATGTCGTCTAGATTTTTGCCTGAGGCTACCACATATGGCAACCTCTCTCATTTTGCCTTTTATAGCTAACATGCCCCAAATAGGCAAAATGTTCAGGTCACTCGCGAGGCACTGGATGGGTATCACGAGATGATCAGAGAAACAACAGCCGATCTCCAGGCCCATCTCCAGGATATTGATGACAAGCTTGCCGTCATCACAAACCACCCTCAACAAGATACCGACCCGGCTGCAAATGAGAGCATCAAGCGGATGGAAGAGGAGAAACAGAGTGCCCAGCAATGCCTTCTGATCTGCGAGAGCGCGAGATCACACTTGCAGAGCTTGCAGGATGGCTTTCAGCCTTTGGGCATCCGGCCAGATGAAACTCACGCAAAAACCGCAGTAGCTCTCAGCGATGCTAGAGATAGGATGGTCCGCATGATTTCTGATCTGCAAGGCCGGCTCATCGCTCTCTCAGAGCAATCGCTAAGCACCAAGGTTGTACAGCCGCGGCAGATAGAGGAGGACCGACTTCGGCTGCTTAAGGAAATCGAAACAGCAAGGCAGTGCCTCGAGGTCTGCAACCTGGCCGCTGATCAGGCATCCCGGCAAAGAGTTCACGTTTTTGGCGACGTTTCCGCCGATGATAACAGCCATCAAGTCATTGTGTCAACCGTGGGCGATCTACTTAATGTTAAGAGCGTGAGAGTTGACCGCTTCTCGACACAATGGCTCGGATCTATGACAGATGCCTCGTTGCAGCGGCTCTCTAGTGACCGTGCCGCCTCGTATTCTCCCTCTGCCCCAAAAGAAGATGATCCAGCTTTTAGGGGGAAATACGGACTTGGACACAAGCTGCAGGAGAAGGGGTTAAGTGTCAAGCAGAGCTCTCCGACTAGATAGGGAGCAGTTTATATCTACTATATCTATTACATCTGCTATATCTACTATATCTATTACATCTACTATATCTACTATATATATTACATCTACATATCTACTATATCTTATATTCACGTTGCCCTTAGAACCAGCTACTATAGCACGATTTAAACAACAAGCGAGGATGAAAGAGGGAAGCTTGCTTCTATTGCTACTAACTAACGGCTACGTACTTCATCAATTGATGATGATAACTCCTCAATTGATCAAAGTCCGATTCATCCCAAGCCTCAACACTAATGAAAAGCAACAACCGACTTCATTATAATATACCCTATAAATGTACAGTTTCCTCACAATTTAATAGATCAAGTTGCGCAGCCGTTACCATATTAGGCCAAGGTATACTTCATGTACTCTGACAAGCTACTCCCCTCTATGTTAGTGCACCCTGGGGTGCAACTGAAGTGATAAACTACTGGAATCGGCACGAAGATTTGATATACACGAAAACAAGTAACATAGCAGGACTGATTAGACGCTTGTCATGAATTGAGGGCGATATAATACCTGATGACATTAATTTATATAAATACTATTGACCTAATTCAGATCTTTTATTTTTATATTTCCTTCTTTTTATATTCAGTTTTGGCCCTCTTCCCACTTCTTCTTTGCCGCTTTCAACAGGGTATCCATATCACCACTGGTCTCACACATACTCCTGAAAGTTCCATCTTTTTTATTGATCAGCTCCCACGGGTGGTCAAATTCGACCACTTCACCCTTATCTAGCACCAGGACTTTATCATAATCCACAATCGTCTGGAGACGATGAGCAATTGTAATGACAGTTCCAGTAAGCTCCCGGATGGTTTCTTGAATTTTTGAGTCGGTGTTGTAATCGATGGATGCTGTAGCTTCATCCATGACCATGACAGTCGGCTTCTTCAGCATTGCTCGTGCCAGGCACAGAAGCTGTCGTTGACCTTGAGAGAGGTTGGAGCCGGATTCGGAGACGGGAGAAGACAAGTCAAGGAAGATATTCTTGTTGGTGGCTATTGACGGTGTTCGAGTACCAGATGAGCCTCCTGCGCTCTCTCCTTCGGCAGAGACTGGAACAATAGGGGTTGTGGGGGTGGTTGTCTCGTCATGGCCAATTAGCTGCACTCGTCTTAGAGCCTCAAACACCTCTTCGTCCGTATACTGATCAAAGGGGTCAAGATTAGTTCGAATGGTACCCATGAAGAGTGTGGGATCCTGCGGTACAATAGTGATGTTTTCTCGCAGATCCTGGAGACCAATCTTGCTAATATCAATACCATCGATCGTAATGGATCCTGAGTCAGCTTCAAGGGCACGGAAAATGGCCAGCGTCAATGAACTCTTTCCTGCACCGGTTCGCCCCACGATGCCAACCTTTTCCTTAGGGTTGATCTTAAGCGAGATGCCTCTGAGAACCGGATCCAAGTCAGCACGGTACCGAGTAGAATACTTGACGAACTCGACACCGCCTTCTGCGGGCCAGTTCTTTGGCGGCCGGCTATCCTCGATGATCGCTTCCGCTTCTTGTTCAACATCTAGATATTCCTTGACACGTTCCATAGAGTTCATATTTTGCTCGTTCATGCCATATTGGCGGACAAGCCACAAAACATTCTCAGTGAAATTCATCGCGTAGCTCAATGAAATACCAGCCGCACCGGCATCAATCTTGCCCAGGTTGACGATAATGAAGACACCTGCGAAGAAGGATACGAAGTTGCCCAGCAAATCAGCTCGGAATGCGAGCCATCTGTTGCAAGCCCACAGATAGATGAATGGCCGGCTCTGCGTGTTGATCTTGGCCAAATTGTCCCGGATGAAGCGTCGTTCATCGCCGTAGGCTCTGATAGTCGTCATACCGCTGAGAGTCTCGCCAAACTGCTGGAAGAGCGGGCTGCGTTGAACTGACTCCAGGCGCTTAAGATCGCGAGATGCGCGTAGATAGAAAGCGGCGACAACATAAAAGAGAATGGCGATGAAGAAGGCAGCAATGAGGAAACCAGGAGTGATGAATGAGATCAGCACAATGGTCACGACGAGAGAGAGTGCGCAGACCATGACACCAATCGCCGTGGGTGCGATTTCTTGGTCTACGGCCTCGAGATCTTTACTAAAGCGGTTCATCAGCTGGCCCAGAGGGGTAACATCGAAGAACTTGAACTTGGCTCGGGTCACAGAGAGAATGAGACGATCGTGAATTCGCCTGGATGCAGTCAAAGATCCAACAAAGATCCATACATCTCGGATCAGAGCGGCCAGGGCGCCAAACACACCAATAAGGGCAAGTCCGGTGAGATAATAAGGGACATTGACTTGTGGCACTGCAGTCGAACCAAGAGTGATCTGATCATCCAGCACGCGCAAACCTGGCCCTGTCGAGGATCGCAGGTTACCCAAACTGGCAATAGAGGCCCAGGAGCCCTTGGAAATAGTTCCAGCACCGTAGGCATGTGGCATAGAGTTTAGAGAAACGTTGATATTCTCCTCTTCGATGTACTGGTTAGCCCACTCCCTGACCCAAATGTTCGTTGCAACGGTCGAGAGCTGCTGCATGCCAAAAACCATGAAAGCGACAAGCCAGAACCACCAGGGTCCCATAGAAGAGAGATAAATGCGCAAAACAGACCATTTGACGGATCCGGTCGCCTTGGTCTCTTCGGGAGGGCCTTTAGGCGGTTCCTTCTTGCCCTTCTTAGAATTGTCTGTGCTCTCTGAGGCGTCGCCGTTGCTGTTAACCATAGTCTCCTCATCGCCGACGCTTGACGGCACACGAGATGGGATACGAGATGCAGTATGAGAAGCAGGTCGAGAGCGCTGGATTTCCTCTCCGAGCTTGCCGGAGGCGATGACCTCCTGCGAGGGTCCTTGGGCTACAACCCGGCCGTTCTCTAACAAGACGACATAATCGGATGACGGGACACAAAGCTGTATGTTGTGAGTGACGAGAATACAGGTGCGGCCCTTCATCAATGGGCCATTGATGCAGTTAGTAAAGATCCATTGTGCCGTGTGCGAATCAACAGCACTGAGACAGTCGTCCAAAAGGATATGCGCCGAGTTTGAATACAGAGCACGAGCCAAGGAGATTCGCTGCTTCTGACCACCAGAGAGAGTGATACCTTTCTCGCCAACCAACGTTTGGTCTCCATGATCGAGGATTTCGAGGTCACGCTCAAGAGCACAGGCGACAATGACATCCTTGTATCTCTGCTCATCATACGGCGCGGCAAAGATGATGTTGTCTTTGATATTAGCGTTGACCAGCCAGGCAGCTTGGGCAACATAAGCGATTGTATCGGCAAGACCAGTTTCGGGATCGGGGCGAACGTCCTCTCGGCTGCGACCGCCAGGGCAGAATACCCTGCCCTCCACGAGTGTCATCTCACCAAGAAGACCCATGAGCATAGAGGTCTTGCCAGATCCAGTTGGGCCGGCGATGATGTTGAGCTTGCCAATCTGAAAGTCAAGGTCGAGATCAAGTAGTCGGAATGCCCTGGAGCCATCTTCGGCCACGCTGTTCTTGGCGCCCCAAATCAAAGTAGCGTCCCTGAAGCCAATGCGCTTCTTGCCATCTTCATCCACGTTGTCCAATCCAAGCTGTTCATACTTCTCAGTCTCCTCCTCCAGAAGGTACTCCTCAACTCGATCAATGGAGACCTTGGCTTCCTGGACGTGAGCGAACATGTCGCCAAGGAGATCGAGGGGAACGCGAAGGAGCATGAAAAGGGAAATGGCCGTGAAGGCAACAGAGGGATACAGGGGCTTCTTCTCAATCAGAGTGTACACCAGGAAAGAAAAGAAGGTGATGAGGATAGGAACCGAGTTCCAGATGGCAACCGCAACCGCCCATAGAAGGAATCGAGAGCGAAGAGCCTTGAGCTCGGCTTCGCGCTTCTCATCCACAATCTTGCCGAATCGACGCTCCCATGCAAAGTACTTGATGATGCGGATGTTTTGAAGAATCTCGTTTGTCACATTGATGCGCTTGTCAGTAGCAGCCATAATGTTCTTGGAAGTGATGTTGAAGCCACGAGCCAGCATGTAGTTTACGGGCAGGAGGATGAACATGACAATGAGACCGGGAATGGCGCTGAGGCCCATGACCTGCCAAAGCAAATAAATGGAGACAATCAGCTGAGTGGGGGCTGAAGCGCACAAGAAATGCAGGTAGGCGGTGATCTCGGCAATCTTGAAGCTGTCAACTGACATGAGGTTGATAATGGTTCCCAGGTTGGCCTGTTCATCATCTCCTTCCTTCTCTACGATGGCCTTGGTGGCGTTGGAGACGTTGGCGGCTTCGGCGTCATCTGAACTGGCAGCATTCTTCTGCTTCTTGTCACCGAAGCCAAGAGCGCGCTTGATTTTACCGACGACGCCTTGGCCACCCTCCTCTTCCTTATCCTGGTCGGATTTGGCATTGTCACCGAGCAGGACTTTGTCCTTGCCGGCGGCAGCTTTTCGGCGCAGCGCCTTTGCGTAAATATCACCAACAATAATAGCACGAACGCGAATACAGATCTTGCGGCCAATCCAAAGAGCCATTCCATCGCAGTAAGATCGGATCGTATCAAGAACTGGGAGACCAATTACGAGGAGCCAGAGAACGTTGACGGGTGCCTCTTCAGGGCGTTCCACATACTGGAGGATAGCTTTAAGCAGCAAGGTAGGGGCAAAAGTGAAAAGGCCGGCAACGGCCGCCATCGCGCATTGCATAATCAGAAGACTGCGGAAATACTTGAGCAAGTGCCATGAAAGGGCGGTGGTCTTCTTCATAAGTCTGTAATCGGCAATGATGGCCGTAGATTTGTCCTTGGGCAGAAGATTCCAGACATCCTCAAGCTCCATGGGCTTCTTCCAACCTTGCCAGACTATAGCATCGACCCACGAGAAGGTGGCAATGGAAAAGAGACTGGCGAGGGGCTCGCGTGAGGGTTCAATGCCATCCTCCCACTCCAACACAACAGTCTTGTTGCCCTTTCGAGTGGAGACCGCAATGCCGAATAGCAGAGTGTTGAGGGCAAAGTCGACGATGACGAGAATCTGAGAGCGCTGTGAGAAAGGGTAGAGAAGAGCCGAGCGGAAGATGAAGAGTGAGAAGAGCCATTTGCAGCCGTAAATGGTGGCGGTGTGGTTCCAGATATACGGAATTCGCCACTTGGAGGAACCCAGCGCGACTCGCAATGTTGCAAGAATCAAAGTATATATCCAAGTCGTAAGACCAGCAGCGGCAACCAGATGGGCGTCAGGACCATAAGCACCAGTGACGAGAGCATATGCGTTGATTGCAACCAGGCCAACAAGAGCAAGCTCCTCGACGAACTGCGAGAAGCGCTGACCAGCGGGAGTATCGGCCTGGACTATTGAGCCCCTGGAAGTCACCTTGGCCAGAGCCAAGCGGCCGCCGTTGATCTCGAGATCATCGTCATCGCTGTCTTCGGATTCTTCGTCGGGAGGGATGGCAGTGTGATCGGGTACGGCGTCGGTGGCAGAGATGGAGCTATAACCTTTGGTCTTGTCACTGCGGACACGGCCAATGTTGGACCAGGCGAGGCGCAAGAAAGAAATAGCAATTACGATTAACGGGAAGAGGACAGCAAGATAACTGTGGAATTGGCCATTAGCTGGATTGTACGTCTTCAAGTGGCAAAGCGGACTGCGAGCGCGAATCAACAACTTACTCTCTGCGGAAGCAGCCGCTGAAATCATCAATGTTCCATAGCGGATCTGAGCATTGAGCAAAGCCCATGGCTGGTTCCAGATTGGGGGCAAGAGCTGCCCGTGAAGCAATAAGAAAGTATAGGTCGAAAAAAATATATATGGTGGTGTAAGATTGAAAGCAGAAAGAGAACGGATAAAGGGAAAGAACACGGACGAGCCTGAGTGGTCTCGCCTCGGTTCCTGGCGTGTGAGGTCTTGTTCCTGCTGCCTCTCTATACACTCATAGCGTTAGCGAATGTACAGGCGTGCGAATGGAAGACATTCAGCGGACAGGAGAGGAAGAGAAAAGAGGAAGAAAGAGGCGACTGGCACAATGATGGGATGTACAAGAAATGGGCGGTCGCATTGGTCAGAAGGCGACGGCGGGGTGGAGCTGCCAGGTAGCGCTAGCTGCAGTGCAGGTACCGCCGGTGGATAAGACATGAGCGCGGACGCACGCACAGGTATGCCGCTCCGTACAGCGAGGTACCTGTACAAGTAAAAGCACACTAGTACATGGTCCAAATATTATGTACAGTATGGCCCGGATCAGTTATCAGTGGGGAAAGAGGCCGACAGGGAGCAGAAGGCAGTAGCTTTGCGCGCGATGCGGTGGGGAAGCAATACGCAGGGAGGAACTTTTTTTTTTTTTTTTTGCCCTCTCTCTCTTAGCAAGCCTCTTTCTTTCGGGTGGCGGTTGGAGTTGGACGGGGAATTTCCATATGGTGGCTCTCACCTAAGGTACAAGTACGTGCTAGCATGCGGAGTACATGCAGCTCTCTGCGTGCGGTGCTCGACAACCTTGAAGGTATTCGTGAGGTACCTCTAATACTGATGCAACAGTACGAGTACAGACATCGTGAATTTGAACGTTTGAGCAAGGACCAAACTCGCACAAGCATGCGGGCATCGAGACTATTGATATCCTTACCGCCCCCAACTCCTTCGCAATTCATCCGGCCACTAGCCTGATGAGACAGAATGATAGAGCCGCGGTGGCACGATGATCGACTTGAGAGTCAAAACGAGGCCTGTGTTGAATCAAGAGTCACACGGCAGGAGCTGCATTAGTGCATGCGTTGGAGCTCCTTTTGCACACCAGCACATGATGAGGATATAAGGTGATTACGGCTCTGGGCTAGTGCCATCCGAATCAACTCAGAGATTGAGAGCAGATCTGGGATGTCGTGAAGGGCTCAAGAGGCGAGGGTGTGCTAACTTGCTAACTCGTTCGGGGCGACTGCAAGACCGGCTTATCCTGCCGCTAGACCTCGGGTAGGGTTGTACTCCGTCCCGTATGTCTAATGAAGTCTTCGTCAGCGGCTCGAGAGTTGTTGCAGTCACGGAGCTCGAGAGTGTGAGTCTTGACGCGAGGTTTGCTTTCGACTTAGACGCAGGATTACCTTTGGTACAGGCAATGCGAGTACATGCAAGATACATGAGCCTTGGTCGGAGTTGCAGCTGCTAGGGCAGTAGTGCAAGAGCTTAAAAATGCAGCAAAAGTACCCTCGAGTACCCAGTATCCAACGGCCAGCCTCTGATGAATCTCGCAAATCACCACCTCGCAGCCCGATCATGACCTGCAGCCATATCCCGCATTCCCAGCTGGGATTTGCACTTGGTATAGCGTCGACTCATTGACTGAGTCACCAGAGTTTGGCGTTGCAAATGTCCCTTGTCCCCCATCCCACAGCCTTTGCTCGGTACCACATGCTGCGCCCTCTGGACACATCGGGATGCGATTATCCATCAGATGGCACAGGCGGTAGCATTCTAGGTAAGGTACTTAATCTACTGACTGTCTTTATGCATCTAGCAAGCTTAATCTTTGATTCATGTGAGTGAATCCGTTTCTGGAATCCCTCATCACTGACAGGATGAATCTATGTTCTTTTCATCTTCTCCTTCAGCTAGACTCAAACCAGGCTAACTGAGCCATCCACTTGGTCAACTCCACCACCGCCCCTCCCCGACCTTCCCCCTTAGGTGTACAGGATCCTCCACAGAATCTCTCTTTTCCTCCATCTCGCACTGACTCACCGCTATGGCGGAGCCTCGCAGCCTCCTTACTACTCTACTCTACTCGTACTACAGTCAAAAGAGCGAGCGGGTGGCACCGAACTACTGAAAAGACGCCACTAGCCATACCTCGACCATGACAGTATCAGCAACTCTCGACCTGACCACGACTCTACTATGTACAGCTTCTCTGCCTCTATTCACCAACCATGACAGCGGCACTGAGCTACTGCACTACGACACATCTGGCCCTGCAGCGTGTTCCGACATTGCCTGCATGGCGTATCCCGGCACGCACGCCATCCCGGACCGTCTACGGCGCGCTGGTTTGCTACCTGTTTCGTTTGGCTATTTACAGGTACCTACGCGTTGCGGCAGGGAGGGAGGCCCAAGCTCCACGGAGCCATCATCCGAACTTTGGCTTGGTTCCTCCTCGTTGATCCATCTGATCTCGCCTAAAAGCTATGAAATATAGATACCATACTCGGTTATCTTTGCGGCGATAGCACTGCCACAAAGCGTGTATAGGTTGTTGGCGCTCCCTTCCAAGCACAGTTGGCTCAATGTCAAATCATTGGTTGGCCAGGAGAGACAAGGTGGTTGGCATCTTTGGTTATTTGCGCCATCAGCAACAGCTCTGTCTCAGCGCCAAGTAATGCTTTCTTTTCCTTTTTCAGCTCGCCATGGCCAACATCAACTAGCCATTTCTGATTGGCCATTCCATCATCGACAAGCGTTGCTATGGAGAATCGAGAAATTGGATACGGTCATCGTACATCATGGCCGCGGCCAGTGACTCAAAAAAATCTCCCCGGGTAAGTTCCCCGCAAATACCCCGACTGTGCCTAGTGCTGTTCTGAGGTGTGCGTCAGGAGACTCGAATAATATCCATCGCCTGGGAACCCGTGTAAACGCTCGCGATACCAGATGCCTTTACAGGGTGGTAGTGATACAAAATGCATGTTTCAAGCAAGATTGACGAGAGAAGGCTGACAACCATGTATGTACTACCGCATCGCAACGCCACTGGCGCCCGTCCTACCATTCAATACCTCTACAGGTAGTTCTACAGGTAGGTAGTACCTCTACTAGGGCATCTTGATCCAGTAACACCCTGGCATTACCATCGACGAGAGCCGAGGAAGACGTTGGATTTCACATCGCTAATCGCGCAATCCCGTTCCGTAACCCTAAATCTTTCTTTGTACACGTAGCTGCCGGCCCGTGGGAAGCCTCACCGTCTTTCTAGCGCTGACAAATGTGCTCCATCGACCCTGGGCCATAATACTGACTGTGCTGAGACGCTGCTATCATCACCCAAGTTATGAAACATGTTTCCGTGGACGGCAGCTGGAGTGGACCCGTTTTAGATGCTGTAATACTTCGTAGCTCTGCATTTCCCAAAGTATTGCTGCACGTGGTACCGAGTAGAGGCAGAACAAATGAGAAAGAGATTAAGATCTGTCAAGCCTTCAGGCTCGTGGTACCTTTGCTGTCTGTTTGTCTTTCAATGGTATTACCAGCCACCTCTTGAGACAAGGAGGTTGTTGAGCTATTGCAGGCTAATCGCTGCCCAATTACGAATCCGAGACAGTGATCTTCCATGCGGTATCATGGTTCACAAAGCTAAAAATTTCCTACGACTACTACGCGATTCTATCACAATCCTGGTCAGATCACGACATGTTCCTCTTGGCGAAAACGGCCAATGCGTCCCGAGAGCGGAACCTATTAATTCCTAGATATGAAATCTTCCATAGATGACACCTGTTCCACAGGATGCTTGCTCAGACTTTCGTAGAGTTGCAGGTAGCTGCCGATCAAGAAAGCCCATGAGCCCCTAAGAGACAGCAGCCAAGAGTCAGTAAATGTTTCCCCCTTGGAACCGAATCTCAATGTACACAACTTACCAGAATGTAGCCAGTCCAGCTTGATACTGCGCCCCAGAATTGTTGTACGCCATTCCTAGGGCACCGCAAAGAGTAAATCCAAATGCTCCCACGAGATTCCAAAATGCAATGTGCCAGCCCAGGAGGTGAGGTGCGGGCTTCCACCATTTCTGCTGTGTTTCCAACATGTACAACGAGCTGCTGACGATGAAGCCACTGCCGCCAATGACCTGAGGGATCCAGTACGCAGCATTGAGTCGCCATTGCGGCGTGAGGTGATTGTTAATACCTGGTAACGCGGTAAACCCAGAGACACCGAAAACAGTGGCACCGAAGAGCTGCGCGGAACCGGCGAGAAATCCCAATTCGTGGATGTAATGTATGCGCAGGTCGTGCCAGGAAGGGAACCATTGCCAGTGCTTTTCACCGCGAACTCCACTACCGGGGCCCGGTTGAGCTTCAATCGAGGTAGCAGCTGAAGGCTTGCCCACAAAGTTGCGTCGATTTTGGTGATGGTGGTGGCAATGATGGCGACTTGCGACCACCCGAAGCCTCGGCTTGCCACTCCTCCCCTTGTCCACTAACTGCTCGACGGCCCAGCCGAAGCAGCCCGATCTGTTGGCGTTTATGGCTTCGAAGATGAGGAGAATGGAGCCCGTCTCGAAAAAGATGATGGCGCCAATGAAGGCGGTGATGCCGCCGCCGTAGTATATTTCGCCGTCAAACTCGGTAGAAGGTGCCACGACCGGAAGCCAGACGAAGAAACCCTGTACGATACATCAGTTCACCAAGCTCAAGCTCTCATTAGCCGACCTCCCCAATTCATTCCAAACATACGTTTATGACCCAAACAACGCTCCCCCACGTGAAGATGAAGGCCACCAGCCACGAAATATCCCAGATGGGATAATGTGTAAAAGTCTTGATGACCGTCTTTAAGATCTCCCGAGGATGCGAAGTCCGCCTCGGCGTTAGGAAGCGCGCCTCTTCTCCTGGAAGCGGCTCCTGGACGAGTAAAGGATGCCGACCCTTTCGATTGTCTCGAGACCGCCATAGGAACCTAACGTTCTTGGCCGGGACATTTGAACCGGAGGCTTGTTTGGGCGGTTCGTGTCTGGTTTCTGCATCATCGCCGCTCTCCTGTGGTGTCGCTGTCTCGTCAGACGCTGGCCCCGAAGCCAATCCCGAGTGATCGAAATGGGCTCTTGTTGGATTGAGAAAGCCGAAAGGCCCTTCGGCGTGCTGCAGTGTCAATCTGTCATCGTTATGGAATGGCTCTCGCGTAAAGAAGCGCCTATTCCTCCTCGCCGGCATTTTCTGCGGCGTGCTCGTTCGCGAGCTCCAGAGTCGGGTGTCTTGTGGCGGTCTCTGGTCTCTAGATGTCCGGGGCTATCGATTGCCTACGCCAAGCAGCCCGTTGAAGAGTATGAGGACGCGTCAGATGCCATTCGGAAGGCCTGATGAAGTCGAATTGGCAGCTAGAGAGCGATGACGACAATAACATGTTCATCCTTGCATGACGCCGTTCAAGAGTTAGCCGATCTTAGCTTCAGCTCCCATGTTAGTGCTACGCACGGGCATTACGTAAAGTCACCCCGAGCTTTGCTTCCCCGCGATCCCCCAACATCGACTAGGAAACCGGGCGTCGGGCAGCGAGTATTAACTTGAAGTTACTTTGCAGCATATACGGCCATACGAGTGTTGGCATCTATATGTGTTTCGTCCATGTATTCGTCCATGTACAATCACCCAATTGCACCGTGTATCGCCTCAGATGTAACTTAGTCTAACGAATATTCAACCTGTAGACACGTAGCTAGATGTCTGGTGCGGCAAACTAAAACACGACACTTATATACATTCACTATGTCGACTCCCCAGTTGCCAGAAAAAAACAAATCGTACATTCCATTTTATATTTTGGTTCATACTCCTTATCCCCTAGTGATATTTCCCTGTTGGTACATTACTACAATTTCCATATTTGTCAAGGATTTACCGAGACGGTAGAAATCAAAGCGATTTAATTAGAGAATCAAGGCTCCCCCGCTTCCCCATGGTTACAATTAGCCCATGATCATGCCCTTCATTCCGGCAAGATCTCCCTCCTTGGCAGCAATTTCGAAGTAGCCGTAGATGATACTGGTAAAAGTTAGCTTGATCCTAATTCCGCTTGAGAATCTGGGAGAATAAAACTTACGTGACAGCGAGAAGTGTACCGGTACCAGAGCCGAGAGCCCCCATAAGGTCGCTCAGGACGGACAGAGCACCGATGCAGGCACCGCCAAAGGCAGCGGCAGTAGGAATGATGCGCTTGAGCTCCTTGTACATGCTCTGATCACGGTGTCCAGCCATGACGAGACCCTGGTCCTTGAGCTGCTTGGCAACGTCACGGGGGCTGGAGCCGGAAACCTCAATCCAGGTCTTGGAGAAGAGAGCACAGGCGCCGAGCATGTAGATGATGTAGACGGCAGTGTGGATGGGGTCAAGGAGAGCGTCCTTGAAGTTGAGAGGAGGGGACATGTAGTAGACAAGACCGGAGACGGCGTGGAGCTGAGAAGTGCCATCCTTGGCCTCCCACACACCGAAGAGACGAACCAAGAGGTTCTCGGAGAAGCGGGAGTAGAGCATCTGGCTGATCAGGAAGACGTTGGAGGAAAGGGCGGACTGCAGCATGATGGGCATGTTGGAGGTGTAGAACAGGCGAACGGGGTATGAGCCTCGAGCACCACGCTGGCGGTTAGACTTGACGGGGATCTCGACGCGGAAACCCTGGAGATAGATGATGGCAACAAAGACCAGGATAGTGGCGAGCAGGTTCATGATGTTGGGGAGGTTCTGCCTGTAGAAAGCCTCCTGGAGAGCGCGCTGCTTGTTGGGCCAGGTCATCAGAAGGTGGAAGAGGGCAATGACAGCACCCTCAAACTCGGGGCCACGGCCAGTGTTGATGGTGGTGGGCGAGAAAGCCTTCCACATGATGGACTCGCAAATGTTGGTGGCAATGAACAGGGAGATACCGCTGCCCAGGCCGTAACCCTTCTGCAGAAGCTCATCGAGCAGAATGACAATCATGCCAGCAACGACCAGCTGGAGGATGAGCAAGAAGACAATGCCGGCGCCGAGGTCGGAGGGAGTGCCGTAGAGACCAGTGAAGACGTAGACGGTGGCGGTACCGGCAGACAGGATGAAAGCAAAGAGCTTCTGGGCGGTCTGGTAGAGCTCGCGATCCGACTTGAGGTCGAGGTTGACGTCGATGAGGTGGGTACCAGCGAGGAGCTGGAAAACCATGCCAGAGGAGATGATGGGGGTGATACCCAATTCCATCAGAGTACCTCGATTACTCGCCATCACCATTCGCAGCCAGTATAGAGGATCCGAATTGTCGGAAGAGACGATGCCGTACAGAGGCATTTGGCTCATGACCAAGAAGATGAGGAGCGTCAATGCCGTCCACATCAGCTTCTGATTGAAGGGGATTTTGGTTTCCGGCTGCTGAACCTCGGGGAGGAACGGCACGAACGGCTTGACCAGATCGAGAAAACGTACTGCAGAAGCATTTCCATGTTAGCAGCGTGCCATTGAGCATCAATTGCGCGTTTCCGGCCGTCTGCGCGCGCGCGCGCGACACAAACCGGCTAGAGGATTAGTGGGGGAAAGATGCAACTCACGAGAACTCATGGCGGCGGCTGAAGGGGAAAACCCGAGAAGGAAAACTAATTCATCCAAGGAAAAGAAGGAAGGAAGAAAAAGTCGAGCTGGGATGAGCTCGGGGGCAGAAGAAAAGGTGAATCGATGGGAGGAGTGGTGAAGGGAGCTGGGGAAAGGTTGCGATCTGGCTTCAAGCCCCGAAATGTTGATGTGTCCCGAAACTAGATGGGGTCGCACGTGACTCGCTCGACGTTAAAGAAGCGTGGCCTCGACAAGCCAACAAGGGTCTTTTTCCCACCCCAGCAAGCCCAGTACTATGTAAGCCAACCATTTCGAGCCACTTGGATGCAACAAGGAGCTGCAAGTGGGGTGGATGACTGTTCCAGTTCGAAATTCTTCTATTGATTTTCTGGTGCTCAGACACGCTGCGGCCCAGCTCGAAGAGGAAGCTTCCACAGCGTTGCGCCTTAAAAGACAGATTGCAGGATTGCAGGATTGCAGGATTGCAGGATCCTGCCGACGACGCCCGATTTGGTTCGTTGTCGAATGCTCAGCCGGGGAGTAGGGCTGTTGCGCCATGTACTATCTATGATGGCCGTTCGCAAAGCTCCAGCCGAACCGTTGCTGGTTGTCTTAGGCTCTACAGGCACGGGCAAATCCGAGGTTGGACTGTCTTTGCTCTAACTGTAGATGACCTCTGTTCACTCTTCTGACTGTTTTGTACAGCTAGCCGTAGAACTGGCAACGCGGTTTAAAGGCGAGATCATCAATTCTGATGCTATGCAGCTTTACGATGGCCTGCCTATTATAACGAACAAGATTAGCCAAGAGGAGCGACACGGCATTCCGCATCATCTTTTGGGCCATATCCCTCTTGACGACGCTCCGTGGGATGTAGAAGACTTCAAGTCTCAAGCCACCAAGATTATACGCGAAATCCGCGGTCGTGGAAACCTACCCATTCTTGTTGGAGGGACTCAATACTATGTTGACCCGCTTCTTTTTAAAGATGTAATCCTTGACGATGTGCAAACGGACCCTTCCTTGTCGTTTCCAATCTTGGAGCAGCCTACAGATGTGATTCTGGAAGAGTTGAAGAAGGTCGACCCGGTTATGGCGGAGAGGTGGCACCCGAATGATAGACGCAAGATCCAGCGATCACTCGAAATCTACCTGCATACAGGCAGACCTGCATCAGAATTATATGCAGAGCAAGAGAAGCGCAAAGCTGCAGCTGCTCAAGAATCAGGGTCAAGTCAGCCTTGGGAGAAGTTGCTCTTCTGGGTTTATTCAGAACGTGACACCCTGACTGCGAGGCTGGACAACCGAGTGGACAAGATGCTCGATAACGGGCTCTTGGATGAGGTTCAAGAACTGTTCGATATGAAACGGAACAAAGCTGCTGAAGGCCAAATCTTGAATATGACAAAGGGCATATGGCAGTCTATCGGTTACAAGCAATTTGAGCCTTACATGGCTGCCAGAGAAGAGGGCAAAGATTCAGCTGACCTTGATAAGCTCAAATCCAACGGGCTGGAGGAAATGAAAGCGGCAACGCGCCGATATGCTAACTACCAAACCCGATGGATCAGACTGAAACAGATCCCACGCCTCAAGGAGCAAGGCCCCGAGGCGCTTGGCAGCTTATACTTGGTCGACAGCACGGATGTCTCCAAGTTCAAAGCCAATGTTATAGAGCCTGCTGTCGATATCACATCCAAGTTTCTCTCTGGGGAATCGAGGCCGGTACCAACTGAGCTGTCGGACTTGGCCCGCGAGGTGCTTACACGAGTGGGTGAGCCTCCGCCAAAGGAAACCCCCTGCAAAAGGACGTGCGAGATATGTCAAACAGTCTGTGTGACGGAACAGGCTTGGCATCGGCACATCAAGAGTGCCGGGCATAAGCGAGTCATGAAAAAGAAGAAGAGATTGGCGCTTGTACCAATAGACAAGACTTCGGACGTCCATTCTGACACTGAAGCGTCTTCGGAGCCCGATGTAACCTCAATCTTCGCCACTTAACACCCCATCCATTCAGATATTACGCCGATAAAAGATAACAAATGGCTGAACCGCATATCGACATGATGTACTGTAACTTTATATACATCACGTGTCATCTCAGCAGGGTGATTGGAGACAAAGTCTTCGGAGATAAGCATGGATACCCCTGTATCGTATCATTGCAGAATTGCTGAGCAATCTGCACTTTCGAGTATCTTGGGAAATGTATACATTGCCGGTTAACGCTTCTTGACTCGACCAAGGCGCATCGCTTGAAAGGCTTCATCTCAGGCTCTAGACGACATATATTCTGCGTCAACTTCACAGGAATGATTACTGTGTAAAGCAGTGGCACATATCGGGTGCCTTGGATCTTTCAAGCAACAGAGTTCCTGCATGCCGCAATTGCCCCATTGATATCTGCTGCAACCCTTATGTAGTACAACCATATCGACAATTCATGCATTGCAACTCATTTATTTCTGTCAATGAGACCTATCACCCAATCCTGGCTAAATGCTTTGAGACTGCGCACGGAATATCCCGTGCCTGATTTCTCTCGCTTCCTCCGAATGGCATCTGTTGGTCTGCCGAATCCTCCAGGATTGTGGCCCTGAGATTCGCTGGCCCACATTGAGATTTGAAGAGATGGAAAAAAAATTTTATCACAAAAATGCACAAATGGTTCATTCTGATTCCTGTCATTGTCGTACACTATTCAAGACTCTCTGAATCCAAATCCCAGCTTCATTGCTCAGGGGTCCACCCAACTGACAATATTAAATTGTCACTCTTGCTAATTCCATGAAAGATGCTTCATCCCACAAGATCCAATGCATAATGCTGTAACAAACCCAAAGAGGAAAAGGGAAAAAAAACAGACAAAATCTCCGAGGAACATCCCGAGCCGTGCAATGAGTCATAATGATTCGAGTGCTCTTCTCAAACTACAAACCGTGCGCCATAACACTCCAAGCCAAGTGGCCAAGAAATGAGAAACAGAAATGTGAGTAGCCTTACAGGATTGACTTCAGCCTGGCTGATCCCGTGTGCTTACATCTCTGACAAGACGGACTGCCGTTTGTGGTGATGGCCGCGAATGCAAAGTCATCGCCAAACAGTCATCGCCAATGGATATCAATGGGGGTGTAAAACAAGAAAGACGGCAAAGAGGATGTGCTTCCCACCACTTCGAGTGAGGCAATGCATAATCCTCCTAGAATGTCTGCTTCTCGATCGTCGGTGCCTTGACGCTGGGTCCACTGCGGGACACCCAGGTCTGGGCTTCACGCACAACGCCCTTGAAGAATGTGAGGACGCCACTGGACTCGCCGGCAGCACTGCCAGAGGTGTTGTCGCTGAGGGCGTCGAGGTAGATGGTTCGTCGAGCCATGGCTAATGTTTGTGTGTGTGTGTGTGTGTGTAGGACTGTTGATTGTCTCGTGCAAGTGCCGGACAGCAATGAGCAGCAGTCAATATATATATTGATATATAACAGAGTCGAGTCAAGGAAGAGAGAGCCTTGTTACGCAAAGAGGGAGACACAGATGGGTATTTATACTGGATTGTGTTTTGCCGAGTGGTGTTGGAACAAGATAAGACAAGAAACCAAAGCATTCCAACAAGCGGCACGCCTCATTCTTTATAGACGACCGGTTCCGTCCACACAATGCGGGCGAAAAAGCCACACGGACGCCCACGCCCACGCGGCCATTCAAAGCTCGTCTATTGTCGCCCCAAGTCCTGCATTGTCTCTCCTAGGGCCGCGGCCGGAGGCTGCATCCAGCCAAATCCCGTTATCTCATAACTTTCTCTTGCTTCTGCGGGCGGCCAATCGTGGACCCCTGCTCGCCAACAGACTCCGCAGCGCATCCATGGTTTTGGTAAGCTCGGCAGTGACAGGTAATTATTTCCTGGCCGAACTCACCTGCGGCTGCTCGCCAGGCTATGCCATGAGAGACAAGGCCCCCCCTCCTCCTCCCATATTGTGTCATCTGGCTCTGCGCTTACCGGGTGGTGCCTAGGAATGCGGGATGGAGCCTCGTGAGCAATAATACTCGTAACACTTTGCCTCTCTCTTGTTGCAGTACGACCTTCGACGAAGCGCCCATGGCTAATCGTGCGAATGCGACCTTGGCCGTTTGCTTGCCTGCTCCATTAGGCAAGCTAGTAACGGGACATCATCAATCTCATAGAATCTCGCGTCTCAGACCCGCCAAGTACCATGGGACGCACGCCATAAGATAGCGTTACTACGTTGCGGCCTTCTCTCGTACTCACCACGGACGAAGTTCGAGCACTGACGTGTAAGGGCACTTGCAATGCCTTAGTGGCTTTGCCGTAAGATTCTAGTTCAAAGTTCAAGGACGGATGGCAATCGTTAGAACGTGCTACCGTTACTTAGTGCTTCCCCGCATCTCGCTACGAGACATACGAGTATCTGCCTCTTTGAGATTGGGAACCCTTGCTTTTTGCAGTGGAAGGTAATCGTCACTTCACCACTTCATCTTGATGTTGTGGAATCGCTGCTTGGCATGCGAGGACTGTGTTATTATTAGAACTGCTACTGTATTTGCCCGTCCGACAAAAGCCCGCATACGACGTTGAAGAGATGGACCCCTGCGGAGTATCGCGTTCTCTCTTCGGCGCTGCTCGTACTCGTAGGAGGAGAGACGCCTTCGTCTGATAATTTGGCCTGCCAAGCGGATATATCTGCAACCGGCCCGCATCAGTGTTATGGGTGCTGGCCACATGCTTTGTAACCCGTACCCAGGCCCCCTGGACCCTGGATCTGTTGGCTAGTCAAATGAGTCTTTTTTTCCCTTCTAATCTGCTACTACTACTTCATACGGGAGCCGTAGAGTGAATGGACCCTGAGCCAACATGCATATTTTAATGGGACACGAGCCCGTGCCGTAAGGCAGAATGCCATGGTTACACCGCATCATGCGTCCGTTTCTCCCTATTGGCCTGCCGATTCTCTTTGCATCCACTCTCCTCAGAGAGTCCTCGTGTGGAGCTGGCTACTCTCTTCCCGCAGACCTTTAAGTTGCCGATCAAACTCCTTATTTGCCCACTCCCAGTAGCCCGTCCACGCGCCCGCTGCCGCTGCATTACTGGTTGCTGCTCCGGCATTTCCAGTCATCGCCTTCATCTTGTCTCCCAGAAGGAGAGTCACTCTCAATATGCTCTTATTGGTTTCCTCCTGCTTCTCAACGTCCTGCTTGACGGCATTGTCCTTGAGCTTAATGGAGAGAACTCCACGGTAGGCCTCGGCAATCGAGTCCAGTCGTCGTGCCGTCTCATCAGGGTCGATGACAATCAGTTTAGTAACCATCAAGTTGCAAAGCTGGCGGATATCGTTGTCATCCTTAAGACCTGCGATAACCCGGTCGTAGAAGTCGATGTTGTTTATCCGTGTGAAAGCCGTCTCCATCAGTGCATAGAGGGTCTCGTATGCGCTCTACATCCAATTTAATGTCAGCAATGTTCAGAATTGCGTGCGATGATGTAATCTACTTGCCTTGCGAACTTCCAGACCGTCGTCAACCTTGTGCTTGAACGGGCCTAGCATGACTTCCCGGATAAGCTCCTTCTTGATCACCGATTCACTGAGTACGAAAGGCAGCAGTTCGCCCAAGTGAGGTAGAATAAGATCTGGCTTGTTATGAGCTGCCGAGTTCAGTGTCGTCATCGCCAGTCGTCGGATTTCCATGTCCGAGTCTTGTAGCATCGTCAGGAGCATTTCGATGAGGACATTTCTGAGCATAGCATCGAACGTCTCATCGCTCTCAGGGAGGGTGTACCTGACAGCCTGGACTGCCATGCCTCGAATGCCCGATGATTCATCCTTCAAGAGCGTCTACGTAACATTAGCAACTTCTGAAACCCACTCGTAGGTTATGCTAGACTTACCTGAAGTTTGGGCATAAATGTTGTAGGGTCCAGGGTGGATAGGCGGCCAACACACTCGGCGCAGATGATCTTGTTGTCAGCATTCAGTGATGCTCCAATAAGCTGACCCCAGATTGCCGTGGCATAAGTCTGGAGATCGGTAGACTGCGACGGAGTTGATTGGAGAATCTCTTTGATAGACTGAATAAGCAAGTACTGTGTATTGCCTCCACCCTCCATTGTCTTGAGGATAACTGGGAGGTACTCCGGCACGTTTCCAGATCCAGCTCTGCCAAGCGCAATGGCAGCAGCCAGCGACACCTTGTCTGGCTCCGGATGGAATTGCTCCAAGAACAACTGAGGCTGAAGAGGTGATTTGGCCCCAAGCCTCATTCCCGCCTCTCCTAGAACAGCAAGGGCGAGGCTTACACCGGCCTCGTCTCCACGCTGCGTGCTGCCGTGAAGTTCCGTGACAAAGCTATCGATAGAAACGCCTGCCGAGGTACCACCCGTCACGAGCAGCGTGCCAATCACCTTGCCCACGACAATCGGGTCGCCCTGAACGCTCACATCCTTCAAAAGACCTTGCATAAGAGGTTCGCCGGCGCCACTCTCGCCAACTCGACTTATCAGGTCAAGCAGCTGGTCGAGAACAATGTTGGCAAAGTGGGATTTCAGCAGCTGGCAGAGCGCCCCAATCACCTCTTCGTTGATAATCAAGTTTGCATGGCTTTGTACCATGTTGCCGAGAATGATCAAAGTTGGGCCAAGGAGATGGGTATCGCTGTTCTTAATGGTAGGCAGCAACGCAGATACTAGTCCCTGGATAGTAGCTGGTTCTAGTTTGCCTTGGGTAGCTTTTGAGAGAACAAGATGCTTGAGGGCCTGAATGCTGGAACCTCGCAGAGATCGGTTTGCCTTTCGCAGCTGAGCTGAGAGCTCCAGAGCAACATCTTGGATCCATGGTTGTTGCAGCTGGTCAGGCGAGATAGCAAATGCGGCAACGTTGTCAACAGCACGAACCGCAGCGAGACGAGTTGTCTCATTCTTCAGTCGCTCCTGAATGATATTCAAAGCGAGTGTGCGCTTCTCAGGGGATAGGAGGCCGGATGCCTCCGTGCTGGATGTCCTGGAAATAAGAATGCCTAGAGCATGGATGGCACGTTGTCGAACCTCTGCATCGGCGTCGTTGGCAGAGCCACGGTCCACGATGACTTCGTAGAGCTTATCCAGGTCACCCTTGAACTTTGAACTACCGTTTCGCGATCGCGGAGGAGTAATCGCCTTGACGAGCTCTTCTGAGGTACGAATGGCCTCGCTTGAGATTTTGTAGAAGCGGTCATGAACGGCAGACGCCACTCCAGCAACAACCTTGCTAAGATATGGCTGCAGCACAGAGGACGAATGCGTCTTGGCGATATCGCTAATGAGCTTCAATGAGGCAACGCGCAAAGTGCTTGGGGTTGCTGATGCAGAGCCTCCCGCGGCTGCGAGAGAAGACGAGATTGAACTCGTACCTGTGGTCTTGATGGCATCGATGATGGGGCCGATGATTTCAGGGAAAAACTCGACAAGGCCGCCGTGCTGAACAGAGACCAGGTCATCCAGCATGCTGATCACAGCCTGCTTCGTCGGGACAGTCTTTCCCCTCAGTTGCTTCGTCGCGGCTTTGACAATCGTTGGCGTAAGTCGAGAGAGGTCCGCCCGTGGGCCCTGGGAGGGGATTTTCTCAGCAGCAAGTGATGTGATGCCGGCGCCTGCCATGAACTTGGCTGCGCTCGATCCTCCAGCGCTACTTTGTCTTCTTCTCTTGCGACTGAGCGGCATCTGAGAGACGATTTCAGGCTCATACTCATCACGGGTTAGATCCACTGTGTGAAGACCTTCACCAGTCTTGCGAATGAGGAGCGACAGGGCGGAGATGACCTCGAGACGAACGTTTTCTTCTCTCTCCTCGATACGCTTGACAAGATTAGGAGCCGCCTGGTTGTATAAAACACCATTGTCCAGAAGATCGCCACTGCCACGAGTGGAAATAAGGGTGTATATGGCCTTTGCAGCACAGCGACGGACCTTCCAGCTTGCATCGTCGTCGTCATCCTCGAATCCGTCGTCGTCTTCGAATTCATCGTCCTGGTCTTCCTCTTCCTCCTCATCGACATCCATCTCCTCGTCGTCATCTACGGCGTAATTGGGATCATACTTTAGATATCGCAAGCAAGCAGCGAGGGAGGCATCCGTAAAAGGCCTCATCTCCTGTGGACATGAAGCCAAGAATGCCTCAAGGGCGACTAGGGCCGTCTCGCGGATCTCGTTGAACTCTGGTCCCAAGTCATCGCCATCGCTGATCTTTTCCAGGTGTTCTTCGAGTTCTGCTTCGGACAGGGCCTCCAGAATAAAAGGCATCGTCTTTTGAAGATGTACGCCGAATCTGGGAGGGATTGACCGAGCCATGCTGCCCAATATGGAAATGTAGAGGCGGCGTGTGACGGGGGGGATGCTAGACTGGGCCAAGCCAGCAGTGATGCGGTTAATAACGTCTTCAAGGTGTGCATCGGACAAGTAGACGGCGAGCATGGAAATAGCGACGACGGCCCTCTTCTTTACCACAGATGTAGCCTTATCCCCCTGAAGTAATTGCAAGACGACCTCTTGCATTGCCTCGACTTCAACCTGCTGCAGCAAAGGGCCGAAACACCGGACAACTTCTACCAAGACATCCACTGCTTCAGCGTTGACACCATTCTCGTCCTGCAGCAGCCCTGTCGGGACCGCAGGGAGATTGATTCGGGTTACCTCTGGGACTCGTGTTAGGGGTCCAGGCCCAATAAGTCGCGGAATCAACACCCGGCTAACGGCATTGTATGCCTCTTGGACACCAGGAGTGCTCGGTATGCCGGGGATCGGTCGAGGAAGGGCGGTGATGACGGCTCGAAGCGCCAACGCAGGGACAGCCGTGTCAACAGAATTCTTAAGCTTCAGTGACGACAGCTTGTCAATCATCGGGGCAATGATGGGGGTGGGGACTTTGCCAACAAGAGGCCCAAGGCTACAAGTTGATGGAGCGTTAGCCACTTCACGGTTCCATTTGACAGGCGTGGGTCACAAGGTTCAAACAGACCACTTGATGGCTAGGTTCTGCACCTCTCCGTTCTGGTCGTCCAGCGTCTTGATTATACCATCGACGGTTCTTGCGGCGATGTTATAGTCGTGCTGTAGGAAGTCATCTCGTGCAGTCGTGAGCAGCTGGAGCAAGTCGTTGAGGGACATGAAGCGAAAGTCGGGGTCAGCATCGCCTAGCTTCTGCACATGGCCTATGACGGCCTGTGGCGTGGCTTGGGGGTTGCCGGCGGTGGTGGCCATGGTGATGCTCCTCGTCTTCGTAGGCGGAGTGATGCCGGATCAGCGCATCTACCTGGAGCTCACAGGCGGTTGATGCTGGAGGCTCGGGGCTGAAGCAGCCTTTGACAGAGTTTGGAGGTTGGAGGTTTACAAATCAGAGATCAGAGGCAAGAGGTTGGAATCGAAGCCGTGATGCTCGAGTTGTTGGTGGGGTCGAGCTTCAGGCAGGCGGGGGCGCCCGTAGGTGACAAAGACGCCTGTAAAACGTCTAAAACGTCAGAGCGAGCGCCGCTCCCCACTAGAGCTGCCAGTTAGTGACACAGGTACATGGCAGAGTGGTATCAGGCGGCATCGGTACACAATTCACAGCGAGATGGCGGGCAATCGGGGGATTATCCAATTAACCAGCCCTGGTTTGATGCTGTTAAGCTTGCAGTTCCTTTTATGCAGCATGCCGCCGTGATTGCTACCTGATTGCTACATGCTGTGCTATCAGATATGGGCAAAGCCGCGCAAGGCAAGCTGAAGGAAAGCTGAGTCATCAAGCTTAGACCAGGGAGTGCAGTTGTTCCTGTGAATAGGTACTAGGTAGGTAGGAGAAGCAATTGAGGACAAAAAAGGAAAGGAAAAGGAAGAAAGAGGACAAGTCCACATACACGTAACATTAAATACTGAATATGTCATTTGGATTTTTTTTTAACCAAACTGCGTGCAATGAACTTAATTTCTCCACTATATTGCACATGCTTCTCCCGCTTCTTCTGTGTCGTTCCAGGTTAACCCACATGAATTAACTCTACATGGCCATCCCCATGGGGTCAAATGACGATTTGCTTTTTTACACCACGGAAAGATCCGGGGTCTATTTGTCATCTCTATTAAGAAATGGGATGCAAATCACCCGAGTCAATCTTATGACCTCGCCGGTGGCTCGCGGAGGCGCTCGGAAACTATCACAACCCAGGCCAAGAGACATTAACTCCGATATTGGTCAGCAGAGATGCGTAAGGAGATATTCGACACGGAGTATCCTGTCCTATCTCAACCAATCCGAATCACTCCGGGGGCAGTATATCGAACCCGGCTCTTGCGGGGTCTGGAGAAGATGGAAAAAGAATCAAATCAAGTCCTCTGGGTGGGGCCGGCCGGCAAGTACCGTCTTGCCCCGGTGGCCTCGGGTATCTCGCTTACTTTGCAAGGATGTTGTTTGGCGGATGTTCAACATCATGGCAGATGTGCTTCTGTCTGGCGCTTGGGTCAATGGACAAGGCGGAGCCGTGGCTAATGTCTGAAGCCGAGGTAGGCGGGTGTCTCCTAACGTGGAAGAAGGCATCTATATAAGACCATAATGATGGACAGACGCTGTTCTTCAGTATCACAATCACCTCATAAGAAAGCAAACATCAATCAAGAGAATCATTCAACTCTAATTCTAAATATTCAGTCTTTGAAGAGACATTGAACGACTTCTACATTATCCTCCTTTACCACATCAGAAAAAAACCAAAATGTCACACTTAACAGAGTACCAGACCATTGACCCAAGCAATGGCAAGCTTATCAAGAGATTCTCTACTACAACCGACGACGAGATCTCTGCCGCCATTGACAAGGCTCACCGCACTTACACTACGGTCTGGCGGTCCACCCCGGTGCGTGAGCGAACAAACGTCCTCCGCAAAGTGGCCGATTTAGTCCGCCAGAACAAGGAGGAAATGGTTGATATTGGTGTTACGGAAATGGGCAAGATGATTGAAGGCATGGAGGGAGAGATTGAATTTATCGTCCAAATCCTCGAGTATTATGCCGACAATGCCGAGCAGTTTATGCAGCCTGTTCCTTGCCCAGGTGTCCCTGGTGCTGAGATTGTCTCAGAGTCTCTCGGTGTGGTGTTGGCCATAGAGCCCTGGAACCTTCCCTACTATCAGGTCATCCGTGTTGTAGCCCCCCAACTTGCTGCTGGCAATGCGGTTCTTGTCAAGCCAGCCAACTGCGTTGCAGAGTCTGCGTTGTTCTTGGAAAAGCTCTTTATCCAGGCCGGGGCCCCCGCTGGCGTGTTCCAGGTCATCCTCGCCACTATCCCTCAAATCAACACCATTATCGATGATTTTCGCATTAGAGGTGTGACTTTGACGGGCAGTGAAAGGGCCGGTAAGGCAGTTGCAGAACGAGCTGGTCGCAACTTGAAGAAGGTTGTTCTGGAGCTTGGTGGTTCGGACCCTTTTATTGTCCTTGAGGATGCCGACCTCGACGAGGCCGTTCAGATCGCATTCCAGGGCAGAATGGAGAACATGGGACAGATCTGCGTGGCTCTGAAGCGCCACATTGTCGTTGGCCGTGAAAGGGGCGAAAAGTTCAAGGAGGGTTTGGTCAAGCTCATCAGGGGTATGAAGGTTGGTGACCCCAGAGATAGGTCTACCACTATTGGACCTCTCTACGCTGAAGCCGGTGTAGTCAACATTATGCGCCAAATTGAAGAGGCCAAGGCTGCCGGTGCTACGGTTGTGGTTGGTGGAAAGAGGATTGACCGTCCTGGTGCTTATGTTGAGCCCACACTCATCACAAACATTTCTCGAGAGAATCCTCTCTTCTTGGAAGAGACGTTTGGACCAGTGGCCTCTTTATACGTTGTTGATACAGAAGAGGAAGCCATTGAGCTCGCCAATGCAACGCCATATGGCCTGGGAGGTGCTGTTGCCTCTTCCAGTGTTGAGCACGCCAAGAGAGTTGCTTCGCGGATTGAGACTGGCATGGTATTCATCAACTCTTCACTCAACTCCAGCCCTGCTATCCCATTCGGAGGAGTGAAGAACTCGGGCTATGGCAGGGAGTTGGCTGAACTTGGGTTTCAAGAGTTTGTCAATAAGAAGATGGTTCGTGTGCATGAGAAATACTTGTAAGTTCAGACGGAGGCACCAAATGTACATGTATGGATATTAGCTAGATTTGTGATGCTATACGAACCACGATAGACGACGGAAAGTAAATTGGCAATTACACTCTTTTTGGTTTTATATCTCATGTATATTATCAATTTATTCGCTTTGTTGCCAGATTTGGTATCGAGTATTTGGTTGTTTACTATGTGCTACATATCGGTATGCAACGATATTGATGGAAGCTCATCCTTCTATCGATTCAGCGTGCATTCCTATGGGCACTCACGCACACAGATGTGAATAATATCGGAAACTACTAATGCTCTCAACTACTTTGAGTAAATACAAATTATAGCCACTCATCTAATTAATGGTATTTTTTTTTGTCTTGGGTTATTTGACACCGTATTAAATGGGTGCCATCATGTCAAATTCAGGTTGTGTTTACTGAGGCTCTCACACATGGCCCCACAACAGCCAAAAGTCAAGGCCCATTCATGTACCTTGGACGGAGTACTTCTTCCAAAGCAACACAAATAGTCATACCTCTCACAATAACACCCGAAATATCATATTGTATTCCATTTTCTCACTCCGCACTCTGCAAGATGGTACGTACGGCCTATATTCACTTACCCCCGTTCCAAAGCAAAACCTCAACTGACGCGCACAATCTCCGCTATTAGAACAAAGACTCGTGCTTCACCTTTGTGCACATGCACCGTTCTGGTGACGCTGATCTCTTCGAGGACTTCTGCAAGGACAAGCTCCCCGATGACGAGATTTACGTCCCGCCTCAGCACCGTCCCATCAATCCAGAGGATGAGGACGACGTTGTCCCTGATCAGCACGCTGCCTTTGGAATCCAGCGCGCGACACAGCGTGTCAAGGAGCCCGCGTGGAAGGACCTGGGCCTGTCAGATCTGATGAGAAAGGGCCCTGGGCCAGAGAGCAAAGCTGCTGGGCCTAGCAAGGCGTCAAAGGCACTGCCGCGGTGAATGAATTTGGCTTGTGGGTTTCCAGGGAGACACGCGGGTTGCGAAGGACACTATGGAGGGCTGGGAACTGGCACGGCGTTACGGTGACTGGGCATTACTTCGACTATTGGTCATTAATTGAATTTCATCTCACATTCCTTCTACTTCATTGATACTAAACATCAAATTTGCCTACAGCCTGAAATAGCCTGAACCGGCGTATCCATCAAACAGACGATTGCTGACTTGTACCCTCAACTCCAATAACTCCGTCCCATGTAGCCTTCTTACAACTCCGTCTTCCCAGTCTTTGGATTGTATCAAATACCAAATCAAGTCTTTGCCAAGAAAGCCTCTCTCTCCACCACTTCGCTTCTGAACTTGACCAGGAACACAGTCTTTCCGGGCCACATCTCGCCCTCTCCAACCGTATGTGCTGTTACCCTGGCAGGGAAATCTGCACCATCGCACACCCCCTCCACAACGCCCGCTACAAAGGCTGCACAGTTCAGCTGGCTCATCTCGCGCGGCACGCTAATATACTGGTTGACCAGCGGCTCATTATCGATGATCATGTATTCGTCGGGCTTCTCCGCGTCCGTTGATTTTTCCAACCTGTCTGCTTGCCGGCCGAAAAGATGCTGCCATACGTTCTGCTTAATGAAGTGGAGGAGAGCAACGATGTTTTGCGGTCGCAGCTGCGTGCGCACGGGTTCGCGGTAGAGGAGGAGGTCAAGAAGCTTGATGCCAATGGAGTGGCCCTGCACGTTGAGTCTGGAGCGTTGAATATCGTTTGTCAGTCCTAGTCACCGAGCCTTGGAGGATTTTGGATCCGGAGAAGGAGAACCAGAGAACTGGAGGGGAAAGAACCGGGCAGACAACCGTACCTGTGTTCAAGCTCTTGGATCCCCTTGACGCGCTTCTGCGCATATGCCACCATCTCGGAGAAGAGAAAGGCGAAGCTCGCCTGGCTGAGCTCCGACGTCTTGGTGCGATTGATGGGGCGGTGGTAGATGGTCTTGCCATTGCTGGGCACGCGCAGGCCCGACTCCTTGCCTGAGGAGGCGCCTGAAGGTAGTGACGACATGGCGATTACCGGACGGGATAGCGGCGCATTGCCGTCTTTGCGAGAATAAGGCGCTTGGGGGGAGAGGACAGGATGCGGCAGCGATGTTGGCGGAGGCTAGATTGGCGATATGGAGGGATCCAAGCCAAGTTCCAATCCAGGGAGCTCCAGACGTGGGGTTGGCTGACTGTGAGAAAGTACGTACTTGTGCGGACGTGCCTGCCCACCAAGCGCCTTCTCTGACTCCCTTGACAGCAAGGCCATGATAAAGCGGCTTCTTCTTTACAACTACACTTGATTTGACTTGATTCATGCAAATTCTCAGCAATGATGAATTATTATCGCGGTCAAGACTATGAAAACGATCGAAAGCGGCCTATGCAAGTAACATGGAGGCGATCGACTCTCAACACAGAACCCACCACAGCAACCGAAATACCTGTGACTTGAAATGAAACACTGCAATATGATATGACATGAGTTTTTCCCCATGAACCGCGAAACCCACAGTTGTTGCACCCCCTCCTTACTTAAAGATGGCATCTTATCGCTCAGTCCAGCTCAGTCCAGCTCACTGCATAGTCGAGACTTTAGAATTCGCCTCCTTCTGTCGCATCGTCGCTTCTACCCATTCTGAGATTTCTTCCAACGCTCGGCGCGGAGACTTTTTGCGCTTGAGCAAGAACCCCTGGATCTCCGCGGGAGAGAAAACACCCTCTGGGATCCGGCGTCCAAACTCTTCCGAAATCTCCTTCATCTCGTCGGCTGTGATTTCTTCTAGCTCTTCGGCATCGTGCTTCGCCGCCGGCTGTTCGTTCGACTTATCTGGCAGCTCCCCCACCACTGTCGTCTTGGTTGTCTCATTTTGGCGAGATACCTCATACATCCGATGGAATAGTTCTCCAGCTTGAATGCTACTAGCATTGCTGAATCTCACTTGGACGTCTACTCTGCCAGGACGAATCAACGCTTCATCCAGGGCCTCGGGCTTGTTGGTCGTCATGATCAGGACGCGGCCTTCGTGAGATGCAACGCCATCAATGGCGTTGAGGAGACCAGACAGAGATATGCCGTCCACAGCTACGGGGTTCTTCTTGGCGGCATCCTTCTTTCTAAGCCCCCTCTTTTTCGGTTTAATTTCAACCTCGCTCTCCGACTCGCTGTCACTGGTGTCAGATGTGGTATTATGCTTCTTCTTCTTCTTCTTCTCCTTCTTCTCCTTCTTGCCCTTGTCTTCGCTATTCTCTGTCTTATCGTCACTCTCAGAGCTAAGATCTCGTCGTAGCCCTGCAGTGTCAATGTCCTCCAGAAGAACAATGCACCTTCGTGGCAGTTTAGTAAACAATGTCGCAAGATCTTCTTCGTTTACACCGGCGTCTTGCAGGCTAATAACATAAATGTCGATGCCAAACACGCCCGCTAGCGCGAAAGAGAAACTCGTCTTTCCGGTACCTGGTGGCCCATGGAAAAGATACCCACGCCTCAATGGAATGCCGCGAGACGCATACCACCGCGGCGTCCAGGGGTGCAAATACTCGTTCACGTCGGCCAGAATATCATGCTTTTCGCTCGAGTCGAGCACAACCGTCGACATGGCCCTTACGGGGCGTCGTGCTACTTGCTGCCACATGTTATGATCCCTTCTCTGTTCCTTGACTCTGGGACGATAGATGGTTGTCTTTTGACGAGTGTCGTTGTAGTAAAGAGCCTTGGCATCCGAAAGTAACTCCTTGATTGGATCTGCGCGAGAGTCAATAGGCCCGAAATTGGCGAATCAAGAAAGAACAAGGTATAATCTCTCACCTATAGAACGACCAAAACAAGAAACCTTGATCTCTTCCAAGTCTTTCATGGGGCCTCCCCAAGAATGAGTGTTGATGAACGACTCTTTTTTTCGGTGAACCCGAAAGTAGGTCCCCTTATGCCAAAATGCTGTCGAACCCATAGCGGGAACAAACCTGGGGCTCTATTTGCGAGATTCACGCATTTTCAATCAGCTTACATCGTTGCCAAGATATAGCAGAGGGAGAAATCGAACACATACCGATCTGGCTGCTTGGTTGGCGAAATTCAGGTACATCCTATTGCCACCGTTAACTTCGCCACCATCCGTCCAGAACAAGGCGTCTTCCAGCTCTTCTTCCTCTTCCCACGCAGTCTTCCAGACAGTCTGAGCCATGAGGTATTGGTTATTTCTGATGCTGGGATGGTGAGACAACCATTTCATCAGATGCATGTATATGTGGTCATCTTCAGAAATGTACATGGCGCACATGAGATAATCGTCAACAAATCGCTGGGAGTAATCGTAAATCTGCGACCCGATCTTTAACGCGCCCCATATGAATCCCAAAATGGCCAGCACCATTGACGGGTCCAGACCAAATTGCGTGCCTAGGAGCTTATAAAAGAAGACGACAAGTTGCGCAAGGGGTGATACATGGCCAGTGGTTGTGAGAATGGTGTCCATCATGCCGCCGGCAGAGAATGGGACGTTTGGGCTATTGCTCTCACCCGCATCATTCTCTGCTCTGATGGTAGTGGGGAACGATGATGCATTAAACGCCGATATATTGGCGGTAGGAGTGCTAAAGATGGGAGGAAGACCCATCCTACTAAAGGAATTGACGAGGGAATGAAGCGTCATGGTCAGTGAGGGACTGTGTGAAAAAGAGATCGATGTTTAACGGACAGCACGACGCTGACTATTTAACCAGGTGCCGCGCCTACAAAGTGAAGGAGGCCACACTAGATGAAAAGAAAGAAAGCAGGTCCGCAGCGGCAAATTTCTTTCGGATTCACCAAGCCCCAACACGCGCAGATACGGGAAGAGGAGTCATAAAATCTTCCGTGATGAAATGCTCGTGGTAGCTGAGGGCAAAGGCAGCAGGGGAGCTATTTAACATGTCACAGCTACACTAAGACTCGGGTCAGCCAACTTCAAAGAGAGATACATGGCGTCAGCTAAGGCTCAAGACAGTTAACAAAGCGCGGCCCAAACGAGACCGTGTGGCTCTTGGGACGCAAGGTAATGTAATACTATGTGATGGCACCGATGAGCGTCGTGGTTGGGACCAACGCGGCGGTTCTGTTTTTGGGTATCCATGAATGCCTGACATTAGGTTTCTTTTCTTTGTTTCTTCATTTCCCGTTTGACTTTCTTTAGGCTCTGAGAGAAGATTGGAAGGAAAGATTAATCGACATGAGTTCGCAGCGCTTTGTCAACGTCAAACATTCTGCCTGCTGGTGGCGAACAGAGTCGAAGCGATCTCAGAGCGACTGCTGAGATGGGTACCAGACCCCGGCTTGGAAAGGCATAATATCGAAAGCCAGGCCTCCCAAGATATGAATTAGCCCTACGGACCTTCAAATATGCGACATGCCGCATTTAGGTTACGTCCGAGTGAGGTGAGTGCATAGCCGCCTCACAGGCGCGAGACGCCACTGACTACGAGATTGCTAGTCCCGCGCGCGTCGTCATCTGTCCGCCTCCCTCTCTTTAGTCGAATCCTGCCTGAACCAAGAGTTGAAATGCTAGCAGAGACCAAATCTTCAGCGCGCATCCTTTTGCTCAAACCAACAACGGGTTATGGCCCAAGTCGGTTAGGGGAGGGGCTAGGGGGATTTACGGTCTGAAAACTGCGATCCATACCGAAGCCACCGTTGGGCGTCGTTGCTTCAGTCTGTGTCAGCGCTACTTGGAAGATTACAATTGTATGCGGCCTTCAATCAGAGATTATGTCTTTGCAGGGACTTTTTGGTACGAGTCTCATGCTCGCTTGCTCACATAAAATAAGCGGCAGCCTGTGATTGACTGATTGTCTGCTTCGGTATCGCCCAACGCGGCACGAGACTCGCTGCGGCCCGTGCAACAATACCCATCAGGTTGAGATTGCGAAAAGCTGCCCTCTTTGTACGACGACTGATGTGTATCACTATCGGGTCAGGTCGTAACGCCGCGCGTGTGCGATGCGGCATCTCTTGATTTGAGGCTTTGGCAACACATGGTTTAGCAGTGAGCTGGCCCAACATCCAAGCGCATACAACATACATATTTGACTGTGCCTTAAGCCATGCGGCGGCTCAGGTGCGGATCCCCGCCAAGCAAGTACGAGTATGGAACCGGATGTGCAATACTGGCATCTGGCTGTTGGGTCTCTGGCTACTATTTATGTGCTTTGCCCAGCGGACTGTCCACGTATCCAACAAGACGTATCTCACTCGGGTATGAGTAATAGTCAGACGTCAGAGATCCGGGAGGTTGGTTCGGCGAATCAACTTACATCGGGCCGGAGCTGGCTTGAACATCCTACTTGACAAATGACAAAAGACCCGGTACCAATGACATCTCGCACGCATCATATCCTGCCTGACCGGCCCTATCTAGACTCTGGATGCGGAGCACTAGTGCCAGGCGTTAGCATGCACGCATGTAAGTCAATATGCAGTGTCCAAATTCTCATCTTCTGAGCTGGGCATAGCTCTGCTTGTTGGCCCTAACTCATCCGGCCAGGCCCCCCGGACTGCCTTGGCTAATGAACGAATCATGCCCAATTGCTTGTGCGAGTGTGTGTAGATGCCCTGTAACACGGGATATGGCCTCATTGCTGTATCCATCTATTATGCAGTCATGTGTGTAATGCTGCTGCTGCTAATGTATGCTAATCCTTGGAGCTACAGTATGTAGCTGCCAACAACAGTCTTTGTCTTTCCAACAGACGGTGACGGAGAAAAAATAGTAATAAAAGTAATAAAAAATAACAATGCAGCAGGTCATGGCCAACCGATATCTCCTCGTCTAACCCAATTAATCTATGTCTTCCCAACCAATGCTCGCCGCTGGTCTCACCGAAAATGAGAAAAAAGGTCTCTCTTGTTCGCTTATGCCTGAGCCTCTACCGTCTCCTCCTCAAGACTGGCCCCTGCTAGCTTCTCCGTCAAGACGCTGGTCTCTGCCTCTACGTCTTGCTTCTTCTCCGAGACTTCCTTGTCGTTGGCTGCGTACTTGAACCCCGTGACGCTCAAGTCTGTGCCGCCAGTGAGATACTCCTCTGATTCGCCAACGGCCTTGCCGGCAGCCGCCCATCGCGCCAGCTTCTGCTCTCGCTTCTGCTTGCAGAGGTCGTTGAGGGCCGGCCAGTACGTCTCGTGATCATACTCAAAGTCCAGGTCGCCGTTCCAATCAGAGCTCCACAGCTGCTCCGCCGGGACGTACTGCTTCATGTCCTCGTTGAACTTTAGCTTTTCCCGCGTCACGGGGTCAATGAAGGGGGTGATGATTTTGAAGAATCCCTGGACAAGCCAAGGCACTGTCGAGCAACACGCCGTGTTAGTTGAAAAATCTCTTTGTCATTTCTCGTATTCCAAGTTGAAGCCAAGGTATCATAAAGCTCGGCTAAAAAAAATTGGGACGAGGGTACACAAAAAACTTACCATTGATGATGAGCGCCTTGCCCAGCCTCTCGGGGTAGTGGTTCTGCAGGATGTGCAACACCTCTCTGGCCGTCGACACGGGGACACTGGTGTTCTGCCTCTGCTTGCTAGGCTTGAAGTTGATCATCAGGCTCAGCATCTCGACGTTGGGGGGCATCATGTCGACGACCCTCTCCACCATGTAGAACAGGTGGTGGATCTGCCTCGGGCTGCTGTCCGTGTTCTGTCGGCCCGGGTTCAGGTACTGGCAGGGCCTTCCCTGGCGATCGAAGCCCAGGATGATCTGCTTGCCCGTCTCCTGCTCAGGTGAGATGTGCTCGGGCGTGAAGTCGTCAATGCCATACTCTCGCCGCCACGCCATCGTCGACAGCAGCCGCTTGGCCGCGTCGTCGACGGTCCATTTGGTTGCGCGCAGATAACGCAGTAGGCACTCCCGCGTCAGCCAGGCGAGCTCGCGGTCCGTCAGAGGGCCCGACTTGTCCTTCTCCTTGTCGCACTTGATCTCTGTGAACGCCTTGGCCTTTTCCAGCAGCGCCTCGTACTTGGTCTGCTGCTCCGCCGTGAGCTCCGGGCGAGGCGCCGGCTTGCTGTCTGGCGTGGGCGCCGCGATGGGCGTCTTCAAGGGCGCGTCTGAGGTGACTGCGGCCATTGCTTTGTGTGACGGATGAGTTTGATCTGGATGCTGTGTGTTGTGTTGCAAAGAAAAGTCGCTGCGCACAGCCACGGTCGGTTGAAGAAGTAAGTGAGATGAAGGCTGATGAGTGAATGCTTATCGCCAATCACAGACAGATATAAGCGTCTCACGCCCCCTTTTTTTGCGCGACCTGGTCAACAAGAAGGATCTCACCTCCTTCAAAGATAACACACAGATAAAAAGAAGAAGAAAGAAGATTCTTATATCTCTTCTCTTCTCTCTTCACCAATTAAAGGAATTGACAAGATAAGATCAAAAAAACAATTGAAAAGGGGAATCCCCCCCAAGGAATTATTTATCGCGGATGCTAGCTGATGTGCTAAAAACTCTTGGCCCCGGATCCCCGAACCGCCCCGGCTATTAATTTCCACTGAAAATGAGATTGCCGTCCGTCCACGTTTTCTTTAACTTTTTTTTTTTCCTTTTTCTGCCTTTCTTCTCTTCCCCCTGCGTCTTCCGAAGCGCTCGGCGTGGACCACTTCCGGGCCACGCCACTCACGCCTTTTTGTTTCGGCTCTTTCTTTCCCCCCTTCTTTTTCGTATTCGTTTCTGGGGTTTGCTGACTGTACACTCGAATTTATCGTCTTCACTTCATATTCATAAGAAAGAAGTAACACGGCATTTATCGTGACGGCGTTTTACTGCATCTGCTGCTATAATATTTTCTGCTCCATCTCGCCATTGAATGTATCTAAGATGCCAAAAACCTCGGACTTTTAATTATGTAATGTCGTATTGCATACCCTCGCACAGCCTTTTGTACAATGTGATGAATCGGAAATTTCGTCTTACTCATCTTACATTCACAACTCTAAACCTTACCCTCGTCCTTGCTGCCGCTGTGTTACCCGATATTCCATAGTCTTTTCTGGTACTCGTATCTGTGTGATGTCACTTATTCCTTGACACAACGATAAAAGACGGGAAAAAAGATCCGATGTAGTACAAATACCACTTCCGAAGGTTAAGCAACTATACCTCCCATATAGCACGACATACTACCAACAAAAAGAGTCATATCAAGAAAACACATGGTCTGCTCTTATTTATTATATATGAAACCAAAACGAACAAAAGCCTCGTCTACCTCTACACCGTGCCCTCAAACTTTGGAAACCCAGCTAGATCCGCTCAATCCGCCCATATTGTCTGTCCTTCCGGAACGCTCCAGTCGCTAGAAATTATGCAGACTTTCTATAAAAATTTCATAACCTTCATCGAATCTCGCTTTTTTTTGCGCCTTTGAACCAAAAAAAACTTGGGCCCCTTTCTCTCTCGCATTCCCTTTCCCTTTGTATCATTTCAAGCGCCTCGTCTTGGGTCTGCCAAATGCCAACTCTCTTTTATACCACTAAAACCCGCCCAGCGCCGCCGTATGTGCTTCCCTCCGACATACGATGCATTACATAGATAAAAGGGGAATCCAAATTAATACCCTGCCCTGCTTCTGCTAGGGCTCCTGTGTGGTTTTCGTGACGCTCTTTCTAGTATTAGCTTCTGGCTCGTCGCCTTGTCGAAGCCACAGACGTGTGTTAGATAATACAGCCTAATCCATCCCAAGTCAGTAATGCTGAACGTTTTTTTAAGGAGATTGTGTTGATGACCACTTACTTATCTTCTGCCAACTCTTTCTGCCGTACGTCTTCAAATCCCTGCTGGCATTGCATCCACGCAGCCGCCCGCTCCTTTGGTCTAATCTTCTTTACCCAAAGTCGGAAATCTCCCGTAACCGGCCGGTGATCGCTCACCCTCACTTCATGTCGTCTATAGTCTAGTTGCTGTACTCTGCCGCGTCCTCGGAATAAAAGACGGTCACACCACGCGGGGCTTCTTCGCTTCTCGCTGGTATCATACGTGTCTGTTCCTACATCGTACTTGTATGTTGGTGCAAACGTGATTGGGAGTTCTTCGAATGCTCGTAGTCGTAGAGCTGGATTGCGGCGGCGCGCAACGAGGAGCTGGTCACGCTCAAGGAGTTTGGCCAGATTGTTCTGCTCTACGGCCTTGACCACTGTATCTCGGGACATTGTATCAATGCGGTAGTTGAGGTCACCGTTGAGAATGCAAAGCTCGTGGTCAAGAATCATGGAGCCATCTCCACCACCACTGAAGGTGTCGATCCGGATCTCATTGTCTCTTTCCACTGGGAATAGGCTGGCTTCGAGTATTGCCGCCGCATCATTGTGGCGTGAGCTGGCCTGTGTCTGACCAGCTGCCAAGTGACAGTTGATAAAACATAGAGATGTGTCGTCCACCTGGAAACGAACCGCAACTGCGCCCTTGTTACCATGCAGACCTCCCATGCCTCGCTTTACTTCAGCACCGCTTAGATGCGTGATCCTGTCCCTCAACGATGACTTGACAAAGATGCAGGTAAACAGCCCCACCATAGGCGCAGTGTGGAGAAGATGATATAGATCATCTGCCGGCATATAATCGTCCAAGGTTTTGAGCAAAAAGTCGCGCCAGTCTCGGTACTGATGGCTCATTCGCTCCTGGTCCGTGCCTTCCTTCTTCTTTGACTTGAGAAGCCGCTTTGCAGTCGCTTTCTTGTCCTCCAAGTCTACAAGCTCTTGGAACCCAAATACTAGGATGTCAGGAGAGCCGCTCGATTGCAAAAGGTCCTGGAAGAAAGTGGCGTCGCCATCCGAATACCGGAGGCTATGAGGAGTGGAGGCTCCGGCATTCCATGTAAATATCAGCGTTTTTATCTCGTCGAAATCGCAGTATGTCGTGTCCTTGGACTTCATCTCGTCTTCAAGCCAGTCATCTTGTAACATGCCGTCCCACACTTTGATCCGACTATCTGCGCCTAGAGAGACGACTTGCAACTGATCTAACTGGTATGAGCTGGCGAAATCCACCTTCATCTTCAAGATTGTGGTGTCATGGGCCTGCCATTCCTTCAATACGACCCATGGTGTCTGAGCAATGTCGTAGACACACACCTTTCCAGTGTTGTATCCCGCCCACATGTACTGGCCAACTCCTGCTAGCGTATTGATTTTCCACGTGCTGATGTTGACGATTGTTTTGCAAGAATAGTCGGATGTAGAAAAGATGCTGATTTTCCCATCGACGTGTCCCAGGAAGACCTTGCCGGGGCAGCTCTTCATCAGAGTTCCGCAAGTAATATCTCCAGCGCCCTCTACCGTGATTGGCCTTGCCAGGACCTGGAATGCAGTGCGGTTATCTCGAGTGGGAGCAAACACCCGCAGCTGCTTTCCAGTCGCTTGCCAGAGCTCATCCCCAACCACCATCGAGAAGGTTTCGCCCTTGGGCACCTTGAAAGTTTGGTGTGGGTGGTTGTTCAAATTTGGTTCGCCATCGCTGTCAGGGCCCCAGACGTGAAGGTTGCCACCTTCGTCAACAGTCCACATCTCATTCAGGTGTCGATATATCCTGGTGACTTCTGACTTCCCATGAATGCCAGCTTTGCAAATCAGTATACGTTGAGTCGGAACCTCAACCTCCATAATCTCTCCCAGATTAGTGCCAATCCACACCTTGGAGCCTTCTTGGTCAGGGTCTGCACTGGGCTTAAACGATACGGCAGTGGCCTTGACGCCCTCCGTGTGCGCCAGACTGACAATCTGTTCTCCATCTAGCAGACTCCAGACACGAGTCAAGGGGCCGGTAGTGCAGACATACTGGCCACAGACGTCGAAGATACGAGGATCATACTTTGGCTGAATCTCGTAACAGCCCTTCTTGATGAATGGAGGTCGGCGGTTGGTACTCGAGCTGTCGGGGTACGCCGCGATTTGAGCTGGAGGGTCAGATTTTGGTACAATTCCCCCCTCATTTGCAGCAGGTGTCGGAACGTGCTTTACTATGGCGGCTGCAGCGGGCGCCGGGGAGGCACGAGCATCCAAAGCAGGATGATCTGCCGCCCCTAATTCCATCATTGTCATAGACCGTCCATGCGCCTTTAATGATAGTTGTTGTGGTTGTTGGGGTTGCTGCGGTTGTTGCGGTTGTTGGGCAAGTGGATTGGAAACGACTCGATTCGCATTGGAGGCCGGAGGTTGTGGCTGGGGAACAGGAGCGGCAGCGACGTGCGCATTGTTTGATCCAGATGGCCGCGGGGGTTTAGGAGGTGGCTTCATTCCATTATTCACTACTGCTTGTGGAGGAATATCCGTGGTTTGGGGTCGTGCTGGCAAGGCAGGGCGAGCGGTGCCCGTCTGCTGGGGAGTGATGGGAGCCCTGACAAGGCCATTGAGCTCTCCTTCACGGGCCGGCTTCCGTACAGATAGAGAAGGGCGGAGCATTGACTGGGTAGGCTGGGCAGGCTGCTCAAACGCTCCTGCAATCTGTCTTGTCCTACTCGGCGCATCATTCTGCTGCACCGGCTTTGGTCGCGCGGGCAACTCTGGAGGGTTTTCTTCCACCTTTTCTGGGATCCTCGGTTCGCCAAACGGGGAGGATTCCTGGGAACGACTAGGCCTTTTCGTAGCCGGTCTCCCTCTCGTCTCAACACCCGTAGCTGATCTCATCAGCGTCCTCTCTGATCGTGAGGCAGGCGGCGGTGGCGGCGCAGGTTTCCATTCCTTCTCTCGCTTTAGCTCGGCGGATCGCCTAGGAGGTGGCGGTGATGGAGCTTTCGAAATCCCCTGCTTTGGCGATCGGGGCGTTGCGGTACCACTGATACCACCACTGCCGGTAGGAGTGAGTGGTCGGCTTGGTATTCTCAACGGCGTGGGGGATCGACTCGACGTGGCAGAGGATATGGTAACCGGATCTAGGAACGGCGATTGTTCCCCAGGAGCAATACTCAGCGCGCCTCCTTTGGGTGGTGACTGGGGAGGTTGAACTGTAACTGCAGGCGGATGAATGGGCAACACTTGCGGTTTCGTCGCAACAGGCGGTGGCCGTGTAGAGAGGGGAGGCGGTGGAATCGGTGCCCCTCTATCTCGGTTTGCAGGGGAGGGCGTTGGAAAGGCTCGGTCCTTCAGATTCGATGGTTTGGCGGGAGTGATTGGAGAAATGGGAGCAGACGTCGCCTCCTGAGAAGTCTTAAGGTTTCTCAATCGATCCGGCTTTGGCCCTGGCGAGACGTTCCGCGACTGAGGAGGAGCGGGAGCGGGAGAAGGCTGCGGCTGGGTCTGCGCCGGGGCGGCTTTGTTCATATTCTCAAACCGAGCAAGGAGGGAGGAGACGGGCCTCTGGTAGGAAGAACAAAATGTTAGTACCCTGGTTTATACTTGCTATTAAGACAACTCACGATGGAAGTGCCATCAGGCCCGCTGCCTTCTGTCTGGTCTATACTGGGGGAAGACATGATTTCTGGTCGGTGGGGTCCTGGGCAAGACTACCCATTACACCCACGGCTTGGTCTCCTAGTAGATCATACGCGCACCAAGAGATGGAGCAAGTGTCTCGTAGAGCACACGTGCAGACGGTCCAGAATATAGAAGAAGTAGTAAAACGTGTAGGGTCCTCGTATGATAGGTGGAAGTCGGTGCTGTCTAGGGGGGAGGATTATCGAGGGGTCGAGGGGATCGCGGTGACGAGCCGGAATTCGAGTGTTGAGATGGTATCGAGCGCAGGCGGCTTTAGAGCATTCTGGTACAGCCGGATAGTTTGCGAAACAGCTGAAGCGTCGACCCTTCACTTCAAAGCGAACGAAAAGAGAAAAGGGGGGGCTCTCCTGCAGCTCTCGTGATAGAAAGTTTCCAAGTTTGTCGAGGTGCTTGCGTGTCTTTAGATGGTGCGGATGATCTATGTCATATCCAGAAAAAGGCTGGGACCATTAATTAGCACTGTAAATTAGATCTCGGTAAGGATGCCCCTGCACAGTGTGAGCCATAGGCGGCCTAGTGATCCACCACGGGCGTTTGAGCACTAAAATTATCACTGGACGCCAGTGGCAGTCAGTGGCAGTCAGTGGCAGCCAGTGCGCAGCGGTTCTTGGCCAATTGCGTGTACCGGTGCATCGCCGCCTGCTAAGCTTTTGATCCGACGACTTGGCTTTCTCCTAGCATCAACTCGGAACTTCCATCCTGCCGGCTCCACCGCTGCGATATTTGACAAGCTCCTGAAACCACCGCAATACTGACATCTGAACCGCCACGATGAACACTGTAGGTGCCTTTCGGTTTGGCTCTGGCTCTGGAACAAGGCAGCCTTTTGCTTACTGTCGTTATCCAGGTTAAATCCTTCTGGTACTAGCCCGGCCATCCCACATGTCACTGCTCACCAACACAGCCTTTTGCTAACCAGACGTGCTTTGTTCTTCTTGCCAGGCTTGGATGGGGCTCCCTTTGCGTTGGTAGGCAGATACGATGTTCTCCTTTTGCTGACTCCCTCAGCTGATGTGTCATGGGCAGCCGGTGGCGGTGCATACTATTTCGCCAAACAGCAAATCCGGGCTGATCGCCAAGCCAAGCTCGAAGCGCACCGCCAGAAGATAGCAGCCAACAAGGCCTTCGAATATGAAGCGACCGCAGCCTCTGCCGGCGCCGGAACGAACAACGGTGGCCCTGCAAGGACTGACAATGCTGGTTCGCCGAGCCAGGAAGCCAGCAACGATCCCGCGCCAACAAGGCATGCGCCAGCGACAGAGTCTGAGCGAGTAACCGAGAAAAGCAAATACGAGAGCGATACGCCGTATCGCACCCGTAAAGGGGACAGATTCAGTTAAAGAGACAAAGAAAAGGAAGGGAAAAAAGAGGAGCTCCTTTTATTGGTCTTTATGCTGGGCATCCATCCATGCTGGCCTTGTATACTATCTTGGTGTAAAAATAATGCCCTTAGCAGGGTTGTATATAGCCTTCGCGCCGCGCACTGACGCAAATCCATTCTTGAAGCCCGGCTGAATAAAATGAAGAATGTTGGCAATTGGAAAGAGAGTTACAGTGCAATTAACATGTGACGGGACGGGCTGTGCAGCAAGCATCTAGAACATTTCATCTCTATTCCGCCCGAGGGAGATTTTTCTCTGCTGATGCGTTTTCTTCCGCTCTTTGCCGGTGACAAGCCCTGGCTCTACAAACTAGATGATCTTGCTATCCAAAGGCAATAATGCTATTATACCATTTCAATTATCCCAGTGAAGTTGTGTGAAACTGTTCCTTGCAGTTTTGTATTCCACCCAGCTCATGTCTACTGTAGCTGTCGTGAGCTTCGGAACAAAGCTCTCCAGAGCTACAAGGTACCTCCGTGGTTTTCCCGGCATTTGCGACAAACTCCCAGCCTCGAGCAACTTCAACTTCAAGCTCCTTCGTTAACCCTCTTTATATCTGAGCTCTGGGACATCAACGGCTTCCTGCACCCTCTCCAGGGCCGCCTTTCCGCCCGCCATGGCTTCTCCAGAGCTGGCCATCACGAAGGCGACGCTGTCAGCGACTCTCTTTCGCGCCGATCCCGTCTCGCTGAACCGCGCCGCGGTCGACGACTTCTTCTCGCTGCTAGACAACGCCATCATCCAGTGCTCCCGCCAGAACGTTCAGGTTTGACACATTGCTCGCAAGCATTTTGTCTTGTCCGCGCTCAAATTGCTAAACTCCCCTGGGTAGAAATGTAAGGCTTGGATAGTCGAGAACATTGTGCCTTCCACCGCGCGCTGCACAGCCTTGGGCAAGTTCTGGGCCGTCTTGTCCAAGAATCTGGCCATGGAGAATGACGGGAAGCGCCCAAGCACAAAGAGGCGGCGGCTGCATCTCCTCTACATTGCCAATGATGTTCTTTTCCACGAAGTTGTGCGCCAGAGCAACCGAAAGCTTGGAGAAGCGTGGGCGGGAATCCTGCCCGCCATGATTGGGAATGCGGCGGCTTTCGATAACTGTCCCAAGCACAAGACTAAGCTGGGTGGGCTGATCAATCTCTGGGAGAAAAAGGCGTATTTCTCGCCCGAGCTGGTTGCTCAGCTCCGCACGGCCTTGTCCAATGGCTCGGCCGAGATTACTGCTGTAAACCTCGAGCTCTCGGAGAGCTCACTAAAGCTCGCAAAGGATGCCCCATACATTCTTCCCTCCTTCCACGGAGACGCCTCGGTTCCATGGTATGACCTGCCTGCTGGAACTTGGTTACCTCACATCACCCCGAACTCTTCTAGGCCTATGATCCCTGACCAGGTCCGCCCTATTCAGCTGGCAGCGGGGCCTGCTGAGAAGCGAGTCGTGGATGCTGTCAAGATGTTGTTGAAAGATGCAGACTACATCTACTCCAAGGATAGCGAGCCGAGTGACGACCTACATACGGGATACAGTGAAATGGGCGAGCGTATCATCCTGGATGAGATTACAGGCGAGGTTATCGGAGGGGAGAGCTACTACGGCTGGTCTCGCCAATTCTGCGAACGAATGAAAGAGAGACTGAAGAAGTCAAAGAAGGCTTCCGGAGAGCGCTCACGATCTGCATCGAAATTACGGCCAAGGTCAAGATCAAGAAGCCGTTCTCAGGACCGATCCCGAAGCTCATCTCCGCCTTCGTTCAAACGTCCCCGGCTTTCGTCGCGTTCCAGAAGTCGCAGTCGACAGCGGGATCGGTCGTATAGCCATAGCCGCAGTCGCAGTCGTAGCTACAGCCGGAGCCGCAGCCCTAGCCGCCCTCGCGGTCGGGGCCGTGATCATGATCGCGACCATGACAGCCGAAGTCGAAGCCCAAGTGGGAGATACGGCAGCAACGAACGACCTAATTCGAGGTTTCGTTCGTATGATGATCGGTCTCCTCAACCTCCTCAACCTACCTCTGTACCACCTATGCCATTTCCACCTCCTCCTCCACCTCCTAACTCTACAGGATTCCCATTCCCAATTCCCCCTCCCCCTCCCCCTCTTCCCCTGGGAGCATTTCCCCAGGGGTGGACTCCTGGTATGGTACCTCCTCCACCGTTTGGCGCCCCCCAAGACGGCTGGGTGCCTCCTCCTCCCAATGTGGTGGCTCACCTCATGAACATGAACCAGTTCCCCGCAGGATCTGTACCCCAGCCGCCGCAGCCACCTCAACCGCCTCAGCATAATAACCAATATGGACGCGGCAACGGCGGATATAGGGGCCGTGGAAGAGGCGGGTACGGCCGCGGTGGCTACCGCGGGCAGTATTAACTGCTCATTCTATTCTGAAGATACCATTTTATAATGCAGGGCGTTTTTGGTCATTGTGATGACATGAGGGCTTGTCTGGAGTTGTGTAACGATTTTCTTCCCTAGACTCGGATTATGTGACGAACTTGGCTCGTAGGCTTCACGAGTAGTGTACTGCTAGATATTTACCCTTTCAATTGAATCCTGTAATAGAAGCTGAGATGATGATACTATGTACCCAGGTAGTTGGTGACGTCTACATTCAAGGTGGCAAACGAGAACATCGTGTCGCCCTCACACCAACAGTCCGTGGAAAATAAAAAATTCAAGTAGAATAGAAAAGAACAAAGCAAATAGTCTATCCGAGTCAAGTACACACAAAAGCACACACAATTCCCCCACAGCTACCAACCCAAAACCCAACTCGCGTCCATCATCCATCACCTCCTTCAACGAGAGAGAGCGAGAAGAAGAAGAAGGAAAACAAAAGAAAAAGCAACGCTCTCCCGTCTTTTTCCTCCCTCCTGAACATGGGGGAAAAGAAAAAAGGGAGCCGCTATTCTACCAACACAAAATGCCCTTGGTCTCCCTCCCAGCTCCAACAATGCCTGGCAATCTATAGCCTAAACACTTTTTTTTTTCTCCTCTCTCCGCTTCCATGTTCAAGGGGCACGTTGTAAAACTCTCCTCGCTGCTTTTTTGGCATCCCCTGTTGAGAAAAAGATAAAAAGGACAAAAAGAAAGGGTAAAAAATATGATTATTGGAACGACCCTCCCCGTCGTACATGAATCCTGCTCAATATCGGTGTTTTGCAAGTCTGCCTATGCAGATAAACATGAGAAAAGGACGAGGAAAAAAAAGAAGAATCATCAACATTACTTGAGTCACAGCCCCTTCGCAGTCCCGTTTAAGCAGTCCCCTTATAGCTCCAGCCCCGACGTTGATCTGCCATCCAAGAAAGAAAATCCCCTCTGAATACTACTGGGCAGCTCTTAACCCCCGGGCACCTACAATAACAGTACTTCTACCGAGTCTATATGGCAGGACTCTCGGTTGCCAAGAATAGAGATTAGCGGGAATGGAGGGCCATGGGACAGGCAGAATCAGGAAGACGAAGCGAAGCAGTTGGCCGTTGGCTCGTAGGGAAGAAAGGCTCGTTGGTCAAACCGAGGCTATCTGCTTCGGTTGGACCCTACGGAGCTTTGTCGCTCGTGAGTATTTTGTTGGCGACCGGTGGCATCTTGAAGCTTTAGCGAATCAAGGCGTTTTTGGTTATCTTCAGCGGCGGGATCCACCTCGTCAACTCGTGGGAGGTTTCCTCCTTGAGCTCTGCCAGGCGCCTCGGCGTGGCCCAGCCCCAGTGACGCCCTCCGCTCGTCGGCCTGCTGAGATAGAGCAGCCCACTTCCGCTCCCGCAGTGCCTCTCGAGCTGCCGCGCTGTTCTGCTGCTCCGTGTAATCGTGGGAGCAATCGTCAAACAGTTGGGGGTTGATCTCCATGAAAAGTTTCATAGCATTGTAAACCATGCCGTGGATTGTTCTACTCGCACGTTAGTTTACGCGACGCCGCATTTTTTCCAACCAGTCGTCAACGTACCTATTCCAGTGACCCTTTGAGTTTTCGTAGAGGGGAGCAAACATAATGGGGAGGATGATTTCCACATTGTCGCTTACAAGGTTGCAGAAGTATTCGTTATTCCAGAAGTACAACGCACGCTCGGCGACTTGGAAATGAGGGCTGGCCACTGACTTGGCAAGCTGGTGGAACAGAGGCTCCTGGACTTTGGCGAATTCGGCTGGGTCCATCACTTCGAAAATGTCTTCAACCTCGTTCAAGAACATTACCTCTTTTGTGCTATTAACCTTTGGCCAGTAGCGTAACAGCCCAAGGACCACCTGAAGAGAGTTTGTCAGTACACTAGCAACTTGGTTCGGGTGAAAAGAGTCTCCTTACATCTTCGGTGAGAGATGCATCTTTCTCCAAAAATTGAACAATACAATAAGCGAGCTGAGGGTGGTACATGCTCAAGCTCTTGGGCTTGTGCAGGGGGAGCAAGACGCGGGTCAAGAAGATCTTGTGTTCTTCCTTCAGAGGCAGAGCAAATCCATTGATAATGGAGCCCAAAATCTCTAGAAGCTCGGCAATTCCGTTGAACCTCTCGGTTTCGTAGGTGAACTGGAAGAAGACGTTGTTGATTGATCGTCGAATAAACGATCGAAGGTTGAGGAACTTGCCGTAGATGCGGTGCAGGGTCGTCTTCAAAAAGTCTCGCTCCCGGGGATCTTCAGAGTCAAAGAGATCCAGCAGCTGGAGAACAAAGCTATGATCAATATGGGCCTTTGCAATGTTGGTGTTGAAGTCCTGGCTTTCAATGAAGCGCAAGAAGAACTCATAAACGACCTGAATATGAGGCCAAGCAACCTCCAGGACGGGCTCATCCTCCTCTGGATCGAATGCCTCGCCTTGGGGGTTCAATGGGGGCGGGATTGGTCTGAAAAGATTCTTGCTGAACATCTCGACGACTCTGGGATACATGGGCTCGGTGATGACCTGCCTATTGTTGGCAACGTAGTCCAGCAGTTCGTGGAGAGCTAGCCGCTTGATCTCCTTGGCTTTCATGTCACCACTAGCGTCGTTAAAGTCAAAGATGACATTGCACTGATCAATCTTTTGCATAAACAGCTCCTGGCGCCTGTTAGGCGGTACTTCGTGGAAGCCGGGAAGCTTCTCCAGCTCGCGGTGGGCGGAAATATCAAATCGCGATGAGTGCTGTCGCTTTGGCGTCCGCAGGCCTTCTGGGATGGCATCTCGGTTGTCCATGCGATTGATCATGAGAGACTTTTGGCCAGGCTTCGGGGGCGCCAGCTCATGAGGCATCGTCTCGGTGGCGCCAGGAGGGGGGATGTGCTAGAAGATGGGAGAGAAGAATCAGCATCAAGGTCACGAGCGGCCCGCGAACTTAGGCGATACTTACACCTGGGGTCGGGCTGATGACGACAGTTGGAGGTCCTCTGCCACCCGCATTGGCGCCATTAGAGTTGGCAGCGCCGCCCAAGGGCCCGAATCGGTCAGCGAGACCCGGTTGAGAAGCGCCAGAAAGGCCAGATGGCTGGCTGGGACCGTGATCGCCCCCATGGCCAGTGTTTGGCGGCAGCGGTTTATTGCGTAAATCGTTGAGGGTCGATGTCGAGGACGACGGGGTCAGTACCGGGGACTGGTTGGAGTCTCGAGACGAGGGGGACGAAGTTCCATCCTTGGAATCCTTATTCTTCTTGGAGGACTTTGTGGCATCTTTGCCTCGCGAGAGCTAGTTGGACGACTTGGCATCAGAGACTGCTTGCTAGCTAGACAAAGGGGAGCGCCGGCAGCGCCTAGGGCGCGCAGCGGGCATCAGGGGGAGGGGGACTCACGACTCTCTGGCTTAATCGCCTCATCTTGGCTTGCAACACTGCTCAGGGATAACTATATCGAAGACCGGAGGCCGTCCAGCCAACTCCGTAGCCGCAGTGGGGTAGCAAGGCAACACAGTCGGGATGCGGAGCGGAGGTGAGGCGAGCCTAGGCGAAGGGGGGCAACGCCAGCTATGCCGGGGGGAAACGGCGTCGTCGTCGAACCACGAAGGCGCGTTTTGCAGCGGCGATGGCAGAGGCGATGGCAGAGGCGATGGCCTGATTCCGTCGACGTCTGTGTAAGAGGCGGCTTCGACCTGGCCTGGGGGAGCAGAGAGGCTCGTTTGGACGCAGGAACGCGGGTCTCAGGGAGCTGGTCGGAGACAGCAGGAGGGCAGGGGTCGATCCGGTGCGATGGCAGTCCGCCCAAGGAGCAGGATTGGATTGGATTGGACTGGGCTGGAGGGTGTTGGGGGGGGCTTCAGGGTGACCAATTGTCGCCTGGTCGCGCAGAGTGAGCGTCGAGAAGGCGATGGTTGGCCTTTGTTCCGCCCGTCGCCCAAGAGAGATCGCGAGATAGAGATGAAGAGAGGTTGGGAGAGGTCGAGAGAGGTCGAGGTAGAGAGCGTCAGCGGCAAGCTGGATGCTGGCAGCACGCTCAGATGGAATCAGAGGAGCTAACAACAACAGCTTGGAGGTTAGCCGTCAAAGAGGCGTTGACGCGGGGGAGTTGTTGTTGCTGAAGAGTCGAGACGTGGAACCTGAACCTGCCTGTGCCTAGCCGGCGCTCAGGCGATCACTGCTGCTGGCAATGCTGCCGGGTACCTGTCCAACGATCCGGCTGTAGGGGCTGTAGGGGCTGTAGGGGCCGTAGGGGCAAAGTTGTCGCTAAGGACTGGCACTAAATCCGATTCTCCCGTAGCGGCTCAATACTGCTGGCTGCACAAAGGGCCGCTTGTGCTGCGAGGCGCTCAAGACGGGAATGAATCAATTGAGGGCAGCAGAAAAACGAGAGGACAGACGATTGCCAGCTCGCTCAATGGGCAGGACACCTTTGTGATTTGATCCCACCAAGGACTGTCGTCTCCAAGGATCCGGGCGTTCTGTGCCAGTATTGCCCAAGCTCCTCGACAGGGCCACGTACGGTGCGGCTTGTCTGGGGGCACTGTCCAGACGCAGCAGTGGTCAGGATGGACGCTACCATTAGCCAATCGGAAGTGCAGACGCTCGAGTCTCAAACACCGCCCCAACAAGCGCGTGATGCGTAAATTACGTACCTCCTTACCTGGGGCCTCCTTTAGCGGCTGCAGCGGCACAGTGCTCGATGCCCCTGGACTGCACTGTATCCCACCCCATTCCAGCTCCAGTTGTTTGATTCAGACTGTTTCGCTAGCTGGAGCTTTTTCAGCAGCTGTCGCAGGGGTCTTGTTTGGCAACCGCAAATCTATCATTGATCCATCCATATGAAGCTAAGCTATTGAAGCTTTGGAGAAAAGTCGTTCGCCATGGATACGCCTCGTCAAGAGGGCGTGGGAAGCGTCAGTTCAGGCATCGCCAGAAACTCGGCTCAAGACCGCCGCGAGGATGGTGCTCCTCGATATGCCATTCCATCGAGGGAGCTCACTGCGGTCGAGATCCCGGCGGTTGTTGAAGATATTGACCGAGCCGTCAAGGCCTTTGGCAGGGCTCCTTCTCTACGACATGTAAGTGTTACGCTGTAGCTCATATGTGTAATGCCGCGCCTTGTCTGTTTGCTCATAAACGAACCTTACGATAGGTCTTGGATCCTCTAAGGAACTCAATACCATTGTATATAAATCCAGAGGAGCCTTTTTGCCCGCCCATCATGTCACATAACGCCAGATCTCACAACATTGTCCTTAAGGTCACAGTCCCCAGGCGAACGGGGAGGAAGCGCAAACGAGGGACGGACGGGCCTTGGCAAGGAGACGTAGAGCTTCAAGGCGCCGACACCTCGCCCTCAGAAAACGTCCGTTCCATAGCACGTCTCGATGATCCAAGACTTCTGAGGCGCAAACTAGAGGACAATGTTGATAAATATCACGTCGAGGCTGTGGGTTTGATTAAGCACACTCATCGATTCAGGGGCCTTGCCGATTTTTATTGGGACATGGACAAATCGTCATTCGCGCAAAGATTTGTCGATCAAGTGTTGCCTGGAGATGGTATGAAATTCCGTTTGCTTGTGCTGTCTGGCGATGTACTAACAGTGGCCCGTAGTCGACAAGATAAAGGAGTTCAAGTTTACGCCCGGCATCGACCAGGGCTCGAATGTGGACATCATACCGCCCCCTATCTTCACCCACATGAGTCTGCCATTCAACTACTTTTATTCACAGAACCCATATGTTCGCTTGACAGAAGATGGTGGAACCGTCAACACAACAGCAGTTAAGCAAGTTGGCCACTTTATAGGGACAGAAGATGCCGCCCCTACCGGCCCTCAAATCCCCCCGGACATGACAGATCCGCGCATGGTGGAGGTAATAGCCCAGCTCGAAGAAGCATTTGAAGACCGTCCAGTCTGGACTCGCCGGTCTCTCTTAAACCATCTTGCTGGCAAGCTTCGAAACTGGAACGAGCTGAAAAAGTACCTCAACTATGCGGCATACCAGTTCAAGGGTGGGCCGTGGAGAGACGGAGTGGTGCCATATGGAATCGACCCCAGAACTGACCCCAAGTACCGCATCTACCAAACCCTCATGTTCAAGCTTCCTAAGCAGAAGCGAGCCCGGAAAGATCAGACCTGGCAATCCCTGCGGAGAGTCCAGATGGGCCGAACAAAAGAGTTTGTCCAAGAGCTATCAGCCAGCCACATGTTCGACGGAGAGACGTACCATACCGATGGCAAGGTGTGGCAGGTGTGTGATATCACAGATCCTTTACTCCGGGAGCTGCTTGATAATGCAGAGGTGCGTTCGACATGGGATGTCAGCAGTGGATGGTACCATGGAGGCTTGTGGGCAAAGGTCAAGGCAATCATGAAGACGAAGCTTGTGGCGATCCAGTTTGGTCGGCAACTGACCAAGGAAGATTTCGCCCCAACGTTGCAGTGCGGAGATCAGACGCCTATTCGGTCTACCTCGGCCACCTTTCACCTTCCTCTACCTAATTTGAACCTAACGAATGAGGAGCTTACGCAACTCCGAGGTCGAGAGCCATCAAAGAAGAAGAGTCAGGTTTACAACGTAAGAGTCCGTCCTCGCGCTAAGATGGGCATCGAGACGGAAGAGCAGTCTGTTGTTACATCGCACGACGCAGATGCGGACTTGGATGTGGATGCAGATGCGGAGGCAGCCAGCATACTTGGCAGGATGGAACAGAGCGAGGACTCTGAGGCTGCCAGCGATGATGATGACGAAGACGAGGATGAGGATGATGAGGAAAACGAGAACGGCTCAGAGGAGGAAGAAGGGATGGAGCATCCCAGTTTTGAGGGAGACGAGGATGACTACGGTGGCCTGGATGACGAAGAATAGATTCAAGTACCATATAAACAATTCTTATCTTACAGACCTAGGCACATGATGTTAAGCTCAAGGCGTATTGATATACTCAAGGTGCCTCCACCATGCTTCGAATATAAAGCATATCGCTGCTTACCTACCTAGGTAGGTAGGTACTGACACAGAGAAAGTGTTCCAATGTTTGTATTGAACCGAAACTTTATGCCAGCTCAGTGTTTTCATCTGACCTACCGCCGGGCAACAATAAAGTCTACAGGTGCTAATGTCTATTGTTGCCCGGATCAACGCACTGCAAACGCATGCGAATAAATGTTGACCCGTGATTCACTGCCCACACACTGAACACCTTCCCTTCAGCACTTTCGATCCCCTGGCTTCACTTCATGCCTTAGGCTGCCTCAGCTTTCCTGCTTCTTCTCGAAGCCACCTCACTATTTATTACTCTTCAACTTCCAATTCCATCCCCCTCTACCTTTATATATTTCATCCTCTTCTAGCCAAATCGCACGGCTCCAACTAAACAAAGTTGAACGGCCATTGACCTTTCAATCTCGCCTAGGCCTACAAAGTTCAAGTTTCTTTGCAAGTCACCATGGATTCTAAGCATCCCTTCTCCGAGGGACCCTGGCACTGCAAGCACTGCCAGAAGCCGTTCTCAGTTTGGGAAGACCTTACTGAGCACAAGAAGCGTATGCGGAACGAGAATAAAGAGGATCATATTCATTGCAGGTTCTGCGGGCGCGACTTCCATACTTTGGAGGGAGAGATGAGGCATATGCAGGTGGTTAGTCAATCGGCACGAGTATTACCCTGCCTGAAGACAGTCTCCTCTGACTTTGAAAATAGGAACATCCCCTTGAGCAGAATCTCGACTGCCCCGGCTGTGGCCAAGGTCCATTCAAGCGCTTAGGTACTCTCATGAGCCATATCGAAAGAGGGTTTTGCACCCGCATAGACAGTGCCGTACTCGATGAACTCAGAGAAGAGAAGCTTGCGTTTCCACGACGCCTGGAACAGTTGACTCAAGAGTCGATAAAAGGAAACTACATGAAGTACATGCCATCACCCAATGACAAGAGCTACATCACGGGGTGGTACGTTGAGGATAAGCCAACCCCATTCAAGATGGTCCCAGAAGAGTTTCCAGATCTGTCGACTACGGCTGTTGAACGCACTCAGCCTCCCACTGCCGTTTCGTCAAATGAGGCGAAGCCTAACGATGGCTCTGACGCTGGAGAGAAGGTCAAGAAGGCTACCCAGCATCAGCTTCGGCTTCCTTTTCGACCAGCCAACAAAACAGAGATCCCACCCACCTCCAACAGCGACAAGAAGGCCAAAGGTTCGATCCGACTTCCCCTTCGGCTACTCTCTGATACCAACCGTGGAAACAATGTCGAGGCGCCGAACTCGGTTCAACATACCCAGCCGGCCTTCAATTCAGGCGTGACTACCGTCATCGCGGGCATGGATCCTGATGATCCAAATAGTCCGTCGTTCAATGTAGCCCGCTATTACTGCTCAATCACTGAGAAATACAACTGCCCAAAACGGCTGTGCGGGTAAGAAAATATCGTCAGGATGTGGATTTAACCATATGCAGCCATTGACATAGTATAGGAAAACGTTCAAGACAGCCAGGGGGCTTGTTGGACACCTTCGATCGCCGGCTCATGGAAACAAGACCTATAGATGCCCATACTGCCTCAAAATATTCAAGACTTTAGCAGGCATCACCTCGCACGCTGAGACTAGAGGCTCAAAGTGCCGACTGCAAGACACTGCGCATTACGAGACTTTCATGGACCAGCTGACGGCAGGCATTGTCGATATCGAAAGAACTCGGTATCAAGATGGAAGTATCATCTTCAAGACTTCGGAGCAGGCGAAGCAGAAACTCCGCGGAGAGGCCACTGAGAAGAAGATGAAGTATCCGATCAACAAGGAACCAGAGGCTATATTCTGGTAGAGATGATTACGGCTTCTTGCGTCGCAATGGAGATTTGTGCTTTTGCTTTTTGATTTTGCTTGGGAGGGTTGATGATTATCCCCTGCTTCGCAGTACTGAGATTTACCGTTTGACCAAAGGGTCGACGCATGCGACGTGAGATTATGAGAAGCCGCCGTTGAGAATGAGATTTTATCAAGGCTAGAAATAAAGATTTCCATCTTGCTCTTAATATGACTGATTGAACGAAATGCAAAGCATTGAGACGCTACTTGTAGAGGCTGGTTGACATGCAAAGTGCCCAATTTCGAAATGCAACATAGGGGTGTAGGGTAGGTAGGTAGCAGTGGTAATGGGCCTGGCTGTTCCAGAAATAGCTGGACAAGGCCGTTTCAGGCTGAGCCGGCGACTCGGGACATTTCCCGAAATCAACTGCGCCCCTGGATGACCTAAGCTCCAACCAGGTGTACGCATCCTCCGAAACAACAGGCTTGATTGCTCAGCACCAGGCCAGATTGATTAGACAGAGCAGTCTCAAATGTGCGAGTCGACCCCTCGCAGCCAATCTCGATTGCCGAGCCGAGTGGTTCCTTATCCGTTGCGAGACTGACTTTTGGGCCAAAGAGAGACGGCCGCGAGATCGATCCCACCTGTGGAAGACCAAGATCAAGATCAAGACCCAACAAGCAGACGACAACGAGGGCAGAAGCTCTAGCAAGGGGGTTGGGCTGCGGCTGATTTAATGGAAGACGAGTCGTCCAGCGACAATCCCAGTATGGCGTTCCGTTGGGCGCGCAGGTTCGAGCGCGCGTGCTGCACGACGGCCAAATACTTTCCCTTGGCCTTTGTCTACGGTTTGACGTCGTGGGCATGCTGGGTGGTGGTGAGCATTGGGCGCGAGAGCGACGGCACCCGCTGGATAGGTAGGTGAAAGAAGACAAATCAAGGCAAGGCGACGGTGTTTCTGGCTATCTGGCTGACAAGTCTGGCGCGCGCAATTACAGGCTCGACATCCTCATTCTTCGGCGTCGTGCTCTATCTGCTGCTCAACTGGTCCTACACAACGGCCGTCTTTACAGATCCCGGATCGACGACCAACGACGACGGCTACGGCCTTCTCCCGACGAGCGGCGGCGGCCAGAGTCGCGTGGCGACATCCTTCACAGTCAAGAGCAATGGAGAGATTCGATTCTGCAAGAAGTGCCAGGCCCGCAAGCCGGACCGCACGCATCACTGCTCGACGTGCCGCCGATGTGTCCTCAAAATGGACCATCACTGCCCATGGCTGGCGTCGTGCCTCGGGCTGCGCAACTACAAGCCATTTATTCTGTTTCTGGTCTACACAACCATCTTTTCCTTCTACGCCTTTGCCGTCAGCGGCACGTGGTTCTGGACGGAAGTCATGGACGACACCAAATATCTCGACACGCTGCTGCCCATCAACTTTATCATGTTGGCAGTCATGAGCGGCATCATCGGGCTTGTTGTCGGTGCTTTTACGACGTGGCACATCATGTTGGCGTGCAGGAACCAGACAACGATCGAGTGCCTTGAGAAGACGAGGTACCTAACAACGGTCAAGAAGACGCTCCATCAGGCCCAGAGCCTTGCCAACGGCTTCCCACAGGCGAGGCAGTTTGTCGACTTTCATGCGAGCGCGTTGCCTGGCATCACAACTAGGGAAGAGGGTGAGGAGCGACGCTCGCAGGAGCCAATGCCCCGCGTGCAAATGTCGTATGAGGAAATGGAACGATACCAGAGCCGCAAGCGCTATGAGGAGTACCTTGATGAGCAGGACTCGGAGAAGCTGCCCAACGCCTTTGACCTTGGCTGGAAGCGAAACCTGCTGCATCTCCTGGGACCCAGCCCTCTGCTGTGGTTCTTGCCCATCTGCAACACGACCGGAGATGGCTGGAGCTGGGAGGCCAACCCGAAATGGATCTCAGAGCGCGAGAGGCTGAGGAATGAACGAGAGGAACAGCGCCAACGGGAGGTGAACGCGGGCTGGGGATACGGAGAGGACATTCCGTCAGCGACCGCGGACGTCACGGGCAATTACCACGGCCGCGGACCTCTGAATCCGGTCAACGGCGGCGCAAGAAGGGCTCCGAGCAAGGCGGATCGTATTCTGGGTAGAGACCCGAATCTGTATGCTGACGCCTCGCAAGACGTGCCTATGCGAAGGCTAAGCCCGCGAGGCCGGGCGGCGCCACCGGAAGATGATTTGCTGGACACGGATGACGAGGAGCAAAGCAAGCTCAGCCCTGGCAACGGCCCCCAGACGGCGGCCAGCCGGCTTGAAGCTGAACGGGTGGCCATGAGCGTAGTGACCAATACACGGCCTTGGGGCCGCGGTGGTGCGAGCGGAATGTTGCGCCATGGAAGCCAGCAAAGCAGCGGCAGCGGCAACGGCAGCCGAATGGAGAGCCCCAGCTCCGAGGTGAATGACGATGGCGTCGACTGATGCTTTTTCGCTGTTCCCTTTTCGTCCCCGTTTTAATCATTGTTTCTTTTTCATTTTTTTCTTGTTTTTTTTTTCTCCAACGTGGCGAGTAATTTATTCGAAGCTTTAATCTTGTTCTATATTACTCTGTCTTATTACACTTTACACTACAGCGGATTTGGAACCATGGGTAAATGAAAAGGGGGTCAAGGGAGGAGAAGAAGGTTAAGACGGCGAGGATCCTACTTGTTTGTTTTTTCCCCCCCGTCCGGAAAGAATGGATTTGTTTAGATGGAATCGACAAACATCCAAGACGTAGATTGGAGGTGATCAAGGGGGTTTTTTGGTGATGAAAAGAGGGGAAAGGGGGGACCAAGTCTTTTACGCCACTGGACGATTCCCTTTTGATGAGAAGAAACGGATGGTTTTAGTGTCTACGCATATATATGAATGAGCGGCATGTTAGTACGGTGTAGCTGCTTTTCTTTGCTGTTTAGAGAAGGGGGGATAGGGGATAGGGGGATCCCTCTAGAGAAGCAAAGAGCCTTAATGTCTTTTTATTCCTACTGGTTTTTAGTTTCCATTGTGGCTCTTAATTTGTGCCTAGTGCTTGTTGGAATATCGACTGTTGCTTCAGTTAAAGAAGCTGACGTCTGTCTAATATACGGGCTTGGGCGAGCCTTGCTTATCCGGATAGCAAGAAGAACGGGCTCGTCATTGGGCATATCGCAGCCGTCTTTTGCGTCCACGCCCCCCTTTTTGACTTTTGACGCGTTCGCGGACACCATTTCGGCTCCGACACGCCGACCTGGGAAAACCGCCCTTGGGAGAGAGAGAATTTGGGCGGTAATGAATGGATTAGATGAGGGAGAGAGGGAATATAGCTCATTGCGGGGAGGGCTTTTTAGAGCGGGAGGGGGCGTGCTGGTTCCATTAGAGGGAATTCGTTCGAAGGCCGATTCGAAGAACGCGGCACAACTAAGAAAATGCCGTTCCAACATGGATATCCCATGTTTGCTATTTTCACGTTGTTCTGCCCACTGTACTACGACTTTAGTTCGACGGGGCTCGTACAGGGGACATCCAGGCAGAAAGGGCCAAGAGAATGGGAGAGCCGTTATCCGTTAAGCTCGTTTCGAAGAGGGAAGAAGCAATGGAAAGAAAAGAAGTGCCCAGCTGAAATGCTTCCCTAATAGACGTCGACGTCGTTGTTGTCTTTTCCCCCACACCCCCTGAGTTTCATCATCATGGCCGAATCTCTTACGAGTACCCAAATCTCTTGATTCCCCCGTTGTTTCCGCTCATCGTCCTCACACGCCCCCCCATATCCCCCCCTTGTCACATCCTTTATTTTCATTGAAGGCATCGTTCGATTGGACGAATGAGGTCACATCCGGGCCGGGTTCAGCCTTGGGGGGGCAACATGTGCGGGATTATACCAGGATTCTCTGTGTTTTTTTTTTTTGCTTTTGCTTTTTTTGCTGCTTGACAAGGGTGTGTGTGATGACAAGTACGAGAACGGGCTCTTCGTATGCAAGTGCGAGCTCGTTTTGTGTTTAAATACGAAGTCCATATTAAGCAACCAGCTGAGCTGAGAGAGCAAAGTGAGGCTTTGGGCTTGGCGTGTTTTACCGCTATGGGGCAGCCCTGGCGCAGCGGGCAATCCCATTCTATTACTGGAGGCCTTGCGCTGTACGAGAACGAGGTCTTATTGATTCTTCTTTGGGGTTGATTTTGCTTTTTGGTTTGACAAGTGGCAGCTGCCTAGAGGGAGGCTAACAGGGTTGAAAGTACTGCTCTGGAAAAGGTACTTGGCCGGCGTCGAAGCTGCTTGTACCTCTGGGCTTTTGGCTTGGCCGTTTCTCCTTTTTTCTACGCGCACCCTTTTTACACCCTCTTCGCGGCGATTGCTTTGGGATCCCCCAGCACAACGCTGCCCCCAAATCGAAAAGTATCTTTTTATTTTTTATGTCTTTCATTCGTCCTCTTTCTTTTTTAATTAATTTTACTTTTCTTTGTCTATTTTATATTTTATACAACGTACATGTTTCTTCACAATTCCGCGGAGCAGACGCAATGCACTGTAGATCCCCCTCACATCAAAATCTCAAAAGCCCAAAATCGCCAACAAGCCAAAAAACCTCCCCCGCTCCCCCTCCGTCACTGTTAGCCATCCCTCTAGCCAACAATCTAAACTGCCTCTAGTAGTACTTTCAAAACGTGGCTCTTCTTTATCTCTCTCCGTCTTCTCTCCTTCTCCGTATTCTTTCTCTCCAGGCCAAGCTCTGCCCCCGTTTTCTCCGTATACCGAGTTGAGTAAAAAGCCGGCTCGCTATCTCTTTCTACTACACGATTTGGCCGGCGCCAGTGAAAACTAACAGGCCAGCCACGAAGCGGAAGAGGAGTTTGGGGAAGAGACCGAAAAACGCCTTGCCTTGATTCAACGCTGCTTGCTCTTTTTTTTTTTTTTTTTTTTTTTTTTTTTTTTTTTTTTTTTTTTTTTTTTCTGTTCCCTCCCTCTTTTTTTTTCTTCCCGTTTCCCCTCAGCGTAATAAATGGACTGAGGTTCCTCCGGAGACTTTAGTCCCCCATCCTCGGCCCCAATCCTTTAGTCGATTGCGAAGAGTTGACATCACCTATTATGCGGATTCTCCTTGGGTCCTTCATGCAATGCAAAAGGCAGTATTAAGTGCTTACATGTCATACAAGCAGCATTAATGTTCGGCCTCAAAACAAATCAGCCCCCCTTGTCAGGAAATCTCGCTTCGCCTTCGGGGACTTTTTTTAACATTTTTTTGACGTGTAAATCAAAGTTTACTTCCTTCTCTATCTTCAGCTGCACTCTTGAAACAAAACCCAAAATACCAAAACCCAAAATCTTAATCTCCAAAACAAAACAAAAAAGATAAAAGAGACAAGAAAACAAGACAGCGGCACAGAAAGTTGAATTCCGCATAGGTAGACAACGCCACGCAAAACTACTAATACACTTCTTGGGATAGTATAGTATAGTATCCTTAGTAGCCTTAGGTTTTCTGCTGTTATTTAACACACCACCTCATTCCTCACCTTTTGCAAACTCACTTATATTTAAACTCTCCGCTAGAGCCGCACAGCTCTGTTTTGGAAAAGCTCTTCTTAGCTTAACGAGGTAATAACTGAATTGTCATCTCAAAGTAGTGTCTTTTTTCTCTTTTCTCTCTTCCCTTTTCGCGCTCCCTTTTTGTTGTGATAGTACATGCTGATGTATTCTTTTCTCAACACACGCCCCCGGCCCCCATTTTCCCTCCTTTAGCCCTTATTTTCCTCTCACCCAAACAATTAAAAAAGCAATTAAAAGGAAGAAAAAGAAAAAAGAAAAGTCACTCTGAGTACTGCCGATCTTTTCCCTTTCCCTCTTTCTTTCTTTCTCCTCCCCCGGGTTCAGCAAAAGATACCTTGATTAGCTAAGCTGCCACATGAAACGTGCCTCTTGCTCATCATTGCGCATTCCAAAAAGTCCGCCGCCATATCCGCTTTTGCATATCGTAATCCTCCAGTTTGCCTATATATCCGCAAAAAGTGCAGATGGGATTGTCGCTCACGGGACATTGCAGTACCTAAACTACACGTCATGGTTCCATCAACAGGACAAAAAAAAGGACATGGACGAGGCAAAACATGTGACGCAAGAATACCTAGACTACACCCAAGTCTCCCCCCTATTACATACTAAACGTACCAAAGATCTGTGTGACTGTACCTACACACAGACTCGTCGTACCAAAAAAGAAAAAGAATGGATAAAATAAAGCACAGCTTTTGCATTAATTCTGTATCGTAATGGCGCAATCCCTCCCCCCCAAGCCTCCTTTTCCTTCAGCCCTTTGGCCAAGGGAGCCTAAAGCACAAGCCACTTCTTGTCATGACACCAGCTGCACGCCATTCGCAGCACAGCTCGCGCCTCCTTGCCTTGGCTCCTCTTGAGCATTATTAATATCCTACAAGTTGTGCGGGATTGTATTAGACTAGTAGCTGGGCTGTTGACCACTAAGGTACTATACTCATTGTGTAGGTGGGAGTCTAACAACCTCCAACAAATGTAATAGCAACTGATAGCACAATAGCCATCTCGGCGCAACAAACTCAAAATCGTTCGATCCACGCTCCCTAATCACATCATTGTCCTCTCTCCATAATTATCAAAGAATCATCTTCTCAGAATAGAACATCATCTGGAATCACGCATGAACTGTCCCGGGGGGGTACACTTGTCGTTTCACCTTGGCTCATTGTCTTACTATGATTACGCGGAGGCAAATTGCCTTGACTTACCAAGGTACGCAGTGGACATGATCAACTATTGCTCCGTGAGCCGCTGAGATGCAATACAAAAGTACGCTTTAGCCGGGTAGTACTTTAGCTGTGGCTCCAATGTAGTAGCAAATACTAGGTAATTAAAGGTATCCGCATAAATGTCATCCTCGTAAAAAAGGAAGCAAAATAGTGTCACTGTACACGCACAAGCATCGACAACACAAGTCTGCGATATGAATCAGGTCCACTATTTCCTATACATCATATGCTATTCGTATTCATCTCAGAAAATGCGCCTTGATCCGCCGTTTCATGCAATTGCAGCAACTACGCACGTGCTGCTGCTCCCGTTCCAAATTCACAAGCTCAATATGCCGCCAAGCAAACAGTCATGAAATGCCCTCATAATCATCCTCTCTTGCCCAACTACCCCCCTGTCCGTCTTGTGCTCTCCCCCCCTTTGCCCATGCATCATCAGACCGACCTTTCCGATGTGCCAAGAAAAAAACAACAGATTTCGCAACGCCGACGCTAAAAAGCAAAACACAAGACAGTATGCATCATCGTTGATGAACAGATCCATTTTCACACCTAATCCCTGACGCTCTCTCCACATGTATCATTTGTTTGTACAAGCCCAATTGGTTCTCTCCTGACCAGTAGTAATGTGACTCTCATCTTATTTGGAGACATGAGAAAAAAAGGGAAATAAAAAAAAGAAATAAAAGAGAAATACAGGTTTAAGGGAGAAGGAAAAGGAGAGAGAAAAAAAAGTACAGAGTGCCAATACATAATTTATCGCAAAACGCATAAAAATGAAAGAGAAAAAAAAAAAAATTGAGAAAAAGAAAACAAAGCCAGTGTGATTTCCTTTGCCCATCCCGTCTATGTTATGCCTTTCATATGTGTCCTTTCCTTATGCAATGCTTTGCTTGTAAATACCAGATAACAGTGTGGTATATGCATTCCCTTGGACACTGTAGTCCCTGCATCCCATCATAAAAACCAAGAAAATTGAAAAAGAGAAAGGGGGCGAAAATGTGACGCAAAGTGAAATACATGTTGTACTCGTTTCCCACACGTCGAGAGTGGGCGGGTATTTGGTTTCGCTTTTGGTTCCGTGCGCCATACTGAACATGAAAAAAGGGAAAACCAAAATAATAAAAATAGTAAAAGACAAGGGGGCGCAGTGCCTTGCATAAAAGCTAAGTCGTTCAAAGATGCCGCTGTTTAACGTAACAAATCATAAAACAAGCATCAGCCGGGTAGGGCCAGCCCTGGCCTGATGAGAAGAAGAGGAAGAATCGTGTCCCAGAAATCTCAGCATGCAAGTGCGCCAGCACAAAGGCGAGCGTCGAATTTTGTGCAGGGGACAGATAGGAGCGGGGATATTTTTTTTGTAGCACGCCCTTGAGAGGCGCCCCAAATAAAGTAGCTTGTTGTCGTCAACGGCTATCGCATATGCCGTTTCGTGTCGGCGAACTTGGTGGAGCTAACTCAGTTGCTCTCAAAGCTGCGCTTCTCTGTGCTGCTTTTCTCAATGGTGCTCCGAGGGCTGGAGTTGCTGTTTCGTCCAAATACCTTGCCGGGGAAGCCCTTGAACATGTTGCCTCCTTCTGGAGCGGCAGAGGGGACATCGATGAATTTCTTTTCAATAGCATCAATGCCAATTTTGCAAAAGAGGCTGGAGAAGAGATATTGCTCCCCAGCGTGATTCAGAAGGGGCAGTGTGCGGTATCCCTGCTTCAGATTGGTAAGCTTGGCAGTGTAGCTAGCCATTGCGGGCTTCTCCTTGGTGCTGTTGCTATAGTTTTCGCCGTCACTAGACAGCCTGACAGACCAACGAACAAAGATCAGCTCTGGGTGTTTGGTGGTAACCTTGAAGCGGAACTGGCCGTTGCTGAACATTGGGTTGAAGCCATTCTCACGAATTACTTCGGTATGGCGTAGTAGAGGTGAATCAGGCTCATGGCTCAGCTCAAAGTCCTTGTCTTTCTTGTTGCGCTTGTCGTTTGCGTGAAACACGTCAACGTCAACGTAAAAGTCCATCGACTTGTTTGCAGCCAGATTGGCAGGCCGCATCAGCTGTTGGGCAGAGATAACGTCAATGTTAAATGACACAATAGACCGCAACTTCTTGCCCTGGGCAAGAGCTTCGTTGGTAGCCTCGTTGTACGGAAGAACCTGGATGCCGCGAAGCTCTTGGGGCTTGAGGACGTATCCAGACGAATCTGTGCCACCCTCAAACATGGCCCGGTTGACTTGCATGCCCATATCAAAGGTTTGCCAGTTCAAAGCCGCCATCTGAACGCCGCGGCGCCAGTACGAAAGCGGGTCGAAATTGCTCGAATTCAGTCGTGTGCCATCTGGGTAAACACGCATAAGGTAGCGCATGTTGTGAAGGTTCAGCTGCGACTTCTCAGTTTTGGATTGAGAATGCTTGGCAAAGCTGGATTCCATGAAGGAGAAGATATGGTTGAACTTCTTAGCTGCCGGGGCTTCGAAGCCCGAGAATTTGAGGCCTGCGCAGTACACTCCCAACTTGCCCAGCTCTGGGACAATGTTGTTAGATCCCTTGGTTGAGCCAAGATCGCTTCCGGTGTCTGAGTCACTGTTGTTGTTTGCCTGGGGCTCTTGCACCTCGCCCTCAGTGATGAGTCCAACCCGGCTTTTGACAAGCTTGCGCGTAGAATTGCTAGGGGTTAGCAGAGGGCTCTGAGGAAGCGATTGAGACGTGGAAATGGCGGTGGCATCGGGATTAGCTGGTCTTCCGAATGCCGCACTGAGGCTGCTTCCGCGCTTCCTGGTACTCAGGATATCGCCACCTGTGGGTTCCTCCTTGACCATCCGTGGCTGCTTGACCTTGATAAGAACGCGTTCCATAAGCTCCGAAGGGGAAGGCAGCTGGGACGAGTCTGGATCCAGTGGCTCTGTAACAAGTTGCTTTTTGAAAGTATCCTTGATGATCTCGGCCATGATGCTTTGCTGTTCAGCGTTGCAGTGGACCTCTAGAGAAATCCAAAGTGGAAACTTGGACTTGACAAAAGCATACTTCTTGATGGTGGTCATGACCTCCTTGAAACTAATGGAGCTAGTAAGCGTGCGACCATGGACCACCAAGGGCTGGCCATCGCCGCCATCCCAGCAGTCGACTTCGACGCAGCGGCAACCTCTGACAAGAGCAGAAATGTATCCTTCGATGCTGGACTGGCCCGCAACTTGTCGTCCTAGGAGGTAAGTATTGTGTGAGCTGGAGACGAAGTACTCGTTCAAGGGTCGATCAAGCGTGAACTCCTGCTGCTCATCGACAGTGGGTAGATTTTGCCGAGAGCTCAAGAAACCCATAAATGCCGTCTCCGACATGAAGGTGAGATCTTCGGTTTTGACCTCGGCACCCGCATCATCGTTTCTATGCTTGCGGACGTATTTGTTAAAGATCCTCTCCCAGTAGGTCCGATTTTTGACGTCCTCCTTTTGGACGTGCTCAATAAAGTCGAGGAACTCGATAAAAGTGAGTCCATCTTCGGGCTTTGCTGCTATGCTCTGCATGAGTCGGTGAACATCCTGTCTTTGCCTCATGAGACGAACAAACTCGAGAAACTCGGAGAAGTTGAGCTTCTCATTCCGCCGGGTATCAGCGAGCCGGAAGTTGGACTGGACGGTAGCCTGAGAGCTGTAGATGTGTAGGTTTTGGCACACTCGCTTAACACCATTGATGTCAAGCTCTTCTTGGTCTTCGGAGTTGTGCTTTTGCATCTCCGATTGCCAGTATTGGGCAATTGCCCTCTCGTTGAAAGTCATCAAGGAAGTCATGACTTCCTGGCGATGCTTTAGCATGTCATTTAGGAATGTGGTCCAAATCCTGTAGGTATCGGCATTATCCGCGATGAGGTGAAGGAACTTTTTCTTGGACTTGTCCGGAACGACATAAGAAATGGAAAACAGTGTCTTGCGTTCCTTGTCTGTAATGCCAAAGTCGCGGGCGTACTGCTGAATGTCCGATTCAGTCCGGATTTCCTTAATCTCGTCGACATGGAGAAATTTGTTCGGACGGGCGCGATCCCACAGCAATTTATTGGTCTCTTGATCATAGGCAAGGAGTATGGCTTTGGAGCGGTTCTTCTTGGAAATCTTTTTGAGCCAAGTCCCCTGTTGCAGCTGCAATGGAATGACAGGGCCAATCATTGTGTTTGAGCCGCTGCTGATAGAGCAAGTCGTGCTGTTAGTCGGTGAATCCCGGGTGCCATCGAAATAAGTCCACAAGGAGCCTCTATCATCATCCATGTCGGACTCGGAATCGGTGTTGATGACGACACCATATTCGGGAGCGGTCGCATTGCTGTCACTGCGCATCCGCAGCAAGCAGGGACCAACGCTAGTTTCACGGCTAGAGGGAGCAGCCGATGATTGGCGCCTTCTGTTGGAGAGTCTTGATGCTCGGTTGGAAAAGCGTCGTATTATACTCTTTGAAGGTGGGAAGGCGGTATTGTTTGCGATGTATGGAGCCGCGGTCGACGAAGTAGTAGTGGGAGTTATATAGGGGCTACCGCTGCTGAAGACAGCTTCGGAGGTAATGTTTGGGCTTCCTGTCCAGCTTTGCCCGAGAGAATTGATGCTGGTTTTTCGGGAGATGGAGTCGGGCATGATGGATTCAGGGAGCTGAAACCCAGGGGGGACTGAGTCCTCATACTGGGGTCGCATAGCCTCTGGAGATGCTTGGATAGATGAGTTGGAGGTGAGAATGGTAGGTTCCGGAGACATGATTGGTGATCCATGCTGGGAATTGGAGGCCCGGGAAGACGCGCTGATGGCGGATTGGGGAGCCATGGCGTGACGTTGCGCGTTGAAGTTTGTCTGAACGTGGCCAGGGCTTGGACGCTGAGGGTTGTTGGATTGTGAGGGCATGGTGTTGCTGGGGCCCAATGCTAGAGGTGTAGAAGAGTGAATTGAGTCTGAGTTGCTGCTAGTCATGTCTGAAATTGCATGTAAGTGAATAGCAGGCTCATTGCAGAGGCAAGCCTCGAGATTTCAGTAGGCGGATTGACCCTTATAAGTCTCGAGCTGTATGCATATTGTAGCATCAAATCTGGGGAATTGAACGGGATGCGGGGGGTGCGAGTGTCGAACTAGTCGATCCGCCGCAGGGGCTGCGGATGGTCCTGGTGCCAGGCAGTGTCCAGGGGTGAAGGAGGGAGTATGGGAAATGTACAAGTAGAGCTCGAGGGCAAAGGCGTCCAAGGCAGGCGAATTGGCGTCCTACACACAGGTCCCGCGTTTGCAGCTGCTGCAGATGCTCCGTTCAGTGGGCCGTTCAAGGGTGGCTTGAGCACGATGATCAGACCTGGTCGAGCGATGCCAGGCCGCGACAGGTTGGTGAGGTGGCAGAAACGTAGGCGTATGCAGGTGGCTACTTTAGGGTATATACCCCCAAGCCAGATGTCTTGGAGACGCTGCACGAAGGACGGCCAAAGCGCGCGAAGCTGCGAGGCAACTATATGATGCGACACAGCCTGCCAGTTCTTGGAGGGGGCGAGTCGGCTATTCTTGCTGGATGTAGGCCGAGAATTGTGGGCGATGCTCGATGACGACTCTGGCTCGAATCTTTGGTGAGGAGGTCGTTGGGGTAATGCAGAGCAGAGCCGCCGGTAGATAGCGAGTATGAGGACGACGAAGAGGACCAGTTAAATAGGAAGCGAGCTCTGGAGTGACAAGATGTAAAAAGAGCCTGTTCGTGACGGAGCCGCAAAGAGGCAGATCGAGGACCGGATGTAACACTCGGTGGCAACGGCGCCTTGGAGGGTTTCGTGCGATGTCCGGGGGAACGATGGCCCAATGGAAAGAGGTGACGCAGAAGGTTTTGTGCACACAATGGCTCGAGGACGACAGCTCAAGTAGAACACTTGCAATATCTGGTCGCAAGACGAAGAAGCGTTGAGAATGGAGGTTGAAGCACAAGAGGTGGAAGCGGCTTGAGTAAAAAACCTACTACCTACTAGGTATGCTGTGACTGGTTTGGGGGTGTGTGTGAAAGCTTTGGGTACTGAGGTACCCAGGCTGGAGAGGAGGGTGTGGCGGTTTTGGGGGAGTGCGCATAATTGCTTCTGGGGGCTAAGGTTTTTTCTTCTTCTAGGTTCTTTTTTTTTTTTTTTTTTTTTTTTTTTTCTTTCTTTTTTCTTTTCCATTCTGTCAACCACCCCCCTCCCCCCCCCTTCATCCCTAGTTGCTGCTGGGCTAGGTACTAACATCAGTCGGGAAATTTGCAGCAGCACAGCTTTAATTTTCGAAAAGTGGCAATGCCTTGGGGGACTTGTACCAGCCCAGTATCAGTGCTTGAGACAGGAGAGACAAGGATTAGAGAGACGGCGCAGTCAATCCGATGCCAGAGTCCGTCTATCACGTCAAGTCAAGACGTCAGAGGGTAAAAGTGAGGCGGCAATGATCCATGCAACGCAATTTCCAGTGAAGGCCAGTGGGAGCCCGTCCTTTCACCATTGTCGGTGACTACATTATCTTAGTTGCACATGGACAACTCGGAGCGGCCATCTACCGTCACCGTCTTCTACCTAGTAGTATCTGCCGCCATCACTATGTATTCAAGTATTAAACTCGGCACAAGTGATGCGGGACTAGGTACTACATAGTAAATTACTGAAGACTCAAGGACTACTGAGTAATACAAATTCTAGGCAGGTATGCAAGAGACCCATGGATCTGCCTAAGTATGAAGGTTTGCACAGGGAGGCTAAGAGGTTGTTTGAGTTAGCATCCCGAATCCAAAGGGAAGAGGGAAAGACGGGCAAAATGGCAAAATGGAAAATACGAGTACCATGTACCGTACAGAATAAAAGCAAAAATAAAAATAAAAACAACCACTTGTACCTACTTACTCTGCTGTATCTAGCTCAAAAGCTCTCCCCAAGGGCGTCGTTTTAACGCTGCGGCAAAGCAAGGGGGAGGCGAAAAGATACAAGTCTGGTCTGCTATGTTTCTGCCAAGCGTCCTCTGTAGTAGACCGGCATGAGCATGTCCAGGGACGGCCAGTTATGACGCGGATGCGCCGGGGGGGAGGGCGTGGCTGTAGACGCCGGCGCCATACGAGCCCCCAGAGGTACCTCGACCACCGCAAGTACCTGAGGTACCGGCCATCTCTGGGTACCTTGCCATGTGTCGAGCCCTCGCGATCAATTTTCTCAGTGTGGTCAACCTTTTCTTATCCACCCCGCGCTTTCGCATGGGGGTTATGTACGAATAAGCTACTGCCTTGGTACTAGCACTGCGAGCAGCATCCTCTAGGCACGCAGCTGTTATTCCTCTATTCCCGTTGTTACTAATCATTGTTGCGACTGGAATTTCCGGTACAGCAGGAAAGGGTTAAAAAAAGAAAACAAGGGAGCGCATTATCAAGGCAGAGCCAGAATCTGCCGGGATGCCGGTGGCGATAGGCGGCCAATGTGTTTGTTGAATCTCTCTGGAAATATGTCAGACTCGGTCAGAGTTGGGCATCCAACATCCATGGCAATTGGAGAAATCCCCGTCTCTCCTGACCATCGTCCCGTTGTCAAAAGGCACTTTTTCTCTGTGGCATTCGCTCTCCATGGCGATCGCCGGCTGTTAGCTCGATCCCTAATATGTATGTGCTTTGAGCGAGCGAATCACATACTACACTTGTTCCAGCAGTTCTGGAGTGAGTACATGCAGACGTCAGATGCCCAGCGGCCAAGCGACTCATGTAGCCTGCTAGTGTGCCGTTACACGTATCATTGCGTGCGCTATCTATCAAGTGAGAATGCCTCGATATTTCCGTCGCCTATCCACGTTTCACCTCGACGCTGTGTAGGTGAGGTCCAGTACGAGCATGTCAGCCAAATATTACCTAGTAGTAGTAGTGCTAGCCTCTCAAACTACGAATGTACCTAGCCTAGGTCTGTTGAACCCTATTAGACGGCGTCCGTGCAACATGTCAACTCTTGAGCCTCTTACTCGTCACATCCACCTCTCCCGGACCCCAATTTGTTCCTCATGATGATGATCCTCGGCTGTGCTTCAGCAAAACTTCAGCGCGGTGATGCTTCATTGGCCCAGTGCTGCTCTTTCGTTGGCGCAGCTGATCACTGTTTCGTGCTGCCACGTCAGGACAACCAGCGATGGCCGGAAGACCAAGTGTTGGGCTCAAAACGCCCCCGGGCCGGTCAAGCTGCACGCCGGATCGCGGACTGAGACCATGGGAGCTCTTCTTTCGCCATCAATGGCCCTGTATCCGTTGCTCAAGACACAACGACAAGCTCAGGCTCCTCGGGCATTTCCGGGAGTCCTTGCTCTATCGACTTCGCGAAGCTTGGACTTGTACTACGTGGAGGAACAAACGGCTGTGATTTTAAGGTGCTGATCCCTCTCATTGCGCAGTGATCACGTTGCGCATGTCAGAGCGAATGATAACGGCGCAACAGTCTTTTCCCCTTCCATTATGTCTTTCCGTAAGCGCCATTGTGTACCTACCCCCCATGAATATGAAACGATACAGTCGGCCAACGAGACTGCAGAGATCGGCGAGATGAGCAGCTTAACCCTTGGCGCTTTCGCTGTTGGTCTGCGGGAACCTTCTGCAGGAAGCCCACGAGGACCGCTTTGGGGAAGATGAGAAAAAAAAAAAAGAAGAAAAAATTAGAGCGGGAGAAGAGGGGCATGAGTTCGTTCTGATGCTCCAGCTACGACCGTTATGGCCTTGGTGCTTGAGTAGTGCAAATCTGTGGCTGCGGATACGAAGCAGCTGGGCTAGGCACCGTAATCCAAACACCACGACACGGGAAGCCCTCTGCTGCTTTGGGGAAATGGCAGAGACCAACGGGGCCGAACTACTCCATTCTGTTTGATCAAGTGATGCTGGGCAGGCTTCACTGCCAAGACCGCTCTATGAGCCGAAAGGCCGCCTGGGCTTCCCCGCCATCCAAGCCCTAGCCCCCGAATGGATGCCTCATCAGCAGCGCAGAGCATTTCGGCCAGTCGGAGATGGCAAGTTGGCAGATGGTCCTCCGCAAGTACGAATATTATGTGCGTGATGCGTTTGCCTCGACGTCGTACTGGAGTCGTTGGGCTAGTGCTGCGCATCTAGTGCGAGCCGTGTATCGAACCTTGTCGCAATCTGTTAGCTGCTCAACAAAGTGGATGACGATTATCTTGGGCTCGATAACCTCTGTCTCACCTTGTTGGCTACCCAATACGACCTACCTTTACCTTACCTGCGACTCTGACTCTGACACTGACATGACACTGACATGCCGTTACACAAGGCCGCGCTGCAGATGAGATGCCCGCTCGTCCCGTCGACGCTAGCAGGTACTAACTTGTGCGGATGTGTACTACGTACGAAAGTACAATAGCAGACGCCCAAGGCTTCGTATTTGAGCACCTTACCTTTGCCTATCTTCTGTAATATGGAGTAGCAAGCGGCACGCCCTTCTGACGGGGCAGCTCAGCCGCTGACTCTGGCTGTCGGCGGTTTGACGGGTAAATTGGCGTCGAGAGAATCCCACGAACACGCGGCCTCACGATGCATACATGAAATAGTGCCAGCTGAGATGTATCCCTCACCTGGCTGCAGAAGGACGAGGCTTGGGGGCATGGATCAGTGGCTACAGGCTCTCTTCCGGAGACGCATGCAGCCGAGATGTGAATCGGGCGCAACCAAGTGGCATCGTATTGGTACAAGTGCGGGAGGCAAGATACTTCCAGTTGGCATATCGACTAAGGGACGGCATGAGGCGCAAGTACGACCTGCATTGGCATTTGATGCTAGTGTAAGGGTAGTTACACAGGCGTCGGCATGCCAAATAGGAAGCTGTGCTTAATTCATTGACACAGGCGTGCTTAATCCATTGACATTGGATGCTCAATGATGGGATCATGGGTGCAGCCTTGGCTACATGAGCTGTGCAATGCCTGTCCAAAGGACGCTTTCGACATGTCTTGGCCGCTTCGCACGGGAGGTAAGGCGCCAACTTGCGGGAACGATGAGATCATCGTTTGCTTATTTTGCTGTACTCCGTACTCGTACGAGCATTCTTTTCTTTTTGGCTTCCAATTCCAACCCACAGGGCAAGGAAGAAAAAAAAAAATTGCAAAGAGGAGCCCAACCCTACGGAGCAAGGACCGCAGCCTCTCGCTCAGTCTCCGGCGGCCTGGTTGGGGGTGTCGTTAACCAGGCCCGCCAGGTAAAAATTAAGGTAGGAAGGCGGGTGCTACCTTTGGAGAGCTCCCGTTATGAGGTGCTCTCTTATCCCCTCCGTCGGGTACCTGTACGACCACTCCCATATCGTTTGACGCATGCGGTGCGCGTGCAGTACGTACTATGTACGTGTACTGCACTCGTATCGCATGCCTTATTCCGTTACATGGAAGGGAAACAAAAGACAAAATGGCGTCACTGCTAGTAAGTCTCCGGTCTCTTCCCCGCTGGTGCAAGTACTGCAGTATGTACATCTTCGTAGACGCTGCATTGGCAGGTTGACAGGTACCTGGCCGGTACAACGTGCTGTGCTGCGCTGGCCGTCCGCACGACTCCAAACAAACGAGAAGCGGCCATACCCAAGCTCACCTCGACACCACAACACCCATGGCCTGTCTCTGCAGCCTTGTGAAGCCCATGCTGCTCATTTATTGCCCAGACTTAGCAATCCTGCAGAGGCATTAGCGAACTGCATCCATGCTACTGAGCGGTCAAGAGCGTCACCTGAGCCGTCAGATAGGCTTGAGGTTAACCATGCCAGCCGCAATCAGCAACGGCCGGTTTGCTTACTGAGTCACCGAAAAAAAAAAAAATCAACGGGGGACGGAAAACGGTTCTATTTGCGGAAGCCATCCATGCCTACAGTAGCGCTGCTACTGGGTCATTGTGTTTGCATTGGTTGTTAAAGAAAGAAAACTCTCCTCCCCATTGGATGGCTTTCCCTGCAACCCCGCGGCGACTAATTCACAAAACGCCCAAGTATCCAGAAGGTACCTCTGCTCTGGTCGACAGATCATATACAAGCAGAGTACCTGCCAACCAGTGGCTCAGTGCCTTCCCATGCCCTGCCCTTCTCGCCAAACAGCCGCCTAGACCATGACCTACCTGCCTTTCTCTCCTCCAGAGCAAGCATCGTGGGATTTGTCGCAGCGCTTCGGGCGGACGAGGCCTCAGAAACCCATGCACGCCCAACTGCGGGGTCTGGCGGCTATCCTCATAAGAGTCATTGATGGCAAGACAACCGCCTCTAATTTCACCGACTTTTAAAGACCGGCTCATCGCGTCATGAGGCCACTTGATGATCGGGTCCGAGTTGCTCACCAGCTTGGCGGCACAACAGGACAGAGTGCCCGGTCGGACGAGACACAAAGCTCCGAGAGTCGCATAATTCGCCATCGAGACAGCGCCTATCAGATGCGGTGAACGGCGAGCGCACGTTTTCCCTCTGAGATGCCCAGGTCTGGCCGCCCAGCGGAGCAGCCAATCAGTGATATCGTCGGCTCCAGAGACAAGGCCCCTACCTGGACAGACACAAGAGGCACAACCCGACTAGTTGGGCCACGGGCTGCCGCTCTAGGGTTCTGTTTCATGCTGCAATCCAGAGGCAGCATGACGTCTCCAACCCTGAATCTGCCCAATCGGCTGCCAAGGCGCAGCCTTACTAGCCCAACTGGGGATCTGTTTGAATTGGAGACTATCGCGCCGAAACAGATGGAGAAGTGCTCCAGGCCCTTTTCTCGAATCATTCTTCGCCTCGGCCGCTGTAAGGGAATGTATTTTCCCCTGACCCTGGACTGCCGAGCCGTGATTACTGCTTCATGGCATCACTTGAGCTCGTCGGGTACTCGTACTGCTGCCCTCGACAACGGCCCAGAGGAAATATTCGGGGCTGCCAAGTAGCCCTCGCTGGCACTACGATTGGTGCTTGGGCCTGAACTGTGACGTAAAGTGACTGGCACCGTCATCTCCGGGTCCGGAGCTCACGAGCCACCCACCACAATTGCATCGTATCGGTACAACTTGGACGACATCGAATGCTCGGCGGCATGGTATACGCTCCATCTCACCCGCCGCTAGTAATACACTGCTAGCACCTCTTCTAAAAAAATTTTTTAAAAAAAAATCTCAAGCCCCGACGGAACACTCTAGTTAAAGTTCCTCTTGTCCCGGAAACTATTAGCTTGCCGTGTGATCTTTAGTTCAGATGAGCCTGTCAGACCTTGGCGGCCATATAAAGTGTCAGTTGGGGAAATGCGACTTTCCCACTGCCATTGTCAATATTGTTAATCGCAACAACCAAAAGCAATTAGTTTCAAATGAAGAGGAGAAGAGAGAGAGGACCCCCTTTCACCCGGCAGAGATAGACGAGGTGGGCAAACCTAAGAGAAAAAAAGACTATAGTTCAGGGATGGCTAACTACTAGGTACAACACTTGCATCTCTACCTACCAGGTATCTATCAGGGTATGCCAAGCGTGCAACCAAACAGGGCAGATGGGCACGCTTCGCATGTTAATGCCAAAAACAAATTCATCATCACATTCCTCTTCATTGTCTCCTGTTACTCTTCTTTTCCCCCCTTGTGCACAAGGCCGACATTACCGAGTCTCTCTACTGGCCCCTCTTATTCCCTTCCTGCCGCCTCCTTTTTCCGTCTTGGCCGTTGAGCTGATCGTATTGGCACGAAGTGCCTAGCGGTTTAAGTTCGAAAAGAACCCGCCAAGAGGTTACAACGAGAACGACAGCAAATCATCATGTACTCTCAGCTTTGACTTGGCTCGGCTGCATCGGATATATCTCAATTCAGGTTAGGTCGGCATGACCAAGCGACCAAAGAAGCAAGGGAGGAACTCCCTTCAATTTTGACCTGCAAAACTTGGTCCGCTGCGTTGGCTTCCAGCACAAAAATATCAACTTTTTTTGAGAGTGCTGAGTCGATCTCAACGTCTCATGCTTGCTCAATGCAAATGTTTACTCAGCACTCTGCTTATTCCGTGCCGGAGCCGAGAGACTTTGGCTGATATAGTGTGCGAGTGCAACTGGTCTTCCCCTCAAAACATAAACCACACACACACTTATACACATGTACACGAAAGACAAGGGGTTGAAAGGGAGCAAAAGGGCACAGAGAGAAGGGAACTTCTCCGAAGATACCAATCGAATCATGCCATCAGGGTGTGACACCCAAAGGACCACCCCAGTCGACGTGGATAAATCGTACAAGTAATGCAACTGATGCCATCAACCGCACCATCAGGAAGCTCAGAACCCATTTATGAGCCCTGATTCCTAACACGCTTGGCTTTTTAATAGCTGAGGCAAAAGATCCATGGATTCAGCCTCACGTTGGCAACATCATATTGTCTAGCGGCATAATCCCATCCCCTGCCATGTCTGATGCAGAGCATCCGCGCCATTGCAACACACCTCCTGCATTATACACTGAATCCTACCCGCCTTCAAAATGCACAAGCATGCATGCGACCAAACATGGCTTCAGTTATTAAATGCTAAATCATGCGCCTCCATACCCGGCGACATACGGCGCAATGAGCGAAGGCCGAAACTCCGCCTAAAGGCTTGTCATTGCCCATGCATTTCAAGCACATGTGCATATACGGGACAATGACCCGTCAAGCACTTGTGTGGGCAAAAGGGCAAACTGGATGGGAGTACCATCACGCTCATTGTCCGGGAGAAGGATTATACACACTTGCAGCCCATCTCAGCGTCTCCTTGTCCACCACATATCATCTGTATGTGCAGCAGCGCAGGAATCGTTCTAGTGGCTCACGAGTCACCTTCGACAACGTCGGGCTAGCATATACGCGGCTGCAAGATCGCATGCCCGCTCCGACAATGGCGTTTACAAGTCACGATCAATATATGCTGAGTAATGGTGAAGGGTCGGCTTGCGGTCCCCGGCGTGGTAGGATGGATGCTGCGTGAGCTGGCGCTGCAACACGGTTGGATCGCTTACTCAACGAAGAAGCCTCATCCATTTGGGCGGGATTGATGCGGGGGAGGCTTGAGTCTTGACCTTGCCGAGGACAATCACCCGCGTCGGATCGTCTTCAATCATACCTTATCTGCCGATAAGAGCTGGTGTTTGTGTTGCCACAACCCTGGCCTGGGCAAGGGTCATTACGCGATGAGAAAGCGTGGAGCTGCCGTCGCTGGCGGCACTCGCGGGAACGAAATGGTGTGGGTTCATGTAGGTCTCATGTCCTCAGGAGACTGCTGTCGTGGCTCACTCTCGGTGGCCTTGCTCTACCGATTGTCGTCGCTACGGGGGTTTTCGGGAGGCGGCTTGGCTTCAATTGTAACCATCGATACCCGCTACGCAGCAAAGGATATGATCAGCGATGTTCTGGCAGACGCCTCTTCGCCCGTTCTGGGAATTCAGCTTGGTCAACGCACCACCACTCACTCCGTGTTACTTGGCCCCAACGTGTGTACTGTAGGTACCACCGCTTGGGCATTCGTATATTCGTTCGATGACCAGGGTCTTGCGACCACCACCACCACAGACAACCATCTGTCACAATGCGTGTTGGAGGCAACATGCATTTACGCAAGTGTGCCTTTCGTCTATTTGAGTGTTTGTTACACCAAGTGATAAATTGATTGATTTGGCGCGCGATGTTGCCTGCGCCGGCCTTGCAGCAAGCTGGTCACGAGTCTCGTCTTGCAGATGAAAACAATGCATTAGGCTCAAGGCTAGTTATCCTTCCCTTGCAGCATCATGCACCCATCGACCAACTCTTGCAGCAGAGCTGCAAAAGTCATCGAAAAAGGGAAATTACTGGTCTCTCAGGTGGCTCTTCTCACGATTGCACATACTTGTACATCTCCTAGGGATCCAGCCACAATGATGTTGGTCTGTAGGGCTGTTCCCTGAGGAAACTCCATTTGTCGCAGCAGCTACAAGAATATTGGATGAGATGAAAAAAATTGTTGCCCCCCCAAAAAAGAAAAGAAGAAGAAGAGAAAAAAGAAAAAAATTGAGCCAGCCAATCTCAAGATCAACTGGAATGGGCATGTGTCAATCGGCCCCTATTATTGCTTATGCAGATCTGGAAGGATGGATGTAGACTCTCGGGCTCTTATCCGCTGCCCTTTCATATCCATTCTCCGCCCCATCATTGCAGGCCGACTATCGTTTTAGCAAGGGGTGTCCCATGGTATTTCGCTACCATTCTGGCTTCTCTTTCCGCAAGCATGCCGCAGGAGTGGCAACTATTGGGTACAAACTCAGAAAGATAAGGCGAGCTCGATCACAATCATCTCGGGGCATGGGCGGAGCAAAGTGATACAACAGCAGGGCACGAGTTTGTTCTGCCCCGGGAGCAGCGCGCGCGCGGACAGGGTATCCGGGACTGATGGAAAGGCCGTCTTGTTTCCAGTTGCTTCTCCAGCAACATAAGTTCCGTCTGGTCGGGTTCCCAGGTAGTTGGTACAATTTGCAACTGTGCCAAGAGGGTGGCCCTGCCAACCAAACTCCCTTTTCCCGGACAAATGCACGGGAGAAGTCATGCCGAGTGCAGCCGGCAGAGGGTGGGATGCAACAATCTACCTATACCAGCTCTACCAGTCCTAAAGTACCTACGTTGCGCATATACTTGCGAATTTGTAGATGCCAAAGGGGATGGAAGATAAAGTAGGTATAGCCGAGTCGATTCGCCGAGGGGTGGTGGTGTGAATTATGATGGCACGAGCCATGATGAGGGCATAGTGACGCCTCTGAGGTCGGGCAACATATGCATCTATTGACCAGCTTGGCTGATATGCAGGGAATGGGCTGCTGAATGACGAATTGGCTGTGCTAAGAGCGCACGAACGGCTGCCACGACAGCACCAGAGGAATCAAATCTTGGTACGAGGTGTTCATGAATGTACGGTGGGGGACGCGCACTTCTGCCAGGTCAAGTCAGTTGATGAAGGTGAACCCCTCTGAATCCTACTCGTACATGCTGCCTACATTAGAGGCCGTGAGCCTGACCTGCTGTCTGGTTGGCAGGGCATTTTCGCCTTTGCTGGTTTTCTCCACACGGCCAGCATTAGGACGAGCATGATGCAGCCCAGCCATGCATGGGCTCGCACGCACACCACACAATCTCCGCACGCCACTGCCGCTTCGTGTCACCATTGACAGCCAGTCACGGCCATCCATCTCCGCTCGGCGAGAGCCTTGGAGTGGGAGGGGGACGCAACGGATTGCCTCTTCCCTTCTCCTCTCCGGCTCTACTGGCGATCAAAGCAGGCCGTGGGGAAGAAGGGGGACAGCGGCAAGAAGGGGCTGATGGAGGGTATGCCAGCCAGCTGGAGACTGGTTTCTAGAATACTTCTCTTTTGCCATTGGCGGCTGGAGTGGGTGGGCTTACCCGAGTTGCGCCTTGGCTGATGTATTGCCTCTTCCATCAGTCGCCATATATCTCCATTTCTATTTACTGAAGCTGTACGCAGCACTAGAGAGGAACGGCCTGGAGGATGCGCTACCTGTCCCCATGTGTCTTGGGTGCCTGGCAAAGAGGATCCTCGCTCTCCGGTAGGGCATGGCATGGCATGGGCGATGGGCATGAGGCATGTGTATGACCAGATGCGTAAGGCCTTGCGCACTGAGCTATTTTTCCCTTTGGGCAGGCCGAGGGGAAGAATGTGACGATGCTATTTTGGCTCCATTTTTGGCTTCTACCAGCATCTGAGAAGCTTAGCAGCACCACCGCGGCCGCGACCACCACGATCCTGGCGCCCTAACCGCGTTTCTGGGGCGCTGCATCTCGATCTTCTGACCAGATAATATGCAGTGAGAGTAAGCAGGTGAGCGCACCAAGAACCTCTGGGTTTGGTTTGTCTGCTGCCTCTCATCCTCCTGTTTGTCCGGCTGCCAGATCTGGCAACCTGGTGTCAGGCAGCGTTTTGCCGTTGCAGGGCTGAGAGGAACTTAACCTCCTTTCAGCTCAGCAGCATGTACCAACGACGCTTGGTATTTCCCCTCGACTCACAAATCATCTTTTTTCTTTACAAGTCGAGTTCGCTCCGTCGCATTGTCGACAACAGACCTGCCGTCAGCTGGTAGCCAACCAACGCCCATAGGCCTGCGCTTTGACTGACGCACGTCCGGGCCGTCTCTCGACATGCAGCAGCGGCAGCGGCAGCAGCAACAGCTTCGCCATTATACATGATGCTATTGGCGCGTCATACCCTCCTTTCGCTGGCGGTGGACTGTGTCTGAGTGTGAGGCTGACCTGCAAGCGGCTGCCTTTTGCTCCTGCAAGAACACTCCGTGGCTGGCTGGCCTGTTGCATGCATGAGGACTTTTTTTTTTTTTTTTTTTTTTTTTTCGTTTGGTTACTATTGATCACGCAAGTCCCATCTCTTGCGGAGCACTCCGTGCAGAACGCTACTTGCATGTCTTACAGCATCACAGGATACGGAGGGGAGACGAAGGGACTGCCTGCTACAGTGAATGTAGCTGCCCAGGGAGCACATAATATTCCGAAATTCACAAATAATGGACTGCCATCTATGGCGCCATCATCACCTATCACGCGACCTATTTCTCACGGGGGCCGCACAGCGATTGCAAACGGCTCAGCTGGCATAACGAAGAACACTAACTAGTGCTTTGAAACGAGGCAATGTTTGAGACCCCGGGAGAGTCTAGGCTTTGGCACCTATGGAGTACTTGTATGGAGTGTTACCAGCTCCATGGTTCTTTGTACTTTGTACCCCTAGATGCTGATAGGAGCACGCCGATTCTCCCTCAGCACCCGCTACCGCCCAGCAGGGGAGAGATCCTGGTGATGCGAGCTGGGACTACGGGACCCTCGTCTCCGGCAATCGCCAGGCATCTTGGTCCAGGTTGACGGGGCAGTTCATCCGCGAAATGGGTTGCGCTACTTCGCACTGGAGCTACGGGTACTCCGTACGAGGCATTGGGAAAATAGTCTGATATCGTTTGCGGCTGCGGATGGAGTTGGGAATGAGGGCATTAGCTACAAATGCTACCCCCAACCATCGGCGAAACACGGCATCTAAATCACAGCGGTTCGTCCGCGATCCTCAAGCAAACGACCCAACAGCCCCTTTCTTGTGGATTCAAAATATTACGTGCCGACACTTTGGCAGAGGAAAAAGTACATGCACGAGACGTATCGCCTCTCAGCCTTGTGCTTGGCTGCTGCCCATGCTGCTGGGGCAGACAGGGGTTTCGGTGAAGGCGGCATGCCGTTCAGAGTCAGGGTCACCGCAACGTATAGCTACCGCTGGAAAGACCCACGCCATCTACGAGTACGAGTACATTGATGCTTCCTGCTTGTACGCGCTGGAACCCGTTCTGTAGCCGTGGGTGCATTCGAATGAGCAGACGCGGCGTCACGGTGCGGCACGGGGTCCTTTCTACGTGCTCGCACTTGTATGTGACGCGGGTTCAATGCAGTGCAGTGCAGTGCAGTGCAGTGCATCGTACCAGCAGCTGCAGGCCGGTTCCCAAAGGGCAAGTCGTGCCGAACCTTGATCACGGCGCAGCAAAACGAGGGCTGAAGGATCGCTATGTCCAAAGAGGCACCATGGCCCGCGGATGCGCTTTGGGCATCGATAGTGGCGAACGGCGCCAAAACTATGCATCGCGGTACGGTTGGGATGGGCGGCTGGAAGGTGTCGACTACGGCACGGTCCTCTGCTACCTTGAGCCATCTCTTTGTCAAAGGCCCAGCCTCCGCCACCACGTTTTTGCCCACAAACAGCGACTCGTCATTTCTCACTCCCTTCAGCAGTGCTACGTAGGGTCATGACTGAACTAAGCCTGCAGCTACAGCCCGCTTGCGTGATGCAGAGCCAATTTGGTTATTGAAATGTACTGCTGGGCGACCGCAACTGGCTCCTGACTACTCATTTTGTATTCTCAGGGGAGGGGTTCCCTGTCCCTTTTTACCGGCCTGGATGATAGCGAGGCGAACATTGAGCTAACATGCCTACCGAGGCAGACTACTGTTACCCTGTCCAGATACCGAGCGGCAGAAAGGCCTCTATGTACCAAGCAAGGGTCTCTGTGCTAGATAAGCGCGGAGCGGTTGTCAGGGTATACCTATAATGAGTCCGTTCAAACAACAGGCTATGCAAGTACAGCACTCAGCACGGACAATGACGCAGACGATGCCTAGAATGGGCTGCCACCTCCTGCCAGCACGCATAGCGGGTTGCTTGCTGCACGGGGTTAAGCGATGCAGTGATTAAAGAGGGCGCTGCAGCTTCCTCTTCGCCGGTTTCAGGGTTCATCCATCGAGTTGCCCGCTGCCAACGGGCATATGCCGCTGCGCAAGGCGTCATACGGTGCAGCGAGACGTGCGGAAAGGCTTCACCGAAGACGTGCGGGCCCATGAGCGGCTCGCGTACAAGTAGCGATGCTGATCTCAGTCTCCACAAGGCACTCAATGGCTACTGTACGGTTCTCGGCGGGACAGCTGAGTTGTCAGAAATCTACCGTTGGGAGGTGAAAAGTGGTCGAACCGTCCATTAGGCCTACCAACAACACAAACACGGCGTGAACGGATTGCTTCGCAAGCTGACTGCATGTGCATGCGTCGGCCGTTTGATGCAGACGAGAGCTGACGCGCCGATGCTTACGCGTATGTCTACAGCATTCGTTTGCGATACAAGCAGAGGAGAGCTGATAAAAATGCCCCCCCATCGCCCTACTGATGCTGCCAGTTACTTTGTCTCCACTGGTCCTTCAGGAAGGGATGTTGAATGCTTAGGTGAGCCGTGGCAGCGACCGGCAGCGTGACCGTTCCCTCTGCATGCGATGGGCAGTATAATGAGCAAAAATATGCTCAAGACAAACAAACAAACGAGAGGGAAGTGGGATCCGGCGCTGGCAGCAACGTTGGATCAGAAGCAGAGCGCCCGCAGCGTGACCTATCGCACACAGGAGCACTTGTCTGAGTCTGCAAAGGATGGTCCGATTTCAAATTGCCCATGCATGCACGCATTGCGGCTGTATGCGACGAGTACGACGCAAAACGCTGTCATGTAAGTACGGAGCACCCTGTTCGTTGAACCGTGCCAATACTACGAGTACGGAGTACTTTCCGATACGATGACATCCTCTCGACCGGAGCTGGCTCCGAGACTGCTATTGGTGCCTCTGACATTTGTTGGTTTGGTTATGAGTACTTGTGCGAGATATACGAAGTCCTGAGGTTGTGGTCGCACTGCTATAGTACTTGGTAGCTCCGTCTCTAACTACCTAAGTAGGTACGGAGTACTTTATGTTCTCGTCTCGTCCCGTCCCGTGTGCCACAGAGGGGAAAAGTTGACGGCCGACCCACTCGGTGGTTGAAACACAAACAGCATCTCCAGAGCACTACTGCCACTCCTACTGACTACAAGTGCGGAACGTCATACCAGGAGGAGCCATAATCTGCTGATGCCGCTTCGAACAGCGACGGGATCCGGCTTCCTGGTTGGATCACGATCGAGGCTGGGTTGGATCATACATAATTGACCGAAAGGAGAGACATTCCGCTAGCCCAGGACGATAAATGGCCCTCTTCGGCAGTAGTGAAATATGCAGGGAAGCTCTCGTGTTGGGGCTGCGGCAGCTTCGGCAGCCTCACCATCCTGATCCAGGCGTGGATAAACATCATCGACGGTTGGTCATTCCCCCCTGGTTAGCTGACTACTTGTCCAATAGCTCGGGCCTCGAGTCACTGCTGATCCCATGGTTCACAATTCTTGACCCCTTCCTTTGGTACAACCTGTCTTCCTCCTTTCCAGCCGGCTAGCAAGGGTGTTTGGTTGTGTGGTGTGGGCTGCACGAGTACAAGTAAATGGCATGAGCTACAACCAAGTACTTGGTACTCTACATGATACAGCTGAGACGGGGGAGGCGTGTGCATTAAACACGGACTATTGCCTAATGCGCGCGCGCTCGTGTACAAAGAATGACTCCCAAGCAGACACGGGCGCAGAGAAAAAGGCAGTGCCGTGTTTACCCCCCAGCCCCAGCCCAATTTGTGGGTGTCCCAAGGGGGCCGGAAGTGAAAATCTGGGGAAATGGCATGCCCTCCATGCGTACCCTGACCTGTATCCTGGGTCCCCGGCAAGAAGGGCTTGTGTGTGTGTTGTGCCTGGCTAGGCCTCCGGCTCTGCCATCCAAGCATGATGGGATATTGTGAATCGCGAGTTGGGGATACAAAGTAAGTTTTTGCATAGCCCGTCCAGGCCGTCAGCGGCTTTTCCCGTCTGGCACCAGGAACCAGCAATCTTGATTGTAGATCAGAAACATACTATAAAAGGCAAGGGCTGTACTTTTGAGCGACGCGAGCGCAAACTAGGCTCAAGTGAGGCTAGTTTTGCCTGCTCTCGCCCAGCTGCTGGCTGAGAAGAGCGGTGGATATGCTCGTGATAGGTCACAGCAAGGCTGCAGATGCTCACATCTCATGTCCCAACGCATCAGCCAAGACCATCGTATTAGGCAGAGGATCAGCTGTACCAGTAAAAATAGCAGTCCGGCGCCCGGATGTATTACTCCTGAGACAAGCTGCTTATGGTGCCTAATTAGCCCCCGAGTGAGGTTCTGAACTTGGACTAAAGGGAACTCGTACGGAGGATTTCCGCAGGAGTTGTGGCCTTATTTTTCCCCTTTGCTTCCTTGCTTCCTTGGTAGTGCTGCTAGCAGGTACTAATTAATCCCTGGAGCGGCAGCTGGAAGGCTGACGTGTCGTTGCAAGGCTGATGACCATGCGCTACTGCATGAGCAGGAGACCGGGGAAATTGATGGTGGTGTTGTTGTTGTTGTTTGTTGTCTCTCGGCTCCCCTTTTTGGAGCACGATGGATGGTGTTAGTGCCACCGCGCTTCCGTTGAATCCGTCCGCGGCAGGAAGATCACGGTGATCAACATGGGACTTTTTTTCTTGGCTCTCCTCTATGAACTGTACAGCGCATTCTTTCGTATCTGGTGACGGACGTGGCGGATGCAGATTACCGGCAAGGGGGGGTTGTTTATGCCCGTGAACATGGGGAGGAGATAAAACAGCAGAGCTGAGCTGACAGGCATGGCTGAATGACTCGGAGCAGGCATGAGCGAGAAAGCCGATATGAGTCAGGGGCTTGCTTGTGCTGATGCAAGGGGTGAGAAAAAGAGATGGACGATGTTTTTCTTTTTCTTTTTTTTTTTTTTGCCCTCTGGCCCTGGGATGCGGTGGCGATGAACGGATGCATGGAGTTGCATTTTATGTACAAAGTAGTAGGCGGCAGTATAAGTCTGGGAGCGGTGAGCATGGGCAAGGCAGCTGGTGGACTAATTACACTTGATTTTTGCCTTGCAAGCAGCAGAAATTTGCCCTGGCTTGCCTGGATGCCTAAGTAATGACTGATACAGACAAAAGTAATCGATACTATGTAATTGCCTTTTTATTTTTATTTTTATTTTTTTTTTGGAAATAGAGTAAAAAGAGACGGGACACGGATAGATGCTATTCCAGATGCATGTGGAGTTACTCCGTACAAACGGCAAACAAACAACTTACTTACTTACACCCCACCTTCAAGCCCCGGAACTACCGTCAATAGATGGAAAGAAAAAAGAAACAAAATTGAAATTAAAATAAAAAAAGAAAGAATATCTTTCTTTTCTGTTCCCACACATCCATCGCCTCTGCAGGAACGAGTCATGAAGGGGAAAAACTATCGAACGATGAAATTGCGATTTAAATTAACCCGCATGCCCGGATGTCGCCCTCGGTACTTTTTTTTTTCTTTTTCTTGTCTTTTTCTTTCCTTTTTTCCGCTAAAGGGCTGAACTCCGATCTATTTGATCTAAAATAGTTCTAGACTACGACCCTTGGCGAATTTTTTTTTTTTTGGTACAGGTAATGTTGTATTACGGGACGGGAAGAAGGAAAGGGAAGAAAACGCCACCAGATTAAAAGAAGAAGAAGTGTGTGTGATAAAATAAAGTAGTCATTGATTAGAAAAAAAGGGGGCGTGTGTGGAAGAAAAAAGGAAGCAGAGCATCTAGAAGTTCTCATCCGGCTTCCGAGTAGAACAAGTGAAGTGGAGTGAAGTGAAGTGAAGTGAAGTGAAGTGGATGGATGGAATTACACTCGTAAACTAACTAACTAGTAGTTGAAAACTCCACCAAAAACGCAAAAAAAGAAACGCTGGACGAACGGGGAATCGAACCCCGGACCTTTCCCATGCGGAAGTATCTAGTCTTTCAAAGGCCAGAAGATGCTAAGGGAAAATTATACCACTAAACCATCCGCCCATGCTATGCGTTGCTTCAATCGTGATGGCAAGAGGCTCAAGAAGCCATCGCGAGAACCCGAGACCCAAGTCTGTCAGCGCAACACCACTGCTGTGGGAGGAAACCAGAATATTCACATCACTCAGGCCGCCATGTAGAAAAGAATGTCATCATCGTATTCATTTGTATACGCCAATAGGCCCATCCTGTCACCTGGCCAGCGGTTCCTTGGCTTTAATCTCCCTAATCGTGTCTCTTGTCCTTGCATTGTCCTCAAAGCTGGCGTGTATCAGATCAATCACCTCGTCCACCGTAAAGTACAAGCTCAGCTCGCTATCACACCACAGGAACTTGACTTCGTTGAGGTTGCTCTGCAGGACCTCGCCTAGATACTTGAGGCGCAGCCAGCTGGGCGCATACTGAGCCGTCGTGGGCATTTCATCTGGCACCGGTGCTGTACCGGCTAATTTGCTGGGCATGAATAGATCGTCAAGTTCTGTTGCCAAAGCTATGAGCTGGGCGATGCTATAGGCCTCATCCTGGCCAATGGACGACATTTCCAACACATCTGATATTATCCGTGAAGAAAGTGCGTCTGCAAGAGACCCGACAGCCTGAGACCAGACGGATCTCCTCAAGATAGGGTCCCACGTTGCGGCCACACTTCGAATGCGCGTTGTTCCGGCCTCGATAGACGCCTCTCTATCGTCTTGTTGTGCCAAGCTCTGTGAACCCCCAATAAGGTCTTGCAGTATTGTCTTTTGAAGACTCATTTCGTTAGAATAACTGCGGTTAGCAAAGCTTTTGAGTGTCCTAACATCATTGTCGATACGGAGCATGCTTCGTGCTCGAGGTGTCAGATCCTCGCGTTGTTTCCAGGCCAAAGAAAAGTCAGATAGCTTCTCTGACAGATACATGGCGTCGTTATATAGAAACCTAATGGCTGTGTTAGTCCGAGTTCAGGCTTGAGACTTGTCGGGTTGCCAAGCTTACATGTTGCCTCCAGCGTCAGACGAGTAATATTGAGGCGAAATTGCTCGAAACAGTGCCAGGATGAATGTAGGCAAGCTGAAGAGGCCGGGTGCCGTTGCTGTTAGCAGATTATATTCATCTCCTTCCCTCGTCAACGCTGCTCCGTCTTCCAGAATGGAGAATATTAGTTCGAGAACAGGCTCAGGCATTGATGAGATGCTGTATGTCTCTTTAAAGACCAACTCTCTTGTCTCTTCTTTAGCTTTGTTCGGCTTTGTCTTGGGAGCTACTGGCGCAGGGGCTACAGCGGGAGCAGGGACGACATGGCCCTCTGGTTCAGGAGCGTCTCCATCATCGCCCCAACCCCATGCATCAGCGCCATCATCCTCATCTTGTGCTTCAGCGGCGTCTTTTGCTTCTGCTGCCTGATTCGCATCGTCGTTATCCCCCCAACCCCAAGCATCAGCACCGTCATCCTCGTTAGTAGCTTCAACAGTTTCCTTTCTCTCTGGCTTTGTATCCTTGTTGTTTGCTTCATCATTATCATCCCACCCCCATGCACCTGCAGCATCGTCGTCGTCTTTACTGTCGATTTCCATTTGTTCATGAGTCTGGGGCGCCTGCTCATTCCCATCTCCTGCCTTTTCGTCATCCCATGCCTCTCCCCAGTCCTCACCCCAGTCGTTTGTGTCTGCAACGGCTCCAGCACCGGTTCTAGAGAGCTCTTTACCCTCCGCGATGGAAACCATTTGCCTCTCAATCTTTTCCACTCGTTTTGATTGCCCAATCCCGCTCGCGAGATTGACTCGGACGCTATTGAGCGCCGTCTCCCTGCTTTTTTCGAGCCATATTGTGGGCGCCTTACCAGCCCAGTCTTGTATTTGCTCAAGGCCGGTGAATCCACTGTGTTGAAGAGTTTCACAAAATGATTTCATTTTTGAAACTAGAGCCTGAAATTCATCCAGGTCCTTGAGTCCTGAGGGAACAGCAGGGTTGAGCCACTCCCTAGTAAGTTTGGATATAATGTCGCCCATCATGACACCAGCTAGCGGTTGAAGTAGATCGGCTGGTAATTTGTGAGCGATAAATGTCAGAATTTGTTCGAGATCTGATAATAGGGCTTCCGCGGAGTTGTCAGCAGACCCTGCAAGCTCTAGCACGTCTCCTTCTACTTTGATGCCTGGGATGTTTGATCTTGTAGCATCCATGCGTGGTGATACTACTGCGGCATCCAAGTTATGCCACAGCTGCTCCATCCTCTCGTCAACCTCTTTATAGGCCTTCAAACCAACAACAGCATCGTCCAGGACCATTTTCTCATCTACAAAGATCAGCACGTCTACCGGAGAGAGGGCTGGGGGTGGAGATTTGCATATGCTGACCTTGACGTGTATTGTAGATTGCAACCTTTCCCAAGTCTGTATCGACTTGTACCAGAGTTTTCCAGACGTGGTCGAACACTTGGTGTATATCGGACTTTAGCTCAAACGCCCGAAGGTCCAAGAGCTTCATTACTCGAGTAGTCTTGCTGACGCCCACCTCGTCGAGGGCCGCCCATGATTCTTCCTCAAAGTCAGCCCAGGCCAGCAATGAATAAATAGGGATACGAACTCTCAAGCAGCCGTAGTGAGTCAAGAACACGCCTTTCTCTGCTTGCCTGCTCGACTTCGATGAGGAGCTGGTTGACATGCTGGATCCGCCTTAGGACATTGTGCATCTGCTGGCTGTATTGAACCTCTCGATTGAGGAAGTCGGCTTTTTCCTCCGCATCTTGGATGGCTTCGCCAGTCACATCAGGGGCCTCGGATTGACGGATGATGTCATTGGCAATGGTCTTTGATCGGATAATATCCTCCTGCAGAACCTTTGAGTTTTGCACCCACGAGCTGATGTCATCCTTCGTCACTTCGTTTATGGTGTGAATTTCGGCCTAAAAATGGTTGCGTTAACACATGCAGCCTTGCCGCAGCAACATCTGGTGGTGCCTCGTGTACCTCGATATCCACCTTGGCCTTGCCCAGAGCTACGATTGTAGGGTCTAGATCAGTTTCTGAGACCGAAGGCAGTGCGGAAACGTCATCAGGAAAGCTCCCTTCCAAGGCAAACGATAGGACGGCATTGCTAAGCTGTTGCGGCTCCGTCGCGGCCGCCATTGTGGTTGCCTCGGGTGGCCCTTGATAGCTGTCGTTTTGATATGCCTGGTCTAGGAAAGGTGGTGATAAGACTCAGAAAATCCCATCAATGGTAAGCAAAGGATTCGCTCGCATCGCCGGACATGGCATTCGTGCGATGGGGCTAAGGGCGCGTCGGTTTGCGCAAATCAGAAGGACTCGATCCTATCTTTCGGTGTTGCTGTCATTTGAGCTCTCTGGGACTGGCAACTTGATTGGCCTAGCACAAACGGTACGTACCCGGGTCTCGCTGCAGCTCAGCTGGCATGTGGTGCGCCACACTGGCTGAGGCTGGCGCCTATACGTACCTGTTGGGTTGGGCAACGCGCCTAATGGCGGTTAAACCCCTCACTCTGTGGCGCAGCTCGGCATGTTACTTCACATGCTCTACCCCACCAACATTGATGCATGAATGGAACAAACTATTTGGGTACGTACACTGCATCACCTTCCAGTTAGTATTGTTCTTTTGCTGAGAATCCTTTGCAGCAGCGACTAGACAGGGATCGACTATTTAAATCCCATTGCTGTCAGCCTTCCGCCTTTGGTCTCGTCTCTTCAGGCAAAGAGACATTCCATAAGCAATCGTTGCCCCTCTTCGATCAGCAGACGGAGGGCCTCTTCTCTTCTCTTCCCACCTCCTGTTGGCTTACCAGCGGGGTAGATTGAGCAGGTAGCTTAACAAACGCTGTTCAGGCAATTTCATCTTCGCCGGGTAGAGCACAGTTTGCTCTGTCTCTCGATAGCAAGGCGTCGTTGTGTTTGGTGAGTTCCAGGCTGCTGAGAACAGCTCCCAAAGCCCTTTGCTCCTTTCCCCCTTCGAATCTCCCCGACGCCTCTACAGCCTGATTGCCTTGTCATCCGTATCACTCCTTGTCAAAGCCCTGAGCTGGGAGCCATCATTCGGCTTCTACGCAACATTGCAGGAAGATTCTGTTGGATGCTGTCAGCCAGGCTTACAAACAAGATACTGCCGCTCATTGTCGCCATCTTCAGTGCTGGTTTGTACTTTCTATTCATCAGCGACCATGGCCAATCTGCCCATGCATTCCTGGAAGCCTACCTGCTGAGGTTGGTCCTCTCTATACTACTCTCTAAGTGGTCCATGCGGACAAACCATTCGCTTACTACACCCCCTCCTCGAAACATGAACCCAAATCCCACCAGTTTGCTTCTTCTCCAGCACACCAATTCAGTATCGAGTGACTGGATTCCGCCTGTCTCACAGCAATCTCTTCTTACTCACGGGACTTGTACGATCTCGCTGCTTTACCAAGGCTGTTCAAGTGCCTTGCCTTTTTTTTTCTGTCTCTCAGTTGTGCTGACTGAGTGCTGCTTAGGTCTGGCTGGAAGGGGCACCCTTTCTCGGAAGACTCCAGGATGCCGTCACAAAAGATAAAGCCCAGTTTCCGCAAGGTTCAAACCTTCAAGACCGATTACGCGCCCTGCACAATCACTCAATATGTGTCCGAGCGGAGTGGTATGCAGGTCGTAGTGGCTGACCGCAAGGGGCCAAAGATCAATGGCTACTTCACCCTGGCCACCGAGATCTTCGACGATTCTGGAGCCCCACATACCCTTGAGCATCTAATCTTCATGGGCTCCAAGAATTACCAGTGGAAAGGCCTTCTGGACAAGCTGTCTTCCCGCGCGTACTCTAGCACGAACGCCTGGACTGCCACCGATCACACAGCCTATACCCTTGAGACAGCTGGCTGGGATGGTTTTGCCCAGATCCTCCCCGTCTACTTGGAGCATGTGATCCTACCTACGATTACCGACGACGGTATTGTCACCGAAGTTTGGCACATCGATGGCGAGGGTAACGATGCAGGTGTCGTGTACTCGGAAATGCAGGCTGTGGAGAATCGCAGCACCGAAATCATGGATCTGAAGGCCCGCCGGCTTTTATACCCAGAAAACGTCGGTTTTCGGTACGAAACAGGCGGCATGACGGAGGCTTTGCGAGTTCTTACCCCTGAGCGCATTCGCCAATTCCACAGGGACATGTATCAGCCGCGCAACTTGTGCGTTGTTATTGTAGGCGAAGCTGATCACGAGAACCTCCTGGAAATCCTAGATGCATTCGAGGAAAGTATCAAAGATGATATTCCTGCCCTCGATACCCCATTCAAAAGGCCCTGGACAGACTCAGCTCAGCCGCCCGTCCTCAAAGAAAGCATTGTCACGACAGCAGAGTTCCCAGAGGAGGACGAGTCCGTTGGTGAAATCCTCATTGGCTTTTTCGGTCCTCCTTGTACCGATGTTCTTGCTACATCGGCTCTTAACATTCTTCTTACGTATCTTTGTGGTTCATCGGTCTCCGTATTGGAAAACACACTTGTTGAACGGGAGGAACTAGCAAGCTCTGTATCATACTGGTGGGAATCCAGACCGAACTCGCTCATTTGGCTGCAGCCCACCGGTGTGGCAACGGAGAAGCTGGCCTTTGTAGAGAAGCGTCTTTTTGAAGTCTTGAAGGATGTTGTGTCAAAGCCCTTGGACATGGATTACATGAGAGAGTGCATTCGAAGAGAGAAGCGACAGGTCAAGTATCATGCTGAGACGTCAGAATCATTCTACTCTACCAACATCATTACCGACTACCTCTTTGGAAAACGCGACGGCTCCACGCTCAAGGAACTGGAAACTTTGGCAGAGTATGATGTTCTTGAAAAATGGTCGGATGAAGAATGGCGAGCATTCATGAGAGAGTGGATGGCTGATGCTCATCACATCTCCATCTTGGGTAAGCCATCTCTGGAATTGGCCACCAAGATCAAGAGTGACCATGAAGCTCGTATCGCCAAGCGCAAAGAGGAACTTGGAGCAGATGGGCTGCAAAAGCTCGCACAAAGACTCGAAGAAGCCAAGAGCAAAAATGATGCACCAATCCCACCTGAGGTAATTGATCGCTGGGCTGTTCCCGGCACAGAGTCGATTCACTTCATAGAATCAGATACTGCTCGCTCCGGCAATGCCAAGTCTGTTGGCCTGGGTCCCGGACGTGCGCAGGAGCTCATCAATGCTGCTTCGGATGGCAAGCTACCGCTTTTCATTCAGTTCGAGGATGTACCTACAAACTTCGTCCACATCACTCTTCACGTTGGCACATCTAAAGTCCCTGTTCACCTGAAGCCCCTGATATCAATCTTTAGTGACAATTTCTTCAACACCCACATCACACGGGATGGGCAGAAGATCAACTTTGAGCAGGTCGTCATGGAGCTGGAGAGAGACAGTGTTGGCTACGACATTGGAAGCTCTCGACAGCTTGGTGACACAGAAGGATACATGATTCAGTTCCAGGCGGAGCCCGAAAAATATGATGCCGCTGTCAACTGGCTTCGTACTATGATGTTCGACTCCGTCTTCGACCCTGTCCGAATCAAGGCAGCTGTTATGAAAGCCTTGGCTGACATCCCAGAATCCAAGCGTGATGGGCGCAGCATGGCCGCTGAAGTGGACACAGCCATTCACACGGAAAAGTCTACTCTTACAGCTGCCAGACGGGTTGTTGTTAAGGCGGTCTACCTCAAGCGTATTAAGAAGCTCTTGAAGAAGAAACCAGACCAGGTTGTGGAGTGGTTCAATGAGATCCGTAACTCTCTTTTCACATTTGAAAATTTGAGAGTCCTTGTCACGGCGAATTTGCAAAATCTCCCCAACCCCATCACTACTTGGGATTCGCTCTCCACAGCGCTCAAGTCACAGAATGAGTCTATGGCTCCTATTCCAAAGCCATCGAGTATTTTGAACGAGGAAGGAAAGGCTCCCGGTTCTGTGGGTGCCACGATCATCCCCATGACAGCTCTTGACAGCTCTTTCTCCGTGAGCACTGCCCCTGGCCTCTCTTCATTTTCAGATCCTATGGTGCCTGCCCTTATGGTAGCAGTAGGATACCTCGAGACAGTAGAGGGACCTCTGTGGAATGCTGTCCGCGGCGCCGGGTACGCCTACGGCACCTTCTTCACGCGCAACGTTGAAAGCGGAGTCATATCCTTCAAAGTGTACCGCTCTCCAGACGCGTCCAAGGCCATCATTGCTTCACGGGATGCCATTCAGAAGATTGCCAACGGCGACGTGCCAATTGACAAGCACCTGCTGGAAGGCACCATCAGCCAGATTGTGGTCACCTTTGCAGACGAGCAGTCCACCATGCCCAGCGCTGCCCAGCAGAATTTCGTCCAGAGCGTGTTCAAGGGGCTGCCCAAGGATTGGAGCAAGGTTATCTTGAAGCGCGTTAGAGAAGTAACCGAGGACGAGATTCGACAGGCACTCAAGGACTTCGTCATGCCTTGCTTTGAGCCGGGCAAGAGCAATGTCGTGATTACGTGCGCCAAACTAATGCAAGAGGTATTTGTTCAATCCACTTTGGGTTTTCACTCGTTTTATGTGTGTGAGGCATGCTGATCATTGTTTTTGCTTAGGGTATCGAAACTGCATTCAAGGGTATGGGCTACAAGGTCCAGACTCATGAGCTCAGTCACTTTCACGATGACTACGGTTTGGATGCTGGTGATGACGAGGAGGAAGATGAGGATGAGGACGACGAAGATGACGATGAAGATGAGTTTGATGATGAGGAGGGGAGCGAAGAGGATGAGGATGAGGACAAGGACTAGATATCTGGGTTAGATGGACACAAAGCCCCAAGGGCAGGCTCTCCGACCTCCAGCATAGGCTCGTATAGAGTAACATAGGCAACTAGAAACATGCTGCAAGATGGTACGAATGCACATTTACGAAAACCATGACTTTGCTTTTGAAAAAGCATCGGTGTATTGTTCACTTTGAACTTCTACCTTTACGCATATCTCCCTAATTTTTTATAACATCTTACAACTCGTCGCGGCCACTGGCTTTGACGACACCCTCGTCCTCCTTCTCGCTAACGGCCTGTTCGCCCTTCCAGTCCAGGGCCTTGAGGCGTTCTGAGAGATGGGGGTGGGAGAAGTGATAGCTCGCGTACATCCAGTCAGCGTCCATGGAGCTGAGATTCTGGATATGCAGCTTGATAAGCGATGTGGCCAGCTCGGTGCGCATACCCAGGTCGTTGGCGAACTTGTCAGCCTGGAACTCGAAGGTGCGGGAGACGATGTGCAAGAGGAACTGGATGACAGTGTCCATTGGCGAGAGAGCATCGGAGAAGAGGAGGAAGCCGATGATGATGGGGTGCTCGTTGTGGAAGCCAAAGGAAGCATAGAGGGAGCGGTTGTTGATGAAGACGGAGAACAGGCTGAAGACGTAGAGGAGATGGGCCTGGAGACTATGTTAGTGATGCTATTCGGGTCAAGTTATGGCGGTTATCGAAGCGCGCGTACCTGAGAGATACCAAAGAGGCTTGTAGTGTGTCCCAGCTTCCAGTGACCAAGCTCGTGAGCCAAGATGGCGAGAACCTCCTGTGGCTCAGACTTTTCCAAAAGGGTATCGTAGATGACAATGTGCTTCTTCCATGGAAGGCCGTAAAAGAATGCGTTGGAGTGAGCGCTGCGCTTGCTACCATCGATGACATACAGCTCGTGGAGGGGGAACTTGAACTGGGCGGCTAATTCATTGACCTTGGTCTTGAGCTCGCCATCCTCGAGGGGGGAGAGCTTATTGAACAGGGGCTGGATGAAGGTGGGGTAGAGGGTAGTCATCAGAAGCTGCAGGCTGGCAACAAAGACCCATGTGTAGAAGACAAACCCGGAGCCAGTCTTCTGGATGATCTTGAGGAAACCAGCGAGGATCGGGGGCATCAGGACGGCAGTGAGCAGGTTGGTCTTGACCATGTCGGAGATGAAGAGGCTGGGCGTCTGCTTATTGAAGCCAAACTTTTCTTCCAGGACAAAGGTGCTGTATACGCGGGTCGGCAAGCTCAGCCCCTGCTGGATGAGCATAAAGGCAAAGACGAAGACAATCGAGTGCGAGATTTCACCCGTGAAGCGTGCGGGCGCATACTTGAGCAGCAGGTCGCCGGTCCAGGACCACAGCTTGGGCATGACATCGAGTTGGATAAAGGCAAAGTTGACGAGTTGGCCCCACAGGCCGCTGGCGACGGAGAACTGGGCTTTGGCACGGCCATAGGCTTGCGACTTGTCAAACGTCTCTTGGTTGACTTCCTTGGCGAGGACGGCGGGGGGCTTGGGCAGCTGGAGGACACGGTATTGGCGGAAGGTGAGCAGGGACTCGAAGACGAACTGGCCGACGGAGAAGCCCAGGACGAGTCTCTTCCATGGGAACAGCGGGCGATCGAGGAATTGCGACAGGCGCTGCGGGGGGGAAGCAGAAATGTCATGGTTAGCTTGGGTGTTTATATGACGTTGGATAGGTATAGTAGTTATGAAAAGTATTTGAATGAAGCTCAGAGTTATGACAATCGAGGCTAATGCCCTGCCTGTAGACGTACCTGTAGAAAGTCCATGATGGCCGTATCTTGATGTCGTCAGGACATCAAACAGCTGGACAGTTTTGCAGAGGTTGAATGAAGATGGACGAATCCTGCAACAACGTAATACTGGGGGAGGCCAGGGTGTCAGGTACCGTTGCGATGCGCGTTGCTGAGCTAATGCATTCCCCGAAGCGGCTCGGATGCTACCCGGGAAGGCCCTGGCTTCGCCGCCAGAATATTACAGGTAGGTACCTGGACCTGATGTAATACAGCACGAGCTTGGTGATATTTGCAAAGGTGTTTATTCAGGTCGCAGAACTAAAGGTTCCCTACCCATTGGCCATTTACTTGCGCCCCAATGCCGTTGAATGCCTATGTAAAATCATCATACTGATGATCGTCATGTCCCATTGACTTCAGCTTCCCTAAGCGGAGCTACAGGGCACCGCTAACTGTTACGTGCCCCGGTACCTCAAGGTGGCTGGACAGGTACCGCGGCTGCTTCTGCCCTTAGCAGCGATCCCCACTGAGCAACAGCCAGTACCTGCTTGGGCCTTAGCCATGACTCCGCGCGCTACCTCGGGCTCTATTAGGGCAGTGTTAAATGTATCTATTACGACACCTCTTCTGCTTTACTAAGTCGTGTGTCCAAGTATTACTGCTCTTACAGTACGAGCAGCAGCTGGGGCACGCGACCCGAATAGAGCCTCATGCTTAGGTACTTTTATTTGTTGAATCATCTCATACGAGTACAACACGTTTCAGAAATGATGCTGAGAGGAGGAAAAAAAAAAGGTTCGCCGAAAAAGAAGCGATGCAATTGATAATGTCGAGGAATATAGCTTAGTACTACACAAACAAACAATACATTGGACGGATCGCATCCCGCTCTGCTGTAGAGTCGCTAGAGGCCAGACAGACAAGAGGCCACGCTTCTACAAGCATCACTGCTTAGCTATCTCTTGAGCCTGAGCCCTTGAGCGTCTGACAATCTCATAGAAAAGCGGTCCACGCTCATCTCGTGGCACTTTGTCAAAATCTGGCCTTGGGACCCCACGGGGCAGATATTTCTCTAGGCATAGATTCAGCAGGGCGGGAAGCCATGGCTCGTTCTTCAATGGCTCCAACAGATAAGGGAGCAGCTGGTCTGGCGGCACACTGCCGAGCTTAAACTCCTTCTGGATTGCCTCTGGGGGTACGCCCGTCGCCAATGCCCGAATAACCGATTCCTAATGTCCATTCGTAGTTGGCTGAGGCGGGCGTTCCGGGCCATATGGCACTGGGGGGGCCTGTTCGCTCGGTTGAGGCTCCTCTTCAGTATCATCGTCGAACTCACTAAGTCCTTCCTCTTCGCCTTCCTCGTCAGAGTATTCGCTGTCTTCACCCTCGCCATCTGCGCCTCCACGTGTTTCCGGAAAACACGCCTCGACTGCGCTGGCCGCGGCAGGTGGAACTTTCCGCCCCTGTTGCTGCATCTGTTGGATGATGCTCATGAGCTTCTCGTTCTTCTTATCCGCGGCCTCGATTTTCCTCTTCCAATCTTGCCGCTCTTCCGCCATGTGGATAATGTTAGCTGTGGTCGCCTCTTTTTGTCTCTTAAGCGCCTCATTCTCCTTCTCCAGCCGCTTGCCCTTTTTTGACATGTCCTCCATTTCTTTTCGGAACGAGAGAAACAGGTCGTTACTGTTATTAAGTGTGTCCTCCACCTATAAGATGGAGTGTCAGTGCTGGGTAGTTAGTGGGCCAATGCAAGCTGTGCTGCATACCTGTTTAAACTTGTCCACGTATACATTGAGCTGATTCCTCAGCTCCGTCTCCGTCTTGGTAAAGGCGTGGACCTGAGCTTGCAAGTGACGCGCTTTCGTCGATTCGGCCTCGGCGTTCTTCTTCTCCCTATCATGGCGAGACAGATGATACTGGACCTCCAGTTCCTTGGTCCTCATAAGAGAGTGGAAATGAAGTTCGCGCAGCTCGTACTGCTCAATGAATGATTTGAACCGGACTCGGAACCTGGTAATTCCCCACGTTAGTCAGGCAATGTACACTAGAGACAACTCTCCAACCGTGAGGCGGCGGGGCGGGAAAATTTACAGTTCGTCCATTTCCATGTCCACGACTTGTTTCTTCGGGGTGTCCTTTTCCTCTTGATACCCCTCTAACTTTGACAACAAGCTCGCAAATTTCTCGTCCCAGGCCGTGTTATTTCGCTTCTGCGTGCTCTGGAGCTCCTTGTTCTCATTCTGGGACCCAGTGTCAGTGCGCCATGTTACGCCCAAGAGTCGATAGCTTGTTTTGCTGGGCTAACCTTCATCTTGTTATTGTCTCTCTGCAGTTCTCGACACAGCTTTTCCAGCTTCTCCTTCAGTCCCACCGTCTTGCTGAGTTCCGTACGACTGGCGTCTCGCTCTTTCTGGAGGGCATCTCCGCGTTTCTTGTTCTTCTGGTTTTCCCTTTCTAGGCGTCGCATGTCGGCTAGGAGTTCGCTGGAGCGCTTCATGAGGTGTTCAATCTTCTGCATGTCGTCCATTTTGGACACCTGCTGCAAAAGATCTCGATTGGCGCGCTTGACTTCTCTCTCTGTTTTACGTATATGAGCATTAATCCACCTCGGGGTTTCTAAACGACATAGCTGGCCCGAGTGGTCTCGGGATGACTATTCCTTCCATCGCAAAAGTTTCTGCACGCACCTATTTCCATCTCTTGGTCTTTCTCTCCAGCAGCATCTTGCTCCAGCTGCGAGATACGGGCCTGGAGCAGGCGCGACGCTTCGGTTGAATCCATTCCCCTCTTTCCTTTGGCCTTCTTATTCGCAACGGGAGATGAATGTACATGTGGTTCATGGCCATTCGTTAGGGCCGTCTCCACATGGGTTGCCGGCATGGCTCGAGAGGATCGTCAAGGCGGAGAGTTTCGGCAGGGCACGAGTCGCATCAAGGGCCAAATCACATCGGTAGAGAGCCGTGGGCACACGGGAAGCGCTCTTGAGGCGGCCGGGTCCTCCCTATTCCCTTATATCGCTGAAATCAATCGATGTCGGGTTCTAAACGTCGGCTAGCCTGCAGACTGTGGCGGGCAACGGCTTGGGCGGCTAAGCAAGCGGAATTGCCGTCAAAATGGATCGCCGGCTGAGGCTGTTGGCCGGGCTACTGGGCAATAAACGATGCTGATGCTTACGAGATGCCGATGAATCGCGAATTGAGGTCCGAGACGGGTGTTATGACGTCGTTGCGCTCCAGACGTGCTGAGACTTGTCCCCAGCCGTCGATGAAAAGCATGTGTAGGTTGGAGGCGTGACCAGGTGGGTGGTAATTCGTAGAATTCTAATAGTGCGATGATGCGGCGTGCAGGTTGCAATTTGTTAGTGCCTCAATGGATTAGGTCAGCAGCCAATATGGTGGGGTTGTTAGTGCACTAGCAACCGTGTGGCCGGAAGCCTTGGGGGCCCTTGCCGAAGACATCACTGGCAGCCTGACTAAGCGCTGCCTTCAACTCTGAAATTTCTACCGAGGAGATCCGCGATGACTCGCAGCGTTAGCATCAGCATCAGCACCCTCTCGTCCTAGCAGCCGTCGTTTTCTTGATTGCGTGGTTGAGCCGTGGGCCCTGTGCAGCTGCTGGAGCCCTCATCTCACTTCTGCTTCAATGTATAATTAGAATCTTTTCTTCTTTTCCCCTCCGTTATAGACATCGATCATCATGTTGCGCAACGCCGCCAACACGGCTCGCAAGACCGTGACGGATCTCGCCTTGTACCCGAAGCCTGGGTCCAAGCTCCATGGATTTACTCTCGTCCGAGCAAAGCATGTTCCGGAGCTGGAACTGACGGCACTGCAACTGCAACACGACAAAACTGGCGCCGACTACTTGCACATTGCGCGCGATGACACCAACAATGTCTTCTCTATTGGCTTCAAGACGAACCCTCCCGACGATACCGGCGTCCCCCACATCCTGGAGCATACCACTCTTTGCGGCAGCGAGAAGTAAGGATGTCTTTTGGCAGCCAGCGGGAAGCGATGGCTGACAATGTCCTAGATATCCTATTCGCGATCCCTTCTTCAAGATGCTGCCCCGGACCTTGTCCAACTTCATGAATGCGATGACAGCTTCAGACCATACCTTTTATCCCTTTGCAACCACCAACGAGCAGGATTTCAAGAATCTAATGTCCGTGTACCTCGACGCAACACTTCATCCATTGCTGAAGCAATCCGACTTTCAACAGGAAGGCTGGCGAATTGGACCTGAGAACCCGTCAGCAGAGACTGCAGAGGGCAAGAAGCTTGTCTTCAAGGGGGTCGTGTATAACGAGATGAAAGGCCAGATGTCAGACGCGGGATACCTCTACTACATTCGATTCCACGATCACATCTTCCCCGATATCAATAACTCCGGTGGCGACCCTCAGAAGATCACAGATTTAACCTATGAACAGTTGAAGAATTTCCACGCAGAAAACTATCACCCAAGCAATGCGAAGCTGTTTACCTACGGAGATATGCCTCTAGCGGATCACCTGCGGGAAGTTGACACCAGGCTTCAGGCCTTTGAGAAGATCGCCAAGGACAAGATTATTCATCTACCGATCGAGCTGAATGGCCCTAAGGAAGTTACCCTTCATGGCCCACAGGATCCATTGGTCGCTCCGGATCGACAGTACAAAACATCGGTATCTTGGATCACTGGTGATACTACTGATGTGGTAGAATCGTTCTCAGTATCATTGCTCTCTACACTCTTGATGGACGGCTACGGGTCGCCGTTGTATCGGGGTTTAATAGAGGCCGGTATGGGGGCTGACTGGAGCCCCAACGCAGGCTACGACAGCTACGCGAAACGCGGCATCTTCTCAATTGGTCTTACTGGCGTCCAGGAATCCGATGTTCCCAAGGTCAAGGGCAAGATTCAGGAGATTCTGCGGGAAGCGAGGAACAAAGGTTTTGACCAGGGCAAAATCGATGGCACACTTCACCAGCTCGAGCTTTCCCTTAAGCACAAGACGTCCAATTTTGGCTACTCCATGCTCAACAGACTGAAGCCGAAGTGGTTTAACGGCAGCGATCCCTTTGATTCTTTGGCCTGGAATGACACCATTGCTGCTTTCCAGGCCAAGATGGCCGAGGGTGGTTATTTGGAAGGCCTGATGGACAAATACCTACTCAATGACAACACCTTGACTTTCACCATGGCGCCATCAGCCACCTTTGGCGACGACTTGATTGCTGAGGAACAATCGCGACTATCTTCCAAAATCCAGGATGCCGTGAACAAGGCTGGAGACGAGGAGAGTGCTCGCCTGCAATTCGAGAAACAGGAGCAGGACCTACTGGTGGAGCAAAACAAGACCACTACCGAGGATCTGAGTTGCTTGCCTACCGTCTATGTCAAGGACATTCCAAGATCAACGGACCCAACGATTGTGCGAGATGAAATTGCTGATGGTATTCCGATCCAATGGCGAGAGGCGCCAACCAATGGTCTGACTTATTTCCGCGCCATCAACACATTGGAAAATTTGCCCGATGAGCTTCGAGAGCTCATTCCTTTGTTTACGGACAGCATCATGCGTCTAGGCACGAAGGACATGACGATGGAACAGCTCGAGGATCTCATCAAGCTCAAGACGGGCGGCGTTTCTGTCGGCTATCACTCCACGCCTTCACCGACAGACTTTGCTCAGTCCAGTGAAGGCATCATTTTCACCGGTATGGCGCTTGATAGGAACGTACCTGTCATGTACGACATTCTACGCAAACTGGTTCAAGAGACCGACTTTGACAGCCCGGAGGCTTCCCTGCGCATTCGACAGCTGCTGCAAGCTTCGGCTGACGGAGTTGTCAATGATATCGCGTCATCTGGACATCGGTTTGCGATGGGCCACGCCGAATCGAGTCTGACTCGCAGCGCTTGGCTGCGGCAGCAGGTAGCCGGCCTGTCACAGGTTAAACTGGTCACCTCGTTGACGAGCAGGCCGGAATCCGATCAGCTAGAGGATGTCATCAGCAAACTCAAGAAGATCCAGGCGTTTGCTCTGACCAGCGGTAAGATGCGCACTGCCCTTACGTGCGGCACCGAGAACGTGCAAGAGAACCTGAACTCTCTAAAGAGCTTTACGGGAGGGTTGTCTCGAGAAGTGTCAGGAGTGGCACACAGCAGCCCATCACCCCTTCCCAGAGATAGCAAGGCTTTCTTCCCTCTGCCATATCAAGTCTATTACGGAGGCCTCTCTGTCGCCACAACATCTTACACCTCACCCGAAGGTGCGCCGCTGCAGATTCTCGCACAGCTGTTGACACATAAGCACCTTCACCACGAGATTCGAGAGAAGGGCGGTGCCTATGGCGGCGGGGCTTATTCGAAGGCTTTGGAAGGCTTATTTGGATTCTACTCCTACCGTGACCCTAACCCGCAAAATACATTGAGCATCATGCGCAATGCGGGACGATGGGCTGTGGAGAAGGAATGGAGCGATCGAGACCTGGAAGAGGCCAAAATCTCAGTCTTTCAGGGAGTTGACGCTCCGAAGTCGGTAAACCAGGAGGGCATGGCAAGATTTTTGTCCGGAATTACGGATGAAATGAAGCAGAGGAAGAGAGAACAGCTATTAGACGTGACAAAGGAACAGGTCAGGGACGTGGCACAAAAGTTCCTTGTCGACGCTATTGAGAGAGGAGAGGAGCGTACAACCTTCCTGGGAGAAAAGCAAGGCTGGGTAGATGGATCATGGAGGGTCCATGAGATGAACGTGAACGGCGCTGAAGAGTAAGAGGGCACATACCAGCACACCAAAGGTTCCGGGTACAATGGGAAAAGGGCGTCACTGGACGGGTTATGGCTAGGTACGTTGTGATGATATGGATGTATTTACGACACAAGATGTACATTATGTTATAGAAAGTTTTCTCCTCCCGAGGGCTCATTTTTCAGGCTGAGGCTTTTTTGGTTGGCACAGACGCGTTCAGATACGATACATCTTCTTGCCGAGTCGGGTCAACCGACTCAATTCACCTATGGCATGGAGATCACAGAGCAACGCAAGAGCAAAACCACTCATTATCACACACGCCACGAGCTTGTCTCTGCCAACTACTTTCGGGCCGGTGCTGAGGTGTGCAAGCATCAAGCATTGGCACTTGAAAGAGGGGGCAGAAAGCAAGACGCGGAGTGACGTGATTAGTTCGTTCTATCAGAGCCAGAGCCCCTGAGCTTTGGGTTCCTGGACTAAAGAGCTGAGCACATTGTAAGATATTTTCCGGGCAAGGCTAGAATGAGGGGGCTTCGCTTTCACACGGAGACAGGTTGAGTTGCAGCCTGGAGGTAAGCGAAAGAGGCTGTGTTGAGTACTTGCTGTGTGATACTAAGTTGCTGGGACTGAGATGTTTTTTTTTTCTCTCTCCCTTCTCCTTGTCCGTTTGGTGCTTCCGTCATAGCACTTGACTGCGGAACGTAATAGACTGGGTCTACGAGGGAGAGGATGGCGAAGCTAGGGCTTGATTAACTGGGGAAGACTTGAGGGAAACAGCTCTTGAAGAGTGGAGAAGGTTGGCGTTTAGAGTTGGCAAAGGCCTTGTCCTTTCGGCTCGCTAGGAAGCTGAACTAACGACCTGAGACTAGGACCACTCTAGACGGCGGTTGAAAGAAAGGGGAGAGCTAGTACCGGCGTTTAACTGCAGGAGAGTGAGTACTGTCTCGGAACTCAAGGCATCTTGGGCATGGCAAACACCGATATTAGTAGCAATCTACTCTTCTGGGAATAGATTACGTGAACCTGCATATGCACCTGGAGCTATTACTGCGTCGAGCATACTTGTATTGGGAAACACCCTCACCACAAGGCAAACAGGAAACAAGAGCAAACCAGCGGTGACCAACGCTGCGAGTTCCCTTACATGAATGCATCACTACCTCACTTCTTTGCGGGGATTTCAGCAAACGAACCAATCAGTCAGGGGCGGTTGGTCATGTTTGTCATTTGTTCCCTTTTCCCGACTCCTGCGGTGTGGCGGCGGCATCGCAAAGGTTTTTGTGCTTTGCCTGGGCCAGTGAATGACTGTGAATGACGCCTGCTTGAGGGAGGCTTCCGATGACGGAAAAGCCTCTTTTGGCCGGATTTGTAGAATGGTCGTGTGAGAGGGGTAAAATGATAAAGGAAGGATGAGTTTTTTTTTTATGCTGTTTGTTTGTTTTTGTAAAAGGGGGGAGATGAAAAAGACTCAAGCTTATGGCGAGTGGACGGAGGTGTTGAGTTAGTTGTGTGAGTGAGTGATGAGTGAGAGTGACAGAGATTCGCTGGAACCGGGGACTGCTAAGAAGCACAGCCAGGGGCCACTTTCCGGAGGCAGCCCAAAGGCACAGAGTACCTACCTGTAGTAGGTAGTAGTACTACATGCTGTACGTACAAAGGCGGCATTTACGTTGGGATGCACGACATGTGCCATTAACGGAGCGACAGTGCCGAAGTCCACAGGTAACGAGTACTTACGTGAGGCAGTGGTTTGCGCATGTTGCATCATCCATTGCCTTTTGGAGGTATGCGCTGCAAAGTCTAACGTGCAGCAGTAGCGGGCGAGTATCGACAGGGGGGAGCTTGTAGGCGATCAGCTCCCATCGGGTACAACGCTGTACCCATCGGGGATAGAGCGCTTGATACCCGTCTCTGTTGGGTACCTATAATCTGGTAGTACATCAATCCAGAATATCAACATCGTGGTACCGGGTACATGAACACGAAAAAAAAAAAAAAAAAAAAAAAAAGAGGGAGAGAGAGAGAGACCAGTACTGCTTCGTCCTCATCTTGTCCTCCTCTCTCCTTGTCTCCCTACTTCTCACACACTCTTTTGCTGCAGCTTCTTGCATCAAAATCCAGCCTCTCCCATTCGCCCAAGCTCTTCCAATTGGCTCCAGTTTTCCCTCCTCCCGCCCCCAGCTGCCACTAAAATGCCATCCAAAGGCAAAATTTCTCCAAAATTGTGGGCAGCGCCAGCCGTTCCCGGTTCCTGCACGCAGGTACGTACCCAATATTCCGCACTTCGCTGTCATTTTTTATTGATTTTTTTTTTTTCGTTGGCAGAAAACAGGATAAAACCTAGCTCGACCCCTCGTCAACAACACAACTTTTCAACCGCATCCTCCTTTTTTTTATTCGCCTTGTGCGCTTTGCATTCAAACATTCCCACTGCATTTGCTGCTGCCGTCGTTGCTCTAGACTCGATTTCTAGGTAGGTTGCCTTTTTATTCTTATTCTTTTTTTTTTTTTCCCTTTTGTGCTCCTTTTTCGAGGGCGTGGCCTCATTGGCGCACCGCCCTGCACGGATTTTCCCGTTACGAGGCGAATGTCACCGCCACATAGGCACCTGATGACTCCCATCTCGAGTTGTGCGAGGCTCACCAGCCGCGTATTTTCCGATATCGCCTTCGCAGCATGGTTGCCCAGTCACGAGTTGAATGATATAAATTGAACATGCTATGCCATCTGGAGAGCTACTGAGCTAACAAGCCTTTCTTTTCCGCTACTCTAGAGCTTCCTCTGTCCTCTCTTCGATACCGTCTTGGTGCCTTTGGTCTCTACAAAGGCACTCACCTCTCCCATCACGGCTCCCCAGGCCGTGACTGACAAAGATTTCTGCGCTCGCAAGATACCTCACATCATCAACACCATCCCCCCACCCGCTGCTTGGACACTCTAAGCAGCTCCGCGACTTCTTGCTTTTCGACGTGCCGCCTCGTCACCAGCCTCCGTCCCCGTCGTTAAACGACACCCATCAGCTGCCGCATAGGAGGAGTTCTGCGGTTCTTCCTCTCGCCGAGGAAGAGTCGTCGAGGAGGCCTCGCCAGATCACTGAGGGAACAGTCTGCTATCGCTTTCGACCACCCTAACAACCGCTTTGCTATATAGCTGCACAGTTTCCCCTTTTTAGAAAACAGCTTCGGACCTCTCTTCGAACTACTTTTCTTTTTCTTCAAAGAAAACATCCCCCCGATAAACTCTTGGGATATGGTTATGGCAACAGCTGTCCTCGACAATTACGTCCACAATGTCATCCATAATCATGTTGTGAAGAAGAAACCCCAGTATCTGGGCGCTCTTCAGAACAATGTTGCTATTGATCCGAAGCAATTGATCGGTGAGGCCTTCCACCAGCGCGTGGGGGCCGTTGACCATGAGCTCTGCGACCCCGGTGAAGAAGATACCTTCTTCGTAGCAGACCTTGGTGAGGTTTACCGCCAGCATCTCCGCTGGAAGAAGAACCTGCCCCGCATCAAGCCTTTCTATGCCGTCAAGTGTAACCCTGACCCCAGGGTCCTCCAGCTTCTTGCTGCGCTCGGCACTGGCTTTGATTGCGCCTCCAAAGGCGAGATTGAACAGGTCTTGGGCCTCGGTACTAGCCCAGACCACATCATCTACGCTCAACCCTGCAAGACCAACTCCTATGTCCGCTATGTCAAGTCGGTTGGTGTCAAGCAGATGACCTTTGACAATGCTGATGAGCTCCACAAGATCGCCAAGCTGTTCCCAGGCGCCGAGCTCTTCCTTCGCATCATGACTGACGACACCTCGAGCTTGTGCCGCCTCAGCATGAAGTTCGGTGCCCCCATGGACACTACCGAGAGCCTCCTTGCCCTGGCCAAAGAACTGGGACTCAACGTTGTCGGCGTGAGCTTCCATGTGGGATCTGGCGCTTCCGATCCCGCAGCTTTCTACAAGGCCGTTCTCGACGCCCACACCGTCTTCCAGCAGGCGCGCACCTATGGATTTCACTTGCGAGTCCTCGACGTCGGCGGTGGTTTCTCCGGAGAGACTTTTGAGAAGATGGCCGGCGTCCTTGACAGTGCTCTAACTGAGTATTTCCCCTCTGGATGCGGCGTTGACATCATTGCCGAGCCTGGTCGTTTCTACGTTGCTACCGCCTTTACTATTGCGTGCAACATCATCGCTCGTCGTACCGTCGATGATCCCTCGGTCCAGACCACTAGCTACATGGCCTACATCAACGACGGAGTCTATGGCAACTTCTCGAGCATCATGTTCGACCACCAGCACCCCGTTGCCAAGATCCTTCATAGCGGTGGCCAGACCCTCTATGACACGTACGCTGCCGAGCCCTGCTCACCTGGCGACGGTGTCGAGTATTCCATCTGGGGTCCTACTTGTGATGGCATTGACCAGATCAGCCAGAGCACTCACTTCCAGCGCATCCTCAATGTCGGCGATTGGCTCTACTTTGAGAACATGGGCGCCTACACCAAGTGCTCCGCCACCCAGTTCAATGGTTTCCCCAACTCGCACGACACCATCTATGTCTGCAGCGAGCCTGGTGCCAAGGCTCTCTTGGACCTCTAAATGGCGTGGCCTCACGACGAATGACTTTGGATTCATTTGCCTCGATCATTCGTATGCAAAAATGGAGGAAAAGATGGGTGGAAGTGGGTTACTTTCTTTCTGGCCATTGGTCTATGACGGCTCCTTAAGGGGCCTCCTAATTCAGGAAGCCTATGAGAGCCAAATAGCAGGCTTCTTAAACCGCTGTCACATGTGGTTTGAATATATTGAACAATCATTATTGTGAGAAAAGACTCTCGAGAGTAGATAGACAATCAAAAAAGATGCCTTAATACAGCATATGAAAAGTTTTATATCATATACATGTGTGCCCCTTTGTCCACTTCGTGTGTGTAGCCCACAGAGAGCACCCTGGATCCTATCACATTCTTAAGCGAGAAGTCAATTAATATACCTGATGCATTGTTTGATGTTGTCAATCTTGACCAAGAGACGTAACTGACTCTATCCCATTTATGTCTTACCTTGCTTCTAATAATTTTCTCAAAGGAAATAAAACAACGGATTCTTATTGTTTTCTCTACGGAGCTTTTGCCGAATGACAACAACAGAAACTAGGAAAACTCGATGCTACAAATGTTAAAGTTTTGTTTGCATATTGCCAGCATTGATGTATACCCGTCTTCATACCAAAAAAAAAAATTCCTCAACGCGAGCAAAAGTCAACCGTCTTAACGCCTCCTGAGCAATTCTTGAAATCATTGATGACCATTATACCCCTCCACCCGATGATGGATTTAATTCCTAATAGCAGATAATGACGACGATGCTGGCATCAAAATCAACAAACAGACCAAAATTTACGAGCCGCGGAAAAGGAATTGCATGTCTTCAGGGCTCAAAGTATCCATTGCTTTGTCATCAGCATTGACAGTAGAATGGATCATACTCGTCTTCTTTTCTTGAATTAACACCATTCGACTTTCCACAGAGTCTTCGATACAAAGACGTGTGATGACGCAGGGCCGTTGCTGTCCAATACGATGGCAGCGGTCAGCAGACTGCCACTCAGCTGCCGGGTTCCACCAACTGGCAACGAAAGATTAGTACAAGTGAAGTAAACAAAGATTGGAGGTTAAAAAACTTACGGGTCAACAATGAAGACTCGTGACGCCTCGGTGAGGTTGAGTGCAACACCACCAGCCTTGAGTGAAACAAGGAAACACTCCACATCGATGTTGTTCATAAAGTGCTCAATTGAGGCCTGCCGCTGGGCAGGAGTCATGCTGCCATCAAGCATGACAGTCGTGATTCCTGCTCTCCGAAGGCGCCATTCGATAAGTTGCAACATTGTGGTGAATTGGGAGAAAATAATTGATTTGTGCGTGGCGTTGTCAGATCGCATCTTGTGAAGTTCGTGAACAAGAAGCTCGATTTTGGAGGATGATGTCCAGTTCTCCATCTTGATACGATTGATAATCGAGGACTTCTTGACCAAAGCTTCGTCTTGTTCAATTTCTGGTTGCTCAAGGTCGATAACCAGGCCGATATGACACCGCGGGCAGTCAGGCTCATCGGTCGATTTAATATAGCTAGAGACACACGCTCTACAGAAATCGTGCTTGCAACGGCTTTTGATGGTGTCCTCTGCTGGTTCGTCACAAATACAGCAGACCAAAACATTTTGGCCCCCATCTGCATTCTTCTTCAATATCAAGTCAGGGTGATCGGCAACTTGTCTCATTTGCATGATTAGACCAAAGATATTGGCATAATTGTTCAAAAGAACACCCTGCGCAACATAGGTGTCGAATTTGCGCTGTCCGTTGGTCATAATGCTGTTGGCAAAGTCATTTTCCTCTTCTCCGAAAAATTGACGGTCAACATGAACTTCCTTGACAGGAAGCTCCATGGAATTAGTGTGGTCCTTCTTGAGTCGCCGTAGCATGATACGATCCGTCATCAGCCGTAGTTTCTTGAAGGCCTCTCTGCCAGGGCCCAGGTTACCGAATTTCTGAATGGGATTAAGGAGCTCCTGATTGAAGACAGATACATGCTGCATGCCTGCATGCCCGCAGTCGGAACAGCGACTGTTTTCATCCATAGACCACTCAAGCGTTGAGCAAGGGCATTGCTTGCAGAGATATGACGCAAAGGGCTTGATGTTGAGGAATCTCACCAAGGAGAAAAGCTCTCCGATTCGGTTTTGTAGAGGTGTGCCGCTCAAGCACCAACGGTAATTTGTCTGCAAGGCGAAACAGGCTTTGGCGGTCATTGTGGTTCTCGTTTTGATACAATGTGCTTCATCCAAGATGGTGCGATGGAAATTGATGGCATGAATGACACTCTTTTCTTTGTGTATGCCGTCCTTTCGTTTGAAACCCTTTTCTTGCTTGCGGTACATCGACTCAAGGCTGTTGTAGGACATCATAATAACATCGAACTTCTTCAGCTCTTTCACGGTGATGTTTTTTGCTTTCTGATTAGTTCCATGAAACACAAACGTCTTTAGCGTTCCATCTGTGTAAGACTTGATTTCCGATTGCCATTGCATCAGGGCGACAGGAGGAACGAGGACCAGAGTGGGTTGCTTAGCCGGGTAGTCAGACATGATGAGGGAGACCGCTTGAATCGTCTTGCCGAGTCCCATTTCATCACCCAAAAGACCTCCTTTCCACTCTGTGGTCTCCATTGCCTTCATCCATGCAACACCCTCGAGCTGGAACGGCTTTAACTGCCTTGAGATGCTCGCCGGCTGGTCTATTCTGCCAGCCTTCATCACAGGCATGTTTTCCAAGTCTTTCCACATAGTGCCTAGCTCAGGGTGATGCTTTTCAAGTCGATCTCGTTCCTTGGCAGTACGACTTTTGTTTTTGGCCCTTCTAAATGCACGTCTGCGAGCTGCAATTCTCCGCAGTTCCCCAGGCAATGGTCTCGTATCTTGGTGAACAGCAGAGCTCTCACTATCACTATTAGATGCAGAGTTGGTGCCAGATGACAGGCCGGATGAGAAGTCAGACGGGAGCGCAGACATTCCAGATTCCGAATCGGCAATGGGAGCATCTGCCAGGTTGGCGGACGGTCGAGCAGCCGCGGCGCGCTTAGCAACAACTCTTGCAGGCTTCTTCTTCCTCTTAGTCGCCAAAGGCTCATCGTCAGTTGAAGCTGCTATTTCAACTTCATCCTCATCTTCAACTTCATCCTCATCTTCAACTTCATCCTCATCTTCAACTTCATCAACATCTTCAACCTCATCTTCACCTTCATCTTCAGTTTCTTCACCAGATGAAGGGGCCTCGCCGATTAATTCGTCATCGGCCAATGCAAGGCCAGCAGCAATTTCAGCATCTATGTCCATATCAACGTCAGACAGATCGTCAGAGTCGGGAATGGTTTTGCTCTTTTTGCTAGGTCGCTTGTGCGCTGCAGAAGGTCCCGAGAGGGATCTTGTTCGTTTGCCTTGGATTTCAGTTGAGAGAGACGGCTGTGCAGCAGTAACCTTAGTACGACGGGACCTCAGACTTTCCATACGGAACTCATTTTGCAGGTGACGAGCAACTTTAGCATCACGAGCACTTCCTGAAAAGTCATCGTCCTCTTCATCTGTATCCTGAACTTCTGTCACTTTCCTGCTCTTGGTGGTTGAGTTCAATGAGTAGATGCTGTGCCGTAGTGCTCGCTCATCTCCACTGGGTCCCTGAAGCCTGCTTCTAGCAGGGATTTGTACTTCGAGGGCCGATGAAGTCTTTCCACCAGGCGCAGTAGCTGCCTCAGCAGGGCTTGGGAGTTTACTAGTTCCAGGCGTTGAGTAGCCGCTTTCCGAAGTTTGTCCAAATGGAGTGAAGACCGAAGAAAAGGAGTCCGTAGTCATAGTATCATCATCTTGCGCAAGAGATGCAACGCGGCGCGATCTACCCCGGAGATTCCTTGCCGCTGAAGCCACAATCTCTTGTGGGGGAGTATTAAGTTCATCTACCGCGGAAGACCCTCTAAGGTTCCTAGCAGATCTAGTGCGGGTAAGGCGTCCAGGCGCACTAGCAGAGGCAGAGCCATTTTCAGTTTCTATGAATTTTGTCAGAGATGAGTGGGCAATGGTGGTGGTGATATATATGTAATCATACCGGAAGCCTTCGGGACAGGGGTGGCAGATGCCTTCAAGGATGGACGGCCACGAGGCATTGCAACGGCTCACCAGTCCGGGTGACAATGAAAATGCGTGAAAATGTGTGGAAACAAGATGGGAATAAGAGAATATATCTTGCTTGTTGTGAGCGCACAAGGAAAGGGCAGGCGCCTCAGATGGGAAACGAAGGAAGATGGGCTGCCGATCAGAAGGGGCTTCACCCGCCCAAGTAAGCACAGGCTTACAGGTTAAGCGCTGGAGGCAGACTTCAAAGTGACCGTCGGAGGACGATTGAATGGTGTCTCGTCTCGAGAGCGAGAGTCCAACGGTAACTGGTGAAGCCAGCCTTGTCGGTTTAATCCGATGAAGTGGGAGAGAGAAAAGAAAAGAATGGGCTGAGGTAACTGGATGAAAAGTTGGTAGGAAGTTGCCTCATCGACCGTGACTACCTAACCTAGTGGCCATGCCAATTCACAGTGTCTACTTTGGCAAGAGGACGCGCATAGCCACTTTACGCGAAAGCACGTGCGATGATAAGGGGCGGTCGATTGGCGAGATCGACACTGTGAGGACACTGTGGCGCCAACTGAGATGTAGCGTTGTTTGCTCCTTTTTGGTGAACCTTGACAGTGTTGATTGCTAAATGAGTTTGCTAACCAAGTCACGTGCCACCGTGTTATCTCCGCGACAGCAGTGACACGCCTCTTTCCATTGGCACTGGGCGAAAGAACGGCGCATACCTAGGTAGAGGCGAAACTCTTCACGCCATCTCTCTGCACCGCTTTGCAAGGGGAAAAAATTTCAGAGACCAGTTTTTGCATGGCCCTTTCAGAGAATAATACAGGAGGAGAAGAGATCTAGAGACTTGCTGGGCCGCCTACGCACTCATCATGTGCGTTTTCCATGTCCCAGCCCAATACTTCGCAGCAATGGTAGCTGACCAATCTTTCTGTTCAGGGTTCGTTCACGCCGCTATGATCAAAGTCAGAATGGGCGACCAAGTCGTAACATTACTGGGCCGTAAGTACAGCGATATTGTGGTTGTTGATGCCGATTCAAGCTGACAATGTCCCTCTAGCCAATCTGCCTTGACTGATTTTCTTGCGGTATGGTTCGATGCGCAATCCTGTTTGCAGTCCGATCTCGCTGACACAACTACCAGTCGCATAACATCTCGGCTGCTCAAATTCGAGTCGATGCGGACCGTCGAAGGCAACAAGGCGTGGAAAGCGAGCCAGCACAAGAAAACGATGCATCCGAAACGGTTGAAACCGTCACAGTCACCGTAGAAGCAAGCTCCTCTTCACGGACAACCAGAGGTCGCAATGCCAACGCCGCAGCAGAACAAAAAGCTAAAGCCTTAGAAAAGATTAAAGGTAGCAAAGCGTTCAAAAAGCGCAAGAAGAGAGCTGGAGATGATGATGATGACGACGACGACATAGCCCAGGCCATCTTTGACGAGAGGCGGGCGCCGCTTCCCGGCCAGATGGAGAACTGCGAAATATGCGGCAAACGCTTCACTGTAACTCCCTACTCTGTGGCAGGACCTGAAGGAGGTCTTTTATGCGCTCCCTGTGGGCGCGAGGTGGCCAAGCAGCGAGAGGGGCAGCCCAAAAAGAAACCTCGAAAGCAGACAGGCGGCGTGGGATCACGCCGAACCATCCAAAGTCGAATGCTCGACGGAGATGTCGGTACGAAAAGCCTTGCTACACTGTGCGTACAGACGCTGGCAAAGAACGTGGATTTGGCGGAAAGCCTGGGCGATTTGCCAGAACACCTGATCGACAAGATTGCTCGGATCTTTTCCAAGCGGCGTCTGCTGAAACCGGATACCCTGCCTTTGTTTATGCAGCCATCTACCGAGGTTTTGCACATTTACGATGGCGCAAAGCTAGGCCACCAAGAATTCATCAGCATTTTCCAGGTGGCCTCAAATTTGAAAAAGTTCAAGGCGCGGTGTGCAGTTCAGTTCAAAGACGAAGTTATGGACTATTTGCTTTCGAGGGACATTCTTCTCGAGAGCTTTTATCTTCATGGTGCAAATCTGCTGAGCGAGGATAAATGGCATGAATATCTCGCTGCCAAGGGCAAACCTTTGAAGGAACTGCAGGTCTATTATACTGACAACCATTTCGGAGACGAAACACTCAGGCTCCTGAAAGAGTATTGCCCCGAGTTGACTCGTCTTAAGGTCTGCCATAACCAAAAGGCCACAGATGCAGGAGTAATCGCAATTGGAAATCTTTCTACCCTGAGGCATCTCAGTCTGGAACTCCAGCAGGATCTCTCACCAGAAGCTCTCAGCTCATGTATCACTCAGATCGGGAAGGACCTCAGAACATTGTCCTTTAAAATTGTACCTGATGCCGACGATAGTGTTCTGGAAGCTATTCATAATACTTGCCGTTCGCTAGTCAAGCTTCGCATCACGGAAAGCGAAACCATGACGGACAAGGGCTTCGCTCAACTCTTTACCGACTGGGAGAACTCGCCACTGGAGTTTTTGGACTTGCAAAAGTGCCGACAGCTTGATGCTGCTCATCCGCGGGAAAACCCTAAGAATATCGGACTCTGTAGCGAGGGATTCAAAGCGCTTATGAATCACTCTGGGCATACACTGAGGCATATCAATGTACATGCTTGCCGGCACATTTCTCGTCAAGCTTTTGAAGAAGTCTTTGACGGAACGAAACAGTATCCGGAACTGCGGCATCTTGAGATTAGCTTCTGCGAAGAAGTCACAGACTTCATTCTTGGGTGCATTTTCCGAGCCTGCCCGAACATCAAAGAGGTGAATGTCTTTGGTTGCATGAAGGTGAAAGAAGTTAGAGTACCGCGAGGTGTCATCTTGGTTGGTGTACCCAACGCCCAAGGGATGATAACCGAGGGCACGGAGTGAGTGCGATGTTTTGTTCTCCTAGATGAACCTTGTGCTGGGCAGTGGGGACTATAATAATGATGGCACGAGGCCACTGCATATGACTTTTATGTTACTTCTTCCAGAAGATTTAAACCTTACCCACGAGTGGTCGACATTAAGTACCGGAGTTTTAAGGCACGTACAGCAAACGGAATAAAAGGGTCATTTAGACAATGAACATGTTAATTCACGTTATTCCTTATAATTGTGCTTATATACGATGCACTGTACATTTCCACCCTTGTTATATGCCTGGAATTTATACACCCCAGCCTGTTGAAGCATCCTGAAGAGGAAATATTGGGGGTTTATCATCCCTTCGTCAAAACTGGTTTTGTCCATTTCACTACATAATTTTCATTTTCCGAGATGCAAGAGCCCATATAACGCCATATAAAACATAATTTCTTGTTATGTGCATTTGATTATGCCTGTCCAGAAGCAACGTAGGCCTGATCCTCTTGGCTCCATTGGTTGATCCTGTCAATAGTCTCCTGGTCATAGCCAGCGGTCGAGTTATCGTCACGCTTGAACTGCAGGGGTGAGGGAGCACAGGCCGAGACTTTCCGGAGGTAGTTGGAATGAGCAGTCAGGTCGAATCCACCGGTGCCAGCGTTGCAATCCGTGTTGGCGATGCCGGTGCAAACTTCAATATCAGCCACAGTATAGTCAATGGTTGAGCCGTCGCCAGTAGAGAGCCAGAACTCGGGAGAGACGTGGCGGTACTCGAAGATGATGGGGGGAAGGCGAGGCACGGGGTCGTCGACGTGTGTAACGCGGAGCTCGTTGCCAGGCTGGCTGGTCACAAAGTTGGCATAGACGTCGTTGCCCACGCGAGGAGATCCAAACGTGACAATGTCAATTGGGAAGCCCTGGGTACGGAGGATCGAGGCGGCAAGAGTGGCAACGGCACCACCTAGAGAATGTCCGGTGGAAACGATTTCGAAAGAAGGATTGGCGGCATGGGCCTGAGTGAGAGCGGCTGTGGCGGCGCTGGAAACTTCCTCCCAGGCAGCGTTGAAGCCATCGTGAACTTCACAGCCACTGGTGAGGGAGCAGTCGGTGAAGGCGAAAACAACATCAGTGATGAAGTTGCGAAGGTTGTTAGTCCCACGGAACGACAGGACGACTTGTTGGTGTGCGCTGTCTACGGCAACAAAGCCGCCAATGCCAGTCAAGGAGCCTCTATAATGGCATGGTTAAATTGATACTTTGCAGAGAAATTTAGTTGTGACTTACTCGAAGGAGTTAACAACAGTTCCCGCGACATCGGGACAGGCGTTGTCGGCGCATGTGACAGCCTGGCCAGGGGGGGTTGCGGAGTTGCAATAAGCAGCTCCAGCATACTGGCTGAAGAATTCGAAGGTGTTGAGTTCTTGCTGGTTAGCAGTGAAGCTGGTGTCGCTCTCTTTGTGGCTTGTTAGTACTTGAACGTGAAATGGGAGTCGAATGGTGAGGGTGAAAGTTACGTCGAGCCTTGAGCATCCGAGTATAGTCCTGGATGGACGGCACGGGGCTGCCAGCTACAGCAGCGGCAAGGGAGAGAAGCTGCCAGCACTTCATTGTAATACTTTTGTAATATTGGACTTTAGAAAAGGAGTTTCAAATGGGGAATAGAGGGCGAAGAGTTGCTTTTGAGCTTGAGCAATCAATGCTTAGCTTCAAATAAAACAAGTACAATGTCAAATTTGCTTGGAGTATTATGAAAGAATTAAACCATTTTATCGTGGAGCGGCTGGATGTTTATATACATTTTATGCGTATCGTGTTTCCTGATGTTGACATGTGAGACAGCACACAGACTCGGACAACCCGAGCACCCCTGATACTACCAGTCAGCAGCGGGATCACCTTTGTGCCGGACAATTTGTGAAGCATGCGTCTCACGATGCGACGAGCATTTCTTGAGACAACTCCATAATTTTTTCTTTTTCATTTTTTAGGTCGACGCATGAACCTCCGTTGTTCCATCACCCCGCAACTTCATGCGTGAGGTTTCTAGTGCCCGTTTGTTGACCGTGTCCGAGTGGCTTAGACGCCTTTGCATCCCAAGGGAAAACGGCACCGGAGGCGGCCCGAAATAGAAAGATTCATTACAAAATAGACGATGGAAACTGTCCGAATGACGAACTGATGTCTAGATTCTCGGCAGAACTTCCAAAGGAGGAATGGGGAAAGTCGCCGATTGGGATAGCCGCAAAGGGAAGCGTAAAAGACGATTGGTGGCTTTCCGATACGGTACTATCTGTGAATAAAAAGATCGGAAGAGGCGGTGCCAGAGGGCGGCTGTTGTGATGAACGGCGTGACTTACATGGTTGGCGGGCGTGGGGGATGTGCTCTAGGATCCGGGATCTACGTTGAGATGGTACTGACAAGGGAGGTGGGATTAATTATAGCGGTAGCGGCTACTTTCCAGATACGGACTTTGCGACGGTTTCAGGTTCTTTTGTGAGTTGTAAGTGATGGGACGAAACGGGAAGACGTGTAGGAGGAGTGTAGTATTCCAGCCCTGCCAAGACATTTCCTCCCCCTTGGAGTCGATGAGTTGAGATGACGAATAGTGTACGGAGTATATCATGTTAATTTCTATCAGCCTTACCATGGTAACAAGCACGACATAGATGCTATATGTGGCAGAGGCTGGAGGATACATATTGTCACTGTATAAGCTAGAGGCGCTGACACAACACCTCCCTCATAGGTATGTACCTACATAGGCAACCTTCAGTACCTATCATCTTAGCGACATGTCTCCTCTAACCGTAATACCAATGACAAATGCTCTTGCTTCTTTACGGACGCACTTATGCTACTCCGATATTAATGGCTCGGCCGGCACCTGGGATGGATCTTTTGCTATATTGTTGCGGGGAGAAGTTCACCTTGCAGTTGACTGCCTTGACTTGTTTGAAGACCGAGTCGGATATTTGTTGCCGTAGCATCCACGTTGCGAAGCGAATAACATCAATGTTGTCTTGTAAATGGGGCCTAGAAATATTCTTTTTCACGAAGTATGGCTACAATGAAGATGGATGGAAAGCAGTATACTGTATGTACCTATTTTTGTCTCTGCCTTTTGCTGCTGTTTCTGCGTCTGCCTCCCTCTCGATTGGCCTCCTCCGTCCTATTGCTCACGAGTCATGGTTTCACGCTGGCGGTCGAGATCCCACGTGGCTTACTCATGAATCTTCAAACTTAATGCACACAACGGCTATACTATAACTGTAGGACATGCCCACAGCCTACGAGCGATTAATGAAGCACCTGACCTCGGACAACATCTCCAAATGGCAGCTCGCAAACAGGCGTTGGTACCCGCAGTGGCTCCTCGTCAGACGCTTAGAAAGGCAACTTTGGATATCAAAGGTGAAGCAGCCCGGCCATTTTCCGAAGTTCTGTCTTCAGCCGCAAAAAAAGAAAGGGAAAAATGACGACAACGGTAGTGAATTAATATACGATGCATGTACAGCTGCAGTATTCGGACGAACCAACTCAGCTGTTGACGTCGGCAATCGGACCGCTTTCATCACCGGGAGCACATCAGGCGCCAACGAGTCGCATGAATTCCACCTATAGTTCACCTAGTCTGCATCTGGAGACGCTCAGATCCCAAAGCTGTTCCCACGTTGTATTTTTCCCTAACCTTTGCAGGGTTCTTGGTACCAAGTGTCTGCCGGTGGGATACGAGTAGTACATGGACGAAGTATTCGAGGCATTACCGCATAGGGATTCCCGGATTATCCTTATCACGGCTGCCCATGTCCGGCATTGAATGCCGTGGCTGTTGGTTGGACATTTCAAACATTGCATTGCCGTTGGCGATTTGTCAAAAATTATATTAGTCGGCGTCAAACACTTGCCTTGAACTTCACAATATCTACAAAATACTGACAACAGTAGAGATCGATGCTGCAATCTTTCATCTACTTCAGCCTTCAAGTGTGCACCTCAACTGGGGGGCATCACGCGGATGCCCTGCCACTGTTACATTTGGGCATCTGGCGCGTGCAGACCCCTCTCGACTTGTCAACTCCAACTCTGGCTGACTCCAACCGACGAAGCGAACTGCTCTATGGCCATACCATGCAGGGCGCTAATGGCATTTCGCCCTTGATTTGGACACAAGAGCTCTAGACGACTTGCGCGAACCGAGGGTCACCCGCCTTTGTCTCCTGGCTGGTCCTGATTTCCTTGTGATTTCCCCGAGATTTGACGATGAATCTGGGGAGCATTTGACCTCGACAAAGGCTTCCACACCATTTCCTTGTGTTGCTCCTCAGGTTGTTTGTGTCCCCTCGCCAAGCCGCGCCATTTGACATCCGCGCCATTGAGATTGATGTTTCCCCAGACTCTTGCCGGCCTCTAGCTTCAGTCCCCTGCACTTACAAGCTCTTCATTGCCGTTGTTGTAGCGATAGCGGGAATCCCCCGCCACTTACAATACGCTTGGACAGCAGAAAAAGCAGCGCCGCTCCACCGCCATGGCCTTTTCGAGACATTTCACCGAAGCCAATGCTTGATGCCCGAACGAGCGAGCCTGAAAGCACATGGTGACGTCCGGTCTGGGCTGGCGGTCAATCGTATCTGCGAGCTGAAAGCGGTGACGTGGGATCGTCGTCTGACTTCATGTCTGCTTTCTTGGTGATACTATCTGCTGCCATGAGCATGGTACGTGCAAGTGCAACCACCATTCAGCTCTTGGCTTTGGAAAACGGAAAAAAGGGAAAAGAAAGGGCCCTTGCTCTTTATTGGTTTTATTGGTTCTAGACCTCTCCGGCTGGTCTGTTTCCCGTCCGAGTGTCTGCAGGTCTCCCTCGCATTGCTGCTAGTATCCTGGCATTTGGGACAATACAATGCGCGATAACTGCTGCCCAAGAAGAGACATGGGGGGGTTAAGCAGCACCAAAGAGGCAGTAGATTACGAAAACAACCAAGAGAAAGAATCGAAAAATGTGACAGCCCAGAACCATGGGCCTTGGCCTTGCGACCTGGCAGGCCAAGCAAGAGGGGTCATGGATGTCTCATCGTGGACACGAGGTCGCAGGTGCTGTGCTCATGCATGCTTTCCTCCCTTGAGCCCTAGGATTCGCCTTGATGGGGAAACGATTGACGGTAAATAGTCGAGAGTTTCTCCATAACTCGTCCCAGTCCATTGGAATTCTCTTGACCCTTGTTTGTGAAGTGCCATGCTCTTGAGCACGCGAGACCAAAAGCACCCGCTTCAAGAGTCTCTATCTACTACACCCTAGCTACGTTGTGACGCCTATTGCCCATCCGTGCCCTGGGCAGTCGGAATCATGACCTCGTTTTCCGACAGCGTCAGAGTGTCCACCGCTGTGACCTGTATTCTATCCAGCTTCGTTGGGCTGGGACAAGCCGGACCTAGTGCTTTCTCAGCAAATGCGCAGGTAGCAGCGGCGGCAGCCGCCCAAGGCTGGGTTCCAGATGGCTACTATGTGCCACCATACTATCCTGCGCCATATGGTGGATGGGTGGATGATTGGCGAGAGAGCTATACCAAGGCCAAGGCTCTGGTCGACTCTATGACTCTGGCAGAGAAAACGAACATCACTGCAGGAACAGGAATTTACATGGGTGAGTAAGAAATCCTTTGAATAAAAAGGGCGATTCCAATGTCCGGGTGAAATTTAGTAATTGCCTGGGAAGTGTAATACGTTATAATGCTGACTGGATTGATATAGGGTGAGTTTGTTTTATATCCTAAGACTTTGCAAAGCACAGTCAAGTCTTGTTCGAGTGTTAGAAACGGGTTCTTATGGCTGGTATCATCAAGATTGACACAATGTTGTGCTGGACGTGAACTCTCAAGTACAAAGCTAACCTTGTTCAAGACGATGTGCCGGAAACACAGGCTCTGCACTTCGAGTAGGCATCCCCCAGCTGTGTCTTAATGACAGCCCTGCGGGTGTCCGACACGCGGACAATGTTACAGCTTTCCCCGATGGAATCACAGTTGGCGCAACTTTTGACAAGGCGCTCATGTACCAGCGCGGCGTGGCCATTGGGAAGGAAAATCGCGGCAAGGGAGTCAATGTTTGGCTAGGACCAACGGTTGGACCGATAGGCCGCAAGCCAAAGGGTGGCCGTAACTGGGAAGGCTTTGGTGCTGATCCTGTGCTCCAAGCTGTAGGTGCAAGAGAAACGATCAAGGGCGTTCAGGAGCAGGGAGTGATTGCTACAATCAAGCACTTTATTGCAAATGAGCAGGAGATGTACCGCATGTACAACCCTTTCCAATATGCCTACAGCTCAAATATTGGTAAGTATTTCCAGCTAGTATGGCAATATGAGATGCTAACGAGTGGCGGCGACTTGAAAAGACGATAGGACGATGCATGAAGTTTATGCCTGGCCATTCGCCGAAGGCATTCGAGCGGGAGTTGGCTCTGTCATGATGGCATATAATGCTGTAAGTGAAACCTAATTGATGGTGAAATATCTAAAAAGAGCATGAAGGCTAATCAATCAATTCACACCACCACCGCAGGTAAACGGCACTGCGTGTACTCAACATCCTTATCTCATGAATGCCCTTCTCAAGGATGAGATGGGCTTCCAGGGCTTCACCATGACCGATTGGCTCGCTCACATGTCTGGTGTCGCCTCTGCTATTGCCGGCCTGGATATGGACATGCCTGGCGACGTTCAGATTCCATTCTTCGGCAGTTCATACTGGATGTATGAGCTTAGTCGGTCTGCTCTCAACGGGTCGGTTCCTATGGATCGCATCAACGACGCGGCCACGCGCATTTTGGCTGCATGGTACAAGATGGGCCAGGATAAGGGATTTCCAGCGACCAACTTTGATACCAATTCTGCTGCTGCGGTCAACCAGTTGTATCCTGCCGCGTGGCCATTTTCGCCGTCAGGAGTCACCAACGAGTATGTTCAGGTCCAGGCTGATCATGACGTGATTGCTCGCCAGATTTCCCAGGATGCCATTACCATGTTGAAGAACACCGGCGGCATTCTTCCTTTATCGCCTTCGCAACACCTCAAGGTCTTTGGCACCGATGCCCAGAAAAATCCAGATGGAATCAATTCGTGCACAGATCGCAACTGCAACAAGGGCACGCTCGGACAGGGCTGGGGTTCAGGGACTGTTGATTACCCCTATTTGGATGATCCCATCACAGCCATTACTGCAGAGGCCAGTAATGTCACCTTTTACAATACCGACAGCTTTCCTTCGGTAGGCCAAGTTGCAGCCAGCGACGTCGCTATTGTGTTTATCAATTCGGATGCCGGCGAGAACACTTACACTGTTGAAGGCAATCACGGTGACCGCGATGCTTCCGGTCTATACGCATGGCACAACGGCGATAAGCTCGTACAAGATGCCGCCAGCAAATTCAGCAACGTCATTGTGGTGATTCACACCGTTGGCCCCCTGATTCTTGAGAACTGGATCGATCTACCATCCGTCAAGGCCGTCCTCATCGCGCATCTGCCTGGCCAGGAAGCCGGAAAATCACTTACAAACGTCCTCTTTGGACACTCTTCGCCATGCGGACACTTGCCTTATTCAATCACAAAACAGGAAAATGACTTCCCCAGTAGCGTCACCACGCTCATCAACTCCGAGTTCCTCAACCAGCCCCAGGACACGTACACTGAGGGTTTATATATCGACTACCGCTGGCTGAACAAGAACAACACCAAGCCGCGGTACGCCTTTGGCCATGGCCTGAGCTACACAAACTTTACATTCAAGGCAGCATCAATTACAAAAGTCACTCAGCTAAGCTCATACCCTCCCGCTCGCTCCGCCAAGAGCGGCGTCCCCAACTTTGCGCAAGCCATTCCATCTGCCAGCGAAGCCGTCGCACCCTCTGGATTCAACTCAATCCCCCGCTACATCTACTCCTGGCTGTCGCAGGGTGACGCCGACGGTGCCGTCTCGGACGGAAAGAACGGCAAGTATCCATACCCAGACGGCTATTCTACCACCCAGAAACCCGGTCCTCGCTCCGGCGGTGGCGAGGGAGGCAACCCTGCGCTCTGGGATGTCGCGTATAGCCTCACGGTGACGGTACAGAATACGGGGGATGAGTTTGCTGGCAAGGCTTCCGTGCAGGCATATCTTCAGTTCCCGGATAACAATGGCTATGATACGCCGGTTATCCAGCTCCGTGATTTTGAGAAGACGGACGAGTTGGCGCCTGGAGAGTCGACGACGGTGACGCTGACGCTTACGCGCAAGGACGTCAGTGTGTGGGACGTGGTGGCGCAGGATTGGAAAGTGCCTGTGGTTGATGGAGGGTATAAAGTATGGATTGGAGATGCCAGTGATTCCTTGAGTATAGTGTGTCATGCGGATACGTTGAAGTGTGAGACTGGTGTTGTTGGGCCGGTGTAGATGTAGATGTTTCGAACAAGGTAGTCAAACGGATGTATTTGAAGAATCAATCACTTATTTCTTTTTTTGCTTCATCCTGTTTCGATGATTTCGAAAGGTTGTCTTTTTGAGTCTTGGTGTCAAGTAATAGTACAATACAATACATCTCTATCTCTAGTAGATGGCCCTTTTATACACCTCCCCCATCCCCCCACGTCAAAGCATACCCTCATGTCAATTCCACAGCATATTCCCATTTCAAGCCGAAAAAATTCCCTCCCGCCCTCTACCACGCAACGTGTCTCCTCCCCTTCAGCTTCCTCCGCTGCAAGATCCTCCGCCCAGTCTTACTCCTCGTCCTCTTGAGCCACCCATGTCTCCGCTTCTGCACCAGCCTCGTGTGGCCATTCATGGTATTTCGGGGTCCGAAGCGCAGCTGCAGGCCCTGCAGGGCGGGATGCGAAGACACTGCCGCGGTGGGCACGAGGTCTGCGGATTCTGGTGAGGTAGCAGCTGCTGTTGCTGGTGATTGCGCTGTGAGGGAGGGCGTGAAGGAGTTGTTGGGGCGGAAAGTAGATGTCAATGTCGGACGGAGAGGTGAGAGGCATGTGTATGTCCTGGCAAGAGAGAAAAAAAAAGGCAATTATTAGCTGAAGCTTTCGCCAATGGAGGATTTATGGCGGGGAGGAGGGAAAGTAAGTACCGTTGGGCGAGGGGAGAAATGCGCGGGGCAAGGAGTGGCCGCGCGAGGCGGATGATGGAATTCATTTTGTGAGAAAAGAAATCGAGCGACTCGTGTGAGGGGGAGTGTCGAGTTGCTGTCCGGAGGGCGAATTGGTGGGGGGTTTTGGCTGGATGCTGCGAATGAATGATTTTGAGGTTGAGGTCGAGATGGTGTTGAAATTTTGGAGGCTTCGGATTGGCGGGCGGTTGCCGGCTGGTGGGTACGTACTGTGTAGAGTACTACCTAGGTAGCTGGTAGCGCCTTTTTGATGGGTGACGATGGTATAGAAAATGGCTCCCTTTATGATGAGGATTGTGTTTCGGTAAATTGGGGATATTAGAGTAAAATATGTTGTTTAATCTTATCTACGGTGCTTCTTTACTAGAAGAAAAACAAAATGAAAAGAGAGGGAGAAAATAAAAACATGTCTAGTTCTCAACACCATAACCTCTCACACAAAGCGAATCTATAGAATCACATCATATACTCCAACTCCCGATATTCCAGTCCCTCAACCATATCCTCGCCCTCACTCGTCACCCAATCCATCACCATCTTCACCTCCCCAAAGTAATTCGCCTCTCCCTCTTGCCTGAATCCCAGCTTCTTAAACAGGCCCCTGCTTCCAACATTCTCCTGCTTAATCTTGGCCATCAATCCAACCAGCTGTATCTTCTCCACGTCCAGCTTCTCGCCTTGTGCGTATTCTTTCAGTATTTCTGGCAAGTGTTTCCGTATGTACGTCAATATCGAACGCACTGCGGCTTCTCCCACACCTTTCCCGCGGTGCTGTGTATTCGCTATCATGACGTCTACTTCGCCGGTCAAGCGTATCGTGCTGCTCTCCCGCGGTCCAGCAGCCTCGTCATCGTCCTCGTCATCTAGATATAGGAAAAAATTGATGTCTCCTCTCATTTTATCGGGTGAATCGTCGACTTGAGCTGTGATTTTTTGTGATTCACCATTCTCATTGCTTCGCTCCCCGCTCAATGGCTCGCATACAATAAAGGTCAGCTTATCATGAGACGTCCGCCATGATTGTTGGTTTTCATATTCTTCTTCCAAGGTCATGGGCTCTGATGCAGTTGCTTCTTGTATGGCCTATATCTACTTTGTAAGCAAGCCATCAGGGCAGCGGAAGTGGGTGTCTAGTACCGGGTCTTTCATCCAGTCGTGATAAGTGAGCACATGGTGGGCTTCATATGGCACCAGCAAGGCTCTGTTTGTTGAAACCGCTGCTAGAGAGTTAGCGTCAAAAGGAAAAAATTAGTAAAGATCTGATTTTTTCATACATATTGTCTGGTTGGTTTTCATCTCGAGTCAGTTATTTCCCGTGGGATGCACTTATGTGATGAGGAATTGTGGGAGGAAAAAATTGGCTGAATGAGAAAGCGCACCAGGTCTGACTAAAAGTGAGGGCGTGTAGCTCAACCTCCACAGTTTGCTTTCAAAGCAAATGCCTGCCGCCACGCAAATAGATGATTTAGGCTCTTCAAAAGTTGAAAAACGCATTGATTGATTCATTGGCTTCGAGTTGTATCTCTACATTGTAATTTTATAAAAATCTCAGGGCTAAGTGGCGACCTGTATTGACTGGCCCCTCGCATTCCATCCAATATCATACATATCCTACAACGCCACGCCTTGCTATGTAAAAGCGCCAACAACTCCATGCTCGTTCATGACTGGCGTGCGCCAACCTTGGATGCATGTGTCTCGGCCAGAAGCTTAGCGACTGCCTCTTCGCCCATCCGCGCCTCCATGGCCAGCAGTTCAGCCATCTGGTTCATCTTATTTCTAGTCTTATCCAGCAATGCCACCCTCAAGTGCTCTACCAGCTCGTCATCTGAGAGGTCTGCGCTAGGCGTTGGTGGGAAAATAGTGTCCCATTTGCTCATTCGAGGTCCTGGCTCTACTGGTTTGGACTCGGTACCGTAATCAGCATCCTTCCCCTTGGCGGCAAACTCAATGGTGCGCCTATCAGACCGAACTCCTAAAGCATCCAACAATTCTGAGGCCTTAGTGGGCATGATGGGCTGAAGCAGGATGCCGGCAATACGCAATGCTTCTGCGCTGTTAAAGATGACCCAGTTGAGCAGCACCCGAGACTCTGCATCTTGAAGTTTGACTAGATCCCAGGGCTTGGTATCTGTAACGTAGCGATTTGTCTAGTTTCATCGGTTAATACTTGGGCGTCATGTGTACAACAAATTATAATCATACCTCTCTCAGCAATTCGAAAATCTCGCGAATTGCGCCGCTCGTGTCATAGTCATCCATTTCTTTGGCGAAAGCCACAGGCTTTTCGGCCAAGTGGCCTTCCAAGCTGAAGTAAGTCGCATCGGCATCACTCGGGCTATGTTTTTCAGCCCAGATATTCAATTCTCCGTTGCGATAGGCGGTCACAGCTTCGAGAGTCGACCATCTGACGGATGCTTTTGGCTTCGCGATTCTGTAAAAGAGGTTGCCAATGTTTGCCTGCAGCTCTTTAACGTAGATGGTGCCAATCAGCTGGTTAGAATAGCTCATATCCTTGTGGAGACTAGCGTTTCTCATGAGGAAGTATCGTAGGGGATCAATGCCCCATCGTTGGATGGCGAAGATGGGGTTGACAACGTTGCCCAATGACTTTGACATCTTGCGGTTAGACATGGTCCAGTGATTGTGGCAAAGGAACCCTTTTGAAATAGGCAGGCCCAGAGCAAGGAGCAAGGCAGGCCAGTAGATGGTGTGGAAACGCAGAATATCTTTTCCAATAACCTGGAGGTCGGCCGGCCAGAGCCCCATGTCTTCCTTTGCCGAGTGCCACTTGCTTCCGTACCCGGCCTTGGTAATGTAGTTGATAAGAGCATCGACCCAGACATAGATGGTCTGGCTCTTATCCTCGGGGTCTGGTATACCCCAGTTAAGCCTGGAGGCGGGCCTGGTAACGGATAAATCCTCAAGATGGTTTTCTATCCAGTCTCTCGCTTCTGCCATTCGATGGGCTGGCTTGATCCAGTCAGGGTTCTCATCATATAGCTTCAATAAGGCGTCTTTGTATTTGGTCAAGGGGAAAAACCAAGTTTCCTCCTTGATCCATTCCACCTCGTTATCCGTCTCAGTGCTCACCATGATCTTCTTTCCGGTTTGGGGCGCAATGCTGGGTCGTACCAAGTCCTCGGGATAGAAGCACTCGTCGCTCACGCAATACCATCCTTCATGAGAACCTTTATACAGCCCCAAGCTTTCAGGCGTCGCATGTTTCAGATGCAGCCAGAACTGAGATACTGCGTCCTTGTGTTCCTGGTCAGTCGTCCGGATGAAGAAGTCGTTTGAGATGTTTGCCGCAGCCACCAGTTCTCGAAATTTGCTTGAGTTGACATCACAAAACTCTTTTGGTTCCATTCCATTCTTGGTGGCAGCTCTCTGAATCTTCATTCCGTGCTCATCCGTTCCCGTACACATGTAAGCTTCTTTGCCTTTAATTTGCTGCCAACGCTTGAGCACATCTGTCACGACCATGGTATAGAGATGGCCAATATGAGGAGCTTTTTGATTAATAAGTTAGCCACGCCATTAAAGAATCAGCTCACTGCTTTACTTGATATTTACCGGCATTGACATAGAAGATTGGAGTTGTAATATAATACGGCTTCTCGCCTGAAGACCCCGCAGAGCTTTGAGAGCTGTTCCAGCGTTGCACAGCAGCAAAACTCGTTCGGCAGCCGGAGCAGATCCAGCCAGACGACGAGCCCAGCCGTGGCTGAGCTCGCCGTAGCCCGGAAATGGCCCGCGGTCTTAGTGAGAGCATGGTTGCGACGAGGTTTGATCTAGAGCGAGATCCAAAGATGGATAGATAGAATTGCATGATACAGTGCTGCCAGTGCGAATTGGCTGCGACGATAACTGTACGATAGGCGGGGCGGTCTTCACGTCATAAGAAAATGTCTAGCTGCCTAATAAACAGTTCGCGTCTCTCTGATCAACAAATATCAATAGCAGCACTGATGCTGCTGAAAACAAGGGCATCATGACACTGCCAGATGCGGACACAGAAGTGAGGGCTTCTAGCGAAGGTACGTCTCATCGTTAACATGACTTTGGCTGGGTCTCAATCACTAACTTGGCTTGAAATAGCTGCTGAAATCTTCGTCAACAACTATTACCAGGCAATAAACGGCAAGGCCAAGCTTGAAACATTCTACATCAACTCTTCAACTCGCTATTCGATCCCAGCCGACATCTCCATCAACGGCTCTGTTGTTCCCACGCCGGAAGAGTACTCCAAGCTCCTCGATTCCCAAGGCGAGAATGTGTTTTACGAGATAGAATCTCTCGATACTCACATCATCAACCCTTCATTCCAATATGGCGCTCCCGAGACTGTCTACGAAAGCGAAAAGAACGAGAAGAGCGGGCGGCGCATGAGCATTGTCGTCACAACGATGGGCAAGGTCCGATTTGGCAAGGGACGCGAGGCACCACAGAAAATGTTCAACGAGACTTTTGTGCTGGTGCCCAACTGGGACGCCATGGCAAGGAATCCGGCCCGAGGACTCAAGAGGTGGCTCATCATGTCACAAAACTTCCGCGCTCTCTGATTCTGGACCTGATGAGGTATTCCATATACAAACAGGTCTGGCCATGACGGCCAATATTGGAATGCGAAGAACACGACAGCACCAAATCCACGATACCCATACAAAACCAAATATTATTCAACCAAAAAAGTTCATAGGATGGTCTCAAGGCATTGTTTCAAGTAGTACTCGTTCGTCTGAGCGGTGTACGTGCAGCTGACCAAACCTATTGTAAGTTCACGCTACACAAGCCAGGGAACGAGTACTACTTGAACAATGCCTTGAGGCCGGTGAAGCAGGATTCATATTCGAAATGGCACTTGATGGCCATTGGGATCGATATGAATGATTGCCAGATATATGTTAGTACGCTGAGTGGCGGGTCCAACCGAATACACATCTTCTGGTTGGTAAAATAAAGAATGGGAAAGATAGATATACTCGGAATTCAAGCAGATAGCAATAAAATCCAAAGACAGGTTCCTGCATACTCCATTCACACTAAGCTGCCTAACCGTAGTGTTGTAACAAGTTGGCCATATTTTGGTCTAGGAAGAGTGACAATCAACATCCTAAATGGGAGAGCCAATACTGGTAAAACAGTAGAAACGCCGTGTCTGAGCAGGTGACTATATCAATGACTGCATCAATTAGAATCCACAATACCAGTAACAAATGCTAAAGGCAAAGTTGAGCGCCCCGTGTCTCTCATTGTTCTCGCCATTGTTCTCGCGACGCTGCGCCAATAGCCGACCCAAGCCCCATCGCGGGGAACCTCTGTTGGTGGCAGACACCAATATTTGCAGCTTCCAGCTGCACCCCAAAAGCCCCGCCATTCACACCTCCAGCATCCAACATGCCGCCTAAGGCAAAGGCCACTGCAAAGGCTGCCAACCCCGAACCCAAAGGCAAATATTAACAGCATCTCGTCTGCTCTACGGAAGGCCCAGCTAACGCATTTCTCCTGTCCCTGCAGCTGCGCCAGAAGCCCCTCCTGAGACGGTTGGCGAGCGGTCCAAGCAGCGCTACTACCAGACAAATCCTGTCGAGAAGCGATTCGAAGAGGTCGGCTTCCCAGGCCTGACGCCGGCTGAAAAGAAGACGTACACGCACGCGAACCTGATCCTCCCTGTCGCGAACCGCCTTGTGTCACTGTCCAACAAGACCGACCGCGAGTACTGGAAGCAGGTTGCTAAGGAAGGCCTGCCCTGTCGACGCCTCAAGAACAACTACCACTGGGGCCAGGACAAGCACGGCCGCGATATCGGCACGTATAGATTCGAAGAGCTCAAGAAGCGTTCGCTGAGCCAGGCTAAGCTGACTGCGCTTGACGTCCTGCACCGCCAGTTTCTGACCAAGAGAGACGCTGCTCGCAAGAACGGCACTGAGCTTCCCCAGGAGGATATCGACCAGGAAAAAGAACGACGGAAAGAGATGGCGGCACTGAAGAGGGAGCTTTACGGCGAGATCCCCGGGCCGCTGGCCAATGATCCGGAGTGGGATGATGTAGCTCCCATTCCGCAGACTGAGCCAGAGGATGCTCTGGCCAGGATTGCTTATCCCGATGAATATGCTGAGGGTATGATGAAATTCGATACGATGACGAAGCGAGAACTGTTTGGCTAACATGATTTTTCATCACCAGCTGTCTCTTACCTCCGCGCCGTCATGGCATCAGAGGAATACTCCCCCCGCTGCCTCCGCCTCACCGAGCGTGTCATTGGCATGAACCCAGCCCACTACACCGTCTGGCTCTACCGCTTCAAAGTTGTCGCCGCCCTCAACCTCCCCGTGCTAGACGAGATCCAATGGCTCAACGGCGTCGCCATGGACAACCTCAAGAACTACCAAATCTGGCACCACCGCCAGCTCCTCCTCGACCACCACTACACGGCCATCTCCTCCGATCCCGAGGCGTGCAAGCAGTTTGCAAAGTCCGAGACGGACTTCATCTCCAAGATCCTCGCCGAGGACACCAAGAACTACCACGTCTGGTCGTATCGCCAGTATCTCGTCACGAAGCTCAACTACTGGAGCCCCTTTGAGCTCGCCACCACGCAGAGCATGATTGAGGACGACCTGCGCAACAACTCTGCCTGGTCCCATCGCTTCTTCGTCGTCTTCTCTGATCCTTCCGTCTCGACCACGGGCAGCGCCCCCACGGAGCACGATCCCAAGGTCCCCGCCGAAATCATCGACAGGGAGGTTAAGTACGCAAAGGAAAAGATCCAGCTTGCGCCCCAGAACCAGTCTGCGTGGCATTACTTGCGCGGCGTGTTGGTAAAGGGTGGACGAGGTCTTGATACCGTGGGTGAGTTCGCTTCACAGTTCTTCACCAACCTGGGTGGCGACGACGAGGATGTCAAGAGCTCGCATGCCCTGGACCTCATGTCCGAAGTCTATCATAAGCAGGGCGATATTGAAAAGGCCAAGCTGTGTCTGCAAAGACTGATGGAGAAGTGGGATCCTGTTCGGGAGGGATACTGGAAGTACCGACTGTCAGAGCTGAAATAAAGTAGAATAGCATCGATGAAATCTGACTTGAAATAAAACTTGTTATCAATGAGTACCAAGATGCCATATTGTCATATCTATTTTAATATCTACGTGTTTATTAGCAATGAATTTTTTTTAAGGCCATCATGTCATAAAGAGAAAAAATGGTTTCCTTAAACGCCAAGCAAGCGACCAATGCTTCATGCGTAGAAACCCCCGTAGTGAAGAAATCCCCCTTTCGCTCAGAATGTCCCAAACCGCATATGCCTTGTCGCCATGATTACCCAACGCCAGACTCAGTAATACGTCCCTCCCCAGCGCCAGAGACACCACATGTCCATCTGCAGCTCACCAGCCCGCCCGGCTACTCGCTTTCCACTCGCCAAAACTTCCACCCCTCTCTCTCTCCACCGTCACCGTGAACGCCGACAAGCTGCTCAACGCCCTCAGTTCCTTTAGCGTTGAGGAACAGGTCCACGTCAATCTCCATGCCGCCTTCGTCGTCTTCGTCGAGGCCGTTCTTCAGGACAGCCGGCCACAGGACACCCACGCCATCACCACCGAGGGTAGTGCCAAACTTCTGGTAGCCTTCGGCTTCAAAGCGGCTCTCTAGAGTAGCGAGCTTCTCCTTTGGCACATCCGGCTTCAGCAGAGTGATGGAACAGCCACCGCCTCCAGCGCCAGTGAGTTTAGTCCATCCGATTCCCTCATGGTCGACCAATTCACGCACTCTCTCCAGCCTAGGATGAGACACGCCCAGCGAGTTCAGAAGGCCGTGGTTGATTGTCATCAGCTCGCCGACCTTCCGCAGGCTTTCCTCCTCCTTGGGGTCAAAGCTCTTGTCCTCGATGAGTTCAGAAGCAGCTTCGGTAACGTTGTGCATGGCATCTAAAATTGTGCCCACAAGCTTAGGGTGTGTCTTGTTCAGCTTTCCAACCTTGGCCACTTCATGCGCCGTAGACTTGGCTTGCTTTGTATCCACGAGGAGCAGAGGCAGCTCGGGGAAGTCCCATAGTGGGCGAACTGATGGAGGTTTGCTGTAGTCTGTTCGTTGGAACACTACAGCCTTACCTTGGCAGGCTACAGTATTATCGACTCCCGAAGGGTTTCCATGAATGCACATCTCTGACACAAAAGCCCAGCGGTTGATACGTTCGATCTGGATACGGGCCTCCTCTGAAGGCTGGTCTGGATGGGGGCCAGAGAGCGTCCGTAGTTGAAGGAGGAGGGAGGCGGCTAGACAGACGGAGATGGAAGCACTGCTACCAAGGCCAGCCGAAATGGGAATTGTAGACCGCAGAGTATAGAGGCATCCTGGGAAGCGCGGTGACCCCAGAGAAAGGAAGAGGTAGAGGAACGCGGTGGCAGAGCTTCGGTGGACTTTTCGAATCTCTTCTGGTCGGTCCGGAGAGACCTCGTCAATGTGTGGTTGCAGAGCGGCCAGTAGATCGTTGTCAAGCTCCGTGACCAGGGAGTAGTACGACTTTTTCTTGTCTGGGTGGTGGAACGCTGCCCAAGGGAGGTTGTCAATATCCCAGGTGTGAGTGAGGTCGATGTCGGGGAAACGAAGCGAAACGGTGTGTTTTGATTTCGACAGCGTTGTGACATGGAGATAGGATCGTAGAGCGATGGCAGCGGCAATGGCAGCCTACACGACAACAAAAGGGACCAGTTAGCCATTGACAGATCACATCTCGGTCACAAGCGACACGCACCTTGCCATAGACAACGGAGTGCTCTCCAAAGACAATCACCTTGCCTGGAGCAGACACCATAAAGGCCGGCGCCATGGGAGCAGACGGCCGGCGAAGCGACATGGCGCGCTGGTGCCCAGACAAAAGTCCCCCACTGCCATTGACGGATGGCTTGACGCCGTTGCTGGGGCCATCGGGGGCGTCTGTACCGTCAGACATCTGAGTTTCCTGACGGAATTGAGCGAATCGTCTGCCGGTTCTGGACGTTGATGTGTCTGGAGTCGTTGCTTGGCAGTCGGCCCACGGCACGAGGGGCAGAGGGGGGATGTTGAAGAGTTGGCAAGGATAGCAGCTAATAGGGCAGAATGGTGAATCTAGTTGTTTGTCCTCGGTCGCGTTAAGCAGGAGTCGAATCAGGATATAAAGGGCGCGCGAGAAGTTGCCAGCTGCCACCAATTCGAGGTTTCGTGGTTGGGGCCAGGAGGTGGGCGATGGAAGGTTGATTTGTACAGCCTGGTCGTGAGATATGGACTAGAGAGTACCAGTCAGGTACCTAAAGGATGGGTGTAAGCCCAAGCCTTGCCAAAAGGGTCAATGCAATAAAGGGTCCCCGCAGAGCGATTGTGTACCTGGTGGGTTCTTTGATCTCCAACTGCCCCCAACTTGCACCTCTTTTTCTTGGGCCGGTCTTGCGATTAGTTGGTTTGGAGCAAAGGGGGACTTGGATGGAACTTGTGCCTCCACTACAACCAGCAACCCTTTTACTAAAGCTACAGCCAACTACCTAATACACACAACTATTTCTATGTTGCTTATTATGAGAGAGAATACTGTTCATCGTCAAAAGGAACAAAACCATGCCCATGTTGTACATAAGCAGTACGTGCCGGTACGTCATGTCTTACCCCAAAGACACAGACACGAATGCGCGGGTCAAGTCACGACTACGAGCTCGATGCCACGATGCGCAAACGGACAGCCTGCATTAGCCGGCCGCCGCTAACCTCAAGGTACCCTCCAGCTCGCTTTGTGCATGCCGGTACATGCCGCAGATGACGGTGGGTGCGTAATAATAGGACGCCAATTGGAAGAAATTTGGTCAATGGCGGGCTTCCATTCGCTGGACCAATTGGCTGGCTTATCTCGATAGTGGGTGGAGAGCAGCGATGCGGGATGCTGCTGCGTATTCGTATTGCCCTTCGCAGCAGGATTTCAGTCAGCTTCTGCTTCCTTAGTACCTAGTAGGTATATCTCACCAGCGTCTCTCTATATGACCCAAACCCAAGCCGCGGCAGATACGAACGTGCATCTAATGTGGAACAGTCTCACTGCATGAGCTGTAACGTTTTGTCCCGGACTTATCTACAGTAGAACATGGTCGAATATGCAAACTCTGTACGGAGTGAGGCATCTACCACACTATACTGTAATCGACATTGAAGCCAGAGTCCACCCGTCACAAATGCATGTCACCCCAACCTGATGCCGTCGAGGCCCAAAGGCTTCACATCTCCGCAGTTGTGGCTGTCTGAACTTCATCTGCCCGCCAATGCCGTATCAAAGGCTAAACAGGCTGCATTGATGGAATCCATTCAGCACACGGGGTGTCAGCACGACTAGGGCGGGGGCTTCAACGTCAATCAATGCCTTGCTTGTCTATAGCCTTCTACAACAAGGGGAAGCACCCTAGCATAGCTCAATATACCTTGGGGCATAGTAAGGTCTAACTGGTACTTGAATATCTCATTATGGGATTCAAGATGGTTCCTCAAACCGCCATATAGTGGGCGGCTTGTTGATTGCTCACGTCTCTTAACATAGAGTCCGGCTAGGAATTGCGAACAACAGCATGTCCCTATCCAACCCTTGTGTGCTCTTGACACCATCTTAAACACTGTTTCATCGTGTCTTATCATAATGCTGCATCAGTAATAACTCGAAATCCCACTGGTATCTCCAAAGTGCCATTATACAGGCCGTATGTGACTTGTACAAACATTCATTACCTTACATGGTAGGCCACACCGGACAAGGAGTAGCGTGGAAGATGTGAAAGCTTCTATGTCTACCGTAAGCCAGCCATCTTGATCAATTTTCATCTTATTGCCCGACATATCTCTCTGCGGCTATCAGTCCAGATAAACATGGGTACTTGCCTAGTAACTAAGCACTTTAATTACGCCTTCTTTGCTCCATCATTCCTGAGACAGAGATACTGTACTAAGGTGTGCCTCCAGGATGATGTGACACTTACATGAACTTTTCAATCCTAGGCAAAAGCAATCAACCCTCGAAGGATCTCCAACAAAAAAGATCACAATACAGCCATTACAGTAACATATACACTCAGATCCCAAGAAAATATATATGGAACCGCAAATCCACATCTGCCCTCCTCTCTCCAGAGTCCCTGCCAAGGCCTTCTAGCTCAGAACCGCACCATCTCAACCATTCCATTTCCATAAACGCCACAACCAAAGGCTAAAACCCAAAAGCAAAATCATCGAATCAAGTTTCCCCATCCAGTCGATCCAATGCCACCGCCATGCCTGTCACTGCCCTGCTTTCCTCTGGCTGGACCTACGATGCGCGGGGTGATGACGACACTCAAACCTCAATCGCAGCCAATATTTGGCCCAGACATGGCTTGCCGATTCGGTGCGACGCGCAATCCCACCCCGATCAGGTTCGCCAACTTTGTTGCGGCTGAGCCGTCATGGGCTGACTTTAGAGTGTCAATAATTGGGCGTTTCTTATAAATTACTTGTGCCTGTTGTTCCCCGTGATTTCGTAGCACCATGTTTGTCTTTGACAAGGGGGCTCTAGGTAACCACCAACACACGCAAACAATACGAAAAACGAGACCAAGATACCCGCGGCTCCGCGGACAACGATCGTCACTGAAAGTCTGCCTAGTTGAGAGAAAATCAAGTGTAAAAGCATCTGCAGTTGTCGGCAGCGTCTTTCCCAGTCAACAATCAAAAAACAAACGATACAATCACTTTGCCCCTCTTGTACTACGTTCACAACGGTTTACCGCAGGCCAGCCATCATGCCAGTTACCGAGTTTGCCATCATTAAGCTGAAGCCTAATTGCGACGCCCTCGAGTTACTCGAAACTCTCATGGAGTGTCAAGAAATTCAGGATAGTTGGATTTGCCGCAATCAGCCATGCAATCTGGAACCTGGCACCAACCTGAGCAGCATGTATACAGATGCCACAGACCAATCAACACTGCTCATCACGGCGCCATGGGATTCTCCCGAGGCGCACAGAGAATGGATTCAGAGTCTTGAGAATAGGATGGCCAGTGGCAGCTTAACCGAGTTCAGTGCTCCGGGGTGCAACTCTGTCATGCTCTTCCACATGGACCCGGCGGGGGCAAGACCACAGATGCGAGAGGCCTTTCAGCACAAGGATACAAACGACGTGTTCGACGTATGTCGCTTAACGTTCAATGGGGATCAGCGGGAGGCAATACAAACTAAATATCAGGCACTGGAAAATGAGTTGCGAGAGCAGGGTCTGGAGAAGAGCATATGGGCAGGCTGGAGGATTGAAAAGGCCGCGGGTGAGGAAGACAAGGAAGATTTGATTGTATTCTGGACTGGCGATGTTCCGAGGAAACGACTGGAAGGATTGGCAAGCCTCGCTCTCAAGAAAGATCATTGCCGCTTCAGGCATATCGTGTAAATAGGCATCACCGAGTAACCGGAGCCCCCTTCTTCAGGCGGCCTGGCCGGCACAAAAAGACATCGGGCTCACCAGATTGGTGTGCGATTGTTGCTTTTTTTGTGTCTCAAATCGTTATTTTGAGCTCTATTGCGAGCGCGCGTTCTGAGCACATGAAATGCAAGGTATCCCGAGACGCCCAGTTGTGCATGTAAACCCTTCCCACGCCGAAAGCCACCCCTATTTTACCACCAATTCATTTCCTTAGTTCTTCTTGGGGACCTCTGCGATTTGCAGGTCTGTCAAAGGGTCAGCTTTCATCTTTCTCGTCTCGACACCATGGCGGTGGGATGGAGATTGGGGGATTTGTGGTGTCAAGGGTCGGGGCGCATACTGGGAGGGAGGCTCTGCTTGAGCTTCTCGGCCTTGTCATTGTCCTTCAGCACCAGGGTGTAGAGGTTCTTCTGGCATCGGACCTTGAACTTGATGTTGTGGGCCTTCTTGTTCTTCTTGATCCGCGCGGCTGTATTCAAGTTAGTCGATACAATTCCTTCTTCCCATTTCCCATTCTCTCTCTCAATTCTCGTCGAGGTTTTCTCCTCGGAAAGGAAGGGGTGCCTTCGGATAGCTGCGTTGAGAATACGTACAGGAAGCGTCCTTCCGACGGCAGATCTCGATGAACTGGAGAGGAAAATATTAGCATGACGAGATTCTACATGTTTTCTTGCTGGAATGATCATCTCCTACCTTCTTGATGTCAGCGACCTCCTTGGGCATTTTGGCGGTATTTGATCGGCTCTGTGAGACGGGTTTGGGACGACAGAGAGTACGAAATTTACGATTCGAGATATGGTGGATTTTTGGCAACAAATTATTTTTGTGCGCTCCCGCTTCGCGGGGCGGGTCGCACGGACCAATGTGCGCACTAGCCACATCTGATTGTGGCTGGTGATTGTGGCGTCGAGCGTGCGCGTTGCCATGCATTGTCTAAGTGGCTTTGCTTTGATGAAACGATTGAGCTGAGAACACATTTCATCAGTGCTGGCTTTTATAGAGAAACATTGATTCCTTCTTCCTTCTCTGTTCATTATAAACCTCCTTTTGACACGCTGCCACCCAACGGATTTACAACCTGCCCTGTTTCTGATCTGATCGTATCCCTCGTCTCAAGATGACCAGTACTCCACTTGATAGTGCGATGAAGTCCAAGGTAAGCCGTGATATATGTATAACCCTCAATTCAGTCTTGATCTTCTAACATATCTCTAGAGTTTACTACTAGGTATATAATTTGTCTATTAATTCGGGATAGATTTATTCTGACAGCTGCCAAAAGCCTTTGGAGGCACCGTGGTCGCCGCAGCAGTTTGGTCCATCTTCGGTGGCGACATGTTTCCAGCACAAGAAGATCCCAAAGGTGATCCAGAAACATGGACCAGAGAAGAGATGCGAAGATGGCTAGCCGCTGTAAGTTGAAATCTAAATCCCAATTGAAACATCTCAATACCAAATGCGCTCGCTAACCTGGTCGTCTTCTTATAGAGAAACCTCTTCCCGCAGAAAAGTGATACCCGGGAGGAGTTACTTGCTAGGGTGCTGGCGAATATGAGGCATCCACGGACATGAAGCATGATGGTTTCCTCTATACCCTTGTTCTTATGTAGTTCTTTTATATTCTTTATCTTATAGCTATGGCGGTGGTTGAAATGAATTCTATTTTTCGTGAAATAAAAGCAAAACTTACAACTGCAAAATATTATGACGAGCTAAGCTATCGGGCTTACACCCAAAGGCCATTACATGGCGACAAACATAAGCAAGACTCGCTCAATTAGCCGCGCATGTGATTTAGTAATAGTAAGATTGACGATTGTTAACTCAGTTTGCAAATGCCAAATCATTTTTGCTAGATTTTCTCGGGGCCTATGCATATTATACAGGGGCAACAATAGGGTAGCACCGGTCAAAGAGAATCCTCTTCACGTTTCCCTCACCATGATAAATGTATTTCTCCGAATCGTATGCAACTTCCTCTTCTAATATTGCTAGACATTCAAACATGACCGCCCTACAATAAAGCCCCCCATCCCCCATCCTCTTCATCCTGCTCATAATCATCCGTCAACTCCCATTACGCCGCCCGCAAATGCTAGTTATTATTGCCACTTAAACTCGCTCAACCTGGCAAACTTCTCATCCAGCTGTCTCCTGGCCGCCGACGTGATACCTCTCTCGGGGTTTGCCATCTGTTCGCTGTAGCAGAGCTCTATCAAAGCCTTGAGCTCGTCATATGAGAAGCTGTTCAGATCAAGGGCCAGTGTTCCCATCCCGTGTCTATCCTTATACTCCCTCGCTTTTTCAACAATAGCCTCTGGACCCCTCTCGAACAGTTGAAAGTAGCTTGTCGCCTTTGCCAAGTCGACCCCGTCCTCAACATTTTTGAGATTCTGCTGAAGAACGAGAATGTTTAGTTGCATGCGATGACATCCTTTGTCGTTCATGGGGGAAGCTAAGGAGGCATTTTGAACCAGGAAAGTGTTGATAAGGATGCCCAATCCGGTCCGAATAAAGACGACTTCCTTGTCTCTTAGGAATTCCACGATAGTTTCATCCAAAAGAATCAGTTCTTGATTGAGACTGATGATTTGAGGGTCAGGCTCGTTCACATCCTGTTCCAGAATATACGGCGCCGAGTCTGGCGAGAGGGTGTTGCGCAACGAGTAAATGACCCGACAGCGAACTTCCATGTGTAAAGTCAGCAAAGCCGTAGCAGCTAGTTCTTCGAATGAAGACACAATGGTATCAAAAGTTCTATCAGAAAATCTTTTGTTAGTGGATACAGGGATGTAGAGCTGCCAAGTTTCCGACAGTAACTTACTGAGCACTCTCCGTTGTAAGAGGAAGCTGTACTGGACTTTGCCCTGAAGTCTTACTCGGGTCATTCAATGTCCACCGCTGGCCTGACTGGCGTGAGAGTTGCTGCCGTGATGAATCCGTCTCTTGCGATGTTATGTGCCTCAAGCTCAGAATCTTCGCAGCCAGCCATCTCATGCTGGTGTATAAGAGGCACAAAGATGAGATTGTGTCTCGGTCTTGGATAACGTCGTTTGCCTCCAGTCGCTGGGCATTTGTTTTCTGAATCAGAAGCTGCACCTCGTTCCTCATTAACGCGCTATCTAATTCCTCTGCGGCCCAAAGCTGCTTTGCTATGTCGTTGACTTTGCTAGATTGCACTGAGAAGCGCGCGGATGCTCGCAAATTGCTTGAATCGGCAGGCTGATCGTGTCTCTTAGTCACGAGGGATTGGAACCAGCTGAAACAGCGATCATAATATCGCATCATCTGGGTCACAATGAGAGAGCTCAAAGCTTGGTCTGGAGGGATGGTTCCAAGCATTCGGCAAAACGCAGTGACTACCTGGAAGAATGCAGTGGCACCCTTGAATATAGGTCGCTGGGAGCACTGGTTCCAGTCGGGATCTTGCAAAAATGAGTCAGCCTCGCCAAAGACGGCGTCGCAAAGCTTCCCAATAGTCTCGTCTAGCTGTGGTTGGAACACATTGACTAAGAAGTTGTCAAGGAATGTGGTTAGAGTGCTTGTGGCAAGATCAGAACCAGGAGGAACTATGGTTTTCAGCCGCTGTAGGAAGATGAGAGTCGGCGGTAGGAGAAGACTCATGTTGAATACGCTCGGCTCAACCAAAGATTTGTAAGAACCTGGTGCCCCCCGATTGACACCGTAGGCGCTCCGTCTTGAACCGAGATCATCTGCCGTTGACTTATTCCTCTTGTTCTCGGCACCGTGCTTTCGGGAACCGCCTGTCAAACCGGGAACAGTAGCCTGAATGATGGTCTCCAGCGCATCAAACTCTGCAGCTACCTCAGTAGACTTGGTGTCAGCCTCGGAAAACTTGAACAGGTGCTCTCGCATGCCGTCCTTGCCGCCAACGCCTGCTCCTGGGGTGGGAGAATCGAATTGGTAAACGTCGGCATCTGTTGTCACGTAGTTGTGCAAAAGAGAGCGGATCTCGTTCTGGTAAAGGTGCCATAGCTCCTTGAAACTACCGAGCAGGGCAATATTATTGCCAGAGCCCTCGCGGCGAATAAGAGCCTTGATGGACTCGTGGAAGACACGCTGGCCCTCTCCGATGGCCTCAAACTTGCCATAGAGCGTCCATAAGAGGTCGTAAATGACGTCTGCTCGCATCTGAATCTCTCTGGCGCTATATATTTGCACCCCGTCCAGCCTTCCCACGGCGGCGCGGAATGAGGTTGGGTGCCGCTGTTCAACCTCGTTAATAGTTTCATTGACGACGACAAACAGCTCGACAGGGAGCCTTTGCTTCAAAGTTTCTACAGCATTCTGCAGCCTGCCTAGCTTGTTCAGCGCCTCGACTAATAGAGTCACGTAGTAGAATGTGTCCGCCTCTGGGTTCTTCATTGGATCTTCCAGCACTGGTCTCTCAAAATCGATTGAGTCTAGTATTAAGTAGAATGGGGTGACAGGGGGGTTTGCATCATTGTGATTGCCTTCGTTGACTCCGCCTCGGTTCTTAGCCAAACTTGACCACCTTTGCTGACAGTAGGGCGACTTCAAATAGAGGTGTTCGTGAAGCTCTTCCACTAAAATATCCATTAGGACAGTTTCCTGGTTGGCAAGGTAGCTTCGTAGATCGCTCAGGGCACCGATATTATCTAGTTCCGGCTTTCTCAGTTTTCGTAGAGCAGTTTGCAGCACGTCAACCGCCGTCAGAAATCGTTTCTCGGATATACGGGCCTCCAGTTGGTCAGGAACGGCTCGAAGGTCGTCCAACTCGTTAAGCGTTTGCAGTAGCTCGTCATACTCTTTCGACTCCTCGGAGAGAATCTTCAAGGTCGGATCCGTCGCGCACAGACTGGCCTTGGACAGTGCCAATGACTCCTTGAGGGCGCGGACTCGCTTCTGCGAGACCTGAATGCTACTCTGGATCTTGTGGAATGTACCGATGGAGCTGTTGAACCCCTGATGATGCTCGTGGACAATGTTTTTCAGCGAGTCCTGGAGATACGTATGTGTCGTCTGGAACTTGCGATAGTCGTGCGCGCGACCGACCGAGCTGTTATCCAGGAGCTGGAGCGCGAGCTGGACAGGCACGCAATCATCACGGCACATGGACGGCCACTCGCTCTTGATGTGATCCAGGACCTGAGCTATCTGTCTCTCGGCGCTCGTCTCCTGGACGCGCGGTCGCGAAGGCATATTGCGGAGGCTCTGCGACGACACCTGGGCATTGTATCTTTCGCCTCTGTAGTTGTTATCGCCGTACGGATCGTAGTCGTCGGCCGTCCGCCCGAAATTGCCGTAGCCATCGCCATTGCGCATCGAGCTGCCGTAGCTGTTGGACATGATGCCGTCGAGTAGTGTCACCAGAGGGGCTCACAAGCGAGCATCGTTGTCGGTGTTTGGGAGGAAGGAATTGCCGTGGCCGGGGCTTGGATTCCCGCAGCTGGTCGTCGTCGAAACCCTGCACGAAGTGGTGGCGAAACAAATGCAACCTGAAGATATGAGGATGTCGCTTTAGGCCAGCATCGGTTCTGGCTGGGAGTTGACCCTGAAGGTTGGCTTGGGAGTCTTCAGCGGACAGCACGCACAGACCACCCCAGCAGCCAAAATGGCCACGAACCCCGCCAAAACCTTAAGCTGCAGGAACATGAAGAACAAAACAGCCAAGGTACTGTACTAAGCCTTGCGATGATGAATTGGCACAACACTTGATGAGTAAGGTAATTAAGCACCAATTACGTATACTTATGATGTTCACTCTATGGACGCTCTATGATACAAATCTTCGTTTACACTGAATTGCAAAGAAAAAGAAGAAGAGAAATACCAAGTTCAAATCAACAAGCATCGCAATCTTATTGTGAGTTCACCAAATAGTGACATCATAGTGCTCAAAATCGCAAAATCTGGTATCGATCCTTCCAACGTACAAACCAACTACTCAGTATTAATACATGAAAGTCATGACCAGATCATCTGGAAAACATGACTGAAATTAAAAATAAATATGTTTGTCCCGGCAGCTATTCAACTAAGCCGTTCTGTTCCCAGCTCCATGGAGCCTCTTGTCTACGACGAGCAATGCTTTGGCAAGATTTCTTGCACCGTCTGCAATCACCTGTGGTCGCTCCCAAGCCAGCAGTCCCTGCTTCCCCTGGACTCGGTCAGTCCAAACTACCTCGTAGTGTTGTCTGGCCCAGCTGGGGCATACGTAGGGATTGACCGATGTTGGAGAAATGCCCTCCCTAGCTGAGCTTGATCCATTCTGAACCGCGACATCATCAGCCAGGAACACTGTGATGGCAGCTTTGGGTTTTCGTGAAGATTTCAACTCTGTATCATCCCTTGCTGACAAATAGTTCTCTGCCAATAATCTTAGTGTTCCCTCCGGACCTGGAAGCCAAGTCAACTTGGTCATTGTGACGAGTTCTGATGCAGTAAACTCCTTCTCAGATCCGAGTAACCTAATTATGGTCAGGAAAAAGACCAAAAGTCCGGTAGGGGAATCGCAAAGTGCGTATGCTAGCGTATTTAGATCGTATGCACCGTTTCCGAACGACTCTTGCGTGGCAAAGTCTGTAGCAGATATCCTGGCTCTTTCTCGCTGGTTCTTCTGAAGAGCCGCAATGTCTTCCTTCGTATAACCCAGAATAGAGGCTTGCAGAGTCTTCGCTAACGTCAACTTTAGCCATTCGACTGGCGATTTCAATGCCTTTGGTGCTTTCAACGGCGGCGATATTAAATGGACGCCGAGGCAAGAATCCGAATAGTTAGCAGCTAGATGTTTGATGATTTTCCAGTCAATTCCACCCTGAGGAGTAATAGATGACCCAGAATTAGTCGCGAGGTAATGCCTATACCCTAGTCGCTTCATGAGGATGTCTAGCATTTCGGATGTTTTGGAGATTACATGGACGTTTTTGGGCAGAGAATCGCTGAAGCCCAGCCCAGGAAGCGAAGGCATGACGAGATGAAATGGCTGATTGGTGTTGGCATCGTCAGGATGCGTAAAGGTGTCGGTGATGTGGCGGAAGGATAGATTGGTAAATGGAAACGGCGGGATCAAGAGCAAAGGAACGGCGTTTGGATGCCGTGAGCGCGCATGGATGAAATGTATCCTTGAAAGGCCCTCTGTGGCAGATGCCTGGATGCTGATCCTGAACTGCGGGACCGAGTCATTGATTTCCCTTTCATGCTCTCTCCAAGTGAAGTGCTCAAGCCTGGGTGTTTCCATTAGTCATCGAGCCGTTGATAAGAAGAGAGATCGTGAGCGCTCACTTACCAGAAGTCGATGAGCGGCTCTAGCGTTGGCTTCGGATCCCACCGCGCCCTCGAGTTCGCGTCAGGAACTTCGCGAGGAAGCCGAGCTAGCTCGAGCTTCTGCCGCGTAAAATCAAGGTACCTGCTCGAGGCCTTTGCACGTCAAATGCGATTAGCTGCGACGCTACATTATGCTTGATGAATTCGGTGGGTATTTGCCGCTCCGGGGTCATACGTGAATCTTATACTCTTTGATCTCTTCATTGGCGGCAGCGGCAGCACCAGCACCAGCACCAGCACCTGCTGCCTCGGCAGGTTGAGCCATGATGCTGACGGGTCAAGGACGATGTCCTCCGCGCGCTGCAAGCTCGTCAGACGGGTGTTAGTTGAGGCCAGCGATCATGGCATCGATAGCACGCGCCGAGACGCAAAAACACTGCGCCCAAGCCCAGAGTAATCGCGAAAGGCTTTGAAAGAGGAGGGATAAGAAACAAGTCTCATTCGGATTGCTGCATCAGCCGCGGGTAAAAGTAACGTTGGGAGCTACACGCCTTATGGCCGCCAAGCTGGACTCTCGTGCAGTCCATCAGAAGCGGCGGCTAGTGCTAGCGTGCCTCTTATTCGCAATTTATGGGGGCAGACCAGCGCCTTGTGGCTTGGCCGCTCACTGAAGGCGTCATGTCTCGCTTCCAACCGTCGTGGGGCTGGAGCTGCTACGGGGCATTTTATCTGTTAGTGTGTCAGTGGCGGTGCGATGAGCTCAGCTTGGGAGATGGCAGAGCTGATATCATTCATCCAGGCGTGCTGTCGAGGCGGCTGAATCGGGGCCAATCGCTGGTCTTGTTCGAAAGCCTCACGTCGCATCCACATCACGGCGCAGCTTTGCAGCATAAACCAGAGTTATCATTAATAGTTCCATTCGTTCTTTCAAGTGCTAGCCCTCCCAAACGTTAAAATGCAATACTAGTATCAGATGTACAAAGAGTTATCAAGTGCCTCGGCCTACCGGGATTCAGCCCGCAGTAAGTGATACTTCAGGAATGTTTGCTACAGCCATGGCGGATGTGCAGCCCAATCTCCAGCCCAGCCATAAAATCTTGGTGCCCATCGGTGCCTTCTGCGCAAATTACCGTCGGTAATAGCAGTCCCCATGCCACCCGGATCGCTGTGATTTCATCGTGAGGCCTCTAGCCACGTCAAGTTATCTGATTGGCCCACTCGGGGCTGTAATAAATGAAGAGCAAGATATACGAGGCAGTAGCCAAAGAGTTCGGTGTGCTACTTTGCTCCTTGTCACCAGTGGATGTGAGCATACACACAGGGATGTCCACCAGGCATCCAGACTTCCAGGGGGGATGATTGGACCAATACTTGTTGGTAGTGCCGCGTATGGGCAGAATGAGATTTGCTGGGCATGCCAGCTAGGAAGAAACTCGCAAAGCCATAATCAAGCATCTGATCTATATCTCAGTAGGCTACTGTACAAGCATATCACACTGTCGATAGTTCTTGGCTCGTCTCATGCACCCTGTTTCCGGAGGGTAGCACATGTAGTACGAGTAGTACCATCATGATGCACCCCTGTTCGGCGCAGAATTTGACGCTGCCGACGCGCCGCGAAGATTTATTTGGCCGATACGTGACACAATATTGCTTCCGACAGCATCCACTGCCCCTCTGGGTGAGGTCAGAGTGGGGCCTGCCGGCGCCGTTTCCTGGACTCGGAAGAGCTTGATGGCCGTGCCATTCCATATACCCATGGTACCCTTTGCAATCTGCATTTCACTGGCAAAGATGACTCCCCAGAGTAGGGACTCGTACCATCCAAGTGCCAGCTGAGACCATTCAAAGGAGTGAACTCGTATGGCAGACGGCTCGAGGCCGATGAATTCAATCTTTTGAATCCGGCGTAGCGTGTCAGCTGCAGCATCTCGAGCTGATGCCTGCCGTGGGAGAACGCTGGTTGTTTGCTGGATGATGGTTAGGATAGTATGCAGAGGTAATTCCGGCAGCCAACTATCGATCCATGGGGCTGTCGGCTCAAAACTGCCACCAAACGCCTGGTTTGCATTCGAATATGCACCAAGGCTTGTTGAACTGTTCTGCCGGGAGAAGGATTGAATATTTGCCGGCATTTTCCCCCTGGCTTTCTCTGACATTCCCCGCAGTTGTACAGGCACTGCATCTTCGACGTTAGTTACTGATGATGCCTGGGAAGGGTTTTCGCTAGCAGTTGACGCAGCTGGTGTGGGCTGAGGCTCCTCGTCGCTATCGTCGTCATCGTCATCTCCGACGGCAAATGCGCTGTCCTCTGGGACTTCTTCCAACGACTGGGTTCGAGATAGAGTGTTTGATGGGCTCCGTACACTATCGACAGAGCTTCGTCGAGACCCATCATCGAAAAGTCCGGTATGACCTCCAGCATCCTTTCTTCTCCTATTGATCTTCTCAATCTCCTCCTGTCCAGTTTCCAAGGTGAACGTGCGGAGTGCCTCAATACGCTTCTTGTTTTTGAAAATTGCCATTATCAGCTCCGGATTCTGGCGGTATTTATTTTCAAGAATGGAATTGATAGAATCTAGCAGAGAGTGCAAAAGGCCATGGTTAGTTTCATTGGCAAGTAGAAATGATGGTGATGCCATCAACGAAAACAGATGCATGAGCTGAGAGCCACTAGAAGCACTTAGTCCCTCGATATGCGGAGCTATGTTGTTGATGATTGCTAGGAGCGCCGGATAGACTGGAGCGAAGTTGCCCTGACTTGTAGTAATCAGGGTATAAATCGAGTGCAGTAAGAAGTCGGCGTATGTGCCCCTGAATGCGTTAATTCTGATGCTCGCAGGGAGGCTTTCCTGGCCCTCAAATGTCTTGTTCAGGTGCGAGCCAAAGCTTGCTTCGACGCTCAAGGTCTGCAAAAGAAACGCGCACATGCGCACAACACCCTGTTTGGATGGTTCATTTCTGTATTCCAGAGCATAGAACAATGCTAGGACAACGAAATCATGCGCCCTATCGGTATCGATAATGAAGGACCGAAAGCGTTTATTGCATTGAATCAGTTCCCAGAATAGCATCAATACCTCTGGAGCAAGGTTAGAAGAAGATTGAGAGCCAGGAATATATGAACTCTTCTCTTGAAGCGGTTGATTGAGAATTCGCGTCATTCCATCAACTATGAATTGGAAGTCTTGAGGACGATGTATGCGGCCGAGGAAATGACGGAAGTAATTCTTATGGGAACCTGAAGATGCATCCTCGGGTATAGGGTATATGAGCATGGCCAATAAGAAGTGTATAGAGTAAGTCACAAGAACCTGCTTAGTGTCTCTGAACACCAAAGTGTTGTATGGTACGCGCCAGCTGGCTGGATTATATTTCAACGTCTACAGGAATGTCAGTTAGCTAATAGTCTTCCTGGAAGAGATATCTGGGCACTCACAGTGTTTAGAAGGGAACATAGAACCGAGAGCACCACCTGCTTATCAGAAGACGTGCAGAGGTAGGTTAGAGTCCGCACTCCCCTCTGTGGAAGTACTCCCGGGGTTGTGTACATGCTTTGGCCAGCAAGAGTCATGAGAAGCCTTAGGATTTCACATCGGTTGCTTTCAAATTCCTTGGTCGTTGCCACGGCTGTATTGCATCCAACCCCGCTCTGCCATATAGCATACGTGACCTTGGATTGCCCATTTGGCTGACGAGGGAGGGTGAAATCTGAGAAAAACAGGAGATCGACCAATGTATCTATCAGTTCTTCTGCTAGAGGCTTCAGATTCTCATTCGTCTCAGCTGAAGATTGCACCGGTTCCTTCCCTTCCTGGGCTTCATCAAACAGAACTTCAGCCTTGGGAGTCCGGCCCTTAATCCGCCGTGGGGTCCACAAGAACTGTTCTTCCCAAGGCCCTAGGCTCTCTTTCTCATACAAGTATGGCAGTATTCGAGTTAGAACCCTAATGCAGTTCAGGATGTCTCGCTCCGGAGCATGGTCGGGATCTGGAAATGATGGGTGATGCCGTAAAGTAAAAACTCGCGTTGTCAAGGCTTGAATCAACGTCTCGATATTTTCTAGGGCATTGTCACGAGTTCGGCGGATATCGTTGGGCGAGAAGAGACTAAAAACATCTTCGGACGATTCAGGAAGCTCCCAAAACTATGACCCCATCAGCATCCGAGCGACCATGTGAGATCAAAGGCATGACGCACCGAGGTCCAGTAAGCATCATTCGCCGCAATGTTGCGCTCCTCTGATAACCTGAAGATGCCCTGCTTAAATCCTATCTTGGAGTCGCTGGCCCCCATAGCTGCCGCACAAGGCCTCGAGCCCTGCTGACTGTTTTGGATGACGTACCAACTGACTGGAGCTTTTGGAGATCCACGATGAAGCTGTCGCAGGGGAGTTCGTCATCAGCGCCATCACTGCAAGGCTGATCACGTGTGGCGCACGCAAACGGCAGTCGCTTGTCCCGCCGTATTGCCGAGTGCAATGTGCCGTCGTATCGATAAGAAAAGTTCCATGATGAAAGGCGAGCTACAGCTGTGAGAAGTACATCCAGGTGAATTCGGAATCTACAAGGGTTCTTTTGCTTCCCTCCGCCCAATACAATCGCATGTCGTTCATATGAGAGCATGTTGTCTCACAATCTGAGATGATTCAACCATTCCTTCGTGCCAGGCCACTGGCCCATACTGCTACCCTGTGGGCCCTTCGCCGACCACAGCCTCTCATCATCGGTGGTCTTAGAAGCTTCACAGCCACCCAGGTGCTTGATGGTAGACCGGGGAAAGCGCGAGAAAAGCGTCGACGGAGGGCAAAAGCCAAGGAGCGGGCGGCTCTCCCGACCAAGTCCAAAGAAAAGAAGAAGAAGCTGCCAAAAGATGAACAGCCCAGCTCTGCGGAACCTGGAGAATCTGTCTTGGATGGGGGGGAACCCCAGGATGCAGCGGCGCCACCATCTGCAGGGTTATGGACTACCCTAAAATCTCGACTTCAATCTTCGACCTCGAAACGGAGAACAAAAAAGGCCGATGAACTAGAGGGTAGGCAGCAGGATGTGGATGTAATGACTCGATACGCAGAGGAACCGATGGCCCCAGGAGATTTACCTTCTGAGAAGACCTCTGTAGCTGGGAGACTTGGAAAAGGGAGGCGAGCAAGAGCCAAAACGCCGTTAGACGTGAAGACGATAAGACCGCAGCATCTAAACCTCTGTCCAGTTGAAGAGGATGCTTTGCTGCCGGTACCGCAGCTCTCTCATAACCTCGACCGTGTGCTCTTCAACCCGGGAGTCTATCACATGCAGGATGGCCGATCTCGTGTTTTTAATTTCGACCCTTATCTCGCTTCCATCATGCCGGTTAAAGAGTTTGATTTTGATGCGCTCAGGAGTTATGTTACCTCATCCAAGGACGTCAAGCTGAGACAGCTCAGCGCTGCACATGGGATGAAGTACTGTGGCTCAACGTCAAGCATGACTTCAATTCTCTCCCATTTCCATTTCTTGCTGTCTGCTTGGAGAAAACCCAATTTCGCATTCTTGTCACGATCAATAGAGCCCGAGTCCTATAATTTCACTGCCATAAGCCGTGGCCCTTCTGCAGCCTTTGCTCATTACAATGATGGCACCTATGCCTTTGATTCGGACAAGGAATACGACACAGAGAATATTCTGAGCTTATTGGGCAAGTCAATGGAAAAGCTCCTCACCCTTCCAAAAGAAGAATTCGAAAAATATAGGCGAACGCGGTCTCATCAGTTGTCAGAAGAAGAGAGAAATGCACAGGACTCTTTCCATTACACGACCTTGGGAGATTTTATGATGCGATCTCAATTGGATGCCTACGATCCTCGACTTCCTGGCTCTGGTATGTTTGACTTGAAAACAAGAGCGGTAGTCTCCGTCAGGATGGATGTTCGGGGGTACGAGAAAGGCGCCGGCTATGAAATTCAGAAGCGATTTGGCCAGTGGGAGTCATTTGAGCGAGAGTACTATGATATGATCAGAACCGTTTTCCTGAAATATTCTCTGCAGGTGCGAATGGGTCGCATGGATGGTATCTTTGTCGCATACCATAATACGCAGCGAATATTTGGCTTCCAGTACATCAGCCTAGAGGAAATGGATGTAGCTCTTCATGGAACATCCGATCGTCGACTGGGTGACCAAGAATTCAAAACAAGTGTCACTCTTCTGAACGACCTCATGGACAGGGCAACAAAGCGTTTCCCAGGGCGAACGCTGCGATTACATGTCGAGACACGGCCAACAAAGATCCCTCTCACATATTTCTTTGTGGAGCCGGTGACGGAGGAAGAAATGACCACGACTCAGGAAGCTGGCAAATCGTCAGTCGAGGAACTGGAGCGCGAGCTTCAAATCCTTAGCGAAGCTGAAAGCGAGGAAAGCCCAAATGAAGCCGAGAGTACTGAACAAACCGAACCACAGCCGTCCAATGAAGAAACAGAGCAAATTCCCGACGAGCTTTCCCGCCAGGACCCACAAAACGAAGCTGCTTGGAACGTTATGATGGCAAAGGTTGATTCAACAGTTGAAGACGAGTCTCTGGGTATAGGTTCTGTCAGAGAGGCCGTTCAAGAGGCTCTAGAACAGAGTGGAATCCTGAATGACAAAACGGAGCTAGAAATTGAACAGTACTTGGATGCTATGGTGGCATCTCTTACAGCACACTCCTCCAAGATTAAGGAGTTGAGGGACAGGTCAGATGACCCGGGAGATGTTACAGAGCCGGCTCTCAAGCGCACCACCGAGGATAATCTCAGCGCGGAGGACGAGTCGATGGCAGACGAAAGGCAGATCTCGGAGCCTGAGTTTGCCAAAGATTATTCGGAGATGCGGGATGCCTCATTGGCCGACTTGATTCTAAAAGCCACCGAGGGAATTGATAACCGGGCAAGCAACTTAAAGACGTTTCAACGCATGTTCGCTGATTTGGCTGTAAAGACCAAACAATCGGATTCAGAAACTAGCGAGATGACAGGAAAGCCACCTGGTGAAGACGAGGCTTTGAACGAAGATGAACTTGCCGAAGAGGATGGAGACGAGAGCGAAGCTGCCGATGTCCTGGAAGAATCGGGGCGACAGAACCGTGAACTGTTGGGCATGTACGTTACTATTCGCAACACAGTGAATGGTGAATATGTCGAGCGACCAACGAACATCAAGAAAGAGGACGACTTTGACTGGTCAGTTGAATATGCCGTCAATGAACTGTCCGATAGAAGTGCGCGGAGAATCTACTCGGGGATGAAGCAGCGGCGGAGAAAGGTACTTGCGCCATCGCCTTCGGATAGGTGGGATTGGTATAAGATGTTCCAGGGGAAACTACCAGAGTTGGCGAAGAAGGGGGAGCAGTTCAGAGAAATGCGCTCGCAGCAGGAAGCTGGCGGTCCATTGCACGTTGCATGGGAGCGAGAAGCTCTGTCCCAGGAAGCCTTCAAACCCACCAGCGAGGATATCAAGAAAAACGAATGATGGAATCACGAAATGACGATGTGTGGTTGTGAGACGGCAGAAAGCTGCTCTCGTGTACAATATGGAATTTGCATAATACTGCTTCACAGCTGATTGGCCAGATTATTGCCTTGGGAATCAAGAGGACGGCTGTATTATCACTTGGACAACTGTGGGAGGAAACAAGGGGCGTCGGTTGACAATGTTTGTCTGTATGTACTGTATACCTAGCGATGAAGACCTGTACGATTTGGCGAAAACTCTTGGTATAGTTGCCCGGATCTATCCCGCGGCGGAGAGCCCTTGGGAAGCGGTGCCTCGGACGTCCAGATTGTCCAGCAAGCCGCGATATTTCTCACTTGAGCCTTGGCAGCGCCAAAATAATCGACGAAGCCGTTAAAATAGGGACGCCAAGCAAAAGATCTCTCATTACGAGAAAAGTGCAAACATACTCGTATATTAGCTAACTTGTATGGGCCAAACTTGACGATCCGGGAAGGTCGGCGGTGCAAAATGAAAGAGGCCAAGCTCGATTTCACATGACATGGAGAGTTCCTCGGCCGACTTCAAATAGCGAAGCAGCGCAGCCCCTCATTCATCGACCTGGTACTAATGTAAGGTGCTAAGTTGGTGACCGAGAAGGATGAAACAAGAGCGGGCATTTTTAGGTGCAGAAAATGGCCCGGCCAGGTGATTGTTGCAGGGTTTGGGCTTGGCTGAATTGAATACAGGGAGCGGTATTTGCGCCTTGGCTCGTGATTCATGCGAAGACAAAGGCTGGAGTCATTTGACAGCCGTCTTACACGGTACCTTGACAAGAGGCTGTCGTGGACTTTTTTCTACATATATTGATTGATTTTGTCAATCTGTAGGTGAATACAAGTCTCATTCCCACGAACTTGGCTTAGATGCCATCTCCAAGTCCATTTAAATTAGCGCAGTCTCTTAACGGCAACCGGACACGATCCTAATAGTTTCTAGATGCATCCGTCTCCGCGTATACCGCGTCGTATCGGTCTTGTTGCCATTACCTCACCTCACATAAGCTTTCTCCAAACAATCAGCCGCCAATAACCTCCCCCGCCTCCTGATCTGCCGTGCCGCACATCATTTCCTCTAATTAAATGGACTCTGCCGATGCATGTGTACGGGATTGCCTCTGATTGGACCTCAATCTCGGGGCCTCGCCGTTGGACGGTCTCAGGGCGGCCGTTGAGGGGTTCTTAGTGGACGGTGCCTCGGTCCTGAATTCGTTCAGCGTGGCATTGGAGATGGAGCGAGACAAAGTACGGAAGGTCATCCGCCCAAGCGAGCATTCTTGACTAGACACAGGGTTGGTTCCTTGTGAGCTGGAGTTAACCTTGTGAATCCCCAAGTTCGTATAGTCGGGCGGAGACGAGCTGCTAGGGGTTGGATTGCGGATTGCAGATTGTAAGTAGACAGGCACTAACTATCATGTAGGCAGGTGGAAATGGATAGGTATCTTATATATATAGCTACGATGGAAGACCCTGTGAGGTTACTGGTTCCTGCGGACAAGCAGGCATCTCGAAGCAGCTCAAGCTAGCATCTGTTATCAACTATGCGTCCCGGATCGGCGCTCTCCCTGCTGGCTCTGGGCTCTGTTGCCCAGGCTGCAATTTCTCTTGAGGACAGCAGCCTCTCTCCCCGAGAAATTGAGAATCTCGAGAGGTCCATTGAGGCGAGAAGCTTGGTTGATGATATATGGAACGATATCAAGAATGCGGCTACATGCACTGCTTGCCAGGTTAGAAAATACCGTTCTCAGCCAGCTGTATGCGTGATTGTATACTGATGCAGCTCCAGGGCATTCTCGTCCTTCTCAAGGGTGTCGCTATATTTGGAGATGACGCTTTCGTTAGCATAGCTACAGGCCTCTGCAAACTCGCAAAGGTACATAGATGACTACGCCAGGCTTGTTTCCATCTGGCTATGGCTAACGAAAGACTTCAGGTCGAAGATGACGACGTCTGTGAGGGCACCGTGGCGCTAGAAGCCCCCATCATTGCGGATGCTATTCGAAACATGGATCTCGGGTCTGATACGTCGAAGCTCTTCTGCGGATCGTTCCTGGGCCTTTGCCCTGAGCCCTCTGTTCCTCAGTGGAAGATCCCCTTTCCCTCTTCGAAGCCATCGACTGGTCGCCCTGCGCCAAGTGGAAAGACGCCTCTCAAGGTTGTTCAGTACTCGGATATTCACATTGACCCCCTTTACGTATCGGGCTCAACCACAAACTGCACCAAGCCTGTCTGCTGCAGGTGAGTTGTTCTGTACTGGAAGGAGTTGTGACGAAAAGCTAGAGATAAAATGCTGACGATATTGTTACTAAAAAGACCTTATACTGCTGCTGATGAACCTGGCCATTCAACGTCACCTGCTGGGCCAAATGGAGACCACAAATGCGATACTCCTGTTGGCTTGGAAATTAGCATGTATCAGGCCATCAAGAACATTGTTCCAGATGCAGCCCTCACGCTCTTCACGGGCGATATTGTTGACCATGCCATCTGGAACACCTCGAAGCCCTACAACCAGAAGCAAAGTTGGTTCCTGTTTTCCTGAAATATGTTTCGTACATGTATTACAGAAGTTGACTAATATGCTTCCGCTTACAGTTTCTGACGCCTATACATACATGAGCCAATATCTGGGCCTCGTTTACGGCACCGCTGGTAACCATGAAGCTGATCCTGCCAATGCCTTTCCTCCTCAGTCTATCAGCAACTCATCACAGTGGGTGTATGACGCACTATCTGCTCAATGGACGCGCTGGGTGGGAGCCTCAGCGGAAGCTCAGATTGAAAACATTGGCGCCTATTCTACCAAGTATCCCAATGGCAACCTGAGAATCATCTCGCTCAACACCAACTTTTACTACCGCATGAACTTTTGGCTATATCAGGAGGACATTGAGCAGGACCCTGATGGCCAAATCAAATGGCTGGTGAGTGAACTCGATGCCGCAGAGAAGGCAGGAGAGAGGGTTTACATCATTGGACACATGCCCATTGGTGAAAGCGATGCCTTCCACGCAGGGTCAAACTACATTGATCAAGTTGTGAACCGCTACTCGTCCACCATTGCCGCCATGTTCTTCGGCCACACGCACGTCGACCACTTCGAAGTCAGCTACTCCGACTACAGCAAGCAGGATGCTTCGCATGCTGTAATGGCCTCTTACATCTGCCCCTCGCTGACACCCACCTCGGGCATGCCCTCGTTCCGAGTATACGATGTCGACCCGGTGACGTTTGCAGTGCTCGACACCACGACCTACATTGCCGACATGACCAATGCAAACTTCCAAACGACTGGCCCAGTGTGGACGAAGCTTTACTCTGCCAAGGAGGTATACGGCTCCAAGCTGAACCCCCCCGTCACCGATCCCAGCGCCGAACTGACACCCGCGTTTTGGCACAACGTAACGGCCTTGTTCGAGTCAAACTCGGCCATGTTCAACCAGTACATCTCACTCAAGAGCCGTGGCTGGAATGTCGCCTCGTGCACTGGGGACTGCCAGAAGCAGGAGATCTGCCAGCTCCGAGCTGGTCGTAGCGAGAGCAACTGCGTGGTCCCCTCGCCCGGCCTTCATATTAGCAAGAGGTCGGATGAGCGACATGGTCACTCCCACCACCGAGCTCATGACCACCAAGAATGCGGTATGTCGGCAGGAATGAAGACGATTGGCTCGTTGGCCATGAGGAAGGATCTGTTGAATGAGCTCCAGGTGAGAGTCAATGAGTTGAGGGCCAAGGCTTGAGCCATGGGGAGGTTTGGATAGAAGGATGGGATTGGAGAGGCTTGTATTTTATTCTCAATAGAGCGTAATGAATGCGTTCTTTATCCCAATTGCGCGAGATTGTCGATTTCAAGTCGGATGTATTATGTCATGATGGAATTATAAAAGCGAGATCTGTCCGAGCATCAGCGAATTCGGAATTTTGCAACGAAGTAGACGTGAGAATGAAGCCGGAGTCTACTAATGGAGGCCGCCGACGGAGGCATGTACCTATTACGTGTATTCCTACAGCGTTTGTGCTGCCTTTTCAAGCAAAATTCCAAGGTAGGTACATACAAGTACAGTAGGTGCGGCCTGAAATAACAATGGGGAATGGATCTTTTCAGCTTCATTTCTAGGAAGTCACACGGATCAATGATGTATTGTAACAACAGAAGAAGCATTAATCTCAATCATGGAGCAAATGCGCGTCTATTGTGGCTTTGTTTAGGTTCCGTCTGTAACGCAGATGTACCTGTACTCAATGCCCCCCCTTGATACGCCAGCTGCCTCGCAACTGTAAATGTACCGGTACCGTCTGTGTGTCCATCCCTGACGCTTGATTCACCATTGCTGCTCTACTTGATCATCTCCCAACTTTCGCATTCATGTTCATGTCTCAGCTCGTAATTGTCACTCTTCTGCATCGCTGGAAAATACGCATCTGTTCATAAATGTTTGCCCGCACCGCGCTCGCATGCTCGGACTGCGGCCACGGCTCAAGGCGCGGCCTTCTCTGCTGGATCTGATTCGCGAGGGCAGCATCAAGGGCTCCAGCGACACCGAGTCCAGCAGCGCCGAAAGCGACAGCGACAGCGACGCCGACGGCGCCCCATCCCCTGGCCTGCAGTCCCCTGTGGGCGCTGCCAAAAGCGCTCCAGCTGCTAGCACCGCTGCGAATACAGGCTCCAGCAGCGCTGAGGCCGCTACAGGCACCAACGCGGCTTCGGGGGCCAGTTTTGTTAGTGGCCTCGTCGGCCCCAGAGCTCAAGCTGGTGGGACTGGCAGCGCTACATCATTGCCTCCACCCCCGAGCCCTGTCCTTTCAGCAACTGCTGCTATCAAGCTTCCTCTGTTGCGAAACTCTCCACCTCCAACTCCATCTCCCTCATCTCCCGACTCTTCCCCTACCGCTGCCGATCGAGAGCTCGACGACGCTCCTCCTCTCCAATCGCTCACGATGCCTTCTGTATGCGTCCTCCCACCCCCCGCACGTCTCCCAGCGCCGTCACTCGGGCATCGGCACAGGCACAGGCACAGACGACCGCAGCCGCAGCCGCAGCCGGTGGCCAGCTGGAAACGACGACGAGGCTGATGCCCCGCTACGTCAATCACTCGAGAAGCTGACTTGTATGGCGTTACAGAAAACCACACAGCCAGATGGCGATGCCATTCACTATGGTAAGGGCGTGATGACGAGAGAAACGCACTTGATTGCGGCGAGATAGAGAAGAGTTACTGACAAGCTTGCAGGCAAGATCTACTCCATCTCAGGGTTGGTCACCTCGACATATCCGGTATCTCTATCAAAAGCATGATTCCGTAGCTGACCTAAATGCAGTCCCGTCATTGTCGCTGAAGACATGATCGGTGTTGCCATGTACGAGCTGGTGAGGAACCAAGAAATCAGCCACAGTCCTGGCTGATTGGCTAATTGTCTCTGTTCAGGTCAAAGTCGGTCACGACAACCTCGTCGGTGAGGTCATTCGAATCTCCGGCGACCAGGCCACCATTCAGGTCTACGAGGAAACTGGTATGGCGACACCCCCCTCTCACGCTTAACTCCACGCTTCGAGACCGATACGAAATACATCAAGATTCGATACTGACCAAGCTCCCTTAGCCGGTGTCAAGGTCGGTGACCCTGTTGCTCGGACAGGTAAGCCCTTGTCCGTCGAGCTGGGCCCCGGCCTGCTCAACAGCATCTACGACGGTATCCAGCGACCCCTAGCCAGCATCTCCAAGCTCTCAAAATCCATCTATATCCCTCGCGGTGTTGCTGTTCCTGCGCTCGACCGAGAAAAGAAGTGGGAGTTCACTCCTACGCTCAAGGTTGGCGATCACATCTCCGGCGGCGATGTCTGGGGAACTGTGTTTGAGAACTCCTTCCTGGCGGTTCACAAGATTTTGTTCTCTCCCCGAGCTCGCGGTGTCATCACCAAGATTGCCCCCAAGGGCGAGTACACTGTTGTTGAGAAGATTCTCGAAGTCGAGTTTGACGGCAAGAAGACGGAGTATCCCATGATGCAGAGCTGGCCTGTCCGAGTTCCCCGTCCCACCTCTGAGCGATTGACAGCCGACCAGCCGTTCGTTGTCGGCCAGCGAGTTCTTGATGCCCTCTTCCCTAGTGTCCAGGGTGGTACTGTTGCCATCCCCGGTGCTTTTGGCTGTGGCAAGACTGTCATTAGTCAGTCCGTATCCAAGTTCTCCAACAGCGACATCATCGTCTACGTTGGATGCGGCGAGCGTGGAAACGAAATGGCCGAAGTCTTGAAGGACTTCCCCGAACTCACCATTGAGGTTGATGGCCGCAAGGAGCCCATCATGAAGCGAACTTGCCTCATTGCCAACACCTCCAACATGCCCGTCGCTGCTCGTGAAGCCTCCATCTACACTGGTATTACAGTCGCCGAATACTTCCGTGATCAGGGTCTCAACGTCGCCATGATGGCCGATTCATCGTCTCGATGGGCCGAGGCCTTGCGTGAAATTTCTGGTCGATTGGGAGAAATGCCTGCTGATCAGGGTTTCCCTGCCTATCTTGGTGCTAAGCTCGCCTCCTTTTACGAGCGAGCTGGCCGAGCGCAGACTCTGGGATCGCCCGAGCGAAGCGGCAGTGTTAGCATTGTCGGTGCCGTCAGCCCCCCCGGAGGTGACTTTTCCGATCCCGTCACTACTTCCACCCTCAACATTGTCCAGGTGTTTTGGGGTTTGGACAAGAAGCTTGCTCAGCGAAAGCATTTCCCTTCAATCAACACCACCGTCTCATACAGCAAGTACACCATGGCCTTGGAGAAGTGGTACGAGCAGAATAACCCCGACTTCCCCAGACTGCGCGACCGTATTAAGCAGTTGATTTCCGATTCGGAAGAATTGGACCAGGTCGTCCAGCTGGTCGGCAAGAGTGCTCTGTCTGATACCGATAAGATCACTCTTGATCTCGCCGTTTTGATCAAGGAAGATTTCCTACAGCAGAACGGATACTCCGACTACGACCAGTTCTGCCCCCTTTGGAAGACGGAGTGGATGATGAAGCTCATGATTGGATTCTACGACGAGGCACAGAAGGCCATTGCTCAAGGCCAGAGCTGGGCAAAGGTCCGCGAGTCGACAAGCGACCTGCAGGCCAAGCTACGTCAATTGAAGTTTGAGGTCCCCACCGATGGCGAGGACGTGATTGTCAAGAAGGTACGTTTTGATAATATCTACAAACAGCATCGATAATATCCGTTGCTAACACACATGTTCTTTACAGTACGAGGCCATTCAGCAGCAGATGCTCGACAAGTTTGCCTCAGTTGCCGACGAGTAAAAGGATGCTGCTATTTTCTATTTCCTCCAATTGTTTGTAGATGTGGTTGCGCGCGTGTATATGTATGGTACAGTGGCAGGACCTTGGAGCAACATGGTACCTCAGGAATGAAGATGGGTAGAAGTCGGGCAGGAGACTTTGAGACGCCGCTTAATATTGTACCAGCTCGATGCCAATATTACTTTTCGTTTAATTCAAGCACCGTTTTATTCCATTGATTGCATTCAATAGCTACCTATATATGAATCAATTCTTGAGCATGTCCTTATAAATACAGTGCGACTGATGCACGAAGCTTAGAGACAGCACTGTGCGAAAATCGTACACCAAGCCAGCGGCTTATTGGACGAATATCAACTCATATCGATCTGGATCAGTGTGACCGGCCTGATGAATATAATATAAAAAAATCATTTAAAACTATCTCACTCCTCCCAAAGCAATGTCCGAAGACCTCCGCGATGAGGTAGAGGCTCTCAACTCAATTTACGGCGAGGGTTGTCTCGCCCCCTCTGAAGATCAAGATGAGAGCCCAGCATCCTCATCGACAACATATATCTTGCAGTTACCCGGTGATGAAGCCTCGTCATTGAGGCTACAGTTTCCAGACTCATACCCGGCTGAGCCACCGACGGTATTGGGGACGCAGCACAGTTCCGGGGGGAGAAAAGGCGCTGGCGCGAGGGACCTGGGAGTGTTTAGGGAAGCCCTGGGGACGGTATTCCAGCCGGGGAGCGTGTGCTTATTCGATGCGGTGGAGGAATTCGTGAGAAGGATGGAGGAGGAGAGGGAAAGAGAGGAACTTGTCCGGCAGCAGGAGGGTGACGACGGCGACGACGGAGAAGGCGTGAATGCGGATCGGGGCGAGCGCGCGGTTGACGGCGGGCAGACGGATTTCGCGGCCATGACGCCTCCCCCGTGGACGCTATCGGAGGTTGTCGTGGAGAACAAGTCGACGTTTGTGGCTCACGTCGCAAGAGTCTCGTCGCCGGCAGAAGCGAAGCTCTTTTTGCAGCACCTGCTCTGGTCCGACCGCCGGATCCGCTCGGCGACGCACAACATCACGGCGTGGAGGATACGCGGGCCGGGGGGCACGAGCTATTCCGACTGCGACGACGACGGCGAGGACGCTGCTGGCGGGAGGCTGCTGCATTTGCTGCAGCTGATGGAGGTTTGGGATGCGATGGTTGTTGTGACGAGGTGGTATGGAGGCGTGAAGCTTGGGCCGAGGAGGTTTGCTTTGATTAATAGTGTGGCGAGGGATGGGCTTGTGAGGGCTGGGATGGGGGATGGGGGTGGGAAGGAGAAGGAGAAGGAGAAGAAGAAGGGGAAGTGAATTGAAAGATGGTGACGTGAAAGGAGAGGAAGAGGAGGAATATCCATATATATCATCTACTTATATGTAGCAAAATAGAACAACATACTGCCTCTATTCGTGGCTACTAATATCATCAACTCTAGCATACTTATTGAAACACCCAGAAAGAATACTAGCACGCGTCTTGAATTTCTTTTATCTTATTTTTTTTTATTTTGCAAATTACTCTCTCATAATGCGTCATGTTTCATTGCCATCGTTATCCCGATAATCCTGATCCGATATAACGGATAGCCAGCTTTTGCGTAGAAGCAGTAGTAGTAGTTGTAGAAGAAGAAGAAAGCTAAAAGCAAAAAGCCAAAAGCAAAACATCAAGGACAAACAGGCATGCTCCCATACAAACTCTATAAAAAATCTTGCGGTACCATCTCTTTGATGTTCCTTCATCCAAATCATTCCAAACTATTGTCGTAAGATGTACCAAAATCTTGGCGGCTGCTCATCGCCGTGTTCTCTCTCTCTTTTTTAAACATCCTTGTTTTGAATTCCACGTCTTTGAGCTTGTTGTGCACTCGCTTGGTGCCGGGGGTTTATAAGATAGAAAAGAAAAAAAAAAGAAAAGGAAAATAACCAAGGCCGCTCATGAGCCTGCTCTATGCGGTGGCAGTTTCCTTGCTTCGGGACTCGGGAGCCACCAGTGACTTTTCCCATTCATCCATCAAATTGTTGGCCGTCCTCTTGAGATTGCTCGGGGATAGATGATGAACAACGCTAGGAAATAGGTCTTCAAGCGTTGGAGATAGAAGTGATGCATCGGCTTTCCTCGCCCTAAAAAGATTGTAGATTTGAATATCAGTCAATCCATTCCTGCAAAGCTTTATGGAATAAGGCATAATCCTTACGGCTTGGCATCCTCTTCGTCCTCCTTCTCGGGAATGTCATCAATGCCACTGCTATTAATGGTAGAACCACTCCAGCGGGCAGACTTGGTGGAGACGGGGGAATCCCAGTTTGACCAGTCAGTATCGTCAACAGAGTCGAAACCAAGCGGTGTCCAGGAGAATTTGTTGTTCCCTTTCCCAGTCCCGGTCTTTGGCTTCAGCTCGGGGGTTCTGTTAGCTTGGGATGTGGTCGACGCGGCCGTACTGGAACCTTCATTACTGCTGGTCCTAGTGTGGGTGGTGGCATGGTTCGGCTTACTCGTATCTTGCTCACGAGCATTGGCGATCGAGGTCGACATTGGTCTCTGCGACTGGCCGGTCACCGGTTCATCTCCCACGGTAATCTGGCGAATGTCCTCTACGAAGGCGCGGAATCCTAGCTTAAAGTCTTCGACGACGGATGCGACGCCGACAACTGATGCGACGCTCTGCTGGGACCGGGGCTGCCAGGATGCACGCTTGTTTAGGGTCGGGTCGGTGAGCTGGGCCATTCTCTGTTCCACTGATGGGAGGGCGACTGGATCTGCTTGTGTAACTTCATTGAGAGAGAATACGCTCTCTGTCCGTACGGGGGAGAGAAGAGATAGTGTGCGGGCGTGTCCCCCACGAATAACCTTGCGGCGAGCCTGAGCGGGAGTGGTTTGGCCCTGAAGAATGTGCTTCCGACGATCCAATTCGACGCTGCGCCGTGATGCCACCAAGGCATCATCGTCAATAACGGCCTGTGGGTTTCCAAAGGGGTCGCCTCTGTGGCTGTTGCTCCGCTTGCGGTAGACTTCTTCCGATGCCCATTGCTTCTTTAGTCTCGCTAACTCAATCTCGGCCGTTGCGAGTTCCTCCTTCAGCTCCAGCACTCTCCGCTCCTGGGCTGCAATTGCTATTATGAACTCGTTTGCATTCGACGGAGAGGTTGCGATACTGGCGGGAGTCTCCAATGGCGTTTGCGGAACCGACGAGGCCATAGCTGACGCAGCCAGGATGGCCGGCGAGTCGGCCAGCCTCGGGCCATCACCAAGCGGTACGGCAACGGGAAGGGTAAGAGAGAGGCGGTTCTTGTGCCGAGAGACGGAAGGGGATGCACGGGAACGGCCTCGAGTGAAGGAGTCGCTCCGGGGAAGAGGCGGTGGAGGCATCGCGTGAGCCGAGTCGTCAAAGGTGGACGAAGTACTAGACGCACTGTGCGATCGTGAGATTCCAGGGGAAGAGGCGGAAGAAGAAGAAGCGAACGTGGCTGTCCTGGCGGTGCTGCTGCTGGAATCGGTCACAGGGCTTCCCGCCGCCGACGAGCGAAGGCGGATCTCGTGTTGCTGCGAGGCCATATCCAGATACCTCGGTAGGTTGATGCGGGCTCGTAGAGACAGGACGATTACAGGTAATAGAGAACGGCTGCCGTCAACCGGACGGCGTTTTTCAGAGTGCAAATGAGTGGCTGGGGCCCTGAGGCGCCGAAAGTGAACGGAGACGACCGCTACTCGGACAAGAAGCGCTCTGTGATGGTCCTGGCTCAGGAGCTGGTAGTCATCGAGGAGAGGGCGAGCACTGCTGTCGACGATGCAAATTCCAAGGCACAGGCCGCTCATGGGACAGCCGATGCTGATAAGGAGAAGGAAAATCGGACGCTCCCGCTCTCATAATAGCACCGGCTGCGGAGCCCTGGCCAGGTTTGTCCAGTCCTTGGGGCAGATGCGAGGACTCCGTTTCGTTTCAGCGCAGGGCAGTTATTGGACAGCCAGAGCGCTGCCGGGGTCGCCTTACCCAGAAGTTGCCCGGGGACACGACAGGGGGCGGCGAGCCTTTTGTCAACAGAGGCGGATTCTCTGGAGCTAGGCTGGCGTGCTTGTGGTTCTAGTCCCGGTACCAGCAAATGAGGCGGTGGGCGATGTTATATGCAGCCCGACGAGGATTGCTGGACGCGAGCAACAGCAGCAGGCAAAAAGCGCCGTGGTTCTCTGTTTGGTTTGGATGGAGGCCTAAAAGAGGGGGGGGCTTCGCTTCCCTTGCTGGTTGTTGACGCTGAGATCCGCTTCTCCCCTCCTCGCTTCAAGAGGGGGAACAGAGAATGCCAACTTTGTCTCAAACGGATGGACCACTCAGTGAACTCGCAGTGGGTGTGTGGTGTGCGTTGGCAGCGAGGGAGCGGTGCCCGAAGTGGTTGAGTTCTATTATTATGAGATGTTGAGCTTCGTGGTACAGGATCGTGGATGAGACAACACCAGGCGAGGTCGCACGCAGCGGGTGAGAAAAAAGTTGCAAACAGCTTAGCACCAGGCAGCAGGACTATATGTATCAAATGTTGACATCCGTTCAACGACCATGACGCAGTTATAACCACTCAACTCGTTGCTCGTACGAGGTAAGACATGCCTTCGCCGTTTGGGCTCCCTTGCGGAGGCGTCAACTGACTTGCACGCTGGAACCCGAAGCCGCCAAACCCGCCCAAACAGCTGCGCATCTCCAGTGGATCGCTTGTCACTCTCAGGGGCTCGGCGGAGAGCGAGTGGGGGGCAGCTGTAGTGCTTGTACCACTACGTGCTAGCGGGCAATTCTCGCAATTATGCTCACTGAGCTTGTTGGGGGCTGGCGGGCTTACAGCACAGCTTGCTTAGCACGAGTACGTCAACTTCGATCAATGCTTCCATGCTTAGGTTGATAGCAGCTGCTGGCTGGCTGGGGCACAACAAACTTGGAACCGTGCTGCTAGTGCCACCAAGTAGCGGTACAAGCGATCGCGTACCCGTTCTACGGCTAGCGCTGATCGCTACCGCCCGTGCTGAAGATGTGGTACGTGCTGGTGGCGCCTTGCTCAGTACAAGTACCTCTTACGAGTTCAAACATGCCTGCTCTCTGCCCGGTGGCCGCATATACCGACCGCCGGTACGTAATTTGGACTTGTACTCGTACAGCACTACTGCTAAGGTACTCTATGCTCGCTAGACGTCAAATTTCCGCGTAATATCTCGACACCTGGACAAGCGGCGCGGCCGTGTTTCGCATGCCTTTCCTTGCGTGTCCTGCAATAATTATGCCCTTCTTCCAAGTAAGTTTGTGACTTGTATCTTTCCCGCTCGACAAACTTTCTGCCTTCTCCACACGGCGCTCTCCAGAGGGCTGCAACCCGTTGCACGTGCAGCCTGTTCATGTGACTTCCCGTCCATCTCGCGTCGCGTGCCCAGAGATCCATGTCAAAGCTTTTGGCTGTGTTTTTGATGTGAGTGGAGATCTCACACCCATCCGCACTCTCGGCTGTTCGTGTCCTATCGTGCTGCCACAAGCGCTCCCTTCCATATGCAGGGCATGATCACGGGCGACTTGCTTCGCTGAGTTGGGGCGTCTAAGCTCGAAAGTCGATGAATCTGTCTCACAGCCTTGCCGGTTCAGCCTCGCGGGACGGTGAGAACATCCAACGAGGAACTACCAGGTACTGAGCTGCTCAGATCGTGAGTGCCTTGGTACTTGGTAGTTAACCACATCTATCTGTATACCTAGGTATTCGTGCACCAGGGAATCAAAGCATGTCGTGAAATGTCGTGCGGTCATATCGAGACGAAATGCCCGTGCCCTTCTCCCTCGTCTGCGACTTGCTTGAAGCATCTTACGCACTTGCAACAGCTCGCAAGTCCAGCACCCCGGCGCTTATTGCCTGGTGCTCTAAACATCGCAGCCTTATTGATGCACCAGACACCAACCTCGCAGCTTTACTCTCCACTTTGCTCCCTGACAAGAGGGCAGACAGGGTGTATTGTATACAAGCAAACGGCCTTGAGCGCATCATCGGGCGCGGTTTGATGCTTGGTTCGTCTCGTCTCAAGGAGCTCTCAATTTATAAACAGCCGGGCCTCGGACTGGATCTTGCCGACTGTGTAGAGCGTATTTTGACTGCCACTGTAAGCTATACTCCTACCACCTGAAGGGGAGTGGCATCTGACCCGTCTTTAGCCGAATCCAACTCTTCCAGAGAGGCTTCAAGTCACTGTTGAAGAAATTGACGAGGCCCTGCATTCTGTTGCAGCCCAGGTAAGATGGAGCTCTCCATCTATACGAGTTCCAGATGCGAGTGTCGCCAAACCACCCGCTCGGAGTGGCTTAGAGGTTGTCTATAGACGACTTACTGCGAGAGAAGCGAAATGGTTCACAAGGATGGTTCTCAAAGACTTTCAACCACTAGTATTTGATGCATATGAAGTCTATTATTCGTGCGATCCTCTTTTGCCGTCAATTTTAAAAATCCGCGAAGACTTCACCATTGCCATCGATACTATGCAACGACTGAGGAGAGAAATGCGCACTCTGCACCCTGAAAAAGTATACATTGAGCGAGAGAGACTCTCGTCAATCAAACCGCAGCTATCTGTCAAAGTGGGCAGGCAGCAGTGGTTTAAAGCTCGCAGCATAAAACACTGCATCAGTATGTGCAAGGGTCTAATGAGTGTTGAACCAAAAGTGGATGGAGAATACTGCCAAATCCACGTTGATGTTAGCAAGGGTAGACGCGGCATCCAAATCTTTTCCAAGAGCGGGAAAGACAGCACCGAAGACAGGGAGCGATTAATCGGGTAATTACACATGAAAGATCTTTATAGAACAAGAAGCTAATGATCATAAAAGGATCATCGTTGATTCATTGGGGATAGGAAAGGCTGGATGCAATATCAAAACAGAGTGCATACTGGAAGGAGAATTAGCTGTTTACAGCGAATTAGTAGGCCATCATCACCTACACTGAGAGTGCGGCTCTACCTTGGCTAACTCGATACATACAGCATAAGAAAATCCTTCCCTTTCATCATATTCGAAAACACGTCGCCCGTCGTGGTCGATTCATGAACACGGGCGAGGATTCTCCGTAAGCCCCTGCTTCCGACTATGTGATTAGAGACATGGCATTCTAACTTGGCCAGTCCGAGACCTCATGAGCACCTAATGATAGTATATTACGATATTTTGCTTCTCGATGGCAAATCTCTGTTAAATGTTCGGCATTCAGAAAGATTCAAGCTACTCGAGAAACTAGTTCGTTGCGACAGGGGACAAGCTGAACTCATACAAAGGCAAATTATCAACACTAGTCATCCTATGGCAGCTTCAGCGTTGCGAAATGCATTCGCCGAAGTAATTACAGACAGGGGTGAAGGATTGGTACTGAAATCAGACCAATCTTATTTCAACTTTGAGAATGATGGACGACCGTTTACAAACCACTGCATTAAGTTCAAAAAAGACTACATTGGTCGCTTCGGAGAGGTTGGCGATTTCGCTGTGGTTGGCGCTGGATTTAATGCGGCCAAGGCGAGATCATACAACATTGACGGCCTCAAGTGGACTCATTTCTATGTCGGCTGCATCGACAATAGAGAAGAGGTGAAGCGATGGAATGCCACGCTAGAGTTTACCGTTGTCAATGTTGTTGAGCTCACTGAAGCTATGCTCAAGACATTCGTATTGTACACGAATCCAAAGCCAGTGCCAGTTGGAGAAAACGTTCAGACCAAACTGAAGCAAGCCGCCGGAAGCCAGCCCACGCCGATGACCGTCGCATTCGCGAATCCTCCCGTTTTTGACATGAGGTGCTTTAGCTTTGACAAGGCAGGCGACACAAATTGGTGGAGTTTACGGTTTCCATCCGTCGCAAAGATTCATTTCGATCGGGATTTCTCCGATGTACTCTCTTTCACTGATCTACAAGAGATTGCAGAGGGTGCCACATCAGCCCCTGAACTGGAAGATAGCCGGGATAATCTTGCCTGGATCGCGAAACTAGAGCAAGCTGACCCGAGAGGTTTGGCAGTTGACGCTGCTACGCAGTTGACAGCAACAACGATGCCAACACCATCGCCGAGACGAGCATCTCATAATTCCTCGGGCTCTCTGCCTCTAACCAGACACGTTACTGGAAGCTTTCTAGAACGATCCCTTGAATTATCAAACACCTCGGTATCAGAGTCTCATAGAATTGCTGCATCGCAGCCATCTCCTACAACGCATCTATCGAAAAAACATCTCAACGATAATAAAAGGAAACGCATCACATTTGCATCCGCCCTGTTCTCTCCACCGAAGAAACGTCGTCAGTCTTCTAGGGAGGAGAACTCTGAATCAACATCTTTGGGTCGCGAACCTGTATCCGAATCGCCAACCCGACGTCCTCTGGGGGAGATAGATGGTAACTCTAAACAGAAGCTCCAGGCATCAGAGCTTCCTCCAATTGCCTACCCTCCCGATAACGAAAATTTGAAGGCCTCCCCCCACACCAAAGATTACCAGGACAAAGGGGCAGATACTAGCAGGCAGGGTCGCGCTGCAGATCAATCGATAGAATCATCTTCTTCTCTTTTTCCATTAAATGATAGCGCTATCGTCATACCTGATAGCGAGGATGAGGATGAGGGTGAGTATGAGACTGGCACTGATTCTGCTAGCCATGGACAGCACAGGCACGATGATGAGCAGAATCGGAAGCCTCCAAGTGAAGGCTCTGAAGAAACAGGCGCTGAAGAAACAGGCGCTGGTTGTCAATATGCTGGTCCGGAATGTCAGCTAGCAAATCGACTTATTCTACTACCGTCGTACTTTCGCAATATCGAAGAAGCCGAGCCCTTGTTCCGGACGCACGGATTGTCAAACATTGTCAGAGATGCCGAAGCCTGGATCAAAAACGACACAGCCGATTCTTCCCAGATATCAGACAGCCAAACAGGTCGTAACAAAATTCTGTTTGTTGATACGGTAAAGAAGGAACAAGAGACGAAGACTTTGCTCTCTAATTTGGAAAGCATCCGCGAAAAGATCCCAGAAGAGAAACGAGAATGGATAAGTGTATTTGATTGGCGGGTCCTAAATCATCTCGCCATTTATGAAGACGCAGAGACTACGAAGAAATATTACGATGGATTTCATGATCCTTGGCGGCGTTGGTATTCAGGGTTGATTTGAAACATATGATATCCACGAGCAGAGGCCTCTAGCATTGTTTTTATCGGGCATATATGGAGAATATCATATTTACATAATTCTTAATTAGATATGGGCCTCACGGCTTCTTCTCATCATCGTACAAAGTACCGTAGCTCTCCTTTAATCTCATAAAGAGATGCTCATTTGCCGTCATGACCTTCCTCTCGGCATACGGGTTCTCGTTCGGCGCGCTCTCATCCGGGTTGAAGTTCTTTACCCTCTCGCTTGGCACAGGCTCCAACGCCACCGAACCTGCGGGATGACAGAAGAAGGCAATCGAGTAACGCGGTCCCGCGCTAGTCTCGCCCTCTACCTTACTTGTTGCATCGTTAGAAGGGAAGACCACTCTGTGGACGGTACTTCTAAACAGCCCGTTGGTCCAATAGGAGAGCAAGTCTCCGATATTGATCAGAATAGGGGGACTGGGGTCGTTCTCTGAGCCTGGGGGACAGACTGGGACGGGAGCCCAAGAGCCGTCTTTCTTTTGCAGCTCCAAGCCTGCCTGGCCTTTCAGCCGGAAGAGCAAAGTGATTGAGCCGTAGTCAGAGTGTGCACCAGCACGGACATCATCACTGGAGGAAGAGGTCTGATCAGGTGGTGGGTAGCGGAGGAATCGCAAGATGGAGCTGGATTCGCCGTTGGTGATGTGCGCCGAGGAGAAGAAATCACTAACCTAACAGACGATTGTACAGATGTTAGATGACAATCAATGTGATTCAATGAGGCTAAAAGAGCGAGAGTGACTCACCTCGAGGCCTATTCCGAGGAGGTGAAGGAGCTTCCGGCAGAGTTTGTGGCACGAGTCTGCGAATGCGCTGACCTGAGGCTCATCCTCTGCGATGGTGGGAGGGAGAGGCTGCTGGGCTTTTCCGTCGATGAATTCGCCAAAGTTGAAGGCCCTTTACTATGGTGAGTTCATGTTGTTTATGTTGGCATACCCGCCGCATTCAGAGGTATAGACGGATATTTCTTACTCTTTGAAGTCTCCAATCTAGTAATACTGTAAGCCAACCACCCGCAAGAAATGTGGAATTGAGGAAGAGTTTACCTTTTGATGTTTAGGATCCAGAGTCTCCGAGTGCATACCAGACCAACCGCGGTTATTTGTCTGGATAGTACATGCCTGCTTTTCAGCGAGGGGAGCATCGAACAGCTTCCGGGACTAAACATGGGCGCCCAATGTCAGATGATAATCAAGGAAGAGACTGCATGAGAAGAGCCCTACCAATGCAAAGGCTCCGTCAATGCTGTTGGCGGATATGTCCGCTCCAAGATTTCTTATGTAAATAAAGCCGTGCTCCTGGGCGGCGTCAACCAACTGCTTGGCGACGACATCCTGGTCTCCGGATATGTCGATGATGGGGATATCTGCACTGGCAACCATGGTTTTTTACTCGTTTTTTTTTCCTCTGGAGTTTGAAGATGACAAGTATAGGGCGCGGGAGAGCAGCTGCCGCAGAGATAGCTGGAGCAGAACCGGCGCCTCGTCTTACGATCTAAATGCCCTAATCTTAGAGATAGCGTCACAGTCCCTTGACGTCGGTTCCGGGATCGCTGCGATAACTGGATTGGGACACCCCGCTATCCGATTGGAACAGGGCTGTGAGTGCTTTGTGGCGGGGTCGAGGAAGCTTGGAGCTACAGTACCCGCTAGTTGGGGGGGGGAGCTTGTAGCTCCTAGGCAGTAGGCAGTATAGGTAGGTAGATTAGTTGTAGTAGGTTGTAATAGATAGTAGGCGTAAATAGACGGTGACCAGGCGTAAAATGATATTTGATTCAAACTGGTGGTGCCGGAAATCCAATCCTGAGCAGCCGAGGTACCTCTTGCTTGGCCCCAAATCATGAGAGACTTACAAACATCCATCTCCATGTTCAGCCCACTTTGCGGTGCCTGCCCACTAGCCACAGACACTCTCTACCCAGTACCTACTCACATGCTAAGCCACACTCTCGCCCTGGGTGGGCGCCACACCAACTCGGGATCGACCTAGGGGAAGAGAACCCCCAAACGCCAGCCAGAAGCAACGCAAACCAAAGCCAAACCTCCCTCTGCCGTGTGCGCTTACCTTTGCATCTCCACCGTGCAGCGACCGCACTGTAACTGTACCTTATTGACTCGCTTCATACTCCTCGCCAGCTCTGCTTACCTGCGCAGGGCTGAACCGAATCTCTCCATCGACTCCTTCTCGGGTGCGGCTGCTGGGGACGTCTGTCTGTTTGTTTGACTCGCCACGGGAAAGCGAGCCTTGCCCAAGCGTTGCCGCAGCCTTTCGTATACGGCGTCTGCGTGCTGTTCTTCCAACGAGCCTGCTTTGGCTTTCTTCCTTTTTTTTCAACTCCCGGTGCGCACTGGCAAGGGAAGCTTTCTTTTTTTGCGAATCCGTATTCTGGCCAACTCGAGAGCCCACCACGTCGACCGAGCCGATACATCCTCCCAATTCCGCCCGCACCTTCGACATCTCGCCCTCTTCCTTGGCTCTGCTCCGTCTGACAGCCGCGGGTTTTCAGCCTCGTCTTGATACAGCACAGCCCTTCCACCCCCGCCGTTCCGAGTCGCATAGCGAAGCCGATAGTCATATACTTGTTTTATTTGAGGAGGCTTGCTCGAGATGCCTTGTGAGTTCATTCTTGATCGCTGCAACGCCGGCTCTGAGCTCGACGAAGCAAATGTGTCGTCTGCGCGTGACTCCTGTTGCGCTACTTGTCATGGGCCATGACCTGAGTCCGGCCACTCTTCGGGTCGTCGCCAAGAGCCCCTCTGAGATGCTACAGCAGCAGATGACGCCTGTTTTGCTGTTTGATGCTGCTTGCCGGCTCAATTGGCAGCTTAGGCTGCCTTTTTGCGGCAGTGCCTCAACACTCCTATCTGGATGTCGTTGCATCGGGAGTCTCATGCCCACGCCCACGCATTTTTACTCTTGATAAACAGCTGTCAAAGCTACACAAGCTAATTCTTGCCTTAGTCCTTGCGGAGGATTCCTGGATCAATGCCCAGGCAAGGTACGCTTGCTCTCTCTCTATTTGAAAGCGAACAAAACATGCTAACTGCCCACCAATCAGCACCTATGACATTGCCGAGCTCGAAGATTGCGCCATTGCCGTCGATGCCTCCTATTATTTGAGTCTTCTTCTGGATACCGATCCGTCCCGCGAGCCCCTGCTCCCGGCACTTGGCGGTTTGACCGGCATTCAGATCCATATCCGGCAGAATCTTGATCTCTGGGACAAGCATGGAATTGTCCCCTTTTTCATCTTTGATGGCCAGTCCATCATTGGCCAAGATGATATTACTCTTAAGCGGGGCCGGGCTGCGAACCAGAAGACGGACGAGGCATGGGATCTCTACTCGCAGACTGAAGCCGAGCAAGCTGTCGCTGCCTTTGGAGCTAACCAAGGTATGTCCTACCTCCCTTGGAGTTTCCTTCATGTTTGGCTGCGCCAGGGGCAGACTCACTAATCGGGCCGCGGAAAGGTGCCTATCGTCTTCAGAATCTATACCCTCTTTTCCAAGGCATCTTGAAAGAGAGGGGACTGCACTTTTTGGTGCCTCCTTACAATGCATGTGCTCAGGTTCGCTACCCTCAATGCCCCCTTGCGCCGCACGACCAAATCTGACCATGATGAAGCTTGCCTACTTTGAGATGATCAACTCGGAACAATGCTCTGGTGTCATGGGCCCCCAAGAACTGCTGCTGTACCCCATTCAGGATTCCATCATTCGAAACATGGACTGGGCCGCTGGAACAGTGACCGCCATCTCAAAGAAGAGGGTCATGCGCGCCCTCGGAGTTGGCGAGCCCATGTTTGTCGACGCCATGCTAATGACGGGAACCTCGTTCCTCCCTCCGTTTCCCCCACTGCAAGACACATCCATGTATCCGAACCCGTATACCATCATGGATGCCGTCAACATCCTGCGGACGTCAGAGAAGACTGTAGCTAACGCCTGCGCATCATTCAACGATATCTTGCAGGCTCATGATCCTAACTGGCTGGACAAGTACCGCAAGGCCAGAATGGCAGCCCATCATTTCATCTACATCTCCGAGAGCGGCGAAGTCAAGGTCAATGATTTTGAAAGGCTCACAAAAGACAATCACGAATATCTTGGCCTGCAGATGCCCGCAGAATTGTTTCACTACCTCAACACGGGACTCATCGGGCCTCGTATCCTGAACGCTATAACACACGGACAGATTATTGTCTTGCCAACCTTGGACGGTACTGCTTCGGACGAATACAAGAAGCTGGTGACCAATCAAATCCTCCCGATCAAAGAACAAGCGCTCGGTCTCGTTATCCCCCGAGTTCACAGAGCAATAGGTCACAAGGACATCACCATGAAGGTTTGGTTCGACCCGAAATTCTCGTACACCTTGAATCACCGTTCTGCTCAACCGCTACCTTCACAATTGGTGGGGACCTGGGACGTCAAAGAGCAAGATCTCCGTCGCTTCTTCCCTGCAGATTTTGCTGGTCCGGTATACTTGGAGGTGCTTGCGCTCGCAAACCAGGACTTTGTTGAGAAGACAATTTCCAGAGAGAAGCCTATCCGAGGTATCGACAGCACTAATATGGTGGTGTCTGTCGCCATCTGGCGCTTCCTCCATCTCAGGGGATATGTTGATGATTCGCACAAGCTAACCAAGTGGGGAAATGCTTTAGCGACCACTCTTATTGCCATCAAGGACACCATGGAGGATAGAGTGCCATTTGTCGAAGAGGCTGCTTTGTTAGCGTTTGAGCTCTTGCGATTCGGACTCTTGAGCGGCAAGTACCGTGAAGGTGCACCCGGCATGCCGCGGAAGGGAACAGATGACGAAAAGTCCAGCGTCATCCTCATTAGCCAGTGTGCTTCGTTGCTGAAGCTGAGGCATAAAGTTTTTGGGTATACCGGACCTCTAAACAAGAGCCTATTGGGATTCCGTGCACTGTCCACAACGGTACGCGAGGCCAATCGCGACTTGATTGAAGCGATTGTTGCGTCCATGTTCATGTATGGACAGTGTAAGCGCGAAAGGACTGACCAGCTCGAAATCAGCCAAAAGTACGAACTACTCCCTTTTTTTGTCATATTTCTATCTATATTTCAACCTTTTGGCTAACTCTATACAGGCTACCTTTCTCGCAAGAGCCACATATCGGACTTGGCATTGCTGTTCTGACCTTTTTGGACGAAGACGAAGTCGAAGATGATAAGGAGACACGAGCCGCTCGGCTAGAAGCATTCCCAGCTGTTTTCGTTCCCCTATCAGAGGCACTCCCAGAAGACTTCCGGACTGCCATTGACTTTGTCAGTGCCCTCAACCAGGGCGTGCAGACGCTGAATGACACCTCTCTCCCAGCCAATGAGAAGTCTGCCTGGACAAAAGCTCAAGACTACATCAACGCCCGACCATTCTAATACGACACATTAGATGCTTAATAAAATAGGAGCAACCAACACATTTAGCAAGAAAAAAAATTGAAAAAGGAGTCCGCAACATTATGGATAGCCTCTTTAGATACCACCCTGCACTGCGTTAACATTTCCATGACATTCCACAAACGGTTACACCATAGAGTTAAAGGTATTCTTTGGAGGACTCGGTGGGACAAGGAATCGATTAATACTTTTTTGACTCTCGCAGTTCACTCAGGTCTCGATTTTGGGGGTTTGTGTAAAAGAATTTTTGGGGGAGGGCCGGCAATCAAAAGTTATTTTACTCATGGTCGATTGGTATGTTCTTTGTGGGTTGGAGCAGAGGGGGAGAGACGCAGTTGTCGGGGGGGGGTTGTGAACGTCTCCAGCGGGCGAGAGCCTCGGGAAGCGAGGATGTGCAAACAGGCTTAAATAGCAAGTTGAAGGTGTTTGCGTGTTCAGGTGGCTTCTTGCGGTATTAATGTGACCCAGAGGTGTGTTTTGTAAGATGGGGGAGGATTCATGTTGTCTTTTTTTCAGGGGGCAGATATGTGCCGTGTTGAAGTGACAGCCCTGGATTCCGACTTGAGTTAAACAAGCTACTCCGGGCTTTTGGGACCAAGATGACGGAAAGTGTTTGGCTCCTGCAGCATTTTCGCAGCTGAAATTCGGCAAAGGGGGGGGTTGATTTGGTAATTGTGTGCCACGGATGTTTCAGCTTTGGTCTTCCGAGAGGGACCCTGGATGAGATGAGATCTGGATTCAGGGCTGGGCTGGGCTGAGCTGGGCTAGCCAAAGATGGTTGACGTGAGTTTGATGGGAACAAGGTGTGTGAGACGATTGGTCAAAGGGATGGCAAAGATGGAGAGAGGTGTACGTTGAATAAATAAATGTAAAATACACCAAAGGTGATATCTTTAATAGTGGTAGCCCTACACAAAAAGGACTTGTCACGATGTGAGGATAGATAGTAATACCGTGTACCCCATATATGCTCGTATTTGGTTTCAATGTCAATGGAAGAAGTAATGGAAAAGGCTTTTATAGAGAGAAAGGTAAAAAGAGTATATATTAAAAAAAAGGTTTGACTCGAATCTTTCCATATTTTTCTACTTGGAAATTGCATCCTCTAATAAATCTCCACTCCCCAAATGAACAATTCCTCCTTATGACACCGTAATAGCAATGGGGCCGGCAACAGTAATGTCATCTGTAAGAGCGCCAGTCAGAGGGCCGGCGCTGGAGAGTGACAGATACGTAATGCCAGCAACTCCCTCGGGGATCTTGCAGCCATCGGTTTGGGAGAAAGGCGTGAACATGGTGCCACCGGGAGTGACGCCACCAGATGTGAAGGCACAGAACTTGGCGCCGCTAGCAGCGTCAGACTGGAGCTTCAGGATAGAGTTGACGGTAGTGGGATCGCTGGGGTTGGTCATCTTGAGAGTAGGGAAAGCGGTAAGCTTGAGGTTGGAGCCCTCAGGGCAAGACTGGATGAAAGGAGCGGCGAGGGAGAAGACAGCCTTGGGGCCGAGAGGCGCATCAAAGGCCTGGGGCACGGCATTCTGGCCGCCAAAGACGCGGATAGAGCTCTGGTGGCGGGCTTCAATGGTGAGAATGGAGCCAGCAACACCGAGAATGGCAGGGGATGCCAGCAGGGGAGCGGCGCCGAGGTAGGCTGAGATACCGACGTTCTCGAGAATGGCTGCAGTCTGGACCATGGCTGCGGCACTGGTGAAGCCAAAGTTGTAAGTGCACCGCTGAACGGGCTGGATGCCGTTCTGTGCGAGCGAAGACTGGAGAAGAATGACATGCTCGGCCTCGGTGAAGCCAATGTTCTGGAGATCCTTGATCTGGATATCGCTGAGGCCGAGGGCGGTAAAGTCAGACGCGGGGAACTTGGCGAAGCCCTCACGGTAGAAGGACTCTTCGAGGTTCTCGAGGGTCAGGGCACTGAGACCGGAGTGTAAGTTAACCAACTCATATTCAACCACGTCATCAACTATAGAGATAAGCTTACAATTGAAGAATATCAAAGTCATTGAGACCCAGAGCCTGGGCAGCAGCATTCTGCCTCTTGGCAACGGCATGATACTCCAGTTGACGGTCAGTCAACTTGGGCACCGAGGGAAGTGCGGCAGCAGTAGCAGCCAGGAAGGAAATGACAGCAGCTTTGAAGGAAGGCATCTTGAATATTCTCTTTTTCTCGTCTCTTTCGATTTTTTCTTTCGTTTATTTTCGTCAGGTGTTTAAATCAAATGGTCCAGCCGGGCGGTTGCGCAATGAGAATTGAGTAGAAAAGAGTTGAATGAATGGAAAGCGGTATAAGTCAAGGGTCGAGTCAAGTGAATAGAATTGAATAAACGAAGGGTATACCAGCAAAAGCAGGCCAGCGGCTTTTTGACAACCCACGGAAAAAAGAAAGTGAAGGAGAGACGGATCGGAGCGAAACGATGGAGATCAAGAGAAGAAAGAAAAGAGGTATCCAAAGCGCGCGTCAACAGTCTTATATCCCAGAGCCAGCTGGGTGAACGATGCTTGGTGGCCAGCTAAGGGACTGCCTAGTCGGTATAAGTCATGATAATAAGGCCAAGGGGCCACCGCAACGTGGGACAAACAGCCATGGCGGCTCCATGAGGATCCGTTTCCTCGCTTCAGCCTGTGTAGAAACCCCAATGAACGGATCCGAGCCTCAAGCGTTCCCCCCTGGACACCTGGACAGTAGGAAAAAGGCCCGGAAGCTGCCAGAAGCGAAGCTCGTCCCAGCTTCCCCCAGCTTATTCGGGCAGGGTCCCAGCTCTTTTAGCTCGCCCCCGTCCGTAGTCCGAAACGAATCTGATACGCGCGCAAAAGCAGCGCCCCGGAGCCAATCTCTTCCGCATGGAGGGGGGCCATTGCAGCCAGGTCGTCTTAACTTTAATTATTTCTTCTTTTGCTGCTGCGAGCTAAAAGAGACGGGTTGCATCTGGCCCTTGTTAGCGCATGCGTCATGACCACGGGAGGGACGCTCGTGTCGCACGATGCAGAAGCGCCTACTCGTGCTGGAGGCCGTGCGCGCGTCTTGTTATCGTGAGTGATGCTGGCCAAGTGCAGTAGTATGTAGGAATTGAAATTGAGTCTGTGGTTGTGCAGCAGCCTTGGTGATTTAGTCGTGGAACTTGATATGCACGTGCTTCCTCAAGGCGGCAATTGAAGCAAGGGAAGGTACGGGAAACGGAGTATCTCGTCGGAGTATTCACATCTGATTAGATTAGTAACTGAAGGTGAATGCATACATATACATCTCTGCTGTTGTCATACCGAGCAATTAATAAGATAGCATCAAGGTGCAGATATGGGTCTGTAATCAGAAAAAATTATCAGATTTCTCCTGTGGCAGCACGACATGACTAGGCCTCCCAGCACGGAGTCCCTGCATCTGTCTCACGGAGACACAGATAGCCTTCAACACACTAACCGTTTCCTCCCATCATCCTGCCCACTAGAGCAGGTTTCCCATGAAATGTTTCAACTGTCTCGGAAACCCCCCCAGCCGGGCAATCCTTCACCATCAGTCACAGGTGACACGTGCTTCCGTCACAAATCGTTACTCACTAAGCAGAGGAAACACTGCTTGCTAGAGCCGCCAATCGGGCGAAAAGTTTCGCCGGATTAGGAGGCATCTACCTGTATTGCGGGAAGCCAACGGTAATAGATGAAGATTCGAGCCACACTAACAAGAAGCCATTATATTACAAGATGCCCATGCTATGGGTGTTTAAGACGATCAAGAGTAGAGCTGTGTTTGTGGAACTGGCTGCTTCAATTGATACACTACGTTATTACCACTCCAAACCATACATTTCCATCATGTCCCCAAACATCCCCAGACATCTTTCATCATCACGACCAAGAACCATTTTCCTCCCGAATCTCTAGCAAGTCTTAGCTTCGCCTGATCTCTTGTCTTCTCCTTGTAAATTTTCCCCTCACATCACATCACATCATATCACATACACAACGGCAACTCCCTGAGAAGCTTTGGTCAAGTAGCCTGAGTGGAGGTGTCAGTCAGAAGGTTCTGGCTGGCCCAAGCCGATCAGCTGGCACCTTCTCGTGGTGTCCTGGGTTGGTAACTGAGGATCTTGTCCAAAAGAAAGTAACGACTTACGATCACTGCCGCTGTGCGGCCGCCAGCCGCGCTTGGGCGCGGTACAACCGCTTTTGACGGCACTCAAACTCCTCCTCGTCCCCGAAAGGGGTCTCGTAAAGGTGGTGTCACGCCTGCTGAACACGTACTTGCCAGAAGGCAATTCTTGTAGCTCTGGAATACGTATTTCCGGACCGCAGGGTAGGCCTAAGTATAAAGGTTAGTACCTGTGCTCAGAAAGGCAAAGGCATAGAAAGTCAGGCAAGGAAGCATATAAGGAGATGCTCTTATTGGTGTTGCTTCTGTTGCTGGTGCTGGTGCTGGTATGTTGGTGTGCTGGTGTTGCTGCTGGGGATGTTGTGGTGCGAGAGCAAAGGAGAAAAGGAGAAAAAGAAACATCCTCGTCAAGAGCTTTTCTACATATCGGTATTGCACTTACCTCGAACACAGACAGTAACGAGAGAAGAAGGGACGCTTGGAGTCTTTCTGCAGGTATGCTGCCACCTGCGACTTCTTCTAGTATCTTCCAGTGTCTGCTATTATCGCTACTCTCTCTAGTATCTGCTACTATCACTACTCTCTCTGGTACCTGCTACTATCTCTACAGTCTCTGGTATCTGCTACTATCGCTACTCTCTCTACTACTTTATCTATAATATTTGCTACTACGCTACTCTCTCTAATATCCGCTACCATCGCTACTTTCTTCTAGAGTCTACCATTGTCACGACTAACCCTTCTGCAGTCTCTGCCATCGTCACGAGGTATCTTCGGTATCAAGCATCAAGAACCTTCTAGCAGGGGGATATCAATAGATAGCGCCCTATACGTCATGTACCATGGAGGTAATTTGGGATACGGGATGCTGGATACGTGGCCACTATAGGTACCTAGTACATGGAATAAAGTTCTTGATCAAACTCATATATTGCGCCAAAAGGCCCGAATTATAGAGTTACAAGATGATGAGTCAAGCTTCATGCCTGAGAAAGTTGGCCCGATGTATAAAATTCGACCATTCCACAATCCTCAAAGGTTGTCATCCTGACCTTCTATCTAGCAGGCGAGGACACTCTTCAGAAACCCAACATTCTCCTTGATTGCTACTCAAACCAATCCTCAGTCCCTCCCGATACCATTTTTGTGCCTATCACCTGCAGCTCCTCTCTCAAGCAATTCAAAATAATACGCCACAGAATGAGACTCCGCAGCGTAACAAGAAGAGCCTGCGCATGGCTACGCCTCCCCGCAGAGATTCGCCTCATGATTTTGGAGATAGTCGCTGCCCAGAAACATCGCGGCTGGGCTTCCCTTGCGTCTGTATGCAGAGAGTGGCAGCACGTTTTAGAAAAGGTCAATTTTCGCAAGGTGAAGCTGCGAGCATCTTGTCTCGATGGTTTCGAATCCATCATTTCGCCGCAAAAGAGAGAGCTCATCCACCACATCTGTCTCAATGTTGAGTTACCACGATGTAGGGGCAAATGTTGCGTAAAAGTACGTCCGCCTCCAGTTGCACTGGGCCCTCTCTTGAGGGATGCAATATCCAAGCTCTTCTCCATTCTCAGTCTCTGGGGGCCCATGGAGAACTTGGCATTGGAGCTCAATGTATATTCTACCAGCGACCGCGAACATTGGTTCAAAAACATTTATTTGTCCTCCGATAATGTTGAGGATGGCACGGAGACAGAGCCGGACGTTTGTATTGAACCTCTATATCATGACCCAAAGTATGGCTGGATGCATGGTCGACAATTTAGGGCTCCACCAAAGACGGCTATTGAACGACTCTTCGGATCTATTCCCTTAAATTTCGATGAAGAATTACCTCCAGTTCAGGCAGTCACCAGCTTCATTATCCGTCGACAACTCCGGCGTTATATCCCTCCGTTCGGATTCGCCCATATGATGGAAAAGTTTCATCGTCTGGAGCATATTTTATATGAGCCATGGGCGCCATCTACAAGTTGGACAAGATATTTTCATGATCGAGGTACGTATTCAGACCTGTAGCAGAGATTACCATGTTAAATGCATTCTGATGATCCACTGCTGATGCTGAGAAATAGATCTTTCTTATGTAATGAGATTTTTTCCAGATACTCTCAACAGCTTGACAATATTTGAGGACTCCTATGAATTCTATGATCGATTTCCAAGGCGGCGGGTCCCTGATTACATGTTGGATATGGATGTTCCTAGTAGAGCTATTGGTCGTGATTTCGCATCCAAAAGCCTCAGCTTACAACACTTTGCCATCTCCTTTATGGTCAATGCCGAGGATGTCTTTCGAGCTTGTCATTCGACATGGTGCTGGCAACATCTCCAATCCTTGGCACTTACATCAGAGCTCCTACAGGCCAATGGCGAAAAGCGCGACTGGATTGAGGTTCTGCTCTGCCGAGCCGGAGACCTTGCGCAGCAGATGCCCAAGATACACACCTTTGTTCTTTGGAACGGTGGAAAGGGAAACGCCTGCGCGTTTGTATATCGTATAGTCCAAGGCAGAGGCTCAGTAACTTGGCGCGGAACATGGCTCCTAAAGCTGTCTCCTCGTGTAATCGAATCATGGCAACTCGCCAACTCGAAGTTGCGTGTGTCTCGCCCTGAACTTCAACTAAAGCAGGAGCAAATTCAGGCGACAATAAGATCTCCGGGTGATGCAATATATCATCTAAAACTGCCCTGCCAAGTTATTGAGCCTGCATCTCTCTGGCAAATCCGGAGGGAAGCATGCATTGGGGAATAAAGTTCGTAGATAGCCTCACAGCAAAGATTACTGTTCAAGGATCATAGCGAGATACAGAAAAGGCACCTTTTATCTAAGGGAGGGCTATTCAGCACCCCAAGTTGGCTATCAAGCACCTCAGCGATTAAAAAGAGTTATAGATATCTTAACAATGCAGAATAAAGATCTTTCTTATCACTATTATTTAAATAAATATACGGTTCCTGGAGTGTCTACTATTCTCGCTACTTTCTGCTACTTATCGCTACCTTCTGCTATTATCTAAATTTTCTGCTGCTATCTGCCATCATTACTACCTAGGCCACCTTAAATTTGAGAACGGGATGCTCAATAGCGAACGTGGGGTGCTGAAAAGTCATTCCCTTAATCTACTTGGTTCCTCAAGGGGACACACAATTATATAGCATCTCCAGTTCTTAATGCCGCGTCACCTTGCCAAGTTAACAAGTTAACAGGGAGCAATACGGCTCAATACAGCTCAACGCAGTAATATATATTACATCACAACTTAGTTATGCTCGTTTCTTCATCTCATGCTTTCCACCCGCAGCACATATCAATCATATCTCATTCTGCTCCACCTCCTGCTCAATGTTCTTCCATTACACCAGTGCCTTTTTCGTTTGCCATTACATGAGATGCATCGCCTTTGTAACCATTATGCGGCTTCCGCGTAAGTGTTCCTTACCGGTTCACTTTTACCGTGTGCCAAATAATAAATAAATATATACCACACATCACTGCTATAGCAGGCAACCCCTGCTCGATACCCTCGAGCCACCCCCGACTATATCAATCTGCCAAAACGCCTCCTCACTTCTACTCCCCTTTTTCAGCTTCGTCCAATTTACAACGCGTAGGGGTTGAGGGATCGGATGGTTAGGCAACTATTTGATTCCTCCATGTTAGCAAGTCTGATATCAATAATGACTCTACAATGTAAGGGAACTTACGGTGGGCTCTTGGTAAGGTCCGTCTTAAGGATGATTGGCACCCGGGTCATTTCAGTCACATCTTGGATGTAATCCCCACCCTCTTCGCGCAGCGAAAACAACTTGAGATACTTCTCCTTGTTCGTCAACCGAGTCTCCACAGCCTCTGCCACAGGAACCTTGGAGTCGGATCGAGTGCGGTGCAGAGTTCCGGCGTTGGATGCAGATCGTGCCGGTGATCCTGGCACGCTCTGTGTAGGTCGCTCAGCCAGCGATGCTCCCGCCATGGCTTCGGTGACATCTGAAGTGTCGTCCTCATCGTCATCGAATAGGGCGTCAACATCATCGGTAGAGATGGTGCCGGTGACTGTCTGCTTACGAGCAGCCTCCTCGCGCTCCTTCTTCACACGCTCTGCCTCTTCTGCCTGTCGGGCAGCGGCCAACGCGTTTGACATTCTCATGGAAGCCGCCGCCTTGGGTCGTTCATCCTCGGGTACATATGCAGAGCTAGGAACGCCCTTCTCCCAGTAGAGCTCCAAAACGCGCTTTTCTTTTCTGAATTCTGCCTTCTTAAGGGGCAGCTGATCGCAATGCACCCGCTTCTCGAAGCCCCACTCGGGAATCAGCACGTCGAAAGCCGACTCGTACACGCAGAGGACGATGCCCTCGGCAATGAGATCGCCATTAACTTCCTGTCGCTTCTTATCCATGGTGCGGCATGATTCGATGTGCATGCTCTGCTCCTGTGCATTCTGTGCCGAGTCCTTCTTGGTGTTGCAAGCTTCGACAGTCTTGACAAGGTTCTCCATATCATCGGAAAATTCAATCTTGCCCTCAGAAAGGACAGCCTCCAATTGTCGGTGGACAATAAGGTCGGCGTAGCGGCGGGTAGGGTTGGTAAAGTGGGTGTAGAGTGGTAGATTGAGTGTGTAGTGAGGCCACACGATCTTCGCAGTCTTACCAGCAATGAAATACTTGGCACGCTGCATAGACTTGAGAAGAACGGTTTCCATTCCCTTGCGCAGGTCCGCATCATCAACCTTGAAGAGGCTGTTTTGGAGTGCCCCGCTTCCAGAGGCGTCGATGTCGTATCCCAGAGCTGTCATGCGCTCGACAAACGTCTGCAGACGTCGTGGGTTAGGGGCAGCTTGGCGACGCAGCAGAGCCTTGTCGGGCAAGCCCTCTGCCAAGCGCTGGGCCACATAACTGTTTGCCTTGTGCATGAGCTCCTCGACAAGCTCCAAAGCCTCGGTAGAGTCAAAGATGTTGTGTTGCACTTGAGGGTTCTCGTCATCAAGCTGCTGCAATAACCGGAGAGGGGCAATGGGCTCGCTGCCAGCACCCAAGCGGGCTTCTCGGAACTTTTGAGCGACAGCGTGCAGAATCTGAATAGTGTTGATCGGAACGCTAGCGTTATCGAAGGTAGAAGCGTCAGTCAGAGCCTTGTCAATATCGCTCAGTGACACCTTGCCGGTGGATTTGATGATACTCTTGCCCACCCAGCTGTCACCTTCAGCAACAGCGCCGTTGACAGGGTTCACAGTGAATACAACACTGACGGTGAGACGCTCCTCGCCTGGCACGAGGGAGCAAAGCTCTCCGGACAACTTCGGAGGCAGCATTGCGCAGAATCGGTTAATGAGATGAACGGCGGTGCCACGCTTCTTGGCCTCCCGGTCCACGAGAGAGTTGGGCTTAACAAAGTGTGTGACATCCGGAACGTGGATACCAATATCAATCTTGCCATCGGAACGAGAAGTGACATGCACTGCATTTCCGAGCTCAGAGCTGCCATTGAAATCAATGGTGAAGATCTTTTCATCCCGGTAGTCGCGGCGCGAGGCAATGGCTGCTTCATCCTCTTGGGCGAGCGACCAATCCTGGAGGCCGACACTGCGCAGAACGGCTTCGGAGAACTCATCGGATGAGAAGTTGTTGTCGCGAAGCAGCGCATCAGTTTCCACCTTAAGGTCACCCATACGGCCCAGCTGCTCTACAAGCGTGCCAAAGGGATGAAGAGACGTAATGGGCCATCTCTTGATGCATGCAACAAAGATGCGATCGGCATAGTCCTGGTGCTTCTCAACAAAGTCTCGAGGAGCCTGCTCCGTGGGGATAGCAATCAGGGGGACACGCTTATCAGTAGGCTTGAACCAGACAATCTTGGGCTTGTCTTGCTGGCGACCGTCGTTTGAACGGGAGTTGCCACCTTCCCGAGCCGCTCTCTCGGCTTCCTGCTTCTCCTTGGTAGCCTGGCTGCTGGGTCGGAGCAGGCCCAAAGTACCCGAGAACATCTGGCCGGCAACACGCTCAATGACGGCGACAACATGACCGGCGTACAGGGGCTTTTGTTCATCATTAATTTCCTCCTCCTCGACAAGAAGAAGGCTCTGGCCCTCGACTTCGACGTCATCATTTTTCTTCTGAGTGGGTCGCTGGCGAAGACTGCCACGACGGCGAATTGCTCCATCAGGAGGGTTGCTTTCATCATTTTGTCCAGAAGCTTGGCTGCCTTGGTTGGTGGAACCGGAGCGAGTATCGGTGATGTCCTTGCGCTTCTTTTTCTCTTCCTTCTCTCGCTTTTGGCCCCATACTTCGTCGACATCCAGGAGCTCGATGGCAACCAAGTCACCCTCAAGAGCACGGTTGCGGTCCTTGCTACCGCAGATGAAAATGTCGGCATCCAAGAGGCCATCAAGTGTAGTGACGTAAGCATCACTGCGATTCTTTTTGTTGACTCGGAGAATACCAGAAACAAGCTGGCCATCTCCAAGCAAGGCGGGAAGGGTAGCTTGGGGGAGGTAGGGGGTGAAGAGGGTCTTTCGCTGCTGTTGCTGTTGCTGGCCAGCAAGCTGGCCGGCGTGCTGCGAGCCCTGAAGACCTTGGAACTGCTGGGTGTTCATCTGGGCAGCTTGCAGAGCCTGAAGCTGGCTGATCTGCATAGGGTTGAGCTGTTGGCCGTACATCTGAGGCATCATCATCTGGCCAGCAAGCGGAAGGACCGGAGCTTGGCCGGGATTGAACTGAAAGCCTCCCATAGCAGAGATGGACTGGTTGACGGAGCCGCGGGGTCGGTGGCCGGGCTGGAATCCCTGGTTTTGGCCAGCGTTGGCGGACTGATCCTGACCTTGGCCTTGGTTGCGCCAGTTGCCCTCATAGTTTCTGGATCCCGTGCGAGCGTGGCCAGGACCGCGGCGCTGAAAATCATTGCCACCATCAGTGCCAGTATTGAAGGAGCTGCTGCGCAGACCGCCACGTCCGTTGACAGCCATGCTCTGGCTGCGGCCGTGTCCACCGCGGCCTCCACGTGTAGATCCTTGGGCTGCGGGGACGTCGAGGCTGCTGGACTGAGAGACGGGCTGGTTCTCCTCCTCGGGCTTGTCAGACGCTGGAGCGCCGGCGGCGGGGAACTGGAATCCGGATGTCGTTCGCTTCTGCTGTGCGAGCTCAGCAGCCTTCTTGGCGTCGGCCAGGGCCAGGGAATGTCGTCGTTGATGGCCGCCACCGGCACCGCCTCCACGGCCACCTCTGGAACCAGCGTTCTCACGCCCGTGGCTCCCTGGTGCCTCGAAGTTTCCAAAAGCAGATCCGGAAGCTCCTGAGGATGGCGCAGGCGGCGGACCCATGCCCATATTAGGCAGAGCCGACTGATTACGGCGATGTGAGAGTGGCTGGGTCGGGGGACCCAGCGAAACATTTTGTTGTGGAATCTGGTTAGGGAACTGGAAAGCATTGCCCATGGGCTGCAAAGGATTGAATGGAGCGCCGGGGCCGATGGCTTGTCCCGGCGGCATCATGCCCATGTTGACATATTGCTGGTGGGTGGCTTGGATTTGCTGCTGCTGCTGTTGCAGGAGCTCAATCTGCTGCTGGATTGCAAGTTGTTCCACTACGGCACGAACGCTTTAGCACTCAATGTCCCAGGTTTGACGGTCTTTGATGTTTGCGATATGCTGTGGATGCAGGGGTTGTGGATTGGCAACGCGGTTGCCCCGCGCCTAGAGCTGGCGAGCGACAAGGGCAGCCACCAACGAGGAAAAAAAGCTGTCCTCAAGGCCAAATAAAGAGAGGGAGAGAAAAAGAAAAAGACGACGGCTTACTTCCTGGGTTGGCAAACATGCTCATAAGCGGCGTGAGTTCAGACGGGCTCCTGCGGTGCGCAATGTGCAGCCTGCGTCCAGCCGGCCCATGAACGCCGCCAGTGGCATGCTGGGCAGCTTGTTGCTGCGACGGCTGCTGCTGCTGGTCCATGGCGCAGACAAAGGGCAGCGGAAAGGTGCACGTCGGGTGCGGGCTGGTGGTGAGCGATGCTAGAGGAGGGGGTTGGCGATGGAATTGCCGTGGGCGAAAGCTTTGGGGGTGGTTGTTTTGGTCGGGATCGTGGAAGTTCGGCTCTAAGAGACAGTGGCAGGCCCCCGTGGACAGGACAGATTTTGCCAAAGGAGGGTCGATGCAGTGGATTCAAGCGAGCTCGGCAGAGCCAAGGAGCGTTGGAAAGGAAGGAGTCGGGCTGACGGTGCAATGCAGATGGGAAATGAGAAGAGAAGGTGAGGATGGATGCGGATGGGAAGTCCAGCTCCTTGCGAGAGGCTGTGAGGGAGGAAGATGGAGAGAGGATGGACGGCTCTCTGGGGAGATACAGGTAGAGCTACCGCCGGGGGCGAAAATATGGGGGGTGCAGTGACGCTCTTGATTCCCACTCGCTAGCAGCTGTTTGGCGCACGCCACCTCTGGGCGAAACAGCTTCAGTCGGCCCCCTTGAGAGCATTTTGATGCCGCTGTACGGAGGATCAATGCTAGAGACATTCTCAGCACGTGCTGTGAGCATTCCACGGCATCCGCTGTAGAACCTAAATCGTTTGACACCTTTCAGGGCTGGGCTCAATCAGACACTCGACGGCGCTGGCTCTACGAGTACATCCTCCATGCAAGTACGGAGTATATTGACAGTAAAATATACCGGACCCTGTGTACTGTATCCATGGACGTGAAGATTACATAGTATGTCGACAGCGCCGGTCCGGTAGAGAGCAATTAGCAGCGGGAGCGTGAATCGCCGTCATTCAATTGATGCCAATTGCTCTACCTGAAGCAGCATCGCTGGCTGGTCTACGTCCCTCAAAGCTGTGCCTGTATTATGCCTGTAGATACAGTATCGAGTGCCTATCAATGGACGATACATGTACTCGTACATATTGATTGACAGCTTCAGACGATATGGATATTGCAGGGATGGGAGGTCAGTCCCTCGCACGGATACGAGACCGCTCCTAGCCATCAGCGTCAACAAGCCGGGCTTTGGCAAGGACCTGGAAGCCCATACGAATACAGCACTGGCCGATATCAAAACCGCTTCCGCCTTCGTTTCGCGCTCATCACAACTCAACATCGACCCCTGCTTGGGGCTGCTGGCGCCGCAGCCGTAGCGCTTCTGTCCCGCTATTCTAACCCATCACGTCGTCACACGACACCGCGGAAACCTGCGATATCACGATCAACGGCAGTCCCGGCCGTCTTTGGCCCTAGGATTCTTTGCAGCGCCAGACAGCTCGTCTGCACATGTATCGCATGCTCTAGGCTGGAGCATGAGCATTAGCCGTGCCCTTTTTCGCTTCTTTGCAGCTGCTGAGGCACAGCTGCTGCTTTGTACAAGCATTGGATGGAGCAACGAGCTCTGATACCCGCCCCTGAAGTTAACTAAACCACTCTTGCCCACCCTCATCAATACGAGCCCCAAATACTAATGATATTGTGCCCACCCGGTCAGGCCCTACTAGTAACAGTAGCACTACGGTACGAGTCTAGTACGCGTAGCAGAGACATCAAAATACTCAGCTGCTCAATTGAACCCATTCAACTGTGTCATGGAGCAGGCAATCATAGACCGGGCCCATTGTACGGCACAGGCAGAAGCTTCTCACCTATCGTGCTGACAGCCAAGCCGTTTGCCGTGCCACAATTCTCTTCAAGGCAGTCAGTTGGTAACTGGAAGCGATAAATATTATCTCAGCAGAGACAAGAGTATGGGGTAGCATGGATCAAACAGCACTGAGTTCAAATACCCTGGCGCCACCATACCAGGGTCATTTGCATGACCAAATCGAGTGGCATACAGACAGGCCATGCATGGGCTCTGCTCTGCTCCAGCCCACAAAACAATTGGGATTTTTATTCGGCACGCGCACAAGAGGCAGCGAGCAACGTGTTAGCAGCCAGGCTCCTTTATTTGTCTCTCGAACATGTACGAAAAGACCAAATCGTGTCTAGCGCGCCCTTGTTCTGTTGCTGGGGCAAAAAAGAGCAGGCCGTCCTTTTCCCACCGGAAACTAAGACAAGCTTCCCCCATAACAGCTGTAACCTACTTCGCAGATATGGTTTTACGCTTTGTCATCTCTCATTCTCCGAAGGAGATACACCATGAAAAGGGAGTCGAATCGGACAGAGCCACGTCAGCGGTGACATGAACGAACAAATCCCTACCGTGCCTGGGCTAAGAACAAGAGAGATATGACACTCGCTGCCAATGTAAGGTACCTCAGCAGCCAATGCCAGGCACCTGCCCAGGATGATATCACCAAATCTGTGTTGAATGTCTGGAGAAAGCCAACCGAAGCATCCATGCCCTCGCGAAAGCGTCCTAGTTAGACGAAATGAGACGAAGCGTCAATCGTAGATCCCGGCCCTTGCTTAGCCCAAAGGCCTCTCTAGCTCCCAAGCTTTTTCTGTAGGTGTACGGAGTACCTAGGTAGTGCTACAGTACATGCTGCGCTGTACTCTACTTGGCCAGCGTGTGCCTGGGCTTGCCGATGCGATGCGGCAGCCTTCGGCGTTATGTTTTGGCGATTCCGGCGCGTCATCACTTTCAGATTTGTCCTGCCAACCAGGGCAGGCAGTACGTACCTCTACCTAGTACCTTGACCCTTGACGCCTCTCTTTTCGAGTAAAGATGCAAGGTTCAAACCTTGATAACAAACAGTGATTCGAAAGTCATCCATCTCTCAACATAGTGCATTCATCGGACGATTTGCTCTTTGATACTTGCAAAATCCCCCCACGGAGAACGATTGGCCCATTCCCTCCCACTGGCCTTTCTCCTTTGTAAATTTTTATGATCGATATTTCCACACTCCAACGATTGCAAATGCCATCGCGATAACGACTGATTGTCTCACCACCCGCCTCGAGAACATGACCAATCCCCCCCAGTCGAGGAGGGGCCAATTGCTGTCGAGTCCGGAGAGCGGCCTTATCTCTAGATTTCTCTTTGACGGCCGAAATAATGAGCTGAGCCACCAGAGCGCTCTCGCCGCTGCTCAGGCAGAGCACAAACGCGTGCGGGAGGCGGCTATTCGGGTTTTTGAGCTCCATTCGCTTCAAGAAGAGCGTCAGCGAATTCTAGAATTGGAGCGCAAGGAGCAGGAAAGGTTAAGAGTGGAGGCGGCAATAGTCGAAGAAGAGAGAAGGCTCCGAGAGCTCAAGGCCAAGACGGTGCCAAAACTTCCTCCCGAACCCGTGCCAGAACCGCCCAAGAAGGTAGAGCCAACGCCTGTTCAGCAACCAGTCGCTGCGAAGCCTCAAGAACCTGTCAAGCAGAACCTTACCGAAGCAAGGCAACAGCCGACGTCAAATGCTGCTGCCCCCCTGGTGAACGGCTTTCTTGGAGCGCAGACCAAACCGGCTACGAACAATCTTTTTGCACCCACCACCGCGGCAAAACTCGAGAATCGCTTGGCACCAACAACACTGGCCAAGCCCGTCGCTCAACCGCCTGCCGCTCAAATCCCAGTAGCTCGCCCTCCCCCAGCGCAGAAGAATGCCCTGGCAGATCGATATGTCGAAATTCACAAGGAGCTGAAGAAGCTGCGTCAAGTGCTGCAGGCCGAAGCAAAAGTGCCTGGGTCACCCCTGAAAGGCAAGATGGGGACCTACCGAAGAGAGATTCGAGTCTCTATCGGACAGCTTACAGCAGGTAAAGGCGCAAACGCTCAACCTGTAAGTCGAGATTTCTGGAGTCCACAAATGTGCTGAGGGTACTAACACGCAAAATAGATTGCCAAAATTACAATGGCACTCACAGAGGCACTCAACGGTACAGTGCCTAGCGCTCCCATTGAAGTGAGCCGGTTTACCGTGGGACAGAGACAACCGGTTGCGGGGGCAGTAAATAACGAAGCCACTCTGCCCTCTCTCTTCATCTACCTATTGAACATTTGTGCCAAGGGCATCATTAATCAGTTCATCAACGAGTGCAGTGCGAATCCCAAGGCTGCAGATCCAATCGGCGTCTTCACAGCCCAGATATTTTCTCAGAAGGAATTTCAATGGTGCGGTGAATCTCTGATTGACATCCTCATGGCCAAGTTCCGAGTCGTCTGTCCGGTCTTGTTTGGCTTGAGAGGAAGTGACAAAACCGAAAGAGGGAGACAAGCCATAGGATGGAAAAAGGATGGGCCTGGGTATGTTACGGAGCAGACTCACAACGATAGGATGACAGGTCTGGGTACCGGTTTCGCTTCGATTTCCCTTCGCGACTTCAGCAAGACGGCCAAGGTGAATCCGTATACATCAGTCAACTACTGGAAGGCGTTGGCCGGTATCGTCAACTCACCTCCTAATGAGACTTCGAACACACAATACGTGGTCTTGAGAGCCATGATTGAAGGCCACGAGCAGCGGTTTTTGAATTTTTACGGAAACGCAGCCATCGCCGCGCTGCGCCTGGCGTTGGTCGAATTCCCCAAGAAGGCGCCGGCGAATGCAGCCGCTGCGCAATCATTACGAGCAATGGTAGAACTGCTTCGCACGGAAGGACTGGTCCTGGGCTGAAGGATTCATTCTCATTTCTTTTTCTTTGCTGCTCTTTCTGCTCCTTAACTATAGCCGTCTCTTTATTACGTTTTAGGGGGTCAAGAGAAGGAAGATCTCATGTATTCGGGTAATACATTGAAGCAATGGCGTTTGGAAGGCAAATCGGTATGCCGCTGCAGGTTATATATACACATATATATGATAGACCCCTGAGGTCCCTTGTTTACACTGCGTACGAGGCGCTATGGGGACTTTGGAAGTGTCTTTCTAAGCTATGGGCATTATAGAAGAAACCCATGCTCTTTATTCTCGCTCTATCCTGCATCATCTTGCGCCGTAGATATTGAACCCACGCTGTATACCTAGTAGGCATGCACGGCTGTAACAACCGATATGTCGGCATAAACCATTCCGCCAAAACTCCTAGTCCCAATCTTCATTCGCCCATTAGACCTCTTCCTTTTTATCTCTCCATAAAGACCATTTCCCAAGCATAAAACATAAAAAGACAGGAAGAGAAGAACACTCTCTACTACAGGATCAATAGAAGAACAAGTAAAAGAATTAAGACAAAAATCAAAACCGCAATACAACAACTGCTCAGCCGGTCCTCGTTCTTGCGCATCACATACTGCAGCTTTGCCATGCCGGTCTGTAGTCGACTGCCTACTCTGTCCGCCAGATCGTCCACCACCTCGAGCATCTCGTTCTGCTCTTCCAATTCTCTCCCCATGTCATCCGCCTGGCGGCGCAAGTTGCCAACCGTGTGAAACACCCCATCGAGATGTCTATCCTGCTCCTGCATAATCTCCATTTGCTGCTGCTGCTCAAACTCATTGTACGCATCGCCTCCGTCGCCCTCGCCGATAGCAAAGGAGCTTGGGTCTGGCAAATCGTTATTGCCGCCTCCGCCACCGGCGACATTCTTATTGAGCTCCTCGCGCATGTCTTGGATCTCGGCGCCAACCTCTTGGACAAGGCGCTTCCGGCGGGAGGCTTCATGATCGGAGATGCCGAACTGGGAGGGGTTGGACTCGATCGCCTGGACGGAGGCGACGAGGTCTGCTAGGTCCTCGGATAGAGAAGAGAGTGCGGTTTCGAGTTCGGCGCGGGCAGATGTGAGCTCGGGGGAGGTGGAGGATGAGGCGAGGGAGCGGATGCGAAGGTATGACGCGAAGAGGGGCCGGATGGATGAGATTTGGCTGAGGACATCTCTGTGAAGATATTGGGTTAGTAAAGCAATTGATCTATGCGTTTACAAGAGACTGCATACTGTTGGACCTGGAGGAAGGGGTCCTCCTCGTTTGTTGAGGACATCATCCTGATGACGGTTCAGGACACATGAGCTCGAGGCTCGGTGCGCCGGACAGGAACAGAACTGCGGGCAATGCGGTGTATACTAAGCTCGAAATCAAAGGAGAAAAGAAAGAGGAAAATTCGCAGAACAAATCGCTTTATTAATTCCACTTGATTGCTGAAGGATCATGCAAAGCTCGGGTGTTGAAGGATGACGTTGCAAGCAATCTTGCGACAGCGAACCAAGGTGTGGCTAAGGTGAGCCGAGTAGCGGTACGTACCGCCTCGGTGAGACACCAGATGGGCAGTGGCCCAGCGCCAATGATATGAGCCTGAAAAACTAACATATTTTACACGAACCTGGCAATAATCGAGACCGAAGCAGCATATCACGACTTTACGACTGTTTTAGGCATTATTTGTGAAGAAAAAGAGTGTGTTTGTTACTTGGATATCTGTCACTGGGAAGAATTTGTCAACCTCAAAAAAAATCAACTCCGACTTAGGTTGGGAATTTTTTTTTTTCCTGAACGATTCATTTTTCAACGCTGGAACTCCTCAACGTCAACACAACCCCTTTGCTCCAACAACCACAAGACACATTTTGCAAAAAGGGATCAGAGATATTCGAGACGTTTATTATCACATTACATTGGAACCATCCTCCCTATTCGCCCATATCATTCAGGGTAAGCTCGGTTTATCTCATTGAAACAAACAACCATGATACCTTCTCGGCCGCTGCCATGCAGCGAAGAATTCTCGACGCCGGAAGAGTATATCGAAGCTCTATTTGAATTCGCCCGGAACACAGATGTATTCCAAATCCTCTGTGGAGGCGTTCATATTCTCGACTTCTTCACCTCGGATCCAGGCATCTTCCACTCAGCGCTGCCAGACGAATGGAAAGAATTCTTGTTGTCGTATGACATTATGAAGACGCTTGATCTCTTTTTAAGGGATGATTTGGACGCTCTCAGCTTCGAACCGGGCCAAGAGCCACCGGAGAGCCTGATTGAGTACGCTAAAGCACTGAGGAGGTTCTCTCTGAGGAGAGAATTCACACCACGACAGCAGAAACTGCCGGTTCTACCAAAGTCAGTCTCTGTAGGGATGAAGCCCAAAAAAATCCACGAGGTTGTCAACTTTGCAGACTATGTTGATGCCCTCTCGGAGGACATTTCTCAGCAGACCGGGAGCGAGATATCCCACTTCGTGGACTTTGGCAGTGGCCAGAATTATCTTGGTAGGGCTCTCGCCTGCGAGCCTTATAACCGTCACGTTGTGGCTGTGGAAGGCAGAGACCACAATGTCACGGCAGCCAAGGTGTATGATTTGACTTCCAAATTAGCTGTTCGGCCCAAGATGAAGAGGAATAAGAAGATGTGGAACAAGGCATTGGAAACTCTCAGCCCAGAGGAGCAAAAGAATCAGGAGGCAGTACAGGCAGCTATCAAGCAGGTCGAGGGGACTGAAGATTTTGAGTTTCAGCCAATGAACATTCACGAGGCCGAGTACGTGGCTGAAGAAGGGAAAGGAGGTGTTCAATACATCTCAGGAAGGCTGGATAGTGGCGATCTCTCAGAAGTTATAGAGGGTATCCAACACAGAAAGCTCAAGGATGGATCTGAGGAAGACCTCAATCTAATGGCCGTCTCTATCCATTCCTGCGGCAACCTGTCACACTACGGCATTCGATCTCTCATCATGAACCCCGATATACGAGCTGTTGCAATTGTCGGTTGCTGCTACAACCTCCTGACAGAGAAACTGGGACCCCCAAGTTACAAGCAGCCCTACCTACGACCCAGTCTTCAGGCGCTCAACGGCAGAATTGTCCGCGAATCTGAAAAGCGAGATCCGCAGGGCTTCCCTATGAGCCAGCAGTTCTCGTCTTACCAAGGTGACGGCATTCGCCTCAACATCACGGCCCGCATGATGGCCTGCCAAGCACCACAGAACTGGACACGAGTAGAGAGCGAAGGCTTCTTCACCCGACACTTCTTCCGGGCTGTTCTGCAGCGAATATTCTTGGACCGTGGCGTGGTAACCCGCGTTTGGCACGATGATTCCGTCAAAGATGGCCAAGACGAGGAGCAGGCAAGCCCCTTTAACATGAGCACGAACCCCGTGGTTATCGGATCGCTGCGCAAAAGTTGCTACGGATCGTTCAAGGCCTACGTGCGGGGAGCCGTGGAGAAGCTGACGACGAGCACGGAATACAAGCAGTACGCGGCCGTGATGAACGAGAAGATGGCGGACATATCAGATGCGGAAATCGAAAAGTACGAGGCCATGTACGAGCCGCGGAAGAAGGAGCTGTGCGTGATTTGGTCGCTGATGGCACTGAGCGCGGCGGTGGTGGAATCGCTCATCGTGGCAGACCGGTGGACGTTCCTAAAGGAGCACGACGACGTCGTCAAGCATGCCTGGGTGGAGACGGTGTTTGATTATGGTGAGAGCCCAAGGAATCTGGTGGTTGTTGGAGTGAAGAAGGATGGTGTTTAATCAGGGTTCGGGGACGGACCGGGCGGTTCGCTTACATTGCGGCAGACGGCCCGGCTTGTGATGGCATCATGAACTGATGGGAATATATTGGGTGGCGTGTTTACCTTGGTGTTGTCCAGATTTGGGGACTTGCATCTGCCGAGAAGAGCAAGAAATGCCCTTTCGGTAGTTTATGCCGCTGGGGTTGCGCTCTTAGACACAGCATTTTGGGCTTCGTCGTCATCAATCTCTCGCTTCCGAGGCATTTAATAGTAGAGAGTTGCATTTGTTCACCCCCAGCGAGCTGATTATGCTTCCATAGGTGATTCTAGGCCTCCATGGCACAGCAGTGGAGGCAGCGCTACGTGATGATAGACAAGTACCTCTTACTTTTACGAAATGACTACTCAAACAAGCCAAAAAGAACTTGCATCAAACAAATGACGTGCAATAGGGCTCTCATAAATCGGAAAAGACGAGCGAGATTGCGATATGTTCCGAAGGGTCGGTTACCGCTTTCATGCGGTAGAGACGACGTGTGGAGTGGACAAAGAGTCTAGGCCAATGAGGTGGGACAAACACCGGCAGCAAAGACCCCGAAAATCATCTCATCTACCTCACGATTACAGCAGAGCCCCAGATATCGCCTACACAAGATACAGCAGAAGCGAGGCGGCGGAGAATTGGCTGAATTCAACCAGAGTGGCGCATCATCACTAATACACTGCCATGAATTGACGTGATGTTGTGGAAACGGCCGTTGAACAGAGGAGGATGGGAAAAGTTGACAGGTCAGCCTACCACGCAGGGCTGACATCAGCCCTCTGCCACATGAGAGGGAAACAGAGGAAAAAAGGAGAAGAGCGAGCAACTAAAGGGCCTTTTGATGGAAAAGCTTGCTTGCTTCAGCCCGGAGGTGACGCTGGTGGCGCGCCCCGTGGACCCGTGGACCGTCTGGCAGTGGCCGTGTCGAGGCGGTATTGGAATGGGAGAGGATGATGGCTTGATGAAATATATATCACCACACCAACTCGTCAGCCTTAACGCGGAGAGCATGGAGGATCACCATGTACATGCACAGCAACAGCAAACAGCGGCTACAACCTTGCCGACGGTGATTGGGCGCCCAGGCAGCATGAATCGTGGGAAAGGCTGAAACGCCGAGCCGTGGTCACGATGCCTTGAGGGTGCAGGCTAAGCGTCTTGTTTATGACATGGCGGAATCTTGGCCGCCAGTTAGCACTCGAGCTGAGAACCTCGGACCTGAACCGTGCCACCCATCATCCGCATTGCCATCACATCACCATACTCCAATCACCGCGGCCATTGAACTGCCGTCACCTGCGTCATGGGCCATGGCCGGGTCGAGCCCTCTGACTTGACAACGGGCCCTGTCACTGCAGCTAGACGCCTTCGTCTCTCCCTGCTTTTGCAACTTGTCCTGAACCTGTTCTTTGCGGCCGCCGTTGGTGCAAAAAGACCTCCGCACTGGATTTTGGGCTTGTCCCGTTCTTCCGCTGCTGGTTAGAGGGGACTGATTTGAGGGGAAAGAGAGAGAAGCGAGATGGACAGAGGAACTGGTGCCAGCGCATTGTACATACAGAAGAGCCATGCTATGCTAGTACTGGAAGAGGTTGCAGCAGCCTTAGTGGTGGTTAGCTTTGGGCTGCCTCAAGCTGGCATTTCCATTACCTTGGTAGTACAACCCAGCAGCAGCAGCCCGAAAGCCGCCGTCGTGGTACAGGTCATGTAACGGTATCGCCAGAGCCTCGGGAAACCCTTGCCCCTGCGCCCCAGGTTTTCCAGCATCTTGCCGGGCTTCAACGGCTCCCCGCTCCGCTCCCTGCAAGAATGCTCGAATGGGCTGTCAGGATTAAGGCGTTCCAGGGTCCTCCCTATTTCGTGTGGGGGGACCTGGTCTGTTCCCTGCTCGAGTGGCGTTTAACCCCCGTGGATGATGGTTGAAGTCTCGTCGCTGCCTCTGGACAATTGCGCTCCCATGGGAGTCTGTGGCATGATTGCCTGTCCAGGCCTTTCCATTAGATTACATTATTGAGTGCCAAGGTATTACCGCCTTTCCACTGCCCAAACCGACAGCGGCTTGGGAATTACGCCATTCATTGCAATACCCGGATGCGCTCGATTCCCAATGCTTCCAGCTGTTCGGGACGGGGGGGCTTGCCGCAGCTACGCCTCGCACGCCGTCGGTTGATATTTTACCATCCAATCCCTACGGCTCTAGGTCACTTAGGCATGTTTTCATAGGCATACATATATAGACGCAGCAGGTCCCTCGTTTTTTTGACCGACGTCTCGTCTTCCTATCATACCCACTAAGTAAGACCGTTATCAGTGCAAGCTCCATGTACCTCCGCCAAACGTAAACCTGCCTTATCACTTATCAGCGCCTTCCCCCCCGATTTACGGCGCTTCGACTGACTCGCCTCGATTTTATTTCCTTTATCGCGACAAAGTTTATCTTCATTTCTTTTGAAATTTTCCCCTCGGCTTCTTGCTCCTCTCGTCCGCTTGTTGTTCTTGATATTGCCGACAGCTTCCCGTGCTCCTGCGCAACCGCATCGTGCTCGCTCTCTGGGACTTGTACCAGCAGGGAAACCCCCCTGCTGACTTGTCCCAGGATTACGTCGGTTGACCTGCCGCCATATTGGAACTGGAGAGCCGAACGTCGATAACGACAGTTATTGCGCCATCTCGACAATTGCAGCACCCACGAGACGCCTGACAGCTATATCTCTTTATATAGTTTCCTTGTGATCCCGTTCTTCTACATCAGTGATTGCCTGCTCTTCGTCCTCGCCGGCGGAGGGGCTCAAAGTCACCATGAACGCTCAAGTCTCATTCCTTGTAAGTCGGCGCTAGCCTATCATGCTGGCCCCCCTCTTGCTCAACGTCCCTTGACGACATCTTCCTTTTCCTTTTCCCCACGACATTTGCGGTTTCTCTTTTTTCCGCATTGCAATTATAAACCCCAATTGATGCTGACTATGACTCACTTGCTAGGAAGGCACTTACACCCTCATCCACATACCCCTCGACCTTTACCCGACTCTCCTGCAACCTCTCCTTCGCATTCTCCTCCCACAAACCCAGAGCCTCAACTTCTCCCGCGATTCAAGAGAATACGAGCTCGAAGGCCTCACGGTAGATTACCAACATGGCTTCCTCAACATTAGCATCACTCCAATCGAGTGCTCCGTTGTCTGCCACAGCTCGTGGGCCAAGAACGTCTTCGAGCCTGCTCTCAATGCTCTGCCGAAACCCCTAAAAAATGCCGTCAAAGTGTACAAAGATACGTACATGATCCTCGCAGTAACAAGTGCTGGTTTGGATCCCGGCGGCCGTGTCATGGAGCTCAGCTCACCGCTGGCTTTCGCTGGGATCCCCATCTTTTTTATCACCACGTATTACTCCGACTTCATCCTTGTCCCCACCAAGGAGAAGCAAAAAGTCGTACAGGCTCTGCTAGCCAAGGGATTTGAGCTTTCAGAGAACCAGTCCAACTTTGTCAACCCGTCCATGTACGCCCCCAACAGCTCAGACACCGACTTGTCTCAGAAACCACCCAGCACCCCGCCCCCTTCCAACGATGATGAGCTTCAAGCAAGGACTTTTAAGCTTCTCTTGAAACACGATGTAAAGGCTCGTGTTGAGCCAGATCTCGAGCTTGTCCAGTGCTCCGGTCGCGAAATAAACCTTCTCACCAACGCTTACGGCCACCGGCCGTCCATGAGTCGGAAGAGTTCGGCCGACTACCGCCGCTCTTGGATAACCCATGTTGACACAAAACTCTATACGTGCATCGTATCTGCGCTCGTCTCGCAGCCTAGATTCTTGTCTCTCACCCTTGCCCAAGATGATCCCCCGTCTCTACTGCTTGACAAAACTCTGCTCCCCATTTTTGACGACTCACTAGTGGGCGACACAGAGGGCGTCTTGATTCCCATCTTCCTCGATCTAGGCGGTCTGTCATCCGAGTCCACCGGTATTGTCTGCGGTGTTGCCGGGCGACTAGTCAAGGGCACAGACATGGCCGAGAGTTCAGAGCTGTCCTATCTCTCCACCTCTCGCGCTGGCACTGTCATCCTATCAAGAGTGCAATCGATACGAGCACTGGAGATTTTGACTCCGTTGCTCACCAAAGGGTCATGAGACCGTATACTCCATGTATAATGTATTCCTAGGTATTTCCTGCGTTTGTCCATCTCCTTGGTTCTCGACTTGGTCGTTCCCCCTTGCGGAGCGACGATGGGAAGTCTAAAACAGTTGACACGATGATTTTTCCTTTGTTCCATTAGACCTATGTTAATATGAGAAGAATGAGAGGGAATGAAAAAAAAGGGGGGAGGCTTCTGGCTCAGGTGGTCGGTCGGTCGGCTGGTGTCTTTGGGCGTTGAATTTGTACAGAGCTGCGTGTGCCATTGTGAGATACCAACTTGTTTTTTTGCTCCTTTGGTCTACAGGGTCGACATGGGATATACATTCGCTTCTCTCACGAGTTGAAGAAATCTGAATAAATAATTTCAATGCAGTACCTATGCTTTGTCTCTTTCTATTTACCACGTCATTCGCCTCCAAATTCTCTGGGTTTGTGGTCATAGGTGACCTTCGATCCCATAACACGACGGCGCATAACACAAGTCTTACACCCCCCCTTTTCCCGGTATCTCCTTAGACAGTTCGATGCTCTTAACCAAACCCTCAAGCTGCCTCCTCCTGCATGAATTTCTCCAATCGTCGTGTCCTTATCGGCTTAATCACCCGCTTGTAAAACAAGATCGCTATAAGCAATGCCACACATGCGCCTCCAACAGCAGACAAATAGTACACCCAATCGGCAATTTTAGGCTTTTTGTTGCTCTTCTTGAGCTCCTCTAACCAATCCGGGGTTGAGGTGTTGTATCTGATAGTAGGTCTTGTGTAGAGAGTCTTGGGTTCTGTTGTATTGAAGCACGGGAGCCGATATGGGACGTCATTGGAAGCTACATAGTTGATATCGGCACAGACATAGAAAGTCTTGTTACCGAAGGGCAAGCCGTAGTTGGACACGTACTTGAGCTGCAGAGTAGCTGGATGACCTGGTCTGACGAGTGGTGGAGCGTCGGGCACGTTGATGCAGGTGATGCCAGCATCGACCTCGGCGATAGATACGTACTCCAAAAGGGGCTTGAAATGGGAATTGTTTTGGGGATCTTATATTTATTCGGCGTCAGCAAGAAGAATGCGAAGTATTGGAAACCATTTACGTACGCGAATAGGTTGAGACGCCCAGTCGAAGGTCCCAAGCCTTGGCTTGCGTCAAAAGAATCACGAACCCTTCATCTGTTGGCGAGTTAGGACGTATCAAGACTGTGAGTACCTCGTCATGTGAAAGGGATCATAAAGCATACGGTTTGTAAAGTTCATTCTGTCACTTGGATCCTCGGAAGATCCGCAAGGAGCGTTGTTCTCAGCAGCGTCGTCCCAGCTTCTGGGCGGTGGCCATCCAAAGGAGGCTGCGCCCATGAAGACTTGCGCGGATACCATGCTAGCAATGGCCACGATGGCCAACGATAACAAGATGAAGTGAGATATGTTGATGATAATAAAGGCTTTGAGCTGGTTATGGATAGTTGGTTGATAGACGTAGAGATGAAGTCGAGTAAGATGTGATTGACAAAATGCCTCCTCAGAGGGAGAGGGGATGTGCTCCTCCCTTATAGCGATGAACTCCTATCAGCGGCATTTACGCATCGTGCCTATCTCTTTACAGCAGTCACTTGTAGAAACGGTTAGAATATTCCAACTTTATTTCTACGGCCCCAACTCTCGTATCCATACCTAGGTGACGATTTGCCTTGCAATTTCGAGTCCTCTCTGAAACGAGGGGCGTAAACTCTCTTATCAGGGGCGCCTCTTGCCGTGACTGGAACAGAGATCCGCCATTGTAAGTACCTATAGAGCAATATTGTTAGCTCTTGTCTCAAAGATCTTCTACTTCAAGACTAGGGAAAGCGTTGTAGCAATACCCTCATTGAGTATCAAAAAAACTGGTGGATGGTCTGGCTTAGATATATGACTTCGAGTACACAGATATACCGGAGACTTTGGTTGAACGTGGCCTGATGTACTCGCAAGGTACTATGCGTATAGCACATTAATAAAGACACTTTCTCTGTAACCTAGCTCGCTTATCTCCTTTTCTGGATCGAGGTAGATCGAGATATGTGTCGATCTTGCTTAAAGCCCCTCCTTTTTCTCTGCTACGGGCCGAGCACATACTTCCTATTAAGGATCACGCCGACTAGCCCCGCTGGCAACAAAGTGTATATATACAGGAGTACGTCTTGTCGACGCAATCTCCTTCTCACCAAGAGTTACTTTGATAGCGCCACGTGGTTGTGGAAAGACGTGACGAATCAGGATGATATCGTATCAACTGCATGGCCTTGATCCTTTTATAATAGTAATTACATACCTAGGTAACGATCTACAGATATGGATGGATCTACTAGATGGAGATAGATCTTGTAAGTGGAGATTCCAAGTGACATAGTTGTTCTCAGGAGACCAGCAAATGCCCGTCACTGCTGAAGAAGGTAGCACTTTTTCTATGGTCGACGATCCAGAACATCGAAAGCATCGTACGGACTACTGGTTCAACTGAAATGTTTGCTTACGTCACTGGATGAGCAAGGGTTATCTAAAAACGTCATATATATATATATATCTCATTAGCAAGCATCGAAATGATAGCCAGTTCTTGTACCCATGTATCGTAAGTAGCCATTACAAACACCCAAACAAATGAGAGGGAAAACAAAATTTATCAGCCGTAAAAACAATCAGCATCTATCTCAATGCCATATCACCAAAAGCTCGATCCAACTGGGCGCCTTCGTCGCTGGAAATATCCCCACTACCGCCTTGGTCGCTCTGTCCGAGGGAAGTCGGCGGACTCGGCTCCATGTGAGGAGCTGCCCCGGTTCTCTCGGGCTCCAGCAGCCGAGCGTCACTGTCCAGCCATCCCGGTGCCAGCCGCCTCTTCTCGGCAAGTTCTCTCTCTCTTATGCGCTCCTCCAGCTCCCTCAGGTCCCTTTCTGCATCCTCCTGCATTTTCGTAATGTGTGCCGTTAATGCACGGCAAGATGCAATGATGTCGTCGGGATGCGCGGCATGCCCGGAATTCGATACCACGTATTTTGGTTTCGGCTGTGAAGAAGGGTCGTCTGACGCATTAGGGATACCCAATGGTGAGGGAGGAATGTTGGAAGGCATCGTCTTGTAGTTGTACGAGAGTGTGGTGGCAGTGGGGAGAGAGACGAAGGGCGATACGGTTAGAGGAACCTGCTCAAGCAGGTGATGTGCTCCTATGGCTTTTCTATCAGCATCTGTATTGCGCCTGTTTAGGCAGCACTGGACTGACTCACTGTTGCTGTGCATATTCTGTCGGTAGCAGATGGGACGCAGAAGACGCAACCTAGGCGAGATGCCGCCGATGAGTTTGATGGTGGCGAAGCTTCAGATATGGCCAGTGGTGATGATGAAGACGGAGGGGATCAAGGAATTTCCTGGAAAATAAAAGTAGGCGATTCAGAAACCTTTCGGCTCTTTGTGTTGATGATTAATATGGCGGATTGGGTATCTCAGCTGAAAGGAAGTTTGAAGTCTCGCCGAAATGCTGGGCGGGCGTGTCATCACTGGCCCCACGTCGCTATGCCAGGCTGGAGCGGTATCGATAAGGCAGCAAGATGCAGCTACCCCACGATCGCAGCTCTTTTTCCGCCTTGCACGCTCCCATCATCTCAAGCCCAGCGTAGTCCAGAAGCTCAACAGCCAGTCAATCATGCTGCCGACAACAATCCGATCACCGCCCGCAGAGGCAGACTACACGCCCCTGGCGGAGTACCAGTCACAGACGCCCGAATCCTTCACGGATGGAAAGCCAATTCTACATTACCATCTGGCCGGTGCAAAGGCAACACTCCCACGATCACAATGCGGCAGCCTGGCCGTCTTCCCCCAAGACACTGCTGCGGCACCCAACGACTCAAATGATGGAGAAGCTGCCGAGGAGCTAGTGGAGCAGACTGTTGATGTGTTTGCGACTTCAGAGTGCGCGCTTCGTCCCTGTTAGTTGAGGTTGGTGTAGATACTAATTGACCTGTAACCAGAAACTTCATCATCTTCAGCCACCAAGCCGAAGCCGGCGTATCGATCCCATACCCTTCCATCTCTATTCACGCCCTCAAATCAGTCGACAGCTCGCAAGCTGTGTGGATGCAGCTTGACCTCGCCGACGGTGGCGTCGACGACTCCGATTTCCAAACTGTCGAGCTGACCATCATCCCACCAAGCTCCTCCGAAGCCAATTCGGCGCAACAGCTCTATGAAGCTATGGCCAATTGCTCCGATTTACATCCCGACCCCGAGAATGAGGAAGACGACGACAATGAGTACGACCGCATTGTATTCGAGGGAAACGCAGGGCACGAGGCCATTGAGGGATTCACCGGCGTCCTGCGCGGTGTCACAGACGGTGGACTGCCTCCTCCTATGCCTGGTAGCGGCGGTTGGATCACAGCGGATAACGTGCATGAATACTTTGATGCGGATGGCAACTGGATAGGAGGAGAGGAGGAAGAGGAAGAAGCTGAAGAGCTTGGCGAAGGGGCTGGTAGAACACGCCCACGAGACGAGCTTGAGAAGGGTGATGATGTCAACGGACACGATTCAGCTGAGGATCCGGAGAGCAAGCGGCCAAGAGTAGACAATGGAGACGACGCGTAGGCTGCGGCTATTGCAAGTAGACTGGAGAAGTAATGGTATGGCGTTTAGGGTCAGAAAGGGGATGTGTAGTCTCCTGGGTCAATTTTTTCCCCCGAAAAACATGGAAGATGAGGAACAAGTGAGTACCACGTACCAGGTTACTGATATTTAACAAAGGAAAACTAAAGATTAGATTTAAACCGGGCCTAAGGCCATTACCAGCTAATATACATATTATATCTACCCAGAACTCCTTCGTTAACCCGTCCCCTATTATTCAACATAGAACCAAAAGTTGTGTTGCTCACAATTACATTAACATTAATGGCCGTCAGGTCTTCCAAACAAAAGAAAAGAACAGAAAGTATTACATCTTCAATACTGTTCGTTTATGCCCTCAGGCCTTTTCTCTTCGCCTCTCTTTCCGGCGAGCTGAGCAAAAACCCGTCTTTGTCATAGAGTTCCAAACTCTCTATACTCGCTCGATGCAAATCCTGCCGCTGCTCTGCCTCAATGAGCTCTTCCACGGGACCGAATTTCTGGGTCAACACCCGTGGGGGGATGCCCTCGATGATTTCGATGGTAGGCTTATAACCGAGGTTGAGGCTCTGCGTGTGCCGTTGTACCTGCATGTCATCAAGCGCTTCGTCGGGGATGCAGGACAATCGCAGTCCCAGCCCTTGGCTATCTTTGCCGTAGTAGCAGGTTTCTGAGCGACGATGCCGTGATCCTCGTGTACCATATCGGTGGGTGATCATGGACCTGGTGTTTCCGACGTTGAGGTAATGCTTGCTGCCAATGTTTGCAGAGCTAAAGCGGATTGACCGTGATTTCGCTATCCCACTGCTGCTACTCAGCGTGGATGGAAGAGTGGGCGAGTCGCCCTCTGCGGCAGCTGTTGAGGCCAAAGACGCGACACTATATGTGCTCAACACGCTGTTCATGCGACGCAGCTCGGCGATGGTGCTGCTCAGTCTAGGGCCCTGGATAGATCGGCGAGACGGCGAAGTCGCCAGTGAGGCCCCCTGATGATCAGCAAGGAAAGACTCCAAGGTGTAAACAGAGCTCGCGGTAGACGCCTGCCGCGTCAAGCCTCCTCCTCGCGACGGCGGCGAGAGAATCGTGACGATGCTCCCATCTGGGCCCGACATGCTAGGTGGAGGCAGCGGCAAAGATCGCCGAGGCGGCGCCGTACTCATCAGCAGAGACATGATCTCGCGCTCATCGTATGGCGATGACGACGACGACATGTCGGAGAACTTTGTCTTTCCCGTAGGCGTCGTAGGGCTGGATGACGCCGAGTCGCTGCTGTCGATCCAGTCTGCTCTGGCCGTCTCGTTCGCAGGCACCTCGGTGACATCAGAGTCAACCGACATCGAGACAAAGCTAATCTCGGACGGAGCCTGAGGTAGGTACGGAATCTGAGAAAAATCAGATCCATGAGCGCCGCCATTCGTTTCATATTCCATGGCTTGCGGTTCGAGCATCAGAGGAGACATCAAGCCCGCGTAGGCAATGTCTGGCTGTGAAATCGCCGAGATGGGTCTCAATGGCGGCGGGCATGAAGGCTCGCCCATCATGAATCTGGTCAAGGCTGTTGAGCTGAGCGTCTTTGCCCGCCTCTGCGAGTCGGCATTTATAGGACGCTGCCGTGCCTGCCAGCTTGGCCACCTCCTTGGCCCCCCCTTTTCCACAAAGGGGTCATCCACCTGTCTTTGCCTGGGTCTTTCTTCTTCTGGCTCGTTTGTGCTATACAGAGTGGATAATGAACTTGATTTATCGCTGTCGAGTGACATACGACGTTCGGGGCTTCTCTGTGGGGAGCGTTGCTGAATTGGTGGCATCGAATGATGCTGTACATGTGGGAGAGACTGCTGTGGATATTGCAGTTGGGAAAACTGCACCTGCGCGGCCTGCATCTGAGGAATCATCATCATCGCTATATGGGTTTTCGACCCCTGTGGGCTGTGCCGTTGAGGGCTGTGCCTTTGCGGACCTTTTGACTGGCCGGCCGTGCTTCGACTCCTCTCAGGGCTTCCAGTCGCCAGCATCCACTGCTCTTTTGACTGCCCTTGTCGAGCTCCTCTAGCCTTGCTGGGGCTTGATGTGCCTCCCGGAAGCTCAAGCTGTTTTGTTGCCGCCGCAATCAGACTGTTCGCAGCACTGCCAACAGTGCTTGTAGAGTTGTTCCCGCTTCTTGTGTAAGGGCCTCTCTTGGGCGGACTTCCCGCTACGTGTATGCCGCGGCTCGATCTCCCTGATGAAGCGGTGTGGTGGCTGTGGTGGCTTCGAGGCGTCTTTGTAGGCGATCCATTTACAATAGATGATCCGGGTTCCTTAATAGGAGACTGTGATTTCCTCTCAGTGAGCCTCATCTCTGTGGAGCGCAAGATGCCCTTGAGATTTGAATCCGTTACTGAAGAGCGTATATGTGCTAGCGGAGGAGCTGATATCTTCATTGGCCCAACCGGCACAGCTCCATTTGGTACAGCATCAGGACGCAATGAAGGGTTTGACACTGAAGTCATTCTCGGCTCCGTCTGGCTGCGTGGCAACCATCTCGGCTGCGGATGTTGCAAAGGCACCGCAGCTTGCACTTCCACCTCCTCTGGCACTGCGTCAACGTTGGGCAGTGTTGGCGCCATCCCAAGCCAACCATCTCGCCCAAACCACGACTCTCGCGCGTTTCTCTTGTTCCTCGCCATCCTGGGTCCGTGCATATCGTCCTCGTCCACCCAACTCCTCGATCTCTTCCTCCCCCTCGAAACGGTTCTTCGCCTTTCAGGCAGTTGAAAACTCTCATGTGTCGGCAGCTGAGGCGGTTCAGGAGGTGCAACGAACGAAAACCGGCTGGAAAATCGACTAGATAGCTTGCCGAATGATGCAGACCCCAGAAGCCGCCGCTTGGTCAATCGCGAAGACGACGGTGGCAGAGCAGAGTTGTGAGCCGCCGCGTATGAATAAACCATCTGCGGTCCGGGACTACGGCTCTTCTTCACCCACCAGACAAGAAGCAAGCCAACCGTCGTGAAGAGCAGGACGCCACCACAAAGTGCAATGGCGAGCAGCCATCCCAACCCTATGGGATGATCAGCTTGCTCGGGATCCCGCCGAAATATGCGCGTCGCGTAGCTCATGTTTGCTGTTTTATTAGTAGTTTCATTCGGATTCCACCTCTTTCATCTCACGGCAGCTTCGCAGGCGAACTGGGATCCTGACAAGGAGCACGCTCACGTAGGAGTCAAGAAGCAGAGAGGCTCAAAATAACAAGAGCAACTACGTTTCGGGGCCACCGCCTTTTGTCATGATTTCTGGGCAAATAACATTTCGAGCAATGCAGACGGTCATTGCTTGCAGTTTGATTGTTGCTGCACCTCAGGAATGCGTTGCCTGGCGTGATCCATTCCACTCAGACCACCATCCGCCTGACCCTCCTCTCAAAAGCCGGCAATTTGAGACTTGACAACATGTCAAGCATGCGGTGTGTCCAAAAATACCCGATGATGCAAAAATATGATAAATAAACGGCTCTGCCGCTATCCATGGCCGTGACCGTTGCGACACATCCTTTGGGCCTTCAAGGGAGGGCTGTCACTCTCGATTCTCTACTCCGTGGCAGTCACGCGCGACATGGGAACATCAAGGTCTAAAAAAAGAAGAGGAGAAACACCAAGCCTCACATAAATTGAATAAATAAAAATTAAATCTCACTTATTGATTGTCACGTAATACATCTGCCTGCGCAGCTCTCGTTAAATCTTTTGATGCCAAAGACTGGATAAACATCTTTTTTACCCTATGAACAAAGCCAGCAGCCAAATGTTGATTCAATCATGCCACACTAAAGCCCCTAACTATCTGGATCCTGTCCAGATTCACAAGAAAATCTTTCAAAAATGACGAAAAAGGAGGATATCAGCGTAATCTATCTTCTGCCACAAATCTAGAGCTGTCCCTGTCCCTGTACATGGCCGTGGCCATGACCGTGGCCGTGACCGTGAGCGCTGCGTCGGTGCTTGGCAGGACGAGCACCAGTTGCGGTAACAGTCACAGTTGTTGAGGGCTGAGGCTCCTCAGTAACGGTAACGTATGCCTGCTTCCAAAGAATTTCGCTGACAACGTTGCCAACAGTGATGAACTGGGTGCTGATGACCGCGCCCTCGGCATTAACAGCCGGTCCAGCTGGGGAGCCCGTGACTGATGGCTTGTTAGACTCAACAGCAGCAATCTGCATGCCATATCCGTTATCTGTGGCAGCCTCCTTAAAGACCTGTCCGGGGAGAGGAGAGCCTTTCATGGGCGCAGTCACACCAGGCTGGTAGGGCAAGGTAGGAGCAGAACCGCCCTTGGTGGGAGTAGCGCTGGGCTTGCCGTGACCATGTCCAGAGCTAGGGCTGGAGCCGCCGACCTGGTCACCTCCAGGGAGCTGGTTGAAGGGGCCGTTGCCAGCTTCGCTCCGCAGGTGCGCGGGCATATCCTCCAGGTGGCACTGTTCGGCAACGCTCTGGTCAACAATGTTGAAAAGGGGGCAATCCTGAATGAGACCAGAGGGGTTCGTGCACGTGTTAACGGCCTGCTGCAAGAAGTCCTCTTCCCAACCCATGATGAAATCACCGTGGAGTGCGTAACCTGGCGAGCGTGTCAGACAGCTTTACTTCACTAAATGGTTCACATTTTAATCTTACCAGTAACGTCTCCATTGGACATGACAAATTGTCCATCTCGGCCAGCATAGGCATTAGTGTTCCAGATGATCTCGAACAGCATGCTGGGAAGACGCTCAGGATAGCCCGGAGGGCAGTTGCCGGTCATGACAAGGTCAGGGAAAGCAACGTGGTCCTTGTGGTTGGGGCTGTCAGTCGCATCACCTCCCTTCCAGCAGGACGGGAACATGATCTCAAAACGGATACCATCAGCGCAGTTGGCATCGAGGTACGCCTTATCGGGCATGAAGTGGCGGTACAAGGTGCCCTCGGGAGCCTTGGCGTAGTTGAGGCAGTTGAAGCCGATGGCACGCTGAGCCAGGATTTCTTGGGTAGTTTGACCCAGTGAAGCCCAGAGAGACTTTGCCGGATCAGGCTGAGTTGGATCACCAGCAGTGTAGGTGCGGCGGTTAGTGTCGCCGGCGACCATGCGGAAATTCGTAGGGAAAGCCTTGATGTTGTCTCCATAGAGAAGGTAGTATCTAGTACGCCTTATTAGCTGACCTGTCTGGAAGATGGCGGCTTTTGAGTCTACAACGAGGTCACTTACGCAAGCATACCACCGACTTGAGGAACCAGCTCGAATTGCTTAGTCTTGGCGTCTTGGAAGTACAAGGCTGGGTGCCAGTAGGCAGATTTATCTTGCGTCACACGACATGATGTACAGTTGCCGTTGAGAAGCTCGGTGGTACCAGACGTTTCGGAAAAGCCTAGAGGAGTATGTCAGCAGCAATATCTAAGAGACAAATCTGAATTGGGGTCAGGGGATGAAGACTACGTGAGTCGAGGGCCATTGATCGAAGGAGACAGTGACATATCTCACAGCAATCGGTCCCTTTGGAGATATAATCAAATCCAACAGTCCTAGAAGAAACAATATTACTCACCTGACGATCCGTGAATAGCGTGCATGTGAGGCGAATCCGCACCGGGGTAAACGACCGGGTCCATTCGCGCGAGACCAACACGTCCCTGGCACTCCATACGCCAGAAAGCGTCGGCAACGGCGGCCAGACCCGCGGTGACGGCGACTACAGACTTGCGCATTGTGATAGATGCGTATCCAACCTCAAGGTGTTGCTCCAGGCAAGACTGATATCAAGAGTTGGTAAGGAGTGGACGACGCAACGAGGCTGTCTGAACAGAGTGTTAGCCGTTTCTGCAGGCCGCAGGCTATGGCAATGAACGAAAAGAACAGAAATGAGAGAATTGATGAAAACGAGAGAAGTGAAGAGTGAGATGAGAGAGTGAAAACATATATGATGGAGAGGAGAGGCTGCAACAAGAAAAGGGAAGGCGGTCCAAAGTCCTCAGTTATGGGAGAAGGTGCGGCAGCGTCACCAGTCCAATGAGCAATTGGCAGGAAGCAGATCAGACGTAGCCTCAACCGCAAAGTCCGTCACTGACGGAGATTTTTCTGATAACTCTGCATCTTCACAGAATGATGCAAAAAAACATATAGTGTAATCGACCAATTCCCCCCGTCGAGTAGCAGCTCGTCGAGGAGCCAATCGCTTCACTGTGGCTCGTTGCATTTGCAGGTTCCCTGCAGAACGAGGTAGGCCAGACCTGTATGCGCTGCTGTGTATATCCTCTCGGAATGGCCCTGCATAATGCCAAACAAAACTGTCAAACTGCAAAATAGGCTTACCAAAGTATCGTCGTTGTCGTCAAACCTTCCCAAAAGAGAAAGGGTCGAGGATGATGCACTCTTGCACAAACTTGTGAAAGACTTTATCTCCTGGGCTATTTTCCCAGCCTCACGAAACTGCTCCTAAACTAAGGATTCCAGAGAAGAGTCCTCAGTTGGTTGATCACACGTGTCCAACCACCAGAAAGAATTCCTCGCAGCAAGTCAGTGGCAGTGTACCAAGTACCAAAGTTTCCGCCTTGCGACACAGTCGAAACGGTCCGATGGGAATCGATACAATCGGTGGCGAGTTGAGCGAACGGTTTATCGATGCGCAAGGGTTGCCACCTCTGTCAGTACGAAAAACGCAGAGAAAGATCGGATAACAGCAATATCCAAAGAAAATCAGAATAATCGAATCCCAGAGTATGGGAGGAATGTGTATAGACAATAGAAAGAAGGAATGTACGTTGGTCGGCCGAAAGGAATGGTAAAGAATGTGGGAATGTTGCGCAAAACACACGACAAAGCGTAAAGAGAAAGGAGCAACACGAAATGAGGGATGAGAGTGGTAGTGGTAGTATACGGGGTTATTAAGGGCGATCTTGCTATCGACAAGGGATGGGGGACTCCAGGTCCTCGCGCCAATACCGATGTTCGAGTGGTTTGGTAGGGAAGAAAGGTCAGGGACAGGCCCCCAGGATCGATGAAGAGAATGGGAGAGATGGTGGATGAGACCAACAACAGGCGGCACGGCGCACCGACTGCCTCTGCTACTGCGCTATACTACAACTACCATCGCGGCCAAGGTTTTGAGAAGTGCAATAGCCGGCTATCAGGCATCTCTCGTTGGCCATCCGCCGGGGGAACACTAAAAGCAGATTACGGAGGATCAAGGGTCGACAGAGCACCCCAACAACGGACCAGTCAGGCCTCGTTCTGGATGGCCCGACTTTCCAAACGCGGCAAATTCGAATAGCCACGGTCACTAGCAGGGGTCACGATGAGGAGCATCTCTGCGATGAGAGGGGCGTTGAAACTTCGCTTGCCGTGAGGTATTTGCCTGGGTTTGCTCTGGATGAGATGATGTAATGACTCTCTGAGCAACTGATTGGCCAAAAAGTCCAAGAAATTTAGAGACATGGAGTTGAGCAGGGATACTCATGTGCCCCTGGGAAGGTTTTTTTGTCCGACCCGCGTCATGATACCACTTCAAGGACCCTTACTCTGTCGACTGGGATTTCATGAGCAATGTATTCAGCCGGCATCAACGCAATGCTTAGCCCCCTACTGCTCGCTAGGGAGGCTCTTGATGGGGAAGATGGACTCAGATTATTCCGCCTCCTGAATCCGACTTATGCGCATAACCGTTGAGGTGAGTTTAGACCCTCTCAACCTGCACCAGGAACAAGGCTTACGGCTGAGAAACAGTCGACGCTAGATTTCTGCCGAACGAACGCCAACCGCTGTTCGACATCATAGCGCCCTTGTGGTGCGGCGGTCTACGCCTGTGGTTAATTACACATCTTATTCCAACCACGAAACAAGCCGGAACTTTGCACAGCTTCTGGCGTGTATGACGATGCCGGTGGAGCCTCAGGCCTTGCGATGCGTAAATAGGCTGGGGGGGGCAAGTATGTCGCTTCCCGTTCATCCCAATTTTGCATCGCAGAACCCGGAAAGCACAACAGTCGGTCAAGCCGTGGATTCGTGGGACCGCCGAGGGCCAACCATGCCTGTACTCGACAGCAAACGAAATGCTGTGGTTCATGAGTTGCTCGCCAGAACATGGACCATCGAAAGAGCGAGCACCGTGCAGCAGGACAACCATCATTTATCCAAGGTCGCCGCAGCGCTTGTTTGCTGCTTTCTTGCAACGGGATGGCGGAACACTCGCATAAGGCCATGGATTTTCAGGGGCGCCAAGATAGAGGGGCCGCTACAAGTGCGCATTGCATTGCATTAGGGAGACCCTGCGGTCATTTGAAACGGTTTCATCAGCACAACTGGCCAATCAAACACCCGAATCTGCCCCAAAGCAGCAGCCCCTGCTTTTTGTGCCTGGCGGGTAGGCGAAACCAACACAGAAATGAACATGGAAGCGATGTCCTGTGCAAGCTTGTTTGCTGCTCCATAGTGGTAAATAAGGTGCAAGGTTCGCTATGAGGTGTACAGTAAGCCTCTGTGCTCACTGGCGGGAAATCAGCTAGGCTCGGTGCAGCTGCCTCCTAGTTTGTCTGTTTGAGTCTCCCTCTCCTCATGGATTCAGGATGAGGGGCTATGACTTGTTTGTTCTAGAAAGCCGGGTCCCTATAACGGCCCCGTGGAGTACGGAGTATTATTACAGTATACACGTACCTTTATTGTTCGCCTGCTGTACAATAAGCGAGGCAAGTCCGGATAGTATACCATGATTACAGTATACTATCTGCCCGTATTTCCAGATTCATCTCATCTCGCTGGCTTTCGGTACGAGTCGTTGTGTGTGCTTTCGAGCTATCACCGAGACTTGGCGCTATGCAGCGGCCTGTGAATGTTCTACTCTTAGATTTCACAAGTAACAACACACCTCCACTAAGGAGTGAGGCTGTCAACAAGTATGGGTACATGGATGCTCTCTCAGGAGAGCTGAAATATAGACCGGCGTTTTTCGTGATGTTGATTGGATCTAAGGGGGCCGCAGCTCGCTAAGATCACTAGTATCCAGCCGGGTTGTTTGGTTTTAACAGCCTCTGATCCGATGACGAAATCGACAATGTTTTGGTATGCCAGGAATTCATATCCGTATTCCGATTTGATTTACTAGCCCAACGAAGAAAACGATCGGCAAGTGATTCGCGATCCCAAACACGTTATTCGCTAGGGGGCAGCAGGCATTATAGCATTCAGTACGGAGTACTCCGTATGAAGTACCACTGCTTGTGCATGCAGGTATTACGCTCTGTATAGGCACTGGATATAGTACCTATATGCTCACATGTAAATGGTACGAAATAATTCATTTAAGAGATGCGCAAGTATATGTCAGTTCCATGAAAGGGTAATTTTGCATTACTCGTCACCAGCTTGGATGTCTCGGGGAGATCAAATGGCCTGATACTCAAGGTATATAGACTGATTTAAGCCTTCGAGGTAGCATCAAAGAACATATCCGACGTGGTGTAGTGGCTAGCATACCGCGCTTTCACTAGAAAGTCCCGCGGCGATCCGGGTTCGACTCCCGGCGCCGGAATTCATTTTTTCCATTTTTTTCGTTTTGCTCATTTAGCCCCAGCCTACCCTATATTCTTCTTGACTGTTATTTTTAGAGAGTGCACACAAGCCAGAATTGCATGAGAAGTCGATCTTTTCGATGCGTGACTGATGTATTCTTATTTTCCCTTTTGTATATAGTCCGTCCTATGCATTGCTGTAAGGCGGTCAGGAGGGCAATAATAATAGCAGTTGCGATAAAGTGGCAGCTTGGTATCCCATGTAGGGAAATACTTCCAATACGACTGGACCAATCAGTTGCCTTTCCTATCATTGCGCTGAAAAGGCTACCCAGCATATAGATCGAGGCACAGAATACGGAATTCCCAAATTTATTGCGTACCAGGTGCTCATTTAATGTGAAACTTATATACTTCCGCGCAAAGTGCATTTGCTGTCATGAACAGGGTCATGTGACCCGGAGCTGTAGCGATTCGTTGCAGTGCCAATGACACCAACCAGCCCCTGTCTTTTGCAGCTGGCGGTTCGCGCACTCCAGATAAGTATCCCCTCTATGGGGCCAAGCGAGCGATAGCCTCAGCCTCCAGAGCGACAACGGATTGGCTATGCCTGACATCCTGCGATAACCAACAACACCGCCTTCACCATGAATGACCTGTCCGGACTCGATTGGTCTTCGGACGCATCGGCTAACAAGCCAAAGCCGATGGCTGTCAACCCTTCTTATCCTCCGTTTCGATCATCGCCGTCTCCCTTCGGATCGGGACAGAGCACGCCCCTGTCGGCTCAGAAGCCAAACAGCCCAGCGCCCAAGGCGGTTCCTGCAAAAGCTGCGCAAGATAGCTTCAGCAACCTGAGCTTTGGCCTGCCGAAAGCCACCCAGAACCTGTCGCTGGCCGAGAGACAGGCGCAGCTTGAAATCGAGAAGCGGAAGAAAGAAGAAGAGAGACGGAAGCTGGCAGAGGCGCAATTTGGAAATGGCCAGCACTGGGACTCTCTAGGATCGCGAGGCTTCACGCCCAGCCCGGCGCCCCAACAGCAGAAAGTAGCCGCCAAGAGCGCGGCAAACGACGACGACGATCTATTCGCTGCGTTCAACAGAGACACCAAGGTAGACAATGCTAGCCATTATCCTCCACCCCCGCCAGACAAAAGCAAGCTTGACTTGGGCGACCCCTCAGCATGGTGCGACCCTAAAGCATGGGTTATAAACGCAGCCTCTAGCGGCGGCGGCGGTTTCAAAGCAGAGGACGATGACCCCTTCGGACTCCACGAGGTGAAGCCTGCTGCCTCGAAAGGAGCTGGCCGAGGCACCACCACCAGCGCAGACGACTTTGACTTTCTGGGAGATCTTGGACGACCTGTGGACGAGGTTCGAAGAGAACAACAAGCCAAACAAGAATCCTTCCAAAGCGAACCAGGGAAGCCCATCGAAGACGACTCGAGCTCTTCCGACGATGACGAACCTGCGGAGCAAAATATTGAGCGAGTACCCAGGGTGAATAAGGATCCCTTTGACAAAGCGGTTGCGCAGCTTGTCGATTATGGGTTTACACCCGAGCAGGCCAGGAGGGGGCTTGTGGAGAGCGGGACAGGTTTCAATGCCCAAGCAGCTGCCAACTGGCTCTTGGACGAAGCTCACAGGAAGTCCAAGGAGGCATCGCAATCTCGGAGTTCCCAAGGCGGAAGTTCTGCTGCGCCAGGAAGCCAAAACCAGCGGAGCGACAGCCGGTCTCCCGCCAGGGGTGAAACTGATTTTGCAAAGACGGCTGCCGCCATGGGAAACACTTTATTCAAGTCTGCGAACACGTTGTGGAAAACTGGGCAGAAGAAAGTGCAGCAAGCAGTTGCGGAATTACAGCAAGATATAGGAACAGACCCAACCCAGCCGAAATGGATGCGGGATGCTCAACAGGCGCGGGGACAGCCGAGACCTCAAAAAGCTGACGCTGATGTCACGGACGAGGCACTTATGCTCGAGTCTGGCGGTAGACCGCAACCAGCCAGGAGTAGTAGTAGCAGTCGCCATGCTGTAGACCCAAGAGCCGGTCCTCAAATTTCGCGAACATCATCACCCGCCCAGTCCTCGGGAACACAGAGTCGAAATAGCCCTGTTCCACGATGGCAGCAGCAGACAGCGCCGCCACCAATGATTCCGGATGCGAGATCAAGACTTAGCAGACTAACGGCCGATGATGATGACAGCTTCTCCAGCTACGTGAGTGCTAGCAGAAGAAAGAAGGCGAGCCCGGCACCGGAGCCACCAAAGAAGACTGAGCCTGAACCCGATCTGTTGTTTGGTTCACAAGCGTCGAAACCATCACAGAGAACTCCATCTCCGGCAACCCAGAGACCAACAGCAGCTACCCCAAGCCGACCTCAGCCAGCACCAGCGCCTGCACCTCCGCGCAAAGTTACACCTAGACCTACAAGGCAGATTCCCCAGATCAGCCCCGAAGCATTACAGGCATCAACAAAACATAGACTACAGGGAACCACGCACTTCAAGCGTGGTGATTATGCTGCGGCTCACGCGTCTTACTCATCGTCTCTAACCTCCGTCCCTTCTACGCATCCTCTGATGATCATCCTGCTTACAAACCGTGCTTTGACCGCCCTGAAAACCGGAGAACCCAAGCAAGCAGTGACTGATGCAGACGAGGCACTGAAGATTATTGGGCCTGGGAACGGCCAGGGAGAGACTGTGGCTGTAAGAAATGAATCCGGACAGGAAGAGAGTCGTGATATGAAGGAGCTCTACGGCAAGGCGCTGAGCAGGAAAGCAGAGGCCTTGGAGCAGATGGAGAAGTGGGCAGAAGCAGGCGCTGTGTGGAAACAATGCGTCGAAGGCGGCGTTGGCGGACCTACCGCCGTCAAAGGCCGCCAGCGATGTCAGGATGCCCTCACTCCTAAACCCAAGGCTGCCCCGAGACCTGCGGTGAAGCCTCGACCTCAGCCAGCTGCCAGCCGAGCACCACAGAAAGACTCGGAAGCTGTTACCAGGCTACGTGAGGCTAACCAAGCCGCCGCCAAAGAAGATGACGAGAAATTTGCCCTTGCGGATAAGGTAGATGCCAAAGTATCCGCCTGGAGAGATGGCAAGAGGGAGAATCTGCGGGCACTGCTGGCCAGTATGGACTCAGTGCTCTGGGAGGGCAGTGGATGGAAGAAGGTTGGGCTGCACGAGCTGGTAATGGCGAACAAGGTCAAGATTTCGTACATGAAGGCCATTGCAAAGACTCATCCTGATAAGGTAAGAGATTTACTTGGTATTCGGCTAAAATGACTGAGAAACATGCTTACCTGAGTGTTAGCTCCCACAAGACGCGAGTACCGAGGTTAGACTTATTGCTGGATTGGTGTTTAGCACTCTGAACGAGAGCTGGGACAAGTTTAAAGCGGACAACGGGCTATAAAGTGGAGTGACTTATTTGACAGCGTTCTTAGGCAAAGGTGGGAGCAGCAGTAAAGACGGCAGAGGGGCAGTTTCCTGCTGGCTGATGACGACGACGGCAACGATGTTGATGATGGACGCACAATGATTTCAATGTTTACCCAAATGATTTCTCTTCTCTTTGGATTATCTTCGCCATACGCCATGCTAGCCCCCAATCATACATACATATATGTTTATAACAAATACAATAGAAGACGCAACCCTGCCCGTGAAGAGATAGTTCCATCCAGGCTACATCATGCATACTCGTCTCCGCCTCTATCCGCGCAGTCTTACTCGCTTTGTGTTTTATTTGCCGCAGAAGAGAAAGCTCAAGAGAAAACCCGCTCTCACAAACCCAACATGCGCCGAACACCGTCGCGGACCGTCTTTTCGTACTCATCACGACGCTCGCGCCACATCTTGGCGGCCTCGACATTTGCGGGACTCTCATCGTTGGGCTCGGCCAGCATGCTCATGACGGAGATGAGGATCTTCTCGACGGATTGAATGGGGGACCAGCGCTCGGAGGCGTGCTCGTAGTGGTTGGGGTCGTCGCCAGGGGGGTGCAGGATGGAGATGCAGACGAGGCCGCTGGGGTAGACTGGTTCTTTTTGTTAGTCTTCTTTTCCCACTTTCTCTTTAATACCATGATTATCTCCCCTTTCCTCTTCCGGCATGAAAGCTGCAATGTGAAGATGACACGGGATTGTACACTTAGAAGACATACCGTTTGGATGCCACATGTCGGCGAGGAACTTCATCGTGGGCGGCGCCAGCGGATAGTCCTTGGGAAACTTGAGCTCGGCGGGGAAGACGCCGCCTTCAAAGGGGGTTCCCTCGGGGCCCTGGATGAGGCATTCCCAGTGCAGCAGGTCGTCCTCGGAGACGGGGCCGGCGGTGATGCCTTCGGGCGGGTTATTTGTGAGGGCGCGGTATTCTTGGAGGAGGCGGCGGTGGGCGGTGGATTGGGCCATGGTGGGCGGATGGCCGTTTGTGCGAAGAGAAAGAAGAGAGAAAAGGAAGGGTTTGATTGGGAAAAGGGGGGGAATTAGAGATGTGGTCCTTGTCTTGTGTTGTCTTTCGGTGGGTTTTGGGATTGTTGATGTTGAGAAGTTGGAAGGTTTGGGTAAAGCGGCGGAATCGGGGCCGCGGCCTGGGTGGAACTTGGGCGGCGGGGCGTGGCGGGGTTTCGGGGCGTTGTGAAAGTTGGGGGAAGATTTGTGGCGTCGTTTTTGTTGTCTGCGCCACAATAGGGGTCGAGTATAAGAATTGGTACGTACTGTACTTGGACGGGCCGTTGTAGACTACCTATGACGACTGCATTCCTGTGGCTAAATGAAGTGGTGCAAGAGGAAATAAATGACTTGCAGCTTTTGTTTCGTATTACATGTGGCATGGAGGTATCGGCTAAATGACGTTGTTAATGAGGCTAAGAAGCTGAGTCCAGATTCTCTTCAGGCATTTATTACTCTGCATGAACGAAGTAGAAGGTCTATCAGCTGAACATGGTACACAAGGAGCGGAATGATTCCTCGAGGAATGGCCTTTTGTACTGCATGGAACAAGGCAATGATGGACGCACTCGATGCTGTCCCGTGAAAATGGCAGCTCGTATATGCAGCGGTACTTTATGCGAAATGCTACCACACAGCTGGCTGCATGTCTTGATGTTTGTCTCAGGCGGCGATACGAGGCGGCTGAGAAGAGTATGACATGTACGCCTTTCGGTTGGAGCCGTGGATTTAGCTGTCCTTTACTATATGAGAGCCCCTTCTCACCGTATTACTTTCGAGATATTTTCCATCTTTCATTTTGTAAACCAATTGTTACAGTGATATACTTCAAGTCAAGTGATTAAACTTGAGAACATGAGATTCTTTACCCCCCTCGCCATGCTCCTTGTGGGAACAGCTGCTGCTTCCCCCTTAAAAGATCGCCAGGACGACTTGGATTGTTACGACATTTGTTTCAATGGACCCCTGCCTTGTCCATCTAATAGAGTATGTACAATATGAAAAGAAGCAAGCAATGCTGTCTACGCCGCGATGCTAACGAGATATCGTATAGATCTCTCAAGAGATTGTGAGTTTCCTTCTGACATCACCTTTTTTACTGTGGACATAGCTAATGATTATGATTAACAAGAATGGTTGCTGGACCTGCTGCCTGGTGTAAAATACAACAGTTTTGATCGAAGCTGGAGACTGCAGTCTTCAAAGGTTCTTCAGTATAGGCACTCAGTTTACATCAAGCTACATTGTCCTCTTAAGTTACATTTTCTCATCAAGTTCCTTGTTTCCACAGTACAAAGCTCAGTGAATCGTCGCAATTCCATAGCGCCACAGTTACATCCATTCAATCCACACACATCCCCTTCCTACATCACACAGCAGTCTGGGCTTCCAGCTTCCACCACCGGTCCATCAGTTGCTTCTGCCATCGATCCCTCGTCAGGCCAGTACATGAAATCAGCCATACTTCCCCCACACCTCTCAAACGTCTTTGCCATCGTCTTCAGGAGCTCTCGGTCCTTGCCGTCGAGAGCACGCAGCGAAAGGAGCAGCCTTTTATCGCCTTGAATGGAGCAAGAGCTATCACCGGCTTCATTGCGACTATAAAGAGCTCTGATCATGGTGCTGCCGCTGTTTTCAGCCTCTTTTTCGAGTTCTTCGAAATACTGTAGAATTCGTACTGTAATCCATAGGTAGTTGAGGCTTGAGAGGGGACGAAGACCACCACAAATGTCGCCGTGGATGTCGTTCCAGAGCGTGCTCAGTATCATCTCCGCGGTGAATTCTCCGTCTCTAATTTCTTCGTCGTCGTTCGCCTTGCTTGGCACCTTGCAGGTATTACGGAGCCAGGAGAGCTGCGTAGAAGCGCAATCCGGTATGCGCAAGGTCATCCGAGCCATCTCTGCCCGTCGTTCATTCTTCAATTTGTCAAATAACGGATCAAGCGCCATTATGAACATATAATCTATGCCCGCAGCGTAACTTCGCTTGACTAATTCCGTTTCCTCCAGCCGCCAAGGACATCTTGCTGAGTTGCGAATGCGCTTCGTTTGGGCGAGCCGAATCATCCCCAGAGCCGACATTGGCTCGATATCGGAATCTGGGATTCGTGATGGATCCCAATCGGCCTCACTGTATAGAAGCAGGATCGACTTCTGCTTAAACAGACGTAGAATGACGAGTTTTAGAAAATCGCGGGTATGGGTGACTGAAGATGCTGCCCGGCGATTTGCTCGCTCTTGAAGGAATTCTTTGCGAGTCACCATCTTGTGGACGTGGGATTGAAAAGAGTCGACAAAGTTGTCCTTGGGGCGTTTCCCTTCCAAGTAGAAGCTTTCAGAGAACATGATGTCCAAGCGAATGTACATCTCTATAGGTCCTTTGAGATATCCCTTTTGCACAAGCATGTTGTGTAGATGAAGGACAAGCATTGGCTCTCGCATACCATCCCACAGAACCATGATGCTCCGATAAGTGATCTCGAGCCCTTCTGCCAGACCAGCGCCGCAGAAAAAGGGAGAGTAGTCCCAAACACCATTCGGATTTGTCGACGAGAAGCGAGAAGGTAGTACGGCTGATAGCTGGCGGAAGAGATCGCATCTTCCCAAAGCCTCGTTAAATTCAACACTGAGCTTTTCAAGTATCCCTATGCAGTCCATTGTGTGCTCAAATGACCTGCCACTATTCTGGAAGCGCAGGTAGAACGACTTGAGGTTATACGTGCCCTGGAAGAATCCGTGGCCCGAAGACGCCCAGCTCCCTCGGCCGAGAAAAATGTCCAAGTCACGTCGCGGTTGAAAGCCATGCGCCGGCTCGCTGATGATGTGGCCCTTGACACCGCTGATTGCCCATCCGCGAGAGATGGTCCAGGCATCCATAATGCACTGAAGATAAAACACGAGGTGAGGTGGGATTTTGTGGCTAAAGGCAATGCCGGGTTTCTGCATCGCAAGCGTCGTTATTTGTGCGGCGAAGTCCATCAAGCCAAACATCCTGTAATGAGATTTCAACGGGCCATTGTTTGACCAGTCCACATCCTCTAATACAAAGCCTTCTCCCTTGGCATCCGCACCAAATAGGGCGGCACACGCAGTGATGTTGACAAGATCATACAACCAGTTGATTGTATAACAGCGTCTCCACTTGATTCTCTCCTCCTTGGTAGCGTCCTGTATATTGAATTGAGGATCCCAGTCATCGAGCTGGGCGAGCATTCGTTTCGTCGGTTTTCCGCTTCTTGTCTTCTGGTAGTCCTTGATGAAGTCGACGAGATCTTCGTAGGCATTGATAAGGAAAAGCTCCTTGATGTCTAGCGACACTTCAGTAAGTTTCGCCGAGTCCTCCTTCTCGTTAGCTCGGATGGTAAGGCGAAACTCCTTTTCTGCTTTCCTGATATTCCCGCGCGTGAGGGTTTGCATGATCATCTCAAACGATTCGTAATCTGGAAAGTCAACAAAAATCGTTGCCTCGGATTGCTTGACCATTGCCACAGCGACTTTGGCGAGAGTAGCCGCTACTGCACTATTTAGGTTCTTGTAGGCTACTCTTCGCCAAATGTCCTGAAGGAATGATCGAAGCTGGATCCAGTCTCGGGTCAGCGCAAGCACCGCCATGACATACTCTGTCATGGCGTTGTCCTCAATTATGCGGTAGCTCTCTAGTGGTATCTCGTCAAGAGGTTGGTCAGCTACTCGTGAAGTCTTTCGCTCCCGCTGCACCTTCTTTCCCTTTCCTTTCTTTCTTTTGCCTTTTCCAGCTTGTCTCCGTCGCTTCTGCCGAGGACTTGCGACACTGCTGGCCTCTTTTTCGGACTCTTCGTTATCGGCATCATCACTCTCTGAGTTGCCATTCAAGTCCAAGACTGAAAACTTGTTGGCAGTGGCGAAAATGCTAGAGCCATGTTCCTCTTCGCCTCTCTTTGTTTGTTTCTCGTGTTCATTTGATATCCACTCTTGACTGCCCAAGATGTCGAACGCTTTGGTGAGGGTGTCGATGAAATACTTGTGCGTTGCGTTATTCTTTTCAAGCTCTTCGCTAGGACTTACGGATGCTAGCTGCTGAAATTGAGAGTAGTAGATAGAGCGCAACTCAATCACAGACTGGAACAAACCAAATATCGCAGATGGTACTTCGATGTTGTGTTTTGCAATGAGCTCCGACATAGGGACAAGATCCGAGACAGTGACTTGACCTGTAACATTGAGTTGCAATGGCGAGTCATTATCAGCAGCTTCCAGAGACTGGATGATGCCATTTGAAGTCTTGACCAGCCAGTACAACAATAATCTGGTGTCTTGTTTGTACAAGACGTAGAAATTATTGAACTTCATCGTCGATGATGGATAACCAGCATCTGCGAAAAGCCGATCCAAAAACACGTAGTCTGAAGTTTTGATGGATGGAGGTGGAGGCGAATGTCAAGGCGTGTTTTTCTTTCCCGTGAGATGCAGCTGGCTAGCTGAGATGAATGAAAAACAAAGGCTCCTGGTAAACACAAACGACTTCACTTTGCCATCAGCCCCTTATCACGTGCGGGCAAATGTTGTCACAGCTGCCAGCTGGCGCAGCTGTCGAGGTGACCTTGTCGGTGGGGATCAAGAGAAACGCGACAGTGTAGAAGCACTATTCTCCTGTTGAATCAAGTTAGGGGGCGGTTAGGGGGACCGGTCGCCAACATGATGGCGTAGGAACATTGCCAATTTTCCGACTCCTGAACTCTCTCGGTGGGGGAGCAAAAAATATATCGATGTCTGCTAAAGCTTGTCTACCTGCTATCTAGCATCCAAAACAAAAATGTGATCAAAGGCCTCCCTTGGCTTTCAGATCCTCATGAATCTTCTTCTGCTTATCCCATGCCTTCTTGAGCGTCTTAAGTTGGCTCTTGGGAACCTCACTGCCATCTTTCAGCTTGGTTGGGATTCCCTGCTCATCCCAGGCGCCGTAGCGCTCATCCTTTTTGAATAGCTCCTCTGGAGGAACCTTTGCCTTTTCTCGGGCCTCCTGGTCTGCCTTTTCTTTGGCAAGCCTTGCCTCCTCCTTCTTTCTTGCTTTCTCGGCTTCTCGCGCAATCTTCTCTTCGCGAGCTGCAATAAGTTCTGCGGCGGGTACGAATTTGATAAGCGATGGCTGGTTGTCAGGCCGGTCATCAAGATAGACGCCGAGGTTGGTAAGGTCCTGATCGCGAATTCGGTCTGTGATTTGCAAAATCGCCTTCTTGGTTTGCTGATCGTAAGAGGAGACAGTGCGACGCAGCTCATCACGAATCTGGGACACCACCCTCAAGTAAGGCAGTGATAGTCTCTCAATATCACGAGAGCCTCCCTGAGCAATGGCTTGGAACTCTGCAGTAGGATCTCTAGCGAGAAGTGTAACAACAGCCTCGTTGGACAGTGAGAGAGCGCTTATATCTGACTTGACCTTTTCGAGCACTTCAACATAGAGCTTGACAGCAGTTTCAGGATCCGTGTTCTCGGAAATCACAGACGCCCAGCCAAGACCTTCGTAGGGAGGCTGAGCATTGGCATCGAGGCCAAAGATGCCAACCAACTTTGTAATCCAGCGAGCAATAGCCTCGACTTCAACGAGATCCGTGTCCTTGTTATCTTTAAGATAACTGTTAGTGGTGTTGACCAGCTTCAAGATGACTAGCATTGCTCGCGGGGTATCAATTGAGTTTGCGAGCGCCGCCTCTACGTCCTTCTTGGCCTGCTCGAGCTCGGCTAGGAGACCGGTGGCAGGCTTGTCTGAGCTGATGCTGAGTGACTTGACGCCGCTCTCGATGCCAGCCTCGGCTAACCACGACTTTGTGTTTGTGAAGAAATTCTGTGTCAAGTATGGTTAGTTATAGGATAAATCCAATTGTTAGTGGGCGATGATCTGTACTTACGCTAATCGTTGACTCCCAGTTATCAGCCTGAGCTCTCATGTCTGGCGAGATTTCGACGCCATCATTCCATTTGCCCATCAAGAAGACGATGCGCATGCTTCGAGGAGTATAGCTGGTTGCCAATGCGTCTTGGATAGTCTGGAAGTTCTTCAATGACTTGGACATTTTGGATCCGGAAATGGAGAGGTGTCCCATATGAAGGAAGTACCTAACCCAAGTGTGCTCGCCTTTGCCATGTTCGCAGAAGTAAGCTTCACTCTGGGCCAGCTCGTTGTCGTGATGAGGGAAGGCAAGATCGATTCCACCAGAGTGAATATCCATCTGGGAGCCTAGAATGTCGGATGCCATCACTGAGCACTCAATGTGCCAGCCAGGCCTACCATCACCCCATGGGCTAGGCCAGAACGGCTCTCCAGCCTTGGACTTTTTCCAGAGGGCAAAATCACCGGCACCCTTCTTGCCTCCCAGGTTCTTCGACAAGGATCCCTCGCCCTCTTCCTGGAGAGCCTTGTCGTTTTTGCTTTCCGGTCGTAGTCGCGCATAGGAATTACCGGCCTTTTCAAAAGCAGCAATGTCGAAATAGACAGATCCTTCGGATTCATAGGCGAACCCCTTGTCTACAATCTTTTCCACAAATTTGGCAATCTGGGGAACATACTCAGTCACCCTTGTGATGTGATCCGGCCTGAGGACATTCAGCGCATCCATATCAGCCATGAACAGATCTTCCATGCTCTTAGTCAAGTCTGTAAACATGGTCTGGTCTCTTGTGTCAACGGTTTCCTTGTAGAGAGTGTCGAGGTAAGGGAGGAAGATTTCGTCCGCCCCGGGAAATATCGAGCCATTCTTGAGAGCCTCTGCAGCAGCATCCATGTTGCTGATGTGCATCTTGATTTTGGCTTCGGCATCTCCTGGCTTTCCTTCCCCAGTCAAGGTCCCCCCCGTGAGGACTTTGCCGTACGATGCGTCTCGTTGAGCAGTATACGTCGTCTCGTCCAAATCGCCTCCATTTTCCACCAGCAATGGCAAGCTACTGGCCGCATACGCCTTAAAGGCCGCACGTGTCAGCTTTGCAAGCTCTTCTTTGGTGTAGTTTTTGCCCTTTTCGATGTCGAGCAATCGCTGTCTTCTCGCCTTGATGATGATCTAATAGAGTGTTAAGCTTCGAGGCAGCCCAATCCCAGTCCAAACGATTCCTCATACCTTGTCGTCGATGTCAGTAATGTTCATGACAAAGTTGAGCTTGAAGCCAAAGAAGTGCTGCAGGATGCGCCGAATAATATCTGTTGACACATAGTTGCGCGCATGTCCCAGATGACTCTTGTCATAGACGGTCGGACCGCAGGCGTACCAGGACACCTCTCCAGATCTGATGGGAACAAAGGGCACCGGCGCACCGGGCTTCAATGAGTTATGGAGCTTCAGAGACTCCATGGCAGCGAGGGAGAATCTTCGATAGACGTGGTTTTTCGCAGGTTCGTAGAAACGGAGGCGGGGTCGAGGTCGGGAGACGAGACGCAGGAGATTCATATATAGACTGCCCACAGCTAGGGTAGAAGAGGAAACAAAGTTAAGAGGGCATCACCGAGGTGATCAGGTGAGTCACAGCACAAATGCGACACGAAGCTTTGGACACAATAGTAAGTTGATGCAGTCTCACCACACCCTTGCAGAAATGCCCCTCCTAGTTTCGAGGAATGGAAGCATAAGATCTCCCACTAATTTTTTTTAGCGCGTTTTGATGCCCTGAGTCAATGGTGGCACGATGACTCGAATATGCAAGAGCCTTTCATTATAATTTTACAAAAGCAGAAAACTGCATGTGAAGCTCTAAAAATAACTACAAGTTCTAAATAGATCATGTTCGTTATGAGTGAATTTCTCTAGATAGAGTATGTTTCTCTCCGTGATGTGATTTATAGCACCATATAGTGTTCAAAAGCGAGGGCTGTAAATTCAGAAACATAGAACTTGACACCTAAACACACTGGGCTGTCTACTACTGCAAGCTTCTGTAGATGCCTACATAGCACTATGCATGGGTCAATAAACTTTGACGGTTGGTTTAATAAAAGGCCATAGCCAGCCCTTGGCTCAAACACTAGCATCAAATCCTTAAATTGGACCGGTAAACCTTGGCCTTTCAAGCTATACTGACGGCAGAAACACATTGATTGATTGATATGGCTAATAAAGGCTGTGGGATTATCCAATTTGCCAAAATCGGACATGGGGAGCTGCTGCACTTTTACCATGGAATCCTACCCTCTATTGCACTGAGCTGGCATGCCCCTCCATGTAATCGCCCCTAACGGCACTGGAAGGCTGGAAGAAAAGGCGGGGCACGGCGCCGTTCCGCTGCGGAAATCAGCGCCAGTCATCACCGTAGTGCAGCTGGGGAAATATTTTTTTTTTTTCTGGTGATAAGGATAACAAGTCACTGGTAGACTTCGTTTCTGCCACCACACTCTGTCACCTTCTCGGCGATACTCAATCGCACTGCAAATAACATAATTCGACAATGGTTCGGCCGTCGACATTTCTGGAGCCTGGCGACAAGACGTCTGCCGGGACGCTCGCCATTATCAGCTTATCGCGCGACAACTTCCTGCCGCTGACACTGGAGAAATCAACAGGCGCAGTCGACGGTTACCTCGAAGGCGCAACATTGAATACACGCTTTGGCTCATACCCTCACTCAACATTGCTTGATGTGCCATGGGGCTCCCAAGTCCGCGCGTCGAACGTCGATACGGGCTCTCGAGGCAAGAAACGGAGACGAGATGCCACCGATGAAGATACACCGATAGCTAGTCAAGACGACGAAGAGGACTCCACGGCTGCCAACGCGTCTGTCAAGAAGGCTGTCACAGCACCAAGCGGCTTCATCTATGTCCTGCGTCCAACCCCCGAGCTGTGGACCACCAGTCTACCACACAGAACGCAAGTCGTATACACACCCGACTACAGCTATATCCTGCACAGGATACGCGCCCGACCTGGAACCAGAATTATTGAGGCTGGAGCTGGTAGCGGAAGTTTTACTCATGCATCCGTGAGAGCGGTTTACAACGGATACCCACGGGATGCGGACGATACAAGAGGGAAGGTTTTCAGCTTTGAATTTAACGAATCGCGATATCAGAAGATGCAGGTGGAGATTGGACACCACGGGCTTGACGATCTTGTTAGACTCACACATCGTGATGTGTACAACGACGGATTCAACGTTAATGGCGAATCGCCAAATGCGACAGCTGTATTTTTGGATCTGCCTGCTCCTTGGGAGGCTCTACATCACCTTTCAAGGCGAAAACTTCAAAAGGGAGGCGAAAGAGCTGATGATGACAGCGATTGGGTATCACCACTAGATCCCAAGCAGAGCGTCCACATTTGCACATTCTCGCCGTGCATAGAACAAGTTACTCGAACCGTCACGGAGCTGAGAACCCTAGGCTGGGTAGATGTGGACATGGTGGAGATTTCTAACCAGAAGATCAACATATCAAGAGAGCGCGTTGGGGTAAACTATCCTACCGAAAAGGGATACAATTCCTCCCCTGCGGATGTTTTAGAGGCTATCACAAAGCTCAAAAGCCTTGCCGACAGGAATAAGGAGACTCAAAGAGTTCAGGCGCTGCAGACAGGAGCCGAGGGTCCTGATAGCGAAATGGATCTCGACTCCACTCCTAGCCGCGAAAATCGGCCCTCAAATCCCAATGGAGCAGTTAACGATGAAGAGAAACCTTGGATGCAGGGACGGCTGGTTCACAGACCTGAGAGCGAACTCAAGACCCACACTTCTTATCTAGTATTTGCTATTCTGCCGTGTGAATGGGATGAGGAAGCCGAGGCTGCAGCCATGGCTAAATGGCCATGCGGAAACGAGAAGAAGACGATTGGAAACCTTGACAAGCAAGCCCGCAAGGAAGAGAAGAGAAAGATGCTGGAAGGGAAATCCAAGAAGCAGAAGAAGGGGAGTGATACCCAGACAACGCAGGTTGTGGTGTCAGCTATGGCGACACCAACGACGGATACGGCGTAGCTTTGAATATTGATACGAAACGTAGAATAAAGCTAAACTGCAATATTTTGCAGCGCCTTAATATGCCCATTAAAGTTGAACATCTCATACATGGAATTTGGTCTCATTTACACGGAATTTCCTCGGTAAAAGCCCACCTCTACCTTGTCAGGTACCAGGCTTCATCGAGTGCTGCTCCGGAGAGCGGATAAACAATTGACCACCACAGGCAAACCTCCAACCTAAACACCAACCAGCCCGCCATCATAGCCAGGGTCTTGTAAAGGTCAATTTTCAAGCTATCCATCCATAGCTCTAGATTGCAGCATTCCTTACTTCCCAGCAAATTGCCACAATGACTTCCACCATTGGCATCCCGATCAAGCTCCTCAATGAGGCACAGGTTCGTCTTTTCTATGCTGCCAAAGATTGCTTTTGACTGGGTTCGTCGAATGGATGGGAGAGCTCACGTATAGTTAGGGTCACATCATCACCCTCGAAATCACGTCCGGGCAGACATACCGCGGAAAGCTCCTCGAAGGTACAATCATCTAACTCGTCCCAATAGCCCAAGTGCTCAAGGCACGACCTCGCGCGTTGACACGAACTGACATCAATGCAGCCGAGGACAACATGAACGTCCAGCTCAAGGACATCACCGTCACCGCTCGCGACGGCCGCGTCTCGCACCTCGACCAGGTCTACATACGAGGATCTCACGTCCGCTTCTTCATCGTCCCCGACATGCTTCGCAACGCGCCCATGTTCCGCAGCCGCAACGTACGGGGTAGGGGTGTTGGTTTGGCCAGAGGTCGTGCGACGGTTAGCCGTGCCCGTGCTAGCGGTGGTCGTGGTCGGTAAAGAAAGAGCGTCTCTATTGTACGAGCGAGGGTGGTGGTGGAGGCTATTGTGCGTCGTGTTGGGGGGGGAACATGGGCTTGGCGTTCAGGATTTACGGGATTTTGTGCTTTTCTATATGAGAGAGAGAGAAAAAGAGATCATGGCAATACAAGGTAATGTTGTGCTGAAAGCGACAAAGATACCATGGCAAAGTGGCAGTCGGAATGGCAGTCTGAAGTTACGTAGGATAGGCGCGGCTGAGCGAGGCTCAAACTTTTGGGCTTCGTTTCTAGAGCAAAACATCTAGATATACATGTGTCATAGGGCTCAATTGCCTTCCCATACTCGTACAAAGTCTATTCCTATCCATATTCGTACACAATCTCAATGTCTATTTTAGCCGTGCCAGCGCGTCTTCCGCTTTGGCCACCAATTCACTAGCATGCTCCAGCTCTTTGATTCTCTGAGCCGACAGCTTATCTTGTTGCACTCCATCGAGAACCTCGCCGGCGCTCTCTTCTGCGGCTCTGATGGCCTTGCGACCTTCCTCTCGAACTTCGCCCTCCCAAAACTCGCGAGCAGTCTCCCACTTCTTCTGCATTCGGCCAAGGCTGTATACAACACCGAGAGCTGCTACAGCACCGGCCTCAAATATCGTTGATGAGAATGATGATACGTACAGCAATGCTGCCAGACACGATGTGACGGATGACGTGCCAATAGACTGGATAACCAGTCGCTGAGCTAGTGACTGAAGAGCAGGGACGGTCTCATTCTGAATGTAGCGCCTCGTAAACGCAATGTGTCCTGGCCACTTGGGAAGATGTGATCGAGGAGCAATGGGAATCACCGGTTCGTTCTTGGCAGACCTAGCTGACGAGCTCTCTGAAACAATTTCGCGGGAGGATACAGGCTGCGAATATTGTCCAGCTTCGCCTTGAAGTTGGGCAATCCGTCCAGTGAGATAGACCAGCTCCTGCTCCGATGTGGGCAAGAAACGTTGGCTCAAGATCTCGTTTGTTAGCATCGCAACATCGTCCACGCGCCAAAACAGCTTCCACCATCCCAATTTTTTCCAGCGGCGTCCGGAGAAAGCCAAGTCAAGCTGCTCTTGCAGCTCGGTGTGTGCATTCTGGGCCCATTTTGAAAGCCTCTCATTCATAACACGCATTTCAGGGTTGATCATTGCGTGCGACAACTCGCGCGACATTTTCCTGCTCGTGGACTCAGTCTCAATCGCAGAAAGGGCACCTTGTAGAACTGAAGCAATGAGTTTTCGAACCGCTGGTTTGGTCGCTTCATCGTCAGCGGCTTTGAGGCCGGCTTTGAGCCATGCAACCAACAGGCCCAGGTTGCTCGCAGACCAGCGATGTTCGTACGCCATGGCATTCTGGGGGCCTTGGCGGAATAGGTTGATGGCTTCTTCCGCCAACGAGGTATCGATTACTGTGAAATTGGCTCCCAGCTGTTCCTTTGAGAACCCCTTTAGGTTAACAGCGGCAGTGATGGCATCGCCGCAGTCCAATACGGGTAGCCCAGAGATCCCGACAGCTCCAATTAGTCCATCGGCCACCAAGAGTGCCTGATGGACAGGAGTGATCATGGACGTAGCGTGTTCATCGGTAGCAACTGTTGGGACTAGGACAGCCTCCTCAAGCGATTGAACAGTAGCTAGGCCTGATCCGTTGACAGGCACTTCCACATCCATTAGAAGGAGCTCCAGGTTGAGTCCATTCAGTTCTGCAGAAGAAACCTCCAACACATCCGGCAAGTTCTCCTTGGATGATTCCAAGCGAGTAACCTGGCCTTGGCTTGGGCCAACCCGAATAATCAACGGCCTGGTGGTGTCGTGCTCATCAAGCCTCTTTTCCCAATCTTGCTCATCAACCAATGGATCCACAATGAGCGCTTTCAGAACTTTTCGCGCTGCATCTATGCCTTCCGAGCCGTTGGCAACTCCTAGAATTGCAACTCGTATCGCTTCCTGCCCAGGCACCTGTCGCAGTCCCTGGAGCGCCAATTGCAGCCTCGAGAGATTCACCAACCCCGGGATTTTCTTTTGCAGCTCCAAAAGGGTCTTTTCAAGTTCATTTCGAGCATTCGATGAGGCGTGCACTGCAGCTGTTGAGGTCGATTGCCACCTTTGAGACTTGAGACCGGGCCTTGATCGAGTCTTGGCTGCTCGAGATGCTGGAGAAAGCGAACAGAATGGGCATACTGATGAGAGGACGGGCGGCTTCGGCCCCGTCAGCAGACGGAGATGCCCGTTTCGAGACACTAGAGATCGCTTGGATGCCATCGCCGCAGCGATGTTCCAGAAGGCTTTTGGGGTTTGAAGCTCATGAGCTCAGTGAAGCAGTCTGAGCTTGATTCGGAAAAGTTGCGGCAAAATTCGGAATCGCAGAAGCGGGGCCCCAGACGCTCTTCAACGCAGCTCAATACTTTCAGCTACTACTAACCTCAACATGTGAACTCTGACAATGCCTAGGTAGGTAACATATGAATAATTCAATCACGGCAAAGGTGACATTTGACACACTGGCAATTCTATTAACGGTGAATTGAAAAGGGTGATGGTTACATCGACGACTATGTTCTCTCTGAATCGGATAATCCGTACGTTGTGCCATCTGGTACTAACTGGTGGTTTCCAAGCCTAGCGCTCGTAAAGGCAGCGCCTTTAGAAGCCACCATGGCGAATTGAATGTCCCCCTTTTACGACGCCTTCAGCCTGAGGCTTAGCCAAGACCAAAAGTTCAGCCCTGCATTGCTCTAAACGGAAATCGATTCAACGCCGCCGCTGCTCATGAGGCAATAGGCCACGCTGATCGGCGATGTGGACCACCGACGACCGACCACCGACGGAGATGCTCCACTGAGAGCGGCACCTTGCCAGATGAGTGCCGATATGCTTGACGATGGAATCAAGGGAAGCGATGCTCTGGAATTGCAGCGTTGAATGATTACTATTTGTATTGTAATACATTGTATTGTAATACAAGATATTTATCAACTCATATAATATTTAATTTGAGAAATTGAACCATATAAACAGACAAACTAGTTGTTGCTATTGATGGTTGCAATTTTGGCGTTCTGGAACGCGGAAGATAATAAAGACCGCGATGTATATCATGCAGAGCCAGTAGCAAGATCGCGGCACTTACTATCAGCCCCGTGCGGGTTCATCTCCCTAGCTCGTTACGTACGCACGGTTCTAGAACTATGGTTACGAGGGCGCAGTTGAAACCTGGGTTGTCGATGAATTTGGATCTCTAGCTGTCGTTTGTGGCTGCCAAGCCTGAATGCTACTTTGACCGCTACCTCTGACTACTCTTAGACTTGGAGGATATAAGACAGACGAGTATTCTCACAAAGACAAGACTGGAATACAGAGAATAAACAACCTTGTTTAATCATTTGACAATTCTCATAGCTGCTACAAAATCTTAAACTTGACTTTGAACACCATGGGTGCAAACGGAACAACTTGTAAGTTACTACTCGTCCCCCAATAACTTGGCTCGACTAACACAGCAACACCAGCCGACGGCTATGTCGATCCAAACTGGCCAGACCCCAAGGGCAAAAACGACATTCGAATCATCATCTATGGCTACACACCATCCTTCTCCTTCGCCGTGTTTGCGGCAGTCTGGTTTTTCCTCATGCTTGCAGTCCACCTGGCCCAGACAATTCGCTACAGAAGCTGGTGGTTTATTCCATTTTCCGTCGGCCTACTATTCGAAATCATTGGCTACATCGCACGCTGCCTCTCGGCAAAGGTAGACCCCTACAACTTGATCTACTTCATTCTCAACTACTTCTTCATCGTCGTCGCGCCTGTCTTCCTCGCTGCGGGTATATACACCATCCTGTCGGCCCTCATTTCTCGACTGGGTTCCAAATATTCCTTTCTCTCGCCCAAGGTCATCATGTGGTTCTTTGTCCTGTCCGACGTTATATCGACCATTACCCAAGTCATTGGCGCTGCTCTCATTGGCATCCAAGAGTCAAAGCACAAAGACCCGACTGTTGCCAACAACATTCTCTTGGGCGGTCTAGCTTACCAAGTATTCTCCATCGGTGTATTCATCGTGGTGACTGGAAGCTTTTTAGCACGTGCCGGACATGCAATTAAACAGCGCGGTCTATCTGCTTTTTGTGTCGTCTTTGCTTCTGCAACACTCTTGATATATATGCGAACAGTCTTTCGGCTTGCAGAGACGGCCCAGGGGCTGAACGGTTCTATTCAATCGAATGAGATTTTATTTGCTTGCTTCGAATTTGCGCCAGTAGCGGCGGCAGTGCTCCTTTTCGCTGGGTGGCATCCTGGACGATGCCTGGGCAACACAGTCTCAGGGACTGAGGTGACTGGCGAAGCAGAACGTAACAACTGGGACAAAGCTTAAATTTGGGGAACGCCTAGGTTTAAAATTCTTGACACTATTTCTTTTCGAAGTTCACACCATAGGGCTGTAGAAGCAACATGGCTATGTTGTATTATTACTTTTGGGAATATACGTGTATTTTGGGAAGCGCTTCAGCATCGGATATCTCAATGGAGGATAATCTGGAGTATATATCAATTCTCAGGGTTCACTCGATTAATTCCATATAATATTAATGCGCGTCAGTATATTCTGGTTTGAAGGAATATCTCCTACTGTACCTGTGATTGAACTGTCAGCTGCGTGCATGTGATGTCGTTATCCATTTCAAGCTCACCAAGCTGAGCGTCCCTTGATAGCGGGGTCCTCCCACCCCCACCAGAGGTCATTCCAGCTGAACACCCGCCATCTCAACTCTGCTTCCTTCGCATATTCCCAACTATTCAAAAATCTTTCTCTGCTTCATTCATATATTCTATCCCCAATGCCTCCAATACCACTAGCCTCGAATCCCCTCCCCAGGATCATCACCTACTACCAAACCCACCATGACTCCGCCGGCAAACCCATCTCTCTCCTCCCACTCCTCACCCAGCCCGGCATCTCATTGACGCATGTCATCCTGGCCGCCATCCACCTTAACGAGGACCCGAACCAAATCACCCTCAATGACCACCCTCCTCATCATCCACGCTTCGAAACCCTCTGGGCTGAACTCCGCATTCTTCAAGCTTCCGGCGTCAAAGTCCTGGGCATGCTTGGTGGAGCCGCCAAAGGCTCATACAAACGTCTGGATGGCTCTGACGCGCAATTCGAAAGATACTATGTTCCCTTGAGAGAGGTGATTCGCGCGCGTGGACTCGACGGTCTGGACCTCGACGTCGAAGAGGAAATGTCTTTAGGCGGCGTCGTCAAGCTCATCGACCGTCTAAGAAGCGACTTCGGCAAAGACTTCATCATCACACTCGCACCCGTCGCCGCCGCTCTCCTCGACCATAGGAGCAACCTCAGCGGCTTCGACTATGAGGCCTTGGAAGTCATGCGCGGCCATGAAATCTCATGGTACAATGCTCAGTTCTATTGTGGTTGGGGTGATATGAGCAACCCCATCATGTACGAAATGATCATTCGAAAAGGCTGGCCTATCGAAAAGGTGGTCGTTGGCCTTGTGACAAACCCAGACAATGGCAGTGGATTTGTCATGTGGGAGTTTCTCTCAGCCGTCCTGACTTTGCTCCGAGGCCGTCATGAGCGGTTCGGTGGCGTCATGGGGTGGGAGTACTTCAATAGCCTTCCAGGTGGAAAAGAGAGGCCCTGGGAATGGGCGAAGCAGATGACATCTGTTCTGAGAAATGATGCTTCTCTAACAAGTGCCCAACCTCCACCAATAAACGAGGCAACAAAACCTGTGCTAGAGGCTGACCCTGATGCCCCCAACAGCAAGCCCGTTCAGGTTCCTAAACAATTTGACTACTATTCAGATGACTCAGATATATGAAAACAGACAAACGTCAGCGCTGTATGCAATTACATTGTGATACAATAGGCAGAAGCCAAGGTGGACGGAGTAGATGAACAAAATGAGTTTGTATTCGAGCAACATACATACATCTATAGTATTGAGCAAGTAGTGTAAAGATGACTCTTGATCCTCCTCAACCATTGCGATAGATAATGACAACAGGTTAAGCCATAGTGCCTTGTTGATACATACAGATGCTGAGAGCTACAAAAAGACCACAACAATCGTGGGGTACTGGTTATGCGCAGGCCATCCAGGGGCTACACTGAGCCTCGATGGTAAAGTTGTTATACACCGGATAGCTGCCCTGAACGGCAGAAATAATGGGGTTGAAGAAGTCCGAGTTGAAGCGGGCAGTTTCACATGCTGAGCATGGGCCGCTGAGGAAGCCATCATACTTGGTGGCGTATGACAGATAACCGACAACCTTGCGGGTTGACAAGTCTGTAGCTCTGATTGTGAAAGCCTCTGGCATGACGACCCAGCTGGTGGAGGTGACATTGGTTCCATTGATTCCAGGGATGACAGGATTCTGGTTGAACCACAAACTCTTGAGGCCGACGTCACGGAGGGCCTTGATGAGAAGGAGTGTCATGTGAGTGTCGTCGTCGATCTTCACTCCAGCACACTCAACGTTGATGGTGTAACCCTGTCCTTTGATGGGACCACCAACACAATTGCCAGTAGTCTGATCCCAAACGAAATTGTTGATGAATGCTCCCCAAGTGTTTTGCCAGTTGATGAATCGGGGACTGAGAGTGGAATAGACAGCAAGCTGGCCGGTGTGAGGAGTGGAAGTTGGTACGGGCTGGCCACCATTGCTCCGGGTAGAGACAGGTGTCTGGGGTGGCTGAGAGAAGAATGTAGTGGAGGGGGCCGCAGAAGATGTGGTCAGCGTCGAAGTCTGGGAGCCCATATCCGCGGGGCGAGGAGGCGGGTGGTTGTCACGATTGCAGACAAAGGCACTCCAGCAGATGGCGTCGTGATTGACAGTTTTGTTGAGGGCGGCACTGACGGGACGGCCACGGTAAGCCCAGCAGTTGAGAATTTGACCACCTTCCTTGGTGGTGACTGCACTTCCAGCCTTGAAGCCATCAGGGGTGCCGTCTTCAATATACGCGGTCCAGACATCACCGTTGGGCATAGTGGCGGTTGCGCCCGAGGGAATCCAGGGATACCAGCCCTCCTTGAAAGGAATTTCAACAGCCATGTCGGGAGCTTCAGGATACTTGTAGGCGGAACTAGGCCAGTTGATATCCTGGTACCAGTTCATCTGGCGAGAGGTGGACCAATCTGGCTGATCAGAGTTGTCTCCAATTCCACAATCGCAGAGGATGAGATCCTCATTGCGGAACTGCTGGGCATGGACAGCTTTGAAGAGGCCGATGGCACCGACAAAGCCGGCGGTGATCTTGAAGAGAGCCATGATCAATAAAGACGTCAGGGCAAGTCAACAGAAGTCGAAACAAAGAACGTTTGAAGAGGATCAAGCTGGAGTGATTGGAACAGTTGGAGCTTTGTTGGATATGTCAGGAGAATGAGTGGAGGGTGTAGGAAGAAAGTAGAAGTTCAGAAGAGGTGAGAAATTCAGAAGTAGAGAACTCATGGTCATTTTGCTGCAATCGAAAAGTCTGTTTCACCGCCATACTTCGTCATGTTGGTGCGTTGAGGAAGCATCACTGGCTGTTAAGGCAAGAGATGTGTTAGATAAGAGGTGAAAGAGTGTCTCGAGGCAGCAACACTTGCACGTGACGTCGATTTTTAACGTGCAAGCGCATTTACGAGCAGGCAGAAACATCTTGATACTTTCCAAAACTAGAACCTCTCGTGCTGGAGGCGGTCAAAGATGTTGCTTCGCGAGGAAGGCGGGAACCAACTTGAGGCAAGCTCACCTCCCGCGATATGATGTCAATATCACGAAAGAAGCAACCTGCTGAGCCCGTAACAGCTACACCAAGTGACTGCCTGCTATTGCTCTCAATTGTGATGAGCCGCTGGTTTGTAGGCATGTATTCTGGTGAGCTACACCGTTGGGCTGGGGAGATTGGGACAGATTGATGGGAAACGCCTTCGTTTTACATGGGCAACGCCGTAGACATTTCGAAATTTCATGATTTGATTCGGCGATAGCTCTTAATATCAATACCGTGCTTCTCAATTACACAGTTGATAAACATAACGCTCATCATGGAGATGTTGTGGCTTTGCGACAGAAGAAGGTATCATGAGATTTAGCAGGCCTCGAATCAGCTGAAAGTCGCCAACTTGTACAACCAGGATCATCAACAAGATCGATATCGTGTCAGCATGATGGACAGTTTGGTCTTCATAACCAAAAAGTTCTTCAAAAAAGAAATCCAGTATTTTGAAGTTCCATCTTAGGTCGCATTTCTCTGGGCGCTTCAAAGGACAGCGGCGTGACAGTTGCATGCGGCGTAGCTATGGGCGAGCAATACATAGTAGGCAGTTAAGGACGGCGGCCTCCAGGGAAGATGCGTGAATGTGGCTTGGACATTCCGTAAAGTTCGATCCGTGATATGAGGCAACACAAGACCAAGTCGGCCTGATACGAGGACGAAACACAAATGCCGTCCACTCTCTATTTTTATGACCTTGTGCTTGCCATACTCAGTTGTGACGATGCCGCGCGCCTAGTCACCAGCCGCGATAACTTTGGGTAACATACCAAGATCTTACCGCAGCCAGCAGAATGCGAATAGCATGTCTTACCGACTCTTCACCGCAATGTGGACAAAGGCTATACTGTCTATTTGTACGGTCTGCATCGAGGCTTAGCTTACAGCGATTGCGCGATAGCGTTTCATTATCTCAAGGTGTGCTCATGATTATCGAACGGATTTGCCGCGGTCTGCATCGTCAGCAGCATTGATTGGCCAAAAGCCTCCGTCATGGCCCCGGCACTTTTGGGGCAAATACAGTCCAGAAGCGCCAGGAGCCCCGGCATGTTTCTCGTTTCAGATTCGGATGGCGAACCAAAGTGAAGCTCTCCATGTATGATGGCCTGGGCAAACATTGGGGCAAACTGCAGAACCCAACCAAACTGTTCAGGGGCTGTGCCACCAAGCGAGGGGTGCTTTTTTATGCGTCGACATCGTCCTGACGTGTCTTGTTTGCGAGCATCTATATAAGCGGTCTCGTCTGTAGAGTGCCTTGATATCTCATTATAGCGACCGTCTGCAAGCACATCTCCAGAAACAAACTATTCGCATCACGACCATTATACCTGCGAAAGTTCCCATCTTTTGCCTCAACAGAAACATCACCACAATCACACACAAACAGTCATGGCGCAAAGGCTCATTGCTTGCTACCAATGGATCAAGGCTGCTGGTGGAAGAGGCAACTTGTACACCAAGATTAGCAACAGGGGCTCCTCATACAAGAAGATTGCGGGAGAGCCAACTTTGGCCCAGAACCAAGATCTGTACAACGACAATGTCCCGCTGCTTGACTGATGCATAAAGCATGTCTCAGTGGTAAGTCATCACTCATGATCAGTCACAGTTCAGCTGAATTAAATTAACCAAACATCTAGATGAAAAGGTCGGCAAACTGCTACGACATTATGAGAACTACGGTTTATACACGGATTTTTTGGGATATTTTGGCTTGGGCGCTCTTTATTACACAGGGATAGGGGCATGGCTGGTGGGTTAGGCTAGGGAATACAGTTGACACTGCTGGACGGACACTTCAACTTGGATATCAACGGCGTTTTCGCTTTTCGGGCATTGTGAGGGAATATCACGGTCAAGGGTCACATCATGGGTCGAGATGGAGCATTTTTCTCAAGTTGCATAGAAATTTACAGACTTCATCTGTCAAAATGGCGATATTCAGTTACAAAGCGCTATGGCTTTAGGCACATCGACGCAGAGGAGCCCCACTGCAACAGCGCATGCCCACAACAAGGGTAGCTCACGACTCGAGCTGCTTATCACAGCCCAAAACTTCTCTCCAACAACGTGCTTCTGCCACAAAACCTGCCTCTGCTGGCCATGTCTCGCTCTCGCATTCCCTTCAATTGGCGCTCGCCATTTCGATCACGCCCTCCTGCGCTCCACCTGCGCTCCTCCATCCGGCCCCAGTCCACCGAAGCGAGCGGCATATCGCGCCTTGATCGCCTGACGTCTAAGCTCCCAAAGCGTCTGCAAAAATACACAAACGGCCTCCGCAATGCCCCTGTTTCGCATGTCGTTTCGTTCATGATTCTACACGAAATGACGGCGATTGTGCCTCTGTTTGGGCTATTTGCCCTGTTTCACTACACCACTTATGTGCCCATCTCGTACATGACGGAGCATTTTGGCGAATACGTGCAAGGAGGGGTATATAGGTTTGAGAAGTATTTCAAGCGAAAAGGTTGGTTTGGCTTTGGGCAGGAGGACAGCAGCACAACTGCACAGCTTACGCCCGGGACCACGACCCAAGACGCACACGTGGAGGACGCTGTGCAGCGATGGAAAAATGGAGAGCAAAAGTACAAGATCCTTGTCGAGGTCGCCTTGGCCTACGCGATAACGAAAGCCCTCCTGCCTGTCCGAATCATTGGCAGCGTTTGGGCCACGCCATGGTTCGCAAACATACTCGTTAGAATCAAGTCCTCACTGGCACGAAGGCCGTAAACGAACGCGAAGAGACCAAATTCAGCATGTCTTTTTTTTTTTTCTACCCTGTTGCAACATATTCAACGGTACAGTGACTGTAGAGCTATACAGCTGCTTCAGAGCTTCGCCACAAAGACCGCTTAAGCCTTCTCGTAGATCCAGTCGAACTGAGAAGCCTTGTAGGAGACGGCCTCACCATCCTTGAACCAGAGGGCAATCTCCTTCTGGGCGTTCTCGACGGAGTCGGAACCGTGGCAGACGTTGCGGCCGACATCGATGGCGTAGTCGCCACGGATGGTGCCAGGGGCAGAGGCAAGAGGGTTGGTGGCACCGAGGATGGCTACGTGAATAGATTAGTTAATTGCATCCGAGAGCTTGGAATATCGAGGGAACATACTGCGGCCGGTCTTGACAGCATCACGGCCCTCCCAGACCATGGCACAGATGGGGCCAGAGTTCATGTCTGTAGAGAGAAAGTCAGTCTGGGTTTTGGCTTATTAGGCGTTTGTTAGGTCCTTACACTCAATGAGGCCGTTGAAGAAGCCCTTGCCCTTAAGGTCAGCATCTAGAAGGTGGTCAGTTAATAATGATGATTCTGATTGGCATTTGGTTGGGAGGACGAACAGTGAGCCTCGAGGTGCTCCTTGCCGGGCTGGGTGAGCTTGATAGCAACCAGCTTGAAGCTATCATCTTGTCAATTTCGGTAGATCGTATGGAGGGGTCGGTCGAAATTTCTTACCCTCGGCTCTCGAAGCGGCTGATGATGGGGCCGATCAGGCCACGCTGTAGCAAAAGTTAGAACAAGGAACCTCGAGAATGAGAGCAGCAATATCAAGTGCAGCTTACCTGAACACCATCAGGCTTGATGGCAATGAAGCTATTGAGTGTGTTAGATTCCCGCACAATTCTATCGATGGAGGGGTAGATGGCGGGGTGCTGCTCACGTCTGCTCGGTGGAAGCCATGGCGACTGTTTTTGGAGTAGAAGAGGGAGGGGTATAGGATACTGGTTGGACTGGCGGGATGTGTTGAAGTGAACAAGCTTGTTGGACTTGAGAAGAAGGAGAAGAAAAGAGAAGATAAAAGGCGGCGAGAAGTAGTAGCGGGACGAAGAAAATTGGTGGGGGGAGGGTTACCGTTGTCCACCTCAATAGCGGGTTGTGTCGCTGTTGTTCTCTTGGCTGCGGGATCTCCTGAGTGGACTTTGGGCTTGGAGCGGGGTCCTCGTGGTGGGGTTCAGGCATGGTGATTTGCTGGTGGTTTCGGGAGCAAAAAAGCAAAAAAGAACAGTTGGCCGTTGTACAGTGCGATGGGTTGGACGGATTCCTCTTGATAATGACAATATTATATACGAGCAGGTACTTTCAGAAGAGCCATATTAGATATTGGAGAGAGGCTTGTGATGTTGATGACGAAAATAGATGTGTGATATGATGGGACGAGAGGTTCCGAGTACGTACAGTTAGACAAGCAAGACTTGGGCTACTACCTAAGTCGTTCGTCAGCTCAAGGTACGCTGGGAGTGCTTGGATACGCAAACAAATTTCGTCACAAAACCATCAAAAGAAGAAATAGCAGAAGCCTCATTCATCGTTGGATCTCTGCGTGTACAGTGCCAATCCAGTGCTTGGCTACCGCTGGTTAAAGGGGTAGAGGATGAGTATAACGCGAATGTTATATCGCATTGTTGAATATAATGCACCTAACGCGGCTGACCCCTCCAACATGGCGGTCGGGCCTTGGAGCGGAACGTGTCTAATTTTAGTCTATGCCCGATTGAGAGCTTGTCGAGGAGGTCGAAACGGACAGCTTAACCTCGACTCCACGTCTCCCAATCCCAACGGTGTCAGATACACCTCTGGAAGGGATTCTATCACCAGCATCATCACGTAGCCTCGGCTGACTGTCTGGATGAGGCTGTGTATTACTGATCTTCCCGAGAATTAATGTGGCTTGCCATTGCCTGCATTTGAACGACGCCTTTGTACTACGCCCTTGATTTGTTTACCTACCCAATCTCGCCCTCGGCATGAGGTCGACGATGGGGCTGTCCTGGAAGTGGACAGCGCTCTTCAGCCTTCTGAGTGCATTTTTATGCCTAATTGAGCCAACCTGTATGATGAACCCCCCATATTTGCTTTGGAACCTCTTTTGCTGATGGTAAAGTGTCTAGTGGCTGTCAAGGAGCATGATTTCAAAAAGTGTGCCCAGGCCGGTTTTTGCAAGCGAAACCGAGACTATGCCGATCAAGCGGCTGCCCAGAGCTCGACCTGGATCTCCCCCTATCAAGTTGTTCTCGAGTCTCCTTCTCTGAAAGACGGTCAGATCCAGGCTGTCATCCTCAAGACGATCAATGCCGCTGGCGAAACCGTCCGACTGCCTGTTACAATCTCGTTCCTCCAATCGGGTGTTGCTCGTGTCGTCGTTGACGAGGAGAGGCGACAAAACAAGGATATTGAAGTCAGGCACGGCAGCGCCGCAAGAAAAGAACGCTACAATGAGGCCGCCAAGTGGTCCATTGTTGGTGGTCTGGAGCCGGATCTGAAGGCCGAAATTGTCCATCAAGACGACTCTCAGATCAACGTCAAGTACGGCCCTGAAGCCAACTTTGAGGCCGTCATCAAGCTTTCACCTTTTGGGATCGATTTCCGAAGAGATGGTGCCTCCCAGATCAAGTTCAATGAACGTGGCCTGCTCAACTTTGAGCATTGGAGAGCAAAGATCGAACGGCCGGAGGGAGAGGAGAACACCGAAGAGGATGAAAGCACTTGGTGGGACGAGTCCTTCGGTGGAAGCACCGATACCAAGCCTCTTGGCCCTGAAAGTGTAGCCCTCGACATTTCATTCCACGGATACGAGCACGTCTACGGCATCCCCGAGCACACTGGACCTCTCTCCCTCAAGCAGACCCGGGGCGGCGAAGGCAACTACGCGGAGCCGTATCGCTTGTACAACGCCGACGTGTTTGAGTACATTCTGGATAGCCCCATGACCCTCTATGGATCTATTCCTTTCATGCAGGCTCACCGAAAAGATTCCTCTGTCGGTCTCTTGTGGCTCAACGCTGCTGATACTTGGGTTGATATCATCAAGACCAAGGGCAGTAGCAACCCTCTGAGCCTGAACGCCGAGGCTCCAAGCAGCACTCAAACTCACTGGATCTCTGAGGCCGGTATTCTTGACATCTTTGTCTTTTTGGGCCCTACTCCTCAAGATATCACCAAGAAGTATGGCGAGCTGACCGGAACTACCGCTATGCCTCAAGAATTTGCTCTCGGATATCACCAGTGTCGGTGGAACTACATTTCTCAGGATGATGTCAAGGATGTGGACCGCAGATTTGACAAGGCGCAGATCCCGTACGATGTCATCTGGCTGGATATTGAGTACGCTGATGGAGTAAGATACTTCACATTTGATCCTCATTCGTTCAGTGACCCCATCAGCATCGGTAAGCAGCTGGACAGCCATGGCAGAAAACTTGTGGTTATTATCGATCCCCACATTAAGAGAGTTGACAACTATCCGATCAATGAGCAACTCCAATCTTTGGATCTTGCCGTCCACGACAAAGACGGCAACATCTATGAGGGTGACTGCTGGCCGGGCCTTTCAAACTGGATTGACTGTTTCAACCCCAAGGCTCGCGAATGGTGGAAGACTCTACACAAGTACGAGAACTTCAACGGAACGATGGAGAATACCTTCATCTGGAATGATATGAATGAGCCCTCAGTCTTCCATGGCCCGGAGACTACCATGCCCAAGGACAACCTTCATTATGATAACTGGGAGCACCGAGATGTTCACAATCTGAACGGAATGACTTATCACCACTCTACCTTTGAAGCTCTTAAGAGCCGTAAGAAGGGCGAGTATCGACGTCCCTTTGTGCTCACTCGCGCTTTCTTCTCTGGCTCCCAGCGCTTTGGAGCCATGTGGACGGGTGATAACCTGGCGGACTGGGGTCACCTCCAGACCTCCATTACCATGCTTATAAACCAAGGCATCTCTGGATTTCCCTTTTCTGGCGCTGATGTCGCCGGCTTCTTTGGGGATCCCGAGAGTGAATTGATTACCCGCTGGTACCAGACGGCTGCGTTTTACCCATTCTTCCGAGCCCATGCTCACATCGACACTCGTCGCCGCGAGCCATATCTGCTTGGCGATCCATATTCCGCTATTGCTACTGCGGCGCTGCGACTGCGATACTCGCTCCTTCCCTCATGGTACACTACTTTCTTCTACGCAAATCGGGATGGCAGTCCCATTCTCCGCCCAATGTTTTGGACGCATCCTTCTTCGGAGGGAGGCCTGGCAATTGATGACCAATTCTTCCTGGGATCTACCGGTTTGCTCGTCAAGCCAATTGCAGAGAAAGACAAGTACTCTACCGACATCTGGATCCCCGATGATGAGACTTACTATGAATACACTACGTACAATCTGGTGAAGACGCAACAGGGCAAGCACGTCACATTTGACGCTCCGATTGATCGGATACCGATATTGATGCGAGGAGGTCACATCATCTCCCGCCGTGATATCCCCCGTCGCTCAAGCACTCTTATGCGTTTCGACCCCTACACTCTGGTCATCTCCGTCTCCAAGAGTGGCGAGGCCGAAGGAGAACTGTACGTTGATGATGGCGATAGCTACGAGTATCAAGACGGTCAATACATCTACCGCAAATTCAGTCTGAAAGACGATGTCATTTCTTCAGCTGATGCTGAGGGACGCGACACGCGAAAGATTAAGCCTGGCAAGTGGCTCAAGGCTATGCGAGACGTCCATGTGGACAAGATCATCATTGTCGGCGCCCCTGCCTCGTGGAACCGAGAGGAGGTGCAAGTCGAGTCAGAAGGACGCACCTGGTCGGCCAAGGTGAATTACCAGGCTGCCAACGGAGACAGGGCTGCTTTTGCAACTGTCAGCCACATCCGTGCACGTGTTGGAGAGAACTGGAGCATCAAGCTGGCTTAGATGGCTGAGTCGCGGAGCTTTTTGACAGTATTGAGATAGAAACGGATGGTTATTGGGGGCAAAATGTGAAGGAGGATATTTAGATGTTTTGGCCAGCTATTGCATGTTGTATGTAGATGAATGAAAAAGAGAGCGTTGAGCGCCGTCGTATAAATTATTGCCCACAGTGACATCTTGCGATGCATAGTATGTGGCAGATTGAACCAATCCTGATGATGAGCTGCTGTGTACATGTATATTGGGGTAACACAACATTAAGGCACGATAAACAACTATAGATCTGATCAATTTTGGTGCCGGATTATCAATTCGGGGCTTTATAGAAATCATACTCAGCCATTGGCTGTCTCGCAGACTATTGCAACGGCTGGATAAGCTTAATTGTTGAGCTCGCGGGATTAATATACTGCAGCTTGACGCCCCAAAATCGCAACAGACTCCCGTCGTCATAGAAGCCCTGCATGGGCTGTCATCGAAGTGTCATGAGTACATATCGGATGTACCGGCCGCTCTTCGGAATTTACGATAGTCCGCGAGCGCATAGGTATCTCGTAGTTTTTCGACCACCATTCGCTGAACAGCTTGCAAAATCACTTCCACTACTAGACGACAGGATTCCAATCTCAAAGACCGGTATGTTCTTGCATCTTCTGGTTGAAGACATCAGGCCAGATTGCTGAATGGCAATAGCTTCAAACGGCATCTTTTGCCTATTCCCATTAGCGCAAGCCCGGTCTCAAATGGCCAGCCACATCAGCTACGGCGCATGGCGCGTCCTGGAATAGCAGACAGAAGTCGAGAAGACGGTGTGCCTCCGCAGCGCTCCTCCGGATACACGGCAAGCTCCCAGGCCTGATTCGATCCACCTGCTGTGGCTCTGGTCGATGAGCCCCGCTAAAGATCCCTGGAGCGACCCTTTCGCTGCTGAAGATGGTTGAGCGTTTCAGCCAGGAGCTGGCCAAAGCCAAGCTTTCTCCAACGAGCAAGGCTTCTCAGCCACTATACATGCAGCAACTGACATGGTCTTGGAGCTAATCGGCAATCATTTTCCGGCTAGCCAACCAATATCGTCACTCGGACCCAGGGGCGGATTATATTGGTTTACATCACAATTCACGCAGAGCACCCTACTACGCCAGCTACAAGTATGTACAGTACTGTACTCGTACTCCGTACTGCTACCACACTTGACCGCGCTTACGAGCCCCTAGCTCGCCTGTTGCGAGACAGGTGCAGCAGATAACATCATCTCACCGACTTGGGGACACACCAAAGCTTGTGGGAGAGCTTCATGGAGGGGTTCTCACAACCCCGCAGCGAGACACGCGTCTTGAACGAAACGATTGGCTTCAATTATACGTCGATTTTTTTGTTTTCTTATTCTATCTGACTGCATTTACCATCGGTCTCCGTACTGGTTGCTGAGCTGCTCCTCGGCCTGCTCCTGAGCGTGGCGCTTGGCCTTCTCACGGTCGATGAAGTCGAGGCCCTTGGTCTCAACCTCGCGGTCGACGAAGAAACCAATGGCACCGGCGAGGATCTCCTTGGCCTGGGCGTGCTCGTCAGGGTGGCCTAGACAGTTGAAGTTAGAATATGAACCGCGATACAAGAGTCAATGAGGGCTATTCTCACCGTTCTGGGCGACGTGGTCCTCGTAGGCCTTGGCAGCCTCATAAGCGGCAGCACCGCCGATGAGCTCGTGAGACCACTTGGCTTCGTGAGGTCGCTGGGTGACCTCCTCGTAGGCCTGAGCCTGATCAGAGTTATCTGCATCATCAGTTAGACAAAGTCACATCACAGGCGGTTCTGGGGCTCATCATACCGTCGAACCAACCCATTGTGAATAAGAAGAAGTTGAGTGATGTGTGGATTTGTGAAGAGTGTGCTTGATTCAAGGAGAGAAGAAGAAGAAGTAAGTTCCAAGGGAGAGGGACGGGACTATTTATAAGCTTACAGCTGCCACATTGCGCAAGAGGGGTCAGTCAGAGGCCTCATGAGTCTCTGGATAACCAATGATTTACATGACAGCCCCTTGCCCACTAGCCGCACATACAATTATGCACCCGAGGCTACTGCGTTGTTATTCTGGCAAGTTTCAATGGCGTAGCAGCGTGGATCAAGGGGCGTTGGCCCCCTCCATACGTGGACACACCGTCCGGCGTCCGCTCATCTGATGATCTGGACTCACCACAGCTCCAGAGACACGATAACGCGATTGGTGGCTCTCAGCACATACGTGGTGTGGCAAACGGGGTCCAAGGGTCTCCACGCACAGGAGAACAGCCGGAGGTGTACCCTGGCCAGCTGGACATTGCTAGCATCCCGACTTGAATCGTGGAGAGGAGCTCGGCACCTTTGTGGCTCAGCCCATTGTCCGCAGGCCACCCGTCTGTTCCCCTGATTTCAGCGCTGCAAACGTCATATCCTATCAACGTGGCGCATGGGAGGACGGAGTTGAGGGGCAGAGGCGCCATCGTTTCTCACCCGACGGATTCCTTACGAGTCTGGTACTATCGACATAGCCTCCCTAGTTGGGAGTGTTGTTGCAATCCCTGGACGGCTGAGAGTCAAATGACTTGTTGCATACGAACAACGGGCATAAACGACATTGATGATGCCAGAATGGTTTCTCATTGAGTGGTCGGAGCTATGTTTGCTCGAGCTTCCTGGCAGGCCTTCCCGGGCCCCCGCCATTCCGTCTCCCCCTCCCCCCACCACATCCTGTTCCGCGGGAACCTGGTCGACGAAGGGCTGCCCCTCCGAAGCCCGCGAGAAATATCCGCCTAAATGATGGATGAGTGTTTACAAGTCCTGGCTCAAGCAACCCTGGATGCTGGAATTGAGGTATAATATCGACAACCCCTATTCTATTCCTCTGGGCGACCATGGTCGTGTCTCTGGAAGAATCTGGTTTTGCGCATAATTCGGCCTCCTGATAAATGGCCGACTGCATGACGCATTTCCACCCCTCCATCCTGAATGGTTAACATGTGCCTCAGTCGATGTACGAGTATGCTTATGAGCAATACAGTAGATTGATTAGTCGCCATACGTGGTGCATGTTCAACACATGCATCCCCACCTGCAGTACATCCTCGTGCTATTGTATAAATACTACGGAGTATTGATTTATATAGTTCCCGGGTAAGTACCTGAATCTGAATTTAGACAAGCTTCGGCGCTAGGATGCTCCCAACATGCTAGCATTGCTGAACTATCAATCTTAATATAGGCAGTAGTATAAATCAATCAATAAATATGAAGCGGTGAAGCATTGCCTGCCTCTTTTGGGAAATGATTCGCTTGATGAAGCGGTTTCTTGAGACTGGTAGTGTATCGTATAGACCAATCCGCTGCATTGCTTGAGTTGCACGGACTACGAGTACATCCCTCTTTTTCTCATGAGAGCTGCTTTGGCAATGAGGGGCCCTTGGCTGCAGGTACGTACCTCCGAGATTCTCCGGCGCCGACTAAAGCCGGCCGGAGTCCCGCCGAAACCACCCGCAGAATAGGAGGAAGAAAAAAAATGGATATAGTACAGAAAAAGAAGGACGAAAAATCTTCAAAAAAAAGAAACAACTGGACGAACGGGGAATCGAACCCCGGACCTTTCCCATGCGGTTAAGCAGCTCGAAGGTTGCTTGATGCTAAGGGAAAATTATACCACTAAACCATCCGCCCATTTGCGTTGTTGAAAGGATTGGCCGTAGAATGCTTTATACACTATCAACGCCTGCTTTGTATCGATGTTGTAGACGTCGGAGGTGAAATATTAATCTAACTAATCGTACAATAATGCTACACTAGATGGATAGTGGGATTGCTCCAAGTTTTCTTCTTTCATTATGTCTCTATTGGACGCCTTCAAACATCCAGTTTATGGGTTCTGTTACGCCTCCATTGTAGGCAAACATGGCGTCCGATACCTGTGAAGCAGTAACACGAAAATTAATCAGTTAGCAGCATGCAAATACTAGGAGTCAGAAGAATCAAGACTTGGAATGAAACTTACCAAGAAATCCCAATCTGGGCTCTGTGCCCGGATTCCTATGTCTAACGCATCCGCTCCTTCGTCTTGACTTTGACCGGCTCGTTCTTCTAATATCGCAAGGCACTCCTCTATAGCATCTTCGGCGGCTTTGAGAAACAATGGACTGATTTCTTGTTGGTCGAGACCCTGCATTAGACCTTCTACGTGGGCGACTATGACGCAGTTGACCATGTAGCCCTTGACGTTCGTCTCACCGGCTTTGATGGACTGGAGGCACCATTCCTTGGATTCTTGGATGACGGAGAGGAGATCTGCTCGGAAGGGCGAAGGGACGAGACCTTGCTCTTCTCTGAGCTGGTTGTCGATTTCGGCGGCGATGAGCAGGCTTGCTTGTAAAGAGGCGATTCTGAAGAAGCCCACCCCGCAGCAGGAAAGACGTGAGAGGAGGTCTTCCTCGGACGAGTTGGAGGCATCTTGGCGGACATGCGGGGCCATGATGGCCGAAGAGGGATACATTGCGGACCAGGTCTTGAGAGCCGCCTCGACGGCGAGTTTACGGGACACGGCGTATTTCGTTTGGCGCATCGCTGGGATGAGGTACGGCGTGTGGAGAGCCGACATGTATCGTTGCATGATGAAGTCTACAAAACGCAATTCCAGTGGAGAAGGACCGGATGTTCCCCCAGATTGAGACTTGAATCTTCCAAGGGTCTGGCAAAGAGTCTTGTACGCTGACCGTAGTTCGACGTCTAGTTCCAGCGTTCTCTCGTATGTACCGCACGAGGAGAGGTCGTTCAGGAACGCGGTCACTGTAAGCCGAGCAGCAAATGTCTTGCGAAGGGCTATCGCAATCGACATGCTTGTGTATTCACTTTCAAGCTTTTCGACTGAGGCCTCGATCATGAGCTGCTCGTCGTCGAAATTGCTGGGAGGTTCCGTGTCAAAGTCTTCGAGGCGAATGAGCGGAGGGCCACCTGACGTGAGGCTCATTCTCAGGAGCATCTCAAGAATAGTATTCCACAGCCTTCTGTGCATCTCAGTTGCAAAGAGGGACCGCTTTGGTAGGTGACGCGGATCTCGATGCAGGCCCATGTGCATAGCCCTTCTGACCAACTCGCCTGCAGACACCCAGACCGAGTCGCCAGCGACACCAACATTTTCTCGAGCCAGCAGCAGCAATATCTGCGTTTGTATAAACTGAATGCCTAACCGGGCTTTGAACTCGGGCTCCGCTGCCCAAGTCTGTCCTTCGTATACCCAACGGATTGCGGAGGGACGCATGGAAAATCCATCGTCGTAAGACATTGCGCCAATGGCCAGTATGAGCTTGAGATGAACGATGAACGCTATGTCTGGATAAGCGCCGGGCTCCCACAACTCTTCGTAGTCCCTCATGAAGGACGGGAGGTGCAGAATCCTGTATACGCTCTCCGATGTCTTCATATAGCAATCAATGAGCTTGTCGCAAACTTGCTTTTCAGGCAGCTCTCTTGTTGGTATGGTCGGCCAGGAAGGAGTCCTCTTGGCTTTAATAATCCTCGCTAGAGACTTACACTTGAGTAACTGCGGATAGACATTGGACTTGCTCTCTAAAAGATGTATATCATTCATGACAAACATGCTTTTGAACTGAAATTGAGATGAGCGATGTTTTTTGTTCTAAATAGAGCCAGGTAAAAAGGTTTGCCTACCATTTGAAAGATATTAATCCAATGGCTCTGACCAAAGAACCGCGTCTTATGTGTGACGCTCCGTAGAAGTACGACGTTTGTCGAATCTGCTGGGTTGTTGTCACGGTGAAAGTGAATGGCTCCTCCAGTTATGCGAGGTGCGTCGGCAAAAAGGTCCTGGTCAGAACCTACGTCGGTGGACTGACTCTGGGGATTTGGTACACCTTCAGCTCGATCCAGGCCGAAAAAGCCAGGCCTGCTCGCATCAGAAACGCTCAGGTTGAGCGTCGACTCATCTTGGCTTCTAGGGGTCAAGGGATTGATGAGACTCCTGTGTGCTATATTTGATGCATGACCTCGTACTGTCAACGTGTCATGAGAGCTAGAATCCAGAGCAGTCTGTGCTTGAGTCCGAGATTCAACTGGGAAGACGCCAAGTTGGCTGTGTGCAGGCGACTGCCCAGTCGCCAGAGGCGGATCCACCAAGTGGTGATTCTCGTAGACGCAGGTCTCCGTTTTAGACCGGATGCAGTTGCTACAGGGCCGTTGCCGGTTACACCTGAGCTTGCGTTTTCTACAAAGCGCGCATGATCTGCAGTTTCATTTTATCCCCTCGTTAGATGAGATGTGGTGCAAGTTGAGATGCAGACATACATACATTGCTGGTCTCCGACGTCGTCGCTCTACTTCGACAACAACAGTCCTGGGTGCGCTGGATGGCTGATTCATTGCGCAGTCGTCTTTTCGGTGCAACACTCCATTAAGTAATCGATATCAGCGATAACAGTCGAGTTGTAGGTAAAGAAAGTCGAAGGATTGACGTGATGGATTATTACCTCTCGGACTCGGGAAATTGCCAAATGGGGACTAAAGACCGAATCGGATCGGAGCTTTGGTTTATGCCCACCGCGAAAACAGTTCGGACAACATGTTCCGCCCATTTCCCAATTCGGCAGAAGCCCGACTTACACGCAATCCTACGAAAAGTCGTTAGGTTGGATTGACGACAAGTGTTCAGCTCCGTGGCTAGTTTTCAGCTTAATGGCCAGTTCCATCTCCGAGATGTGGATTAAAGAGCCTGATGATATGGCGCGACCCGAGACCGATCGCTTCTTCTCGGTCTTGAATCGCTGTTTTCGCTATTTTGCTGGTATAAGAAAGATGCATTTCCTGGTTATCAATCGCATTTCCGTCCAGCATGCCAAAGCAGATTCACTATTCTCTCTCAAGTCCGAATCAGATAAACAAGATTCAATATTCTCATCTTCGAATCAAATACACAACGTTCACCACCGCACTCTCACCTTCGAATCAGATAAGCAAGGATACCCCGATCTACGGCATACCCAGCCATGTCAACTACTTCGTCAGACGAGCCAAAGGCACCTTACCCAGAGGAGCAAGAAGGCCTTGGACGGCAAGAATTGCCTTTAGCTGAGGATGAACTGGAGCCTGCGCCTGATGGTGGTCTCAGAGCATGGCTCGTCGCCCTAGGAGCCGGTTCCATATTTTTCTGCTGCATGGGCTTTTCCAATACTTTCGGCACCTTTACTCAATATTACTTGACACACCAACTTAGCGATCGGTCTCCGGATGATGTCGCCTGGATTGGTTCCTTGTCTGCATTTCTGCAGTTCTTTGTGGGAATGGTTGGAGGTCCTATGTTTGACCGTTATGGCACAAAGGTACTAAGAGAAGCGACCGCCACTGTGGAGAGTCTTCGTAACTGACTGTGCAACAGGTTCTTCACCCGGCGGCTGTCGTGTACATCTTCGGCGTCATGATGTTGAGTCTATGCAAGACATACTGGCAAATCATGCTTGTGCAAGGTGTGCTCATGGGCGGTACCATGGGTTTTCTGCAATTTCCAGCCATGGCCAGCGTATCGCAGTACTTCGATAAGAAGAGAGCTGCTGCTTTCGGAGTGGCGATATCCGGCTCTTCTGTCGGCGGCATTATTATGCCCATTGCTGTGTCCAAGATGCTCAACAGTAGCTCTCTGGGCTTTGGATGGACAGTGAGGATCATGGGATTTCTCATGCTACCCTTCATGGCATTTGCTCTTGTTGTCGTTAAGCCTCGTCTGCCACCGTGGACGACTTCATTCTGGATCCCTTCAGCGTTCCGCGACGGAAAATATGACTTTATCATCCTCTCCACGTTTTTCGTCTTCATTGGCATGTTTATGCCTATAATCTTCCTTCCGACATATGCCGTAACAAGAGGCATGGACCCAACGCTTGCAGGCTACTTACCCGCCATCCTCAACGGCGCATCTACTTTTGGTCGTATTATCCCGGGTGTGCTGGCGGACAAGTACGGGAGGCTGAACACGTATGCCCTCGGATCCGTCATCACCAGTATCGTCATTTTCTGTATGAATTCGACAATGAATAATGCAGCAATAATCGTATACGCTGCGGTGTTTGGCTTTACTTCTGGAACAATTATATCTGGAGCGACGGTGTCCATCACGGGATGTGCCAGTGACCCACGCAATGTCGGTACCTATACCGGCATGGGGTTGGCTCTGGGAGCTGTTGGAGCATTGATAGGGCCTCCCATCGACGGTGCCTTCGTGAAGCACTATGTTGGATTCTTTGAGGCAACCATGTTTAGCGGAGCCATGTGCCTCTTCGGCGGCTTTGTTGTCCTTCTGGCCAAATATGCATCTCCTCAGGGTCTTTTCAGTAAATCGTGAGCCGGCTGTGCAGCATTCGCTAAGCGTATACGACATAGAAAGGTTAATCGGGGTGGGAACAAAATCAGAACTGCTATCTCAGCTCACTTGTACTTTGGAAATAATGATAATAGAGGCGCGGCGTTTATCGAGATAGACGGATACTATAGTTGCTTTCACTTTCTAGACCACTCATCTTTTTGTCTAATTAATAGATATACACGAATTCGTCATTCTCGCGGTCTGTGAGGTCTAAGAAAGCGTTTTGGCCAAGGTGATCCTCACTCTCACCGGCTTCCTCGTCATCTTGAAGCAACCCATTCTCGTGATGCCTGGTTGTGTGGTAGTGGTTTTGCATGGACCGGTCAATGACAACTGCCTCCTTTCCGTTGCGTACGCGTGCCTTAGCTTGTATCTTATTGAGAACAATGAGGTTGGCCCACTGGATTAAAATCACTCCAATCAAGGCTGAGAATACGCCAAGGCATGAACGTAAGCCAGGTTTATATGCAGGTGCGTCTCTATCGTTGAATAAGATGGGGCCGATAATGTTGCCCACCGAGCTAGCCGCGTTGTACACACTCATGATGATTGACTTTTTTGTTGTTCCAGCAGTATTGCCGACAATCCAGGAGACTATGAGAGGGTTACCTGCAAAGATGAAGGCCAGAAGATAGTACCCAGCCAGTAGAGCCCCCTGCTCTGATTTTTCTCGTGGAACACAGTAGAGAATAATCAATCCGGCTAGAACTGGCAGCATGAAGACAGCCAATATGGCCCCTTTTATCTTGGCTCTCTGGGCTAAAAAACTGGCAAGAAGAATTAGGATTGTTTGGAGAGCACCAAACGGCATGTTGAGTAAGCTGGTCTTGTATTTGTCAAAGCCGAGTCCATTTATGATGAGAGGACCAAAAGTGTTGGTAACACTTGCCCCTACGTTGAGCAACAAGGTCATTCCGAACCAGAGATACGTTTTAGGCTCTAGAGCGGCCTCGAAGACGTGTTTCCATTTGAACTCTCGATTACCAGTACCCGTCTGGTTGGCGCGAAGCCGCTCGATTGCCTTGGGTTTCTCTTCTTCAGTCAGGAATCTCGCAGAAAGGATGTCGTTGTCCAGTTTCCAGTAAATGAATGGTACAGAGATAACGGTGAGAAGGCCGACGAAGAGAAAGATGCTGTGGTGGGACCACATTAGCCAAGGCCCAAGCGTCGATGCAGATGGTGAGTACTTACATCTGCCATTCTCTCAAGACTTTGGATTCGATTCGCCCTAGTCCGTAAGAAATAGCGGCAGCAAAAATCGTGGCGGCGCCGTTGGTTCCATACCACGCGGCAACACGGATAGGCTGCTCAGCTCGTCGATACCATTGGCTGGTGATGACACTGAATAAGGGCAAACAGCCGCCCTCAAACAAGCCGAGAAAGAAACGAGTGGCCATCAGTCCCGAGAAGTCGTTGCACGCCGCCATCGAGGTTTGGGCGATCCCCCATCCGAGACAGAGGACGGGCATTAAGATACGGTGAGGCACCTTGACGATGAGATAAGACGAAAATGGCTGCCATATCAACTGGGCGATTGGAGCGATGGACCCAATGAGAGAGTATTGACCACCACTTAGGTTTGTGTCTTCTTTGAGTCCGTATGTCGCACCATATCCCAGCACGGATTTGTCCTTTGCTTGTTAGATCTTGTCATACTCCTCTAATTGAAATGATCTCATGGGACTATTCTCACGAGTATCTGGAGGAAATAAACCCAAACCAGGATGACCAAGATGACTCGATCGGTCTTTCGCAGGATCCGACGATTCTCCTCCTCGGAAATTTCAATCTTTTGATGGCCAATGATGGCCAGCGCGCGATCAGCTCCTTTGCTGCTGGACTGACCGCCTCGCCGAGAAGGGCCAGGGAGTTGACTGTGTTCCGAGTGCTGCACTTCCGTCGGCTGTTTATCGTCGGGGGAATCCATCGTCGCAGTTCTCGAATAACTGATGATAGTAGCTCTATTCAAAACAGTAAAAGGCGAAAGACGCGTAACAAAAAACACGGAGACATGAAAAGAATGAAGGCGCCAGGAATCGCCTGCAAGCAATAAACTAAAAACCACCAAAGCTCTGCGATGATCTTGTCCAACCGGCGTTTGTTGAGGGAGGTTCGCGCTGAACCTTTTATATGGATGCCCAGTTATCGGCTTATCTGCCTATAGCTGCCGGCACTCACTGGGCGACCTGCCTAGTGGCCCACCATCCGCCAAAGATTGCCTGAACGGTTCAGCGCCGGGGCATTTTGCTGCACCCCGCATTCTGACGAAGGCCCGCTAGAGCAAAGTTAATCTCTGTAGAACTTATTGATATCTAATGGAATTCATCCATAGCAAATTTAGGTGCCTACACAGCCAGACAGATATAAGCAATAGTGTTTTTTTTTACTGCTACAGATTATGACACGATATGGATAAAAATTATCTTACATCTCAGTATGAAAGGTGTTTCTGCAGGCGTGTAGAGAGAGGTAATGCACCATTCTCCCTGCGCTTGTGACAACCTGCACCAGCTAATCTAAAGTTGAGCCGGATCCAAGCGCTCTTTTGGAAAGGATAAACTAAGAAATGTCACGCTGGATGCTTCGTTTATGACGCGTGTAACCTTTTTGAATTGCCGAGAGCCTAAATCAACGTGACCAGGGCTATGACTCGTCAGGAGTGCTGAGGGGGTATCCAAAACCCCAAGACGGAAGAGGGGATTAAGAGTAGACAACTGATTGGGTGCCCAGGCAATGTAACAGTAATCCACTCTATCTAGGTTGAATTCATCTATTCACCCATATCAGGAACCATAGTCTTGAATGGGGATAAAGTACCAATATCTAATTCATATTGCATCAGGCTTTTTTGAAATACAGAACTTTGATGGCAACAACTTACCTTGGTATCCGACAGACTTAAGCTGCACCTTCATACAGATAGATAGGATTCAATGTTGAGTATCAACCACACAAAACGCGGATGCAGGATATCTCTGTAAAGGCGTGGCTTGGAGTGATAGCCCCGTGTCGCCATGATATATCCAGGATTTTATTAGCACTTACTATATATAGTGTGAGATCTCAGACCAACTATGCCTCAGGAACTAGTTTCATAGCCTATTACCAAAGCTCTTATGCAAACATGTAAGAACATGGAACCTTATTGGGTGGAAATTTACTGTCTGTGCTTAAAGTGCGCAGCGCAGCAACTTTTTACTAAGTGGCTCATTTTCAAACATGACCGTCTCGAAAGGGTTGAATGCCCATAGTTGCTGATAGATGAAGATGAGTCCGAAATATGGCTGGCTCTTGGCTAAAAGTATTTTATGTACAGTCACAGATGTTATCAGTAAGTGATTTGAACTTCATTCCGGGAACACGGTAATTAGGGTCTGCTTTCATTGCAGACTCTCGTCGTCAGATAATAGATGTCCTAAAGGGCGTTATATTGTTCACACTTATTTTCCCATATTGGGAAAACGTCATTTATTAGTCTGAAGTTACAACTTGTGTCTGATCCTTCAATGCATGATAGTTGTCTCTTCCTTTCAAATTTGATAAGTCTTGAGCTCGCCTATGTCGGAGCCATTGTCGAAGTAAAGTTTCCAGAATGGACACTGTTCGGCTACTGTTCTTCAACGTTTTATGCTCCACATTAGTTTTCTTTTAATAGAAAAGCCATGGTGAACGCTACTATGAGTCAAAAATCCTTATCTACGTTTGGGTCCGTTTTTTAGGGCAAGGATCTGGTGGGTTGATATCCAGGGACGCGCACTCACCACTGACTCAATTGCAGTTACAGAAACAGTGAGAGAATCTGACATGGCCCCGATGCTGCCGAGTCATTTATCCACCTATTGAATACAGTATTTGCACATGGGATTTTATGGAGCAAAAACTAAAAAGTGTTTCATCCGATTCAGGTGTTGCCGGGTAAAGGGGAGGGAGCTCGAGGACAGCAGAGTGGCAATGCTAGATGGCTCTGCAAGGTTTACGTACTAGGCATGTATCTGCATAGGTACATGCAAGTGCTCAATTTAAATGTGGAATCAAAGTCAATATCGTTATGTTCTTTAGCCGTGCGGGCGTGCTTGGACGCATTCCATGGCAAGCAATCTCGATTTGTAGCGGGCCCGGCGGGCGGTGGAGAGCAAACCGAGAAGCTTGTCTTTGCCACTGGCTGTCTCATGTCAAAAAGGAGGTCGGGCTATTGACCTTGGCTGTCGTAAAGGAAACGACTGATCATCTTGCTGAGACGGGCGCTTGATTTTCTTTGGCTTAAAATAAATCTGTAAAGGCATTGATAAGCTGATCGTCTTCAATACCATCGTCTTATTTGCCGACTATATATCCTGACAGGCGTCATGAGAATGAATACGGATTGCTAGTGTGCTAGCTTGCGAGCTTATCTTTGTGCGGCCAGCCGTCGTGGCCGCTGCGGACAATTATCTCGCAACAGACAACTCATGGGAATCGCCGATGGCTCTTGGCATCGGGGTCCGATGCTGTGCCTGTGCACGTACGTGTGTCCTCCCACAGTCCACGGGTCCGGTGCGGGACTGGGTAGCGGTGGGACTCGCGGGGCCGGCAGCACAGTGAGAAAACGGCGCTGAGTCGGACAGTGGCAAGGCCCCGAGCTGCGGTTTTGCAAAGGCAGAGCCAAGCCGGGGAATGAATATTGACGCAGCGGATGCGTGTGTGTGCACGGAGCTGCAGCTTAATCAAGGCGGAAGCGGCGGGTAACGTGTGCGGTCCTGTCTCGCGGTATGTCGTCAATCGTCTACTGCGGTGAGGGTGACGGAGGATATGCACGATGCCGATCACTTGCAGAGGGGGTCAAAGCTCCGTACGTCCCAGCATGAGCTTCGTCGATATCAGCCAATTGTTTGTTGCAAGGCGGACACCTGCAGACTCTGGCACGATACCCCCCTCCCCTCCCTTGACGATGCCGCCATCGAAGCAGGGCCCTCGCATCCCCTCGCCAAGCACAAGCAAATCGAGTCAGCCAAGAGGCCAAGCTCTGAAGGTTGGTGAATGCGACTCGCCGCCTCGGCTCGATGAGACAGGCTCCAGCTGTCCCGCATGCTGGGCTCCACTGCGATCGTCAGCAACCCTGTCAGGCTCGATGGTTATAAAAAGCTTGAGGGGGAAAATCAAGGAAATCGCACAGCATCTGGTGGGCCTATGGATCCCCGTAGGCCTCTGTGGTTCTGGGCAGTTCCAGCAGGGCTGTGCCTTCCTGCTTTTTCTCGTCCCAATAAGTGGGAAAAACGAGGTCTGGTATATTAAAAGCAGCTTCCAGCGTCTTCCGTCCATTTCAGTGACATGTGGCAGAAGCGGGCTAAGCTGGAAGAGGCACTCCGGAGGCACCTCGTCCTTATGGCGGGTGGCGCTAGCAGATGCACTACCACCTGTGTTTGCCGCCATGCGGGTAGAAATGGATATCGTGGGTGGGAAAAGATTTCCAGCGCTGGGGAGAACCGGTCTGGTGGCTGCAGAAATGCCCTGAAGGCGCTGCATCGCCGGCGAAAAGCACGCCGCTGGGCGCCACAGGGGGTTTAGCCGTGGACAAAACGGGCATGAGGGCGCCGCCAGGAACAGGCGAGATTCCCGAAACATGCTCGCCTGGCAGATTTTTCTCCATGGAAATTTTCTAGCCACATTAGCGGTATCAGTCACCAGGCTATACTCGGAGGTCGTAGAACTAGCACACACAGTAGTCCACAGCCTTACTATGTGCTGCACAGTATTCGCCATCATGATGAGAAAAAACCCTCTCCAAAAGACGTCGTCTCCTCTTTTTTCTCTTGCGTCTGTTTTTAAGGGTGAATTCCCGCCCTGGCCGGAACCTTGTCTCTCGTTTCTTGGCTACACATTCCTCTTTGCGTCTCTAAGCAAACGGCATCGTTTCGTCACTCGCTCCACAGATCCGTTACTGAAGCCAGCAAACACCACGCCGATCACCTCGGACCCTGTGCTTCTGACATCGACTTTATTGAATTAAGGTCAGCATTGGCTTGTGGAGAGCCTCCCCGTTGGATCCGATGTCTGGATGCCATCCATACTAGCACATTTGCTTCCCCTCTCTGTATCTCTATCTCCCGTCTGCTCTTATAAACCGCTGCCAACGGTTTCATTTCCCCATTTTATCCACCATCCTTTTTGAGCCCGAGCCAACTACAGCATATACATACTCCTCCGACTGCGGGACAGTTCGATAATTCAAATTCACCATGGCTGGAGAGCCATTTCCTCCTGTCCCTCCCCTCCCCGCTGCCTATGCCTCATCTTATCAGCAACGTGTATCTTCGGACATGAATCGAATTGAGGAGCACGATGGTGAGACGTATGACGGCAAGTATGACGAACCATACGACGAAAAGTACGAGGCTCCGACTCTCGATACCTTCAACACCTTAAATACGCTGGCCCCCACTCACGACGACCCCAATGGTGCTGTGACCCCGACAAGCCAGCGTGCTGAAGCGAATCGCCTTAATGATGATCTTGAGCTTCTCCGCGCTGAGCGCATGGTCTCAAACCAAGAACATGACGGAGCCTCCAGGTCTCGGACAAAAAACCGGCATCACAACCCTGAGCCTGAGGATGCTTTTAACCAGACACCTACAGAAGTCGCGCCAGAGAGAAAGAAAAACACCGATGCTGCCCTTTATAAACTATGGCTTTTTATCAGCAAATTCCCTCGCTTCTTCCGGTACATCATCTACCTTATCCCTGGCGCTGCCTTGCTCCTGGCCCCCGTCCTGCTCGGTACATTTAAATTCAATGGATCTGAGCACGCCGTGGGCGGCCCCGGCGGCGTCTATATCATGTGGTTTGGCATCTGGCTGGAGATCGTGTGGTGCTCGCTTTGGGTGACACGGATGCTTACGAATCTTATCCCGCCTCTGTTTCATGGTGTTGCTCGAATGGTCGGGTCGACCAATGCCCACAAGTGGCGGGACATTGGACAGCGTCTTGAGCTGCACACAGCCTTGTTCTTATGGTTCCTAACTATTCTCATCTCTTTCCAGCCCACCATGGACAATCACCGTGCCCCTGTCCCAGATGGCGATTCAGGAAACGTTCACATGCACTGGATCAGCGTCGTAAACAAAGTAATCATTGCTCTGTTTGTCCTGGCTGCGTTGAACTTTGTGGAAAAGATTCTCATCCAGTGGATTGCCCAAAGCTTTCACCAGCGGACGTACGCCACTCGAATCGAGAACAACAAGGCTGATATACGCCAGCTCGTGTGCCTTTTTGAGTACGCAAAGTCCAAGCTAGAAAGCACTGACACCTTTTGGAAGGGCAGCGTCGGCAATGCCTCCAGCAGCGGCTTGCAGACGCCCATGAAAGCTTTCCACAACAATGCCCGCCAGATGCTGGGTAAAGTTGGGCACGTTGCTGGTAGAGTTGGCAATGATATCCTGGGCCGGAAAGGAGCCGACAACAACCACCCTCGCAGGATTGTAGCTGAGCTGCTACGCAACACTGCCTCCGCACACACCCTTGCCCGCCTCATCTATCGTAGCGTAGTGCGCGAGGGCCGCGAGACTGTTCATCTGGAAGACCTGCAGGCTGCCTTTGAAACAGAAGAGGAAGCCGAAGCGGCCTTCTCCATGTTCGACAAGGACCTCAACGGCGACATTTCCATGGATGAGTTTGAGGCTGTCTGTAATGAGATTCATCTCGAGAAGAAAGCTATAGCAGCATCACTCAAGGATCTCGACTCCGTTATCAAGAAGCTCGACAAAGTTTTCCTATTCATCATTGTCGTCATTGCCGTTATCGTCTTTGTTGCCATCCTGTCAGATTCGACAGCAGCTGGCCTTGCGTCTGCGGGCTCCTCGATTCTTGGTCTGGCATGGATGCTTCAGGCGACGGCTCAAGAATTCCTCCAGTCCATCATCTTCGTCTTTATCAAACACCCGTTTGATGTAGGCGACCGAGTTACCATTTACGGCAACACAGGAGCTACACTGACTGGCGATGACTATTATGTCACAGAGGTCTCGCTTCTTTATACCGAATTCAAAAAGATGCAAGGTCATATTGTTCAAGCCCCAAACTCACTTCTTAATACCGTCTTCATCCTCAACCAGCGGCGATCCAATGGTCTTTCGGATTCGATTCCCCTCGAGATGCGATTTGGAACACCGGCTCATTTGATCGAGGACCTCAAGGCCAGGATGCTGGAATTCGTCAAGAGCAACAAGCGGGATTATCAGCCGAGCATCATCACCGAAATGACTGGCTTCAAAGAAGTGCGATCGTGCACTATGAACATGGTCTTCTTCCACAAGAGCAGTTTCCAAAACGAACTTCTTCGACTGAACCGCCACAACAAGTTTGTCACTGAACTCATGTATCAGATGGTCCAGGTGGGCATTGAGGCACCACTCAGAGTCGACCCTGGTGGTAGCCGAGAGCATCCCATGTACTGGGCAAATATGCCTGCGCCGCCTGCATACGGCAGCGGCAACAATGAGACTCCGTCTCAAGGTCGACCTCGAGCTTCCTCGAGTATTCGCAGTGTTCCAATTCCAAACCAAGAGCCTACTACTGGAGGGTTCCAAGATGTTTTTGAGAAACGACGAGAAAATGTTCACATGCAGAGAATGGCTTCTATCCGAGAGAAGGAGAGGGGACTGCAAGAGGAATCTGAAGCAACTGCTCGTGCGTCTACCACCTCGGCGCTGGCCCCAGTCATGTCAGTCGATTCTCAGTCTCAGTCTCGGTCTCGCATCTTTGGGCGCGCACGTAGCGGGACTAGGAGCATCAACAGTCATAAGGACATGGTCTAACCCTGTGGTGTACTCTATTTATGATATTTACGGCCGCCCCTTTTCTGTCTTGTCCCTATATTTTTATGAGCCAAGCGCATAGATTGAATGGTTTGCTGGGACCAAGCCTTGAATTTTGTTACGGTTTACTCTCCTTTATCACGTTAAGCAAGCTTAGCATTGCATGTTTCGGACCGCCGCATGGGCGGGTTATTGTTGGACAGATACCATGGGTGGCGCAGAAGTGTTGATTTGAATGAATAATGTGTTGCTCACTGGCTGAGACAGGTGAATGGAGGCAGCGAAATATGTCGCATTCACGTAATGGTTAATACGGTATGCATTAGAGACAACAAAATGAAGAAACTAGATTAGATGTATCAAATTTAGAAAGCACTCGCTGAACTCTTCAGCATTCAAGTTACAGTTAGAAATCTTAAGAAATGACTTTCGAGTAAATTGGTACCTTCTAGATGAGTGTGATTATTTTTTCTGGCGTCAAGATCCCAGGCCAGACGCTCTTGAACCACTCTTCTCTCTTCGCCTGCGTACTATGTGTTATAGTTACCAATCCTACTCTCTCAAAAGTGTCAGGTTGGCCCTTGACTTCCGCCAATACCAGAAAGGCATCTGCATCGATCCCCCTTTCGCCCGCCTTCGACTTTCGTATTCCACCACCCCTCCCTTCAAAACGATGTACATATAACAAATGACATGGGGCCAGCTTGCATGATCCTTTACCAATGCACGAGAAGAAGCCGTATCGTGCCATATCATCGACCAGAGCGTCAGCAAAGAAACCAAGACTTGCGCCCGTCACGTCCAGTCGTGGCTCTGTGAACTCGCAAGGCGACCAGTCTTCTACTGGCGATGGAAATGTTTCATTCGTGTATAGAGTGTAATCGGCGCGGGGAAGGCCCGCCTTGCCTTTCCTACCGGCTGGAGTAGTGCACCCTCGACAGCGAATGCGCCAGAATGTGTGCCCCAGAGATGCTTTGAGGCGGATGAAGCCAGAGGTCACTTGGCCAAAATCATCTTGCCCAGCGATGACACATTCCGCGGCTTCGATTTTGCCGTCGAATGATTTCGAGAATCTCGTCGCAGGAGCGATAAAGCCCAGCCCAGAGGGTGAATCGATGCTGGCCCATGACCAAGACGGTGCTCTCCAGTCTTCACCTCTCGGTCGAGGCTTTGAGAGCGGCGCTCTGACATACCAGAGCAAGCCCTCCATCAATGTACTCCTCCAAATGCCCGCCAGGTAACCATCGCCCATGTTTTCAGCAAGAATCCTGGCCGTCGCGGACAGTGCAGGGAGCTTGTCGGATCCCTTGGTCAGATTGAGCTTTGCATATGTCTCGACGACTTCCATCCAGTTCCGGTACAAAAGACTCGTAAAATCTTGGCCGACAAGACCGCCGCCATGCTCGTCCGGCTTCAAACTCGCCGCGCCCTTGAGGCTGGCAACGTTCAACCCCCTCGGGGCGGGCGAGAAATGGGGGGCTATCAGGCCGGCGCCGCATTCACATCGGAGCGATTCCTGGCATCCGACTTGGAACTCGGATTTATTGCAGTAGAGAAGGCGTCGAGAGAGCATTCGTTCTTGGTAGACCCACGCACGACTGAACAATGGGAAGTGCTTGAAGAAGGCGGCCTCCCTGTTTCTAGTGGTCTTTCCGGCCCCGTTGCAGTCTCTAATGCAGACGTATACATCTGGTACTCCCGGCTCTTTTATGGCGATGCAGTGATCTGGTCTAGTTTTGGAGAAGCATCCGCCAAAGGAGCCAGGCGATGCCGATGCAGCTATAGTGATGTAGCTATTCCGGTATATGTCGCCCATCTTGGTAGATTCCACTTCCCAATCACTCCGAGAATCCTGAATGATGCAAAGGGAATCGATCCATAGGTATTCGATGCCGAGCTTCCGGCATAAAATGATGGCATCTTGAAATGTCTTGGGTAGTATTGTCCATGAAATAAAGTCAAAATAATCATCGATGGTTGTTGTTAATGTTTTTGAATGAATCAGCCTCGGGTCGCCCCAGCAGTGAGAGAGGCAAGCATATGTTCCAGTCATGCCTTCAGTCATGACTAGTTTTATCCCCATATCAGCGCTTGAGTTAGTGATTTCGGTCACATGAAGGAGTCTTTTGGGAAGTGCCACGTTCCGTCCAGAGCCACAGCTTGGATGGCCGGCTTCACATTGTGTTATGAATTTGTATGCTCTATCGAAAGACGTGGAGGAAGACGTATCTCCAGTCAACAAGCTTGATGGAGGCATGCCGAAAACCCTCATCTGTGCGCCTATACATGCAGAAGTTAGCTGGTCAATGGATTCCAATTACACATCGCAAATCTACTTGGACATGGGAGTTGTGTCTAAAGCCAACCTCTGGGATAAAAGAATTGAACATGTCGAGGACTTCCGTTTTGGGGCGTGACCTCTAATGCAAACTGCGCTCCAATCCATCTAAGATGTGTATTTTCGGGGCTGAGTTCCGGGCAGGCCTCGAACATTCCTGACAAGAGGAGGCTGAAAAACTTGCATCTTCTGCACCCGTGGCCTGCCGAAGAAGCGACTTGCTCGAACTGGAATGAAGCTGTGGCAGATGCATCTGATTTGTGATGCCTAACGGGGAAGATTAGTTAAAAGGTTCTAATGTTGCAGAAGGGTATCATTGAAGTGTCTTTCATCGCGGGCTACATGCTTGTGATTTGACTCATTCCAACAATTTAGAGTGCATTTGGATGTGCTTGACGAAAAATAATGCATATCATATTGATCTGTCTTTGGATGACTCGCCATATTAATGACATCTTGAATGGGTACTGCGACGGATTCCATCTTCACGACGAACAAGCGGAAGAAGAGATGCCAATCTGGAAGGGGAAGAAGAGGGGATCTGAGTACAGGTATGTACCCCGCGGATGCATCAAATGCCTCCCCATTTCGACGCTGACAGATTCTCAGGCTGGCAGTGACTTTTCGTTCATTAGAGGTACCTGGGAGTGGCTATTCAGAAGCCCGATTTTGCAGTAAGTCTTGTTAAAAGGCCACAATTACTTGTGTAAATAATGGGCAAGTACTAATGTATTAATAGATATGTTAAAGATATATAAATTTCTCCCTGAGATGCGTGCAACACACCTTTTGCCTCCAACTATATGCTATCCCTATATAAAGATTCTCCATTCCCTGATCCTCTACAGCTATCTTAACAAAAGGAGAGGCGTAGTGTAATTTTGTCAAAGCTCCGTCACATCCAAGGATTTCTAACTACATGTCTCCGTACCTCTCCATTGTCTTGGGGCTGTGATGGTGACGACGCCGACAAGGGCAAAGTACAGGCTAGTCAAGTCAGTGCAGGCCATGCAAGAGACTTGGTTGCACTCGCGAACAAAGCATTGTCTGATATATGACCAATGACACAATGCGAGCATGACCAATAACACAGACAGATGTTTCATGGAACAAAGCCCTGGTTCAAGAAGCTGTCCGAGAAAGGCTAGAGGCCGGTTGGCCCAAAGTGTGCCTAACAAGGCGTCCACTGGATTTCCATTCCAATGCTGGTTCCAATAGTGATGTGGATGACAGCCCCCGCCTATCGGCCGGTCTCGAGCCCCAGCCGCAGTGGCTTGGATGGCAGCAGCGCGGCATCAGCTTCAGCTTGGCCCATCATTTGCTGCGTTTGCAAGCTGTCAGCTTCTTATTTATTTTTATCTTTTTTTTAATATTGACGCAGAACAGCTTGGCCGTTCTCGTTTTGGTCCTTGCTGCTTGGATCCTTTGGACGCACCTCATCTGCCGAGAGACATTGAATGTGAATGCCAGATCCAGCAGGGCGATTCCTGGCATCAAATACAACGCTTCCCCATGCATAGCGTCGACGACTCTTCCTCTTCCGCGGCGATGCGACAAAGGAGCGGCTGAACGAGACGAGACGACCCGACACGACGCTTTTGAAACACGCATTCAAACACAGACACTCCACCCTCTGATTTATGATACGGGCTGGCGGAAGGGCTTCTGCGTTTGTCGCTTGTTTGGACTGAAGAGCAGAGCAGCGGCTTATCATGGCCACTCTGCCGACTGGCTGGGAGTGGGACTATGACGGCAGTCGATGGCTCTACCGATACAAGCCTACCGGCCATGTCCAGTACCATTTCCCCAATGCAGGCGACGAGTTCCCCGACTATGTCGACGCCACCTCTCCGGTGCCAGACCTGGCGCCCGAGGAGCGGCTCGAGTCGCAGCAACAAGTCAAGCGACATGCGAGCGTCAGCGGGAACCCCCTTCGCCCGGCTCACGCTCCCCCGGAAGACAGAGATGGATGGAGATCGCGCATGTCCGCAACGGCGCAGCCCGTCAGCGCTGTCTGGGACGACGATTTCGCAAAGGAGGATAACCATGCGGACGAGGCGGACGAGGCGGAAGAGGAGGGGGTGTTTCAACCCGAGAACTTCATGTTCCTGGGCCCAGGCACATATACGGATGTAAGCCCGCTAAATGAAGAGGAGGAAGAGGCCGCGAGGAGGATAGTAGTGGGAGCGGATTTAATGGGTGGACAATCGACGGCACATAAGGGTGTCAGCCCCATGGTGAGCCAGAATACGACGCCAATGGTACAGACGACCGAGACGGTGGCCAGCGGTTCCACGACCGCCATGAACGAACGAGCTGTTGAGCCACCACCTATAGTGCATCACGAGGAGCAAACAACAATGGTGCTCCCGCACGGGTATGTCATGGGAGATGATATCGTGGGAGAGGCGAGTGCAATACCTGACGACGGAGGCTATCACTATGAGATGTACGAGCTTCCGGTCGAAACTGCCGTTCCGATGCACCTCCAATTTGATCCAGTGGGCTTTGTGGCCGAGATGCCGACGGAACACACGGCATCTGCCCGTGTTGAGACACACCCCGACCCCATTGAACTGGCGGACAACTATGTTATGGCGCCGATTGAGACGGAACCGCGACCTGGTTATGTGGAGCTACCGGTTGAAGTCAATCCTTTAGAAGAGGGAGCTATGACACAAGAAAGGTTGACGGAAGAGCAGCAGTTGGAGCAGCGGCGACAGGAGGTGAGGCGACAGCAAGAGGAGCGGCAGCGTGGGGTGCAGCAGAGACAGGAAGAGCGAAAAAGACGGGAAGAGGAGGAGTTACAAATGGAGCTGCGGCAGCAACAACAGCAGAACGAGGCCTATAGCCCGTCTCAGGAACAAAGCAGCGACGCTTCAAACAAGTTTAAGATTGCCAGGAAACCGACACTTCGAGAATCCAGTGCCGTTTACAATGCTTATGCTAGTAGAGGCCAGACACAGGAGGACTACCAAGCTTATGCACCAGGCCAAGCTCCTCAGCAAACAGCACAGCCCGCGAATTTACTCCCAGGTCGGGTAATGAGCCCAGCATTGCAACGAGAGGCATCACTGAACTTGAGCATGAAGCCGAGCACCGAGTCCACGCCGCAGGTGGACGCAAGGCGAGTTCCGTCTGTCCTGAAGCCAGCTAGGAACTCGGCTGCTCAGCAACAGCAACCTCCAGTGCCAACTCCAATTACCCCCGTGGCTCCCCAAGGACAAAATGATGCACTCACCCAGGATACCTCTGCTCCTGGAGTGGTCAAATATCCGTCCGTTCTTCGGCCTGCTCGAGGGAAGCCAGGACAAGATGCTACGAAAAGCCCAGAGCAAGGTTCTGGTACAGACGCCGCAGGGAAAGATGCTCGAGTATCGGGATACAAACTCGTCGCTCATGGACAACACCCGCCGTCTATGACTCCGGCTCCCGTTCCGATTCCAGCTCCAGCTCCACCCCCGGCTCCGCCCCCAGTTGTCGCACAGCAAATTCCACCACAGAACCCCCCAGCTCCAGTTCAGCAAGCTTTTGGCATCGCAACAGCCCAGCCTCCGGCTCCTATACAACGACCATACACGACCGCGCCAGATCTTTCAAAATCCAATGTACAGCTCGCTCAACAATATGCAGCACCCCCTGTACCACTGAAAGTTGTAGCTCAGCCTCCTTATCCCATAGAATCGGTTGCAATGCCGCAGCTACCAATTGCTCGTACATCCACAGCACCATATCCCCATGACGATGCTCCATTGGTCGCAGCTCCTTATGGACCGCTACAGAACCAACAACCGATGAGACCTGCAAGTGCAATGCCCGTTCTTCAACATCAACGAGCGGGGTCAGTTCCTGGTCAGCCGCCACAGATGCCTATCAGAGCAGGCCCTCCGCCTCCTGGATCAGTAATAGTACCGGCTGGAATGGCACCGCGTTCGGCTACTGCTGGCCCGGCACAATATCTTCAACAGCAACGTCGACAATCTTATCAACCAGGAAGTGATCCGCGACAGAATCCGGTTCCGGTACAAAACTCGCAGCCTCTAAGGCCGCAGAGCGCCGCTTATCCAGGCGTTTATGCTAGTTTTGCGAGCCACCAATCACCCCCACCCCAACCGCGGCCTATTCAGCGCCGGGCAACTCAAGATGAGATTCTACCAGTATCGCCTATACGATCTCGATCCCAGAGCACTACTTCGTCTGGCCTTCCTATGGAAACACCATCACCGCTGGAGTCTCGAAGGGGATCTGAGAATTCTATCGCATCTCAGAATGTCAATAATTCCTACTTTGCGCCCACGCCTGGCTCTCAGAGCTCATCCTCAGTGCCCCCCTTAAATACATCAATGGGGAGACCTCCTGCTCAAGAACCGCTTCATTCTCCAATTCATGGTGGTGCTCCAAATCCCAATGGGAAACAGCCATACACTCCTCCTATTGGTGCGGTGCAAGATAGGTCAAACAGACACTCGATGCCACAACAACAGCTGGCGAATATAATGCAGGGGAATCCACAGGGTATGACATCTCCCCAGCCTCAGGCTCAGATACAGCCAAGCCTAGAACAAGGACCAGGCGGAGTACAAAGGTCTCAATCTCTGCGTCAAGCTAGATCAAATTCGGGTGATGTGCCCAACCAAAAGGGACCACAATCTCCCACGGGTATTGGGCCTTCCTCTTCCAGTCATCTCCTAACTAGTATCGAGGAGCATGACGAGAGTCAGCATGTCGCGGCTGTGTCTCCGCTGAAGATTAACCAGAGAAAAGTTCTTACCAAGCCACCGCCTTTTACGACACCTGCTTCTCCGTTGGACAAACGCGGACCTCAGCAGCAGTTTGTCCAGGGGGCTCCCGCGCCAGCTCCTGTACAGACCCAGGCTCAAGTACCCCAGAATAGCCAACAGCCACAAATGGTACCACAGATGCCACCAGGCCATGCACCGCCATTTCAACAGAATGTTATCCAAGGCCAAGGAATGCCGCTGCAGCAGAACGTTATCCAGGGTCAAGCAAGACCAATGCAGCAGAATCCTGTCCAAGGTCAAGGAATGCCGCTGCAGCAAACTGCTATTCAAGGCCAAGCAATGCCACTACAGCAGAATGCTATCCAAGGTCAGGCAAGGCCAGTGCAGCAGAATGCTTTCCAAGGTCAGGGAATGCCGCTGCAGCAAAGTGTTATCCAAGGCCAAGCAATGCCACTGCAGCAAGCGGTGGTCCCTCCAGGGCAGCAGATGGCATATGGCCAAGCCCCCCAAATGCACATTGCGCCACTGTCAGCTCCCCCTTTGACCCAAGGGGCTCCGATCTTGCAACCAGGCCAAATCCAGACTCAGGCAGTGCCTATGCAGGGATTACCAGTTGGTCAGCATGCACAGCCGCTACCGCAGCAGTATCAGCAGCAACAGCAGCAGCAGCAGAGAGTTGCTCAGACTCTCCCCAACTCGCCTTTAGCGACTCAGCTGCCACCACAACAATATCAGCAGCAGCAGAGAATTCCCCAGACTCTTCCTAATTCGCCTCTAGCTGCCCAGCCTGGTGCTCCTCCACCACTGCAAACACAACAACAGACATCTCCTACTAGCGGCAAGGAAAATAGGAAATCTTGGGGGAAATGGTTCAAGAGCAGTGGCTCCAAATCTGCGGCTCAGAGCCCAGTGGTTCAGAGACCGCAGCAAACCTTCCCTCCTGTACCCATTCCACAGGCAATGCCCGGTCCAAACCAGCCATTTCAAATGCAGGTTCCTGGTCAGCCATACCCTGTGGGCTTTCAAGGCGGACAGCCAGCTCCAGTGGCTCAGCAACAAATGCAGTTTCAACAAGCTGCGCCTCATCCAGCAACATTTGCTGGGCAACCTCCCCCAGACGCATCGTCTCTCATGCAAGGAAGTTCTACACTACACAGCCGTGATACATCAGATGCTGCATCTGTCTCTACGATATCATCTGATCTGAAGTTTCTGCCATCAAACAACCAGGCGATTGCTCAAGCACCAGCCCATGCTAATACAGGCAATGCTATGAACGACGCCTCGATGCAGCAATTTCAAAATGGCATGGCCCCTGCTCCGCTGTTTTCGGGGCCGTCAACGCCGAAAAAAGCAGTTGCACAAGATAAGTGGACGGGGAAGTCTCCCGTGGATTATTCCGGTGGTGATTGGGGGGATGATGACGAGGAGTTTTCATGATATACGGAGTGAGAGATAGAGATTTGAGATGAGATCTATACCCATTTCCCTTTGTGTATGGTGTTTTGCATAGGATTTCTCAGAGTAGTAGTACTGATACCTGGTACTTTAATGACATTTGTGTGAATTAGTCTCATATCATGGTGTTGATTGAGTGGGTGACAGTACAGTTGAGCTGTACCCATAAAATTACATACCTTAGTACCTACCTAATAGTAGTAATCGTGATTCAAACCATCTAATTACACATAGTAGCTTGCTAATTAGGCACCAGTGCTAATAATATTGAAAGCTGCGGTATTTGGCTAGATATCTTCACTGAACACTTGATGCACGTGATAGCGCGTTACAGTGGCGTAGAGACTCTTTCCAAGTACTCCCTTCTCTAACAATTGCCCCTCCAGATCCTTCTTTCACAGCACTCGAGCTTCGTTCCCAATCTTTATATCAGGAGACAATGCCATCATAATGACCCGATCGCGGCCGCTCACGCGAGCTGAGCAACTGGCGCTGGAAGAAAACCCCGAATCGCAAGACAGTCAAGCCATTCTCGATGCTCTAAAGGCAGAGTTCCAAGCCGCAACGGTACGTACCTCAGCTGGCCGGGGTCATACGTGCGTTTGCCTTGCTTGCGCGCTGACCCAGCATTTTGACCAATAAGTATCACGAGCCCCTTGCATCGCAGCCACAGCCCGGGATAGAGAGCGAGGGCGTCAAAGGAGGCGTTGATGATGCTGAGGCTGGAGATTTGGTCATTTCAAACCCCAGGAGAGGTGTCCGTCGGCCAGATAGTTTCAAGGTTTGTGCAAGGCCTGTAACACGTATTATTTTCTATGCAGCTACCCTCTCGTATGGCTGCTGCGTTTGATTGAGACAAAATTTTAGAGAGAGACACGTGAAAGCTGACAAGACCCTGCGAAAAAATAAAGAAGCAGCGGCAATCTACGCCACATGGATCCATTGCCATTCCCCATGGCGATGTGAATAATCTCACAGGCACAATTCGCAGAGTGGGACGCGAGGACCCCCGGACTCACCAACCACCGTCGCGACCAGGGTACCGCCAACAAGACTTGGACGATGCTGTCATAGCTGCGAGCAGCCCGTTCGGCCGAAATGCACATTCTCCATCCCCTCCACACCACGACACCTCCAACCAGAGCGACGAACCCCCTACCGTGCCAATTGGCGCTGGTAGGCCACAAGCAAAAGGCATGGACACGTCACAGCAGACGCCCACGCAGCTCAATGTAGAGCGAGACTATGGCCAATTCTACGGACCTCCGGGGTCGAGCCCACCGCCTGATACTTTGCGCTCACACGACGAGCGTGAACGGACGCTGCAAGCTGACGATACCGGTGCGGTCAACTTTGGGAACTTGAGTCCTGGGGTGCGTCCGTCTTCGCAAGTTTCAGAAGATGCAGGGTTCGAAAATACTCGTGGCGAATGGAGAGTGCCGGACGTGACCTCGCAACAGCGGTCAAGCCATGGCTACACTCCATTGAAACCTGGAGGTCAGCTGCCAGAGACGCCAATGCCACCGAAGAATCCCTTTGCCGTTCCGAATAATGCAACCGCCGGTGTCCCTTTTGCAGGCACGCAGCTCTTCGAGCAGACTCCTGTGGTAACCTCTGCTGTGAAAATCCACAGCCCTACGTCATCCCGACCGTCACCAAACATACTGCCCGACACGATTTCCTTGAATATTATCGAAACATCTCCTTTGAGAAATCGCGACAATGTGTCCTCGCCAACCGTTTTGCATACGTCGAGCCCTACTCGCCCGAATAATTTTCCCACAAACACAAGAAAGCCTAGGGTGTCTCCAATTCGGGAAGAGGCATTAGACGAAGACAGAGATGCCCATGATGACATGATTCCAGAGTCACCGACTGTTCAACCGTTGAGACCATACGGAAATCGACAACCCCAAGCTCATTATGAGCCAATGAAAAAGTCACAAGAGCGCAAAGCAATAGTGGAGGAGGTCCCTCAGGGTATTGACAGTGACTCAGACGATGCTATCATAAGGATGAGGCGTAAGAAGAAGATGGAGAAAATAAGACACCAGACTGCAGAAGAGATGGAGAGGGTAAGAGTACAGATACCCACACGGAGAGATTTGAGTGACAGCCGGAATCGAAAGAGAAGAAAGCTCTCCTCCGGTGGTGAAGAAGAGAATCTCCTCGATAAAAATGCAAGCTCAGGCCAAATGGAGCTTGCTAGTGCCCGCATTGATATGCAGAGTTCTCACAAAGGATCAAGTTTGCCTGAGCAGGGTCTATCAGCCGGATCCACCAAAGCAACCCCAAGAGATACAGTATCAGGCGATGGCAGCAGAAAAGTTGCAGCTATTCGATCAGGCAGAAGTAAAGAGGCAGCCTCCGAGGAGATGATTCCCGCTACTAGCCCTGTGAGATCCTTATCAACAGGCGCTCAGCGCGGCCCTCTACTTGCCTCTGAACCCGATCTGCCTCCATTAGTCGAGAGTGTGGCGAGGGAAAAGGAGGCCGAAAACGAAGCGGAAACTTCATCCTTGCCTCCACCCCGTCGACATGCACAAAGAGTCTACGGCAAACAAGTACAAAGCCGTCGTCGAAATAGAATCATTACTTCATCAGAAACTAATGAGAGAGTATCAGCGGAGCCAGATACCGAAGCCCAGAAGGGCCTTGGAAGTGCTAATAAGGCACTTGCTATACCTACCAGATCGGCCGTGGCTCGAAGATTGGCCGAACAGGGTGAGCCAATGCAGACAGGCAACACAGAAACAGAGCTACCGAAATCGTCCCCTCCAAGCTCTCGTTCTGCAGCGACCGCAGCAGCATCGTTTCGGACTCAGAGGCGCGATCGATCACCTCTTACACCTGTGCACCGTCGTGCGTTAGATCGGGGGGCTCATACCTCGTCAAGTTTAACAACCTTGTCAACGCCAGTGATTTCTGGGAAAAATACACCAGATACACAGGCCTCCTTAGCATCTGACGAACCAAAATCAACTTCCAATCTACCTTCCCCAGCTCAGAGTCGAAAGACGAGGGCTCGAAATACGGGACGGGAATCAAGAGAGAAGACTCCACAGCAACCCATCAAGGCGATGAAAACGAGTATGCGATCTGCACGTGTAGAACCTAGTTCTACCGATGAACTGCAACAAACACCATCAAGCAGTGCTGCCGAATTGGGCGTTTCCTCACTGAGATCTAGTAGGATCTTTAAGCAAAGCATCGGATCTACGTTTCGAGGACGAAGACTGTTTGAAGGCATGGTATTTGCGATATCAATGTCGCCTGACAAGGGGAATCAAAAGACTCGTGCAAATCTGGAGACAAAGATTAAGCAAGCGGGTGGCCTCATCTTGGAATCTGGCTTTGAGGAGTTGTTTGAGCCTTCTACTGTCATGAGCACCTACGACGTACCAGTTGGTGGTGATGCAGAACCTCTCAGTCTATCTAAGCAGAGCCTAAGCTATGGTTTTACCGCACTGATAGCAGATAATCACTCGCGGAAAGTCAAATACATGCAAGCATTGGCCTTAGGGTTGCCTTGTCTTGCATACCAGTGGGTAATGACGTGCCTCAACAAGGGAACTCTGATTGATTGGGAGCCCTATCTCCTCGCAGCCGGATCATCTGCTGTTTTAGGAAATGCCGTGAGATCTAGATGCTTGCGTCGATACGATGCTGCAGATGCCAGGCTCGTAGAGATGGTTGAGCAACGACCACAATTACTTGCAGGCGAAAAGCTACTTGCACTTGTGGATGATTCAAGAACACGGAATGAAGGAAAGAAGAAGAAGAGCGACCCAGAGAAAAAGCCGTACATGTTTCTCGCTCAGGCGCTGGGTCCGTCTATATCATGGGTTTCAACGATATCGCAGGCTCGTGAACTGCTCGAGGCACACGACAAGGCAGGCAAACCGTACACCTGGTTATACATGGATGAATCCATCGGCCCTGTTGAATCGGTGCTCACGATATCCGAGCCCACGGGGAAGAAACGGCGGAGATCTCAGGGGCCGTTGGCAACGAGGAATGTTCGTGTCTTGTGCGATGAGCTTATGATTCAAAGCCTCATTCTCGGCAGAATGGCAGAGGAAGATGAAATGGATTACGCGGGAGAGAAGAATTGAGAGCCGACGAAATGGCCCGGGCGTTTTGGAATATTGTGGCTGGGCAAGAGATTTCTTTACAGTAATGGGTGGCTTCAGCTTCAATCTAGCACGTAAAGTGCATTTTATGGTGGTATTAGAGACCATGCATGGTTCAAAAGGCATGGCTAATTGGATTTGTGGCGTTGGATTATTGAGGAGGCTGGATTTGAATTCAAAGGGTACTTATTGCGAGTGCCACAACTGTTTACTTCTGTACTTGTTGGATGAATCAACCTGGCTATGGAGCGAATAGAAGCCCAGCATATGGGATGCGAAAATACAGATGATCCAAGTTAATTATTTCACATACTGCTGTGTGTTGTAGGCCAACGATTTAAGCTTGATGCGATGTGTCAGCTTTATGCTCTGATGTCGGTGTAATATTCTGTCACATAATATCCTCTAGTCCGTAAACTCTTACACACGTACACTATTATTAGGAAGGCGTATAATATTTATGGGGTACTCTTAAAGGCGAAATGGATATATATTTTGTAAAATACCTAGGGATAATAGGAGTTGAGGTCTTTAAGCTACATATGTAACTTTTCAAGGGCCACAGGGTAGATATACCGTTGTGTACTACTACGTACGGGTAGCTTTGCGAGATGCACTTATAGCGGGAACGTGCCTTATGTTCCCATGAGTATCAACCACATTTTGAGAATTTCGCGTATAATGTTTTCCCTTCCACTTGTTGAATTCTGGAGTGAAGGCACTTATCTCGTCAACAGAAAGAGCAGGATATGTTCTTTGCACATGCACACAAGCAAATGAAGGGATCAACGAAATCTTCGCTGCGCCTCAAGGCTTGGGAGTCAGGCCGCCATGTGATAGCCCAACCTAGTACTCCATGCCTGCCGGCTGCGAAGCTGCGCATAATACCTTGAGAGGCACCCAATAAGAAACCAGGTGATCTCAAATTAGTCAGGGCATCCTTCAAAGAAGAAGCCAATGGAACGAGAACATCCGGCGGATTCTGTTATCCCACTTTTTTCCACATCAGTCAACTGCAACTCTTCGGGTCAGAGGTGTTATTGTGTTTTTTTTTTGAATTAATTCCAAGGCCTTCGGTGACTATGTCAGCCTCAAAGACAACTAAAACCTGGATCCTAACCAGATCGCAAACCTATGAGCCTGGCAAGAGCTTGCGTCTTGGCCAGGTCCTATTGGATCCACGACGGCCAGCGGACGCACTGTTTTCAAAGTCCTCGAGCTTCCTACCTATCCCAGCAGAATATACCAGAGATTTAGGCGAGAAGAACAACGTCACCATAAAAGTCGAATCGAAGCTTAATGCATCCTTCACAGCTTGGGGCAAATTGAACAGCACACCGGTCACAGCAAAGGGGAATGCGGCTACAAACCAGTGGACCACAAAGAAGTGGATTTTGCAAAAGCTCGAATCGGAAACATTCCTTCCCGAGTTGGAATACGTGAAAGAAATCTTGAAGAGAGGCGATGTGCCCGCTGCGACTAAGTGGTGGAGGCTGCAACGCAGGATCTTCTTAGTGACTGGTGTGAGAATTGCGCGTGGCGCCAGTGTCTCATTGGAAACCGACTCACACAAGACTTCGGCCAGCATTAAGGCTGGACTAGATGGATCAAGTCAGGGTGTGCCAGTGCAGGCAGGCTTAGGCGCAGCTCTCGGACAGGAGACGGAGCAAATCGAAAAAGCAGAGGAGTCGTCCGACTTTGTCTTCGCCTATCGTCTGCACGAGATTACGTGGATTGCTGGAGTAGATAAGCGTGTCTATACTGGCGGTGACGTCGAATCTGTTCGTGAGAGTCACGCCCCTGTCGATCAACAGGTCAAGAGTGATGCGGACGAGATTACGGGTTACGAACTCGAAAGTCTCGAGCTCTTTGATGAGGAGGGCGATGTGGACGACATGGTAGAGTAATATCGCGCACTGTAATGTCTAGTTGATGCACTTGTACTTTGCAAAGATGCTAGGACATGCACTTCCTCAGTTCCTCTGAAACCCTGTGAACAACATTATCTCGTGATACCTCAGGTGCAAAGAGAGCCCACGGCTTGATGTAGCAATATTGCGGTGGCCGTGGCGGCCTGTCTCCTGCCATGCAACCCCGCAGGACTGCCGTCATCCCCTTAGTCAATAGCAGACGATCATGATGCTGAACATTGGGGCCGCCTTTTTTCTCCATTCGAGAGAATTCTAAGACGAGTCCAGCAGTCCCAGCAAGCATCGCTGTCGCCATCGAGGTTCCGGTCATGCGCTTGAGAGGTTGATTGCCGTTCTTGGCCAAGGGAAAAGCCGCCTGCAACTCCTCTCCAATGATACCAATATTGCTTTCTTCTGAATTACATGTTGGACTGAAGCTAGATGGGGAACCTTGGTGTGTACAAGAGTTGACTCTGATCACTTCGTTCATGGATGCTGGAAACCCTACGGGATTCTCGAGGTCGTGCTTGTTATTGGATGCAGCAGCAAAGATTAATACGTCTCGCTGTCCTTTTGCCTTGTAAATGGCTTTATGTATTGTGTAGTGAAATTGCGTGAAGGCGAAGCACATGACGATGATGTCAACACCACACTGAACAGCCCAGTCGATTGCCTGCATTCAATCTCAGTATCGATGCTGGGTGAATTCCACCCGCCAGGTCACGCACCTCAGGAATTCTCTCCACAGCCCCTTCATCTCCCGTATCTGTTTCAAACACCCTTGCAACATATAGCCTTGTAGTTTGGCACACCTTTAGGATAAGATGCGCGCAGTGCGTTCCATGGCCAGTGCTATCTCTAATAGGTGACTCCCCTGGATTCACAAAGTCACGGCAGTAACCGCCCGTGATTCTACCGTCATCTCTGAACGGCTTGAATTCGGGATGGTCAAGGTCAATGCCTGTGTCCAAGATGGCAATTTTGACAATCTCTTTTTTCGGAGTCGGTTTCCTCCTGTATTGGGCGAAGAACCTATTAACCTTCCCCATCAGATTTCGATTGGAGAACCAATTATCAGCCGCTGCTTGGCTAATGCAAGTTAGCACACACGCTCATGGTCACTTATATAGCACGTACGCCGCAGTTGTGTTATTTACAGACATGACTTCCACAGAGTCAAAAACAGTGTCTCCCCATGAAGTAATTGAAGGAACAGGAACAGCCTCAGAGGGCTTCATACCCGCCTCTTCCTCCCTGCTCAAGATTAGTAGAATTCTCGATTTTATGGAACTACTCACCCAGCAGAATGATCGCGGGTTGTGTGAGCACGATCAGAATCAAAGATCTCTTCGTGTAAACTACGTTGGATTAGGGTTAGATCTGCTAGGACTTATCTTTCAAAAAGGTGGTTATTCCGGTTAGGAAGAGGTGATGAAGAAAACTGCCGATGAGATGCAGGTCTCACTGCGTTGACTGATAATAATGTCTGACGTTCATAATAATACATACCTTGAAGAGACTGTCACTGAGATGGTAGAAGCCTCGTCAATCTGATCAGAGAGAATATTGCCGAATCCTTTCTTAGCCTCAATTGTGCTAGGCAGCATTCGGTTGAGGTTTGAAATAGTGGAAACCTCGTCAACCTGATCATGGAGAGTATTGTCGAACCTCGTCTCGGCCTCAATTTTGATAGCAGGGATTTGATAGAGAAGATCTTTAGCATATGCAGCCGCCGCCATTGCTGCACATCCTTGCCACTCCTTGTTTTTGTGGGCGTCCGCATAGTCGGATATGCCCACTATAACTAGACAGGGGAAGTTGTCCATACCGCCGGCCCATCCTTGGTCAAAACACAGAACGCCCTCTGCTGCTGCAAGTTTATCTCTGAGTAAAGCATCCCTTATCGATGCGTTTCCCGAGGCAATTAAACCATAATGAATCGCCGGGTTATCCTCTTCCTCACCCCGTTCTTGTCGGAGTATCATGAGTGATGGATCATCACCACAAAACGTAGCACAGTCTCCCCCATCCTGATGAGTGACATTGATGCGATAAAGCCTATCACTTCTTGGATGTGGTCGATCATATTTCCTCTGTAACCTTGGTCTGTTCAAGAGGATGTCATGGACAAGCTCTTCAAGCCGGTGGCCCACGATCTCGTACTTGGCGATAAGTTCATTTACCGCTGTTTGCAGAATTGGTGGCGACGCGCTGGACACTCTAGTGGTGTAGAATTCCTGGTCTTGTATCGCTTTGCTCAAGTCGAACTGGTATACGCCACCCTCCCCATTGGGCGGAATGCCAACCACGATGTCGCCCAAACGAATATCATGCTGTTGACTTGGTACACCGCTGCCGATGACGACCATCAGAAAGAATGCGATGTTGGGAAAGCTGCGTAGCATATTTGTAGCGACGATTGCTGCAGAGGATGTAGTAATATCTCCTCTTGGGAGGATGGCCATAACAACATTGTGCTTCCCGATTTTGCCCAGAGTGTAGCTGCTGTTGTCACCAGGGGCCACATCGTCAGGACGGTCGTGCGCCTCGTCGAGAACAGCTTGGGCGGCGACGTACTCGGTAATTATAGTGCAGATCCAGCCGACAGTGTAATCCTTCGAGTTCAACATGGTTGCTTCTAGATTAAGGACAATATAGCATAACGTCAACAAGCATTGTTTAGATGTGCCCAACCTGACGGAACCAACTGCTGAGGACAAAGTCAAAAGATTAGTTATGAAGCGGACTAATAGGGCCGTAATATGCTCAAAGTTCAGAAGGCATTCCTGATCAAACGCTGTAAATGAGGACGGTCGTGAAGTGCGAAAGACTGGGGATGGAAAGATGAAGGAAGATCAGGGACCAGATGGGGCAAGGCACACCTGGACGCGGACTACTACTATAGTTCCCGCTGTTAGTCGGGCTGCCTCTCCTACAAAGTACCTCCTTAGTACCTACCTTAGTACTATTGGTACAGGTGCCTTATAACAAGGGAAGGGCTATTCAGCAACCCAAGTTGGCTATCCAGCACCCCAGCGATTAAAAAGGGTTACGAATATCGTAACAGCGCAGAACAAAGATCTTTCTTATCACTATTACTTAAATAACTATACGGTTCCTGGAGTGTTTACTATTCTCGCTACTTTCTGCTACTATCCATATTTTCCTCTACTATCTGCCATCATTACGACCTCGGACGCTTTAAATTTGAGAACGGGATACTAAATAGCGAACGTGGGGTGCTGAATAGCCATTCCCTATATCAACTACAGGACTACCCTGCGGCCCTTAAAAAATCGGGCATGTAGGCACACAGCTAAATAGGTCATCAGCGACACGTATTTCGCCTTCTACTATAGCATCTTCGATTTTACATTGACTTTCCAGCACGCATACAGTATCGTCGCATTAAGTCATTAGAATGTTATGTAAAGCATCTCCTTTGGATCCTTAATATGATGCATTCTGGAATCAACTATTGCCAGCAGACTTATCTTCTGAGATCTGAGGAGTACTACTGTACACATCTGGCACCAGCCACGCAAGCCACATAATACATGTAAGTGATCTAACACAAGACGGACACTCGTATCACCTTTTGACTATACGACGATCGACTATGCATATTTTTAGCTCAGCACTTAAAAAAAGATGCCCGTCTTGTGCCATGATAAAGGCTGTGCTTGCTTTTGACAAAACTCCGACCCCTGCGGCTCATGCTACGGCGTTTCATGCAGCTGACAAGGCAGCAATGGCAATACTTATATCTAGCTGTAGCACTTACGAATCTCTTTTCCTTGGATAAATGTAGAGATATTACACCGCATAGGTAGCATATCTTGTTTGTTTGTTTTCTCTTGTAGAAGCTCTCTCCAGCTTTCGACAAAAATCGTCGCCTTCCAGGAAACCAACGCCACCATGGCAGACTTAATCCCGACATCTACTCTCTGCGATGTCTGCACCGGCATCTTCGCCGGAAATTGGCAGCCTCAGCTGAGAGGCTGGAAGAGGGCCATCAAGAGGCCAAACGCCCCACCCGATCCGATCAACCCGGAACCAGCCTTCGGAACGGCGTACGACCACGGCATGGAGCCGTACGTGCACCGCACTGGCGCTCCGCCGACGCTCTCCTATCCGCACTACTCGGTTGAGGATCTGCGCAAGTCGGGGGCGTCGTGTGCGCTGTGCCAGACGGTGGTATTGGCGTTTGACGCGCTTCATCCGCGGAACGATATCGGCATGGATTATATGGAGGGGCGGAAGCCGTATGGTGTAGCCGCCTGGGGCCAGGAGGAGATTGCAAAGGCCAAGGGATATGTCTTTATATACACTGAGAAGAACAAGACCAGCAAGCTTATTTTCCGCTATCATGTGTACGCGGACTGGGCGGCGAACAGGAACATGGATGTGAATCCGATAGTAGGAGAGCGGGAGGGCAACGTGAAGGATGTGACGCTAGATATTCATGGTGAGTTTGAATCAACTGTGAAGAGGGATTTCGTCCCTCCAATAAGTGTGTATCTCTGTGCTGATGAGTAACCCAGATTTGTCCAAGGAGGAGAACAAGCACTACATTGCTTGGATGGATCAAGGAACCACGATAGAACGAGTCCACCGGTTTCTCAACGACACGAGCGACTTCGCCAAGGATTTACCCAAGAACCTTGTTCGACAGCTCCCAACACGCCTTCTCCATCTGACTGCCGGATCGCCAGGACCGATGGTGCGACTAATTGATGGAGCAAACGTTTGTCTCGACGTCAACACCCCTTATATTGCCCTCTCCCACAGCTGGGGCAATACCATGCCCATCCAATTAATTGCATCGAGGCTCACTGAATTCACCAATGAGATTGCGTTTAGTGATCTACCTGCAACATTTCGTGACGCCGCGGCTTTGACGCTCGAGCTGGGTGTCTCATACCTCTGGATTGACTCCCTTTGCATCATCCAAGATTCCGCTTCCGACTGGCTCCACGAAGCACAGCGCATGGCATCCGTATACGCCTTTTGCCATCTCACCATTGCCGCATCAGCCTCCAAAAATCCCACCACGGGCTTGTCGCCAAGCCCTCGACCTCGTACCGTCATCATCCGTCCGACGTGGACCGGATTTATCCAAGAATGGGGATTGCAGCCCGGTCAGACACTCCGAGTTACCAATCCGTGGTACCAAGACTTTGGCAACACGATTGTCTCTGCTCCCCTCAACCGTCGCGGGTGGACCTATCAGGAATATGCGCTCTCCCCACGCGTGCTGCACTGCACAGATGGTGAATGGTGGTGGAACGGTATCAGCGATGAGATCTATCGTGAGACATCTACCAACCCCACTAGGTTCTTTACTGGCTCTGGGAGTATCACTTGGCCAGATAAACTGTCTTTTTTCAACAAGGAGAGGCGGCGTATAACTAGAACTCCGGATGTTTGGTTCTGGGATTACCTCACTTCTCAATACAATCAACGAGCTCTGACAAAACGAAAGGACAAGTTGGTGGCATTTGGAGCAGTGGCCCAGCTCTTTGGTCAAATTAATGGCTTGCCCGTAGACAAGCCCGGCGAATATGTCGCCGGAGCATGGCGAACCTATCTACCTTTTGGGCTCCATTGGAGCATAGGGGAGAATGCAGAGCGACATGTCAGCCAGCCAGGCTCTGAAGATGAGGACTATGTGATTCCATCATGGTCATGGGCTTCCATAGATGGTCTGGTGCGCTTCCACGATGGCAAGTCGCTGGAGAAGACACGAGAAGAGCAAACTAAAGGCATGCCGCGACTGGTGGATGTAAACGTAGTAACCGAAGGAGGGCACTTTGGGCCAGTAAAAAGTGGTTACATCGTATTGCACGGCCCAATCTTTCGAATCCGCGTGAGCAAAAAGGCGAGGGACCACAAGCAAAGCGGATTCTATCGCAATTTTAGGGTCCTACGGAGCGACGACTCGGAAGCATGGCAGCATGACGGACAGGCCTTCTCCCTCGACACATGGAAAGGCAAGCTGGACGAATGGGCGGACGACCGGGAGATGTATTTGATGATAGCCGACTTTGACAAGGAAGATGAATATGGCTCTGCATTTGCCATTTTGTTGGAACTTGCTGGGGGCGTAACGAAGGAGAAAGGCGTATTTCGACGGATTGGATCGACCCTGTTCTACTTCCATGGCCTCACGAAGCTTATGAAGGATGTGAGGCAAGACGGTAACGAAGCGCTGAGAGACGGGGAATACATGGACATTGACCCCAAGACCGGCTTCTATACGTATAAAATCGTCTAAGCATAGCCTGAAGAATGCAATTGTTCATCGGGGGTAAGAGCTGCTCCACCGTAACTAAACATTGAGCGCGACGCCAGCGGCTGGCTGGAGCTGAACAGAAATCTCTTGGCTCCCGATGCATCTGAGTAGATCTACTAAATCCAGCCACGATGACGCCAATGTCCTGGAGACATTCTCGAGACTAGGATAGTGACATCGTGCACGGGAGGCATTGGTGGAGAAGCCTTTAGTCTTAGCGTGCCCTGTCAACCGCAGTGTTTCCATCTGGCCTTGGTGGAAAGCTCCGAGAAGGGCGATCTGTTCGGCTCGCAGATTATGCCTGAAAAGCAAAGAAACAAGAGAGCTGGGGAAATTGGACCCAGCGTCTAACAGCAGTTGGTATTAGCGTGGGATCGCCCAGTTCCTCTGCAGACAGTTTCAAAGATCCACGTTGTAGTAGTATTAGAACGGACGCTATCTCGGTAATCGAGGCTGTGCAAACCATATCGGCGCAGGGGAAATAAGCACGATATGAGACCTGCAGCATAAACCGCAAGCATATAATTGAAGACGAACAGATAATCGGTTTCTTCAATTGCTGTAGCGTTGGCAAACCACCCAAATCAGTTTGTTAAATCACCAGCTGTTGGCATCAGTGGCGCAGAAAATTCAAGTCAAAGGTGTAGCAAACTTGATTTGCGAATTCCAAAATGGCTTCTAAAGCTCCTTATATGAAAGAGAGAGAGACACGCGCAATGCAATCGTCAATCGTCCATCGCGGCCGTTGTCGTTACAGTCTTAGAGATCAAGTGGTGACGTATCGTTTTCCTGTCTTGAGGATTAGTTCGCGGTGATAAACGGCGACGCCACTCCCGTTCGCCTAAATAGTCAACGAGTGCCATAATATCCCTAGCACTCCGATGGATTTCTGCTTTGATTTTGGTTTCATCTTGGCCAACGGTCAAATGAGTTTGTAACCTGCTTTGTCATCTCCCATGACATTCTCGTAATTGCAGTCAGAAATATTACCATTCTGTGAAAGGTCTATCTGTTCATCAGTAGTCAGAGAATCGGATAGATAGTAATCATGATGACCATCGTCCCCATCATATGAAATAGCCTCAACGTCATCAAGGAAGAAACGGCACCTAGCCTTCCGCCGCTAACTTGGATCGCCGCATTTCAAGACAGACGCTCTGGTAGCATCAGCACGTGCTCGTTCGATTCGACGGGTCCCAGGTCGCAAGATGCGTGGGAGCGAGTATTACGGACTTCGGACGTCTGCACGAGCCGATGGATGGATAAGTGATGTGAACGACTAATGGTATCAATTTCCGGACAATCCGGAGGGCTGAGAATTTTGAGTTGGGCAAGCTTAGTGAGACCCATTGCCGTCCACATTATTAGGATTTTATGCGTAAGGGGTTCTACATTCCCAAACTTCAGGTACCAGCAACACTTGACTTCAAGTTTTGCTCTGTCGCCTAGAATCTCATGTTTCGCTTCGTGGTGCCCGTCAATGAACACACGGTGCCCAGGATACTTGCCCGCTCACACGAGGAAAAAAACCCCACGTCCAGTTAATATACTTTGCCAGACTCTGCTCACCGAATCAGACGGCACGACCTTGGTCTTGGCAAAAGCATTTGTGGCGCTAGACGGTCAGAATCCACATACTCTCTGGGTTGCCAGAGCCGCGGAGCTTTGCAAGGGAGTAATCAAGTCGGCAGTTAAGCTCCTGCACAGTGCAGCCACGATACACTATGAATGGCGACCAAACGGCTGTCTCTTCTATTAGCATGAATCCTCTCAGCCACATGCAGCACGGTTCTTGGAGGCTGGCGACGATCCTTTGCCTCGCTTGGAGGGGATTCGGATCGAGAAGCCGATTATAACCCAGTCGTGGAGGGAAGCTTTATGATGTGAGCACCGATCTTGCGTTTCTTCTCACGAGTCACGCGACACCACTTACACACACAAAGCAGCGCTGCCCTTCTCAGTGAGCGATGCATATTGGTACTGTGCCACCCACCCCTGCCGAAAACAACGGACCAGTTGAGACCGAAATATGGAGCGGGCACGCGACAGCTGCTGGAAGATGGAGCCAGAACAGCTTCGAGCTAGGCCTCTGTGGGATGAGATAACAGCCCTTTCGCTTGTTGCGGCCTGGCAATGGCTGGCTGCAGACATCAACTCAGCAGAGCGGCACGAAGTTGCCGCTGCTTTCGACATTATCCGCCAAAAGAGCCTTGCATGGGAATTGATACGAGTATCAATAGGATGAGGACTGCCACCATGCAGAAGTGGAAAGTTCCGCATGCTAGTCCGCTGCTGAAAAGCTGAAAAAGACCGTCCCGTGTCAACCCATCACTCTATACAATGGGTCCCAGATATCAGGCAGGTGTTGAAGGCAAGGAGAAGAGGGCCTCGGCCTCTTTCTAATGTGCGCCTTTGCAAAGGAGTAGAACATTTTTTTTCCCTTTCCGGGTTTCGGGTGGGCACCAACGCCGCGAGCCTTTTGCAATTGAAGTGCCGCTCTTCTTGTTTTGCGTTGTAAGTCTTGGGTGTAAACGGATACATCGGGAAGGATAAATTTGTCTTCCATGGGCCAGATGCTGACAGCGCATGGCTATCTATCCGACAACTGAGAAACTCTCGAGAGCTTTGCTGGGTTAGAGCCCAGAATGTGAGAGCAACAAGCAGGATATACGAGTAGCAAGGGGTGTGGTCAAAACCCAATACCCATCCCACCCGCTGATGCCATTAGCCTAACATCCATGACGCTGCATCACCTCGGCGGCTTCATTCGTAGTCTAACTTCCTCCTTCACATAGACCCTCCCTCCATACTTATCCCACTGTGGCTTCGGGGCCGAGGTTGTTTGTCTCCGGATGGGAATTGGTCCAGGTACTTGCGAGGAATGTGTGGTTATAGTACGCCACGCTCCGTACTAGATTACGAGACAACGGAACCAAGGGTGTGGGAAAGTTGCCGACACTGGTACCCAAAAGAGTCCGTTCCCCGTGGCGCTGTCCGTGATGTCTTGCTGTTTGTAATATCTGTACGTGCCTGCATGGTTCCATATCCACTAGCCCTCGCATTCCATCATAGCTCGAGTGCCTGGCTCATATTTGTCGCCTCTAGCCATCTGCTTATCATGTTTGCTCGGCCTCTTTGCATCTTCTCACCTCCTCTTTCCTGAGTCCTTCCCCTCCTGTCCTTTAATTAATTAATTGATTCTCGTCATCATCATCTGGCGTTTTCCTTCATCTTCAAAGTCGCCTTTTGAGAGCTGGTAACTCTTTCAATGATCTTTTTTCGTCTGTTAGATGTATTTGCCACAAGTCGACAATAATTATAATATCTGTGCTCTTTTTACCATGGCTGTCGGCGCGTTCCTAGAGCCATTCGTGGTTGTGTCGCTTCTGTTTGGCGGTGCTTGGTTCAACAGAAACAAGGAGTATGACTTTTGGAAGGGGACCCAAGGCTGGGCTGGCGGCAGCACCAGTCACAAACGAAGAGATGACTTTGGAGTAAAGCGTACATCAACAGATAGCAGTCCTACTTGGAGCTCTGGTTCATCGTCGCCCACTCTCTCGTCTGATGATGAGTCGCCTTGGTCTCTCACATCTCGGCAGCGGAACATTCGATTTTTCGGATATAAAAGGACTGTCAGAACTCCCAACACTCTCATCTTCAAAGATCGACTCCTTAGCCGAGTTCTCCAAAAGTTTCCCTTTCTGGTTGAAGCGTGGTATTGGGCTCTCATCTATTGGGTAAGTCGAGCTCCTGATATTGGTAGCTGCATCGCGCTCTTCCATCATCCGGACGACTAATTTCTCTTGGCTGTTTCGATAGGTATACCAATTGGGTCGCGCGTTTACGGCCGTCACCGTTGTCGAGGGAACTGTCCATGTCGCGCGAAAGCATGCCCTGAAGCTGGTTCATCTGGAGCAACGCCTCGGTATCTTCTGGGAGGTGGCCTTCCAGCAATGGTTTTTGGAGCGTCCTGTTTTGTTGCACTGGATAAACCGAGTCTACTCCTTCATTCATATTCCTGGAACAATCTTCTTCCTGGTAGCATTGTTTTATCTTACTACCTCTCAAAAGCGTCGGGGAATGAATGGTGGAGCCCGAAACGACATCGTACCCGCAGGGCCAGCATTATACGAAGCCAGGCGTCGAACGATGGCCATGTGCAATCTTCTTGCCTTTGTCGTCTTCACGGCATGGCCTTGCATGCCCCCTCGACTATTGAGTGATCCCAACTATAACGGACCTGATGCTCCGGAGGCGAAGAGCTTTGGCTTCGTTGATAGCGTCCACAGCAGCGCGGGCGAGAGCAGCGTTTGGACAACGAACCGATTCTGCAACCAATATGGTAAGCATCAGACGATATCCATTAAGATTGTGTCGATGAGCTAACCTTGTTTCTCTGGCAGCTGCCATGCCTTCTCTGCATTTCGGCTATTCTCTCCTTGTTGGCTTGACCGTTGCGACTCTCCCCGTCAATGGCGTTCGACCCAACTCCTGGAAGCGCGTAGCTAACGGCGTTTTGGGCTTATCTTACCCAGCACTCATCTTCACAGCCATTGTAGCAACCGCAAATCACTTCATCCTGGACGCCGTTGCCGGAGCGATTGTTTGCGGCATTGCTTGGAACGCGAACGGCTTGCTGTTGAACCTATGTGTTTTTGAGGACTACTTCCTGTGGGTTGTGCGGATTCACAAGCCCGTCAATCACACCGATCCCGAAACTGCAGTTGAGCTAGAATTCCACCCGATTCTCCTGTCGGAAGAAGTTTAGAAGGTGGATCGATCTTTGCTTGAAGGGACTGGGTTAAACTTTGGCCATCAGGGCTAAGCGAGATACAAAGAGGTTTTTCTCCGGTCGTTGTGTAACGCTTGATGACGGAATTTTATTAAAGCGGATAAACGAATATTGGCGTACGGTGTACCTATGAGGGAGGACATTTATTATCAATGACGGACTGATTTATCTAGCAGTGGCAGAGGATATGGATGCATGAGATTAATTTTGTATTCGCTGTATGTGGACGAAGTATTTATAATGTCAAATATTAAAGGCCGATGACATAGAGAATACTAAAGCCGATGAAATGCTAAGCTCGATACACCGCGAATGTCGGTCAGTGACAGACAATAGGTACTCTGTGATATTTGCTTTGCCAGCTGTTGTTGGTGGTGAATGCCAGCAGTGCTTCATACGCTAATGGGCAATGGCTCCGAGCTTCGGGGAGGCGTCTCGTATTCTTCAAGCTTCTAGACTGGCTATTCGTTCCAGACTGATGCTTTGATGATGAGCCATATAGATAGAGTTGGCAAAAAAGAGAAAAAAAAGAAGAAAAAAGAAAAAGCAACCAACAGTCCAATGGGGAAGACGATGATGATGCGGTTCCGCGTAGGACAGTACGTAGGCATTGTCTGAATAGGGTCAAGAGCCAGGCGACTTGCGGTTAGCCTGGTCGCAGCGATTCCGCCTCGCCTGGCCACTGCCGCGCAAACGCCACAGCGAGTACCGCTACCCGCGCCGTCGAACAAAGGCCGCCGCATCCTCCGGTAGCTGTACCCAGGCATCAGCCCCTCTGCGGGTGACCTCTGGTGCTCTGATGGCCTCTGGTGGCCTCTGGTGGCGGGGCACATGCGCTGCGCGTCTCTCCGAGTCGTCATTCAGCTGCTCACATGCAACTCAATTCCGCAAACGAACTTTTGTTCTACGAGATGCTCCTTCAAAGGCGCTGCAACCCTCCGTTTTGCTAGACACTTCTCTGGAATATCCCCATCTTGAGTTCTGTCTTTTTTTTCACGCCTTTCTTTCCCTAGGCCCCGTACGGACGTCGAAGAGGCAGCTGGAGGTTCTACTGTCGCAAAGCTAACCGTTACGTCAACGACGATCACGATCGATCTACAAAGAGAGCGCTCGCATCATGACCTCTAGCCAGGCTTCTCAGGGTGGCTCTGCCCGACCAACGTCGCCGACTGGGAGCTTCTACGCTATGAGTGACGATTCTGAGGGCGGCTATGAGACCATTACACACATGGAATCTGGCAGAGGAGTGAAGCTGCTGTTTTCAAAGAGCAAGGTGCGCAGTGCGCTCTGCGGCGATGCCTGTTGCAACAACTGACATTCTCTAGGTCTACGTCCACCCGACACCATCCTCAAAAGACAATATCTGTGGCTACATAGCTCTGCTGCAGCAGAAGGGACCAAGGCGTGATCGCCCCTCCACATCATCTTCGACAAAGAGTATTGCGTCTTCGGATCTCCTTCTTGCTTGGGTTCCCGAATCGTCACTCGGTGACTCGGCGAGCATCTATGTCAAGGTGGATCTCTCCGATGCCGACTCCCCTCCAAAGCAGTCATATCTTGTCCCTCCACCTCCTACCGTGACCTCCCACAGCAGCTCCGTTGGTGGCTACGCGTTTGCCATCCCTGTCAGTGCCATATACTCTCTGTTAGTCCGACCACCGAGTATAGGCTGGTGGTATGGCTCTATCATCATCAACTCTCGAGGAGGCGATAGCTTTCCTGCCCTCTTCTTTCATGATGACGAGTGCCAAAGCACCATCCTTCAGAAGAAGAAGTTGGCCCGGGAAAACTTCGATCCGTTTGGCGAGAATGGCCAGATGTTTTGGGGCGCAGATGAAGTCCTGAGATGGCTAAAGAGATATATCAAGATTGAGAGGTCCGGGGCAGAGCCCAACATTTATCTCGTTGAACCTAGTAAAGAAGATCTGGAGAGCTTTGGCGCTAGAATGACAACGACAAAAGCACAAGGAAAAGCCAAGGCTGGGAGCTCAAGCAAAAAAGATGCCCAGATGGACCCCTTTATGAAATTCGTCAAGGAGACGGGATGGAGCCTCATGGAGCAGTTTAGCAAAGTGACCACTTTGACTAGGAGAGCAGCGCAAGACTTGTCAGAAAATCCTAACCTGCCTCCTCAAATGCGAAGACTGCTCAGAAATCCCGAGGTTCAGACACTACAAGATGAGTTCGACAGCGCAAGAATATATCTTGCCCGGTGGGCGATGGGCATGGCAGAGCAGAGCGAGCGTGATCATCGGCAGAGAATCTGGACTGTTCGGGATGTTATGGAGCTCGAAGATACTGATGTCGGAGAATTTGAGCTTCTTGATGGAACACATTCCATGTCCTTTGAAGACAGGAAGCAGCCATTATCGATAGAGGAGTGGGACGCATTTTTTGACCCTGAGACCGGACGATTATCCATCTCAGTTGATGAAGTCAAGGAGCGCATCTTTCATGGCGGACTGGACGCCGACGATGGGGTCAGGAAAGAAGCGTGGCTATTTTTGTTGGGCGTGTACGAATGGTACAGCACACTTGATGAAAGAAAGGCCACAATTGCCTCCCTGAGAGACCAATATTACAAGCTCAAGCAGTCTTGGTGGAATCGACTGGAGGGAGAGGGAGGAGAGGGGGATGACGGCGAGTGGTGGCGCGAACAGCGCGGCCGTATCGGTAAGCTATACTTCAATCCGATCATTTGCGTCGAGAGCATACTAACGACTACGCTGCAGAGAAGGATGTTCATCGAACTGATCGAAACGTCCCCATCTTCCACGGAGAAGATACTCCTCATCCAGATCCAAACTCGCCGTTTGCCGAGGTTGGCACCAATGTGCACCTCGAGCAGATGAAGGAGATGCTTCTGACGTACAATGAGTACAACAAAGAGCTCGGATATGTCCAAGGCATGTCTGATCTCTTGGCTCCAATTTATGCCGTGGTCCAGGATGATGCGGTGGCCTTTTGGGCATTCCAGATGTACATGGATCGCATGGAACGCAACTTCTTGCGCGACCAGTCAGGCATGAGAAGCCAGCTGCTGGCTCTAGACCAACTTGTTCACTTCATGGACCCTAAGCTCTGGGATCACTTGCAAAAGACCGACAGCACCAACTTCTTCTTCTTCTTCCGCATGATACTGGTCTGGTACAAGCGAGAGTTTGAGTGGCTGGACGTGCTTAAGCTTTGGGAGTGCCTGTGGACGGACTATTACAGCTCTAGTTTCCACCTCTTTATTGCCTTGGCTATTCTGGAGAAGCACAGGGATGTTATCATGACACACCTGCAAGCATTTGATGAAGTCCTCAAATATGGTAAGCTGCAAAATCTCGACACCCCCGTTACATGACAAATTACTAACACATGTCAAAGTGAATGAGCTATCCGGCACTATTGACCTCGAATCGACGCTGATTCGCGCCGAGGTCCTTTTCCGCCGTTTCCAGCGATTGGTTGAGGCAGTTGACAAGAAACATAACTTCCCACCTCCTAGAACTGAGAGCCCGGCTCAGTCAAACGCCAACACAGCTAACCAGACTCCTTCAAAGGGCAAAGCCAACACAGCGTCGCCAAAACAAGAGCGGGTAATCACCCCCGAGCTGCGAAAGCTACTTAGCCGAAAAGTCGAGTTTTTGGAGAAAAAGCCCAAGGCGGCTGTGAAGGTTGATGGATCAGCTGATTCAAAATGAGAAGAGGGTGTTTCTCCTTTTCTGAAACTAGCTATTTGAGTTTCTTCTTTTATCTTTTGTTATTGGATATGTATTTTTCTATCTGTTTCTTGTTTTCCAAGCATGGAGGCCATGAAGAGTCCTGAGACAGGGGCGTTATTATTTTGTTTTGCCAGTACTTGGTCTATACGCAGCGATGAATTGAGAATCCTTTTTGACACGGACCCGGAGACTTTGAGCTTCTCCTGACATAGGTGATCCCTGGCCCATTCTCTTTATGCACTTTCTATCTACTCGCTATATTTGGCCAAGTCTTGCTCTGTGACAGTTCCGAGGACAGCACCCAAATTACGCTCAACTTCTTCATCTTTCTGGAGACCTTTATCAAAAAGAGCCTTCATACGAGCAGCGGATGGCCATTTGGTGGATTCCCCAAAAAGAGCCATTCCGGCAGCAAAGTCGACTTGGCTCGGCATCCCCCAGCGAGCGTCCACGACCCGCTTCGTCTCAACCAGGAGCTTTGCATCGAAGCCTGCGAGTCGTCGAGCAAACTTATCGACGAAGTCTTCAAACTCGGCGTCTGGGATGGCGCGGTTGATCCATCCGTACAGCTCGGCCGTAGTAGCGTCATAGTCGTCTGAGCTGAGGAGGATCTCCAAGGCTCTTGCGCGGCCGACCTGTCGAGGGAGCAGCTCGAATGCTCCGCCACCGGGAATGACGCCCGCGCCGACCTCGGGCTGGCAGAAGACGGCGCGCTCACGGCTGGCAAAGCGCAAGTCGCAGTTGTTGGAGAAGTCGGCGCCGAAGCCGCGCGCGCGGCCTCTGATTGCGGCGATGGTGACGACGGGGAGACTGGCGATGCGGACGGCGAGGCTGGCCCAGGTGGCGACGAAGCCGGTGCCTGGGCCCTGGGGCTCTTCGGCGACGCGCTGGATGTCGGCGTGGGCGATGAAGAAGTCTGGGCTGGAGGAGTCGAAGACGATGACGCGGACGGACTTGTCGGATTCGAGGTCCGCGACGAGGTTCTTGAGGGCGATGTAGCCTTCGGGACCGAAGAGGTTGAGGGTGCCGTTGTTGAAGGTTGCGCGCCAGTAGGCGGGGGTGATTTTGTTGACGATGATGGCTTCGTTGGAGGACATGGCTGAAGTTTCTTTTCTAGTTTTAATTTATCGATTCAATACAATTTCGTAAACTAAGAAGGATGATAAGACTATGAGAATGGTTAATGTAGAGTAACTGAGGCCATCATGTTCCTTTTATAAGAGCTTCCAAGCAACTTGTTTCCATCATATCGACATTGATTATTCTAACAAGAGCATCTCCTTTCAACCATCTCCACTCAATATACAGCTCTTTGACTTGAAGACGACTAAACATTTAAAAGTTTTACAACTGACTTCGATGTAATAAAATCTTCAGCTGTAGGAGTATCTCTGCTAATAGCTCAACGCCGAGAATGGACCCGGCTCGATTAGGAAAGTGCATGGATGGCGACGATGGAATCCAAACAAGTCTAAAAACGTCGAAAGGCCTCATGCTTTATAAATCAAAGCAATCAATAAGGCATAAGTTCTGCTGAATTACAAATTCGGGTCAGGAATCTATCCGCTGCGTTATGTAGAGATCCATTACATATACAGCTAAGCAAGCACTTGTACATATATCTAGGAGTGGTGAGAAAAGACACGGAATCTCTTAAGAAAAAGAAGCATTAATAGGCATTATACATTGCGAGCCTTGGCTGAAATCGACAATAAGCACGCAACTCAAGACTAGCTACATGAAAGAAAAGAATATACACTACGCACCATTGACCTAGACGTTATACATCATATAAAAAGAGACAAAGCACATCTTCCCGCCTTCATCTATACCCCCGTGGGCCACTGGGCAGCCCTTTTCTTCGTACTCCATTCGCAGCTCCTCCTCCTCCTCCTCCTGAGTAAGGATTACCGTCACTGGACCAAGGGGCGTTTGCTCCGACAAATGGCTGACCTCCACCACCGCCTCCTCCCCTAGCACTGTCATAGGATCCTCCTGGTGCAAACCTGTCCTCATAACTGCCTTGAGAATGGTGACCACCACCTGCACCAGCTGAGCCTCCGCCTGGTGGTGGCTGGAAGGGCCCGTTACCGTTGCTAGAAGACGGGCTCGTAGTGCGGGTTCCCCAAAGCCGCTGTTTCAAACGATCCTGCGCCGATCCAGCCGGAGCCGGGCCGGGTCCAGAATAGCTCCCCGCACGAGGTGCTTGTCCTCTCCCAAGCAGCTCGTCTCTCGAAGATGGCCCGGGCTGCGTCGTCGCCGGTCGTCCAGCCCGCAGGCTCTGCGGAATTTGCGGCGGCGGGGGCTGCGCAGGACCGTTGTCCCATAGACTGCTGAGCCCTCCAGCGCCGGGTTGTTGAGGCCCACCAAGCCCGCCGTAGCGCGAGCCGACCTGCGATTGGGCATATACAGCTTGGGTCATCTGTGGCGGCGGTGCCTTTGGGTCAGGGGGCAGCCAGTTGGGAAACTGACGGCCCTTTTCGGTGTAGTAGTTGCGCAGGACGCGGCAGACGTGGGTGTCGTCTTCGGTGTCGCCATCGGCCTCGCTGGAAAGAAGGGTAGAGCGGAGATTTGAGATTTGGGACGAGGTTTTGGTGACGAGGTTGGAGTACCAGGAACTCATGGCGACGGTGGCATGTAGCTCGCGTGATGTTGTGGGAAAAGGCGTGGTATCGTATCGGCAGAGGCTCGAAAGGGTCTGGTGTGAGCGGCCTGTTGAAAGACAGATTCACAGAGGGCAAATCCGAGCGATACCCTCCAGCTGCGTTCCTTTTATCGAGAGATCCTGCGGTGACTGGTGTGGCTGGGCGAAGAGGCTCAAGCTCTGGCCATCTGGCGGTGATGCTTCGCCTACAGATCTCCTGTTCGAGTCGTCCCTCTTTTTGCGGCGGTGAGAAAGGCGAGAGAGCGCTTCGGCTTCGTATGTCCGTATATCCGGTGTCTGTGGGAGAAATAAAAACAGCAGCAGCAAAGAGCAAGAGCAAGAGCAGAGCGCCGTTCGCCTGGAGCAAGATGCCAAACGAGCTGGAGAGAAGCCAAAGAAGGGCGAGTATGAGGAGGGAAAGGAGGTTGGCGGCTAGACGTGGGGTTGAAGATCCATGTGCTTGAGCGGAGAGTTGGGCCTGTAACTCGCTCTGTTTCCAGCGCTTCTGCTAGCGGGCGGTGCACCAGCTGCGAAGCTTTTTAGTGCCCTGTGTAGCCGTTTTAGGTGGTGGGGGCCCTGCTAAAGCGGGCTACGGAAGCGTGCATTGGCTGATGGTGGGCGTCACAATGCATTCGGCGTTTTGCGCCAGTCCGGTCTGAAACTCTTCCGTGAAACTGCATTACAAGTCCATCCTATATACTCGTACTTTGCTTTGTATATATCTAACAAAATCCTCATCCAGACAGAAATGACCAAAGACCCCTTTTATTATCTGTATCCCGACGCCGTATGCCATGAAGCCCTCGCGGGGACTAATAAGCTGATACAAACTCGAAAACCCATCCATTTCAAAGACACCTCGTGCAATGTCGTGCTCCTGGTTTGACCGGCACGCAATTCGCTGCCCATTTGCCACGATACTGAATTATGAATAAATCTCTTCCATGTCGAGAGCCGCTTTACCAAGCCAAGTCGTTGGTCAATGCCAGCTTCTCCTTCTCCTGCTGCTTCGGTCGCTTGCTCTTCATCTTGGTGACCTTGCCGCGCTTGCGCTTGTTGCCGGCCTTTTCCGCCTCGGACTCGTCGCTGTCTTCCTCCTCTTCCTCCTCCTCCTCGCTCTCCAGCCAGTCCTCAAGGTCTTCAAGCTCGTCTTCGCTCTCATCGAGATCGGAGACGTATTCAATGGCGGCCTCGGCGTCCTCATCCCCGCTTGCGGCCTCTCCATCGACCTCTTCCTCCTCGTCCGACTCGATGCCTTGGTCCATATCCTTGTCTCGTTCACCCTCGCCACCCTTCTCCATGGCATTCAGCACCTTCTTCCAAATGTCCTCGCTAACGTTTAGAGGCTGGTCGCCGTAAGCACCTTGTCTCAGACGCTCAAGCAGCTCTCTCTCGATAGTCCTCTCAAGCTTGGCTGCTGCCTCAGCCTTGCGCTCTCTCGTCGCCTCGCGGTGTCTGACTTTGGGGGCCAGCTTGGGAACCAGCTTCTCGCCCAGGCGTTCGTCCTCGGCGGCAATCCTGCGCATACGGATCTGCACCTGCGTCAGGCGGGTGAGTCGCTGCTTACACTTGTGGATCAAGAACTTGGGCCAGTAGATGAGCCTCTCGTCAATCTGCTCCAGGGCCTTGGTGTAGTTGTTTGACAACTTGATGCGCTCCCACATCTTAGAAGGCAGGTGCGCTCGCTCGACAGTCTTCATGTAGAGGTATAGCGTATCCTTGGTCGGGTGTTGCCGAATGGTGGCATACCGCGAGTTGGCGAGAGGACATGACTGGCGATTGCAGAGTCCAGTGACGTTGTATTCATTGCGGCAGAAGTTTTGCTGCTTCTCCATCCTTGGGATCTGGTTAGCATCCATCTATGCAATGCCCAATTGCATCCAGAGCGACAGAAATCCCAGGATGTGACAGTGTTTGTCTGCTGGCCAAAACTTACTTTAACTTGAAGGCGCAAAACTGCTGGTTGATGATTTGCCACACAATCTCGTCCGACGCCATCTTGTCTGAGTCTCACAAGAGGATCCCTTTACCCAAGTCAATGAAAGAAAAAGAGAATGGGAGAAAAAAAAGAAAACTCTGGCTTTTGATATGAAAAGACTTGCCAATGCAGAAAAAAAAAGTTCCTGGCGGGGCGGATCGTTCTCCAGATTCCCATAATTTTTTTTCTGGCGTCCCAGTAAAGCTCCTGACCGCCTTCCTAGTTGATACCCCTGCGTCGCGGCTCCGGAACAACACTCGCTCCGACGATCCGTGGCTGGTGCTACGGCCGCTGACCTGCGTCACTCGCTGCATCAGCCGCCTTTCTCCATCATCGCCTCAACACCAGCCAGCCAACGACTCGACGTTTTGACGACAGCCCGCGCCTCAGCTCTCCTTTGTCCGCCTCCGCTAATCTTCTTCACCGTTTCCTTTATAAATTCTTCGCAGCTTCATTAGCTCGTACCTCCCCCTTTGCGGGGCTGCCGTCCACCCAATCCCGAGCCAATCTCACTTCATTACGACGACTTCCCGCCCGTAACACACGATCCTCAAAGAACTTGGTCATCATGCCTACCGCCGGCCTCAAGACCATCATCGCCCTTTCCTTTGTCCTCGCCGTAGGATTCCTCCTCGTCATCCTCTCATGCGCCCTGTACAAGGTTTACTATCCGCTCCTCGTCGTCGCCACCTACGTCCTCGCGCCGCTGCCGAACTGGATCTGCGGCCGATGCGCAAATCCGGATGACTTTGTCGAGAGCGGCGGCGCGGCAGTGCTCGATCTGGGAAGGTTCTTTACCGGCTTCTTTGTTGTCATGGGCATTGGTACGTGCTGATATCCCGTGTTTCATCTCCTTTGAACCCTGTCAGGTGGCGAAAGAGGAGTGTCGAAGAAATAGATGCATAACTAACCGTTATCCGTACTCGACAGCCCTCCCCGTTGTCCTCGCGCACTCCGATCTGATCCGAGTCGAAGCCATGATCATGTCCATTACCGGTGGCCTGCTGATTTACGGGACCATCATCAGCTTTGGCATGTTCTTCCAGGAAGAGCAAGAGTTTTAAAGAAACGAAACGGGAATTTATGACCTCATGTATGAAAAGCCGGGAGGGGTTCCGCAAGAGGGAGGAGTTTCTTTATGCCTGTGCGAAAAACGAAGAATGATCCAGCCTACTTTTGCTTGAGACGGTGCTTATCGACCTGTATGAGACTCGGGTCAAGTTGTACCATTAATTTCTTGGGGGAAATTCGATACGAAGCATAAGCGGTCTTTGGGGTTACTGTCTGCAGACTCTTTTTACCATGTGTGTCTTGGATGATTAGATGCGCGCTTGAAATTGAAAGAAAAGAAAAATAAATGTTTCTGTTATTTCCTGAGTTGTGTTTTTCCTTTATCCATGTAAGTAAGTAAAGCGTCGCTCGAGCGCCGTCAGATCTACTAATCTATATAATGTTGAACCATGTCCCCAAGAAAATAAAAAGCCAAAAGGCAAACACCGCTATGCATACGTTGAGTTATCGTTGACATCCAAGGAATCCCATCCCAGATACCAAGCCCTCCCACCAGACCATGTGTACACCGTGAAAAAAGTCAAAAGAATAAAATCAACCCAAAGATGCTTTTATGCCACATCCTTGAAAACGCCCAAAGGCCCACAGAGCTTCGTAAACATCTCCTCCGTCTCTCCTTCAGGCGTGCTCAGAATCGTCACCGCGCCGCCGGCTCCAATGCGCCAAACCTCCCTGGGCTGCGTCTCGCCCGGTCCCTCGGGCGGTGCCTTTTCGTCGTCCCAGCGGAACATGGTCCTGATGGTGACGCTCCAGTCGCCGTGGCCGCGGGCGTCGAGGAAGCCGACGACGCCGGAGTAGATGCTGCGCTCGGACGGCTCGATAGTGCGGAGGATCTCGCAGCTGCGCTTCTTGGGAGCGCCGGTCATGCTGCCGGGGGGGAGGGCGGCGGCAAGGACGTCGAGGCCGTTGGTGCCGCGAGAAGGAAGCTGGCCGTTGACGACGGTGATCATCTGGAAGACGCTGGAATATTCCTCCACCTTGAGGAGATCCGGGACGGTGACGCTCCGGGCTCCACAGACGCCGTACAGGTCATGCCGGACCAGGTCCACAATCATGAGGTTCTCCGCCTCTTCCTTGGGAATGTGGAGCAATTTTTCGGCCTGTGCTAGTGTCGAGACGGCCTCAGATTTGCGGACCGTACCTTTCATGGGACGCATGGAGCAGAGACCCTTGGCGTCGTGGGCCAGGAACCGCTCTGGCGAGCTGCTGAGGATGGTGGCTCCGGCGAGGCGGATGAAGGAGCCAAAGGGAGCCGGCTGGCGGGCTCGGAGAGTTCGATATATTTGCCATGGGGTGCCGTGCCTGGATGCTTCATCGCTTGGCCATGAAGAAGCTGCTCCATTGTTCGTGCCGTTGGTTGTGCCGTTGGTCAACTTCGGCTGCAGGTGATGCGGCACATCGTTTCCAGGCGGCCGAGTCATGGTCGTTTGTGCTGTAAGGCATAGTTCGTATGACTGGCCTTCAGCAATAGAGTCTTGACACTGGCGGACGTCGTCGTCGTACTTGGCTGGCTTCGGCGTCTTGAAACGCAGTCTGCCGGCCGGCTCCTGGATGATCTTCAGCAACGCCTCATTTGGCTGTTTCTTGGCAGCGATGAGTTTATACTCTTCCGTTCCATAGCCTGGCTGTTGCCACGCCCGGGAACTCTGCAGCTTTGCCACGACCTCGTCGATCCACGGCTGAGGATTTGAGTTGGGGGCAGTAAGGGCTTGGACATATGCCACACCAGCTTGGTGGTCGAGAACCAGACTCTTGGAGACCCAAGCATAGCAGAGGTCCGGCCTGTGGTGGCCCCTGTTTTTGGAAACAGATTCTGGACTCAAAGAACTCAGTCCCATCTCATACGTGACGAAGCCCATGAAGCCTCCCTTGAATGCTGGTTCCTGGCCCCTCTCTTCAGCCACCCTGCGCTGCTGCCAAAACTCGGAGATGACATTCCAAACATCGTAAGCGCCGTGCTCAGCGCCACTGTCAATTTCAATCCTTTGGCACACTTCTTCCTGGGCCCCAAATCCAGGCTGGCGTAAAGTCACCCAGTCATCTCCAACATGGTATTCGAAGCGTAGAGCCCTCTCAACCTCGAGTGCAATAACCGAGCTGCGTGCCAGGGGGTCGCCACTGATGGTGCTTGACGAATCCAGCATGATGGAATCAGCGCCTCCCACGCCCAGGAGCTCCGCAACGTCGGCTGCATCCACACCGTCGGGGAGTTTAATCCGGCTGCAGGAATAGATGGGTGCTGCTCTCGAAGCTGCCAGGCCAGACTGCATATCCCGCCACCACTTCTTGCTTGCAAGCTGACTCTCAGCAGCAATACTCCTCTCAACAATCATAGATGGCGCCAAGCTATCGGTAATGTTGTCCAAGTTCATCGGCCTCAGCTGTCGTCCAGTCGATTCGTTCCACTTCAGAGCCTGGCTGAACCAGTTCTTCAGCACCCCGTGCGCCGCAGGATCCGTACACACAGACTCGGGATGGTACTGGACCCCCCAGAAGGGCAATCTCGCATGCCTCACTCCCATCAAGATCCTCTCGGGTTCGCTTCCATCCTCGCTCTCCTCCATCGTCCACGCCAGCGGAACAAGCTCAGGGGCATTCTTGGGCGGCAGCCACATATCCGTCTCCCACGATGCCTGGGCGACTTGATCTTGCCCCACGTCGGCACACAAGCTGTGATACAGCGTCGCCTTGAACTCTGGCACGCCCGCAAAGATGTCTCCCGAGTGATGCTCAATTGGCCTCACCATGCCATGAAGTCCCCTCCTCAACCTCCGAATCCCACCACCAAAGTGTGCAACCAGGCTCTGGAAGCCCAGACAGATGCCCAGCACTGGGATAGCGTCACGCAGCTCCCACAGCAGGCGAAAGGCCCCAACATCGGCCTCGCACAGCGGCGATCCGGGCCCGGGGCCGCATACCACGGCATCGAAGCCCAGCAGCCGGTCCAGGAACTGCTCCGGCGTCCAGTCGGGACTGGGGTCCGCATGCAGCGTCTTCAGATCCATGTGCAGCACGTGCACCAGCACATCGTCGCCGAGCGCCTCCTTGAGCAGCGACACGATGTTGTTGGTGAAGGAGTCATAGGCGTCCAGAAACAGAATTCGGCGGCATTGGCGGCGCTGCGGCTCCGTGTTTGCCGCCGGCACCGGAGAGGACTGCGACTCAAGAAGAGGCATGTTGGGATGAAGATTTGTCTTATCTCATGGAAAATTCATGAAAGAGATGGCAGGATCAGTTATCGAGGTGAAGATGGAATAAAACGGCAGTGTCAGGGCGATAAGAAAAGTCGAAAGCGCGCCGCCGAGAAAGGCATCGGAAATGCCGCGAAAAGCCGGGTCTTTTTTTTTTTCCAATCTTATCTTTTTCGGATACTAACCGACTAGCAGCTGATATTGCGCCGAAGCTTCGCGTAGAATGATGGCATGTGCAGTTAGTTGGCGTCTTCCAGCGAGTGCCGAATAATTCATTCCCTAGTAGCAGTGCCGAGTGCCGGAGTTGTAGACTTATGTTTTGAGCATTGGGATATGATGCTTCAAAGAGAGTGCTTACAAAATGCTTTCACTACAATGCCTTGAAAGCTGCTGGAAAACCCCCAATATTGGTTCTAGACACTTTTTCTGTATGTTTTATTTGCTTTAATGGGTCCTTCCTGTGACGCTACGTAACGCCATGTGGCGGCCGTAATCGCCTTCTTTTCTCCAGGTTGACGTTTGTATTAGTCCAACCTCTTCTAGTCCTCGGGCGACATTTGAAGCGGTAATAGTGACCTGAATTGGTTAGGCGCGCTTCGCTGCATTGGCATTACTTTGGCTGTCGGCTCTGTTTCTGCTGATGTTGTTTAACATGCCTCTTAGATTGTGGCCGAGTTTCAGAGGTTGCTATTGCTACGCAGTGTCTAGTAGCTCGTTAAGTATACATCGCCGGTCTTTTTATTTGTTGTATATATAAATCTACATACCTACTTCAATATGTGTAAGATCGTTCTCTCAAGTATGAGCGTTAAACATCCGTCAGAGTGCTCACTCCAAGGTCGTCCTGTGAGGGACACTTTCCAATATATTGATGTTGCGTCTAATTTCTTTCGCCCTGATTCTCGCGACATTGCATTCGTCCCACAACCCAAAACTGTTTCCCCCTATAGAATGGCTGACTTACGATCCTCTAGTCAGTACTACTTGAATAAGCATTCCCTCAACAGATGCTGCAGATTAGATTAAAATCCATTGCGCAGCAAACTTTATCGTTAGTACTGCTGCTGTTGTTGGATGACATCTGAAGAGCGATCATGGTCTAAAAATATTGTTCTGGACAATCGGAAATACTAGATTCACTTCAACATCGCCTCAAGCCACATATTGCGCAGAATATTAAATGATATCATTTCTAGTATTCCTAGTATTAAACCTATACTATGCGAAGATACCAAAAACGTCTACATGTGTATATGTTGCAGCGCTATTCATCGCCATCGCCATCGCTATCATCATCGTCATCGTCATCGTGCTCTTGAATCGTAAGCTCCAATTCAATCGCTGTCCTTCACCGTCAGTATGCATGGTCGTCGTGAATGCCACATCCTCCGCTCCTTCATCCCAAGCGCCGCATCCTCCCTCGTCGGGGTATCCGACGGCGGGCGTCCCTGGGGCTGCTCACTGCCGTCTCCCTTCTCACCGCCATCTTCCCAGATCTGAACTTCCTCAACCGACGCCGTAAGCTCAAACTCTCCTCTGCAGAGCGCTGTCACGCCGATAACAAAGTCTGTGCTGGCGCCACCCTGGAGCTCCGGTAGAAGTTGCTGTAGTGTACCATTCCACACAAATTTGCGCGTATAATCAAGCGCGATATTGACTGAACGATGACATAGCGCCGGCAGGAGTCTGACAAGCGAGTTCATTGGTCGGCTTGTCCTGTTCGTGACTCGCACCCGCACTTGTATAAACTCGTCCACATATGCTGTGTTGATGTTGCTCTCGCTTTCGCCCGGACGCTCCACAAAAATATCTATACCAATCTCGCCCACCTTGACAATATCAATCATGCGGGTAGTAAGGCGAATATTGCGAAGCTCAACGGTGCCATTTCGCTTCGGCACTGCCGTTGTTCTCCAAGTCGCCTTCAAGCAGTCGAGAATCCTCTCTCTGTACCAAAATGCCTCTCGGTTGGCTCGCTCCATCTCGGGTGAGATCTTGCTGGTGCTCACCACAAACTGTTTGTTCTTTGACGGGTTAAGACTTGGAATTAAGGCATGCGGGTCTTCTAGGTAGACCCGCTTCACAGGTATAATGATTCGGCTCGTCTTTCCCGGTAGAATGCCCTCTTCAACAGCCATACCATCTTCGTTCTCAAGATGGACCGCCATTTGGCTAGGCCAAGCATTTCGCAGATCCACGGACAACAGACAGTACTCGTCAGGCTTTATCGGCTTTGTACCCCCTAGACGCTCCCACAAGGGTTGCGGAATCAAGCCATGCATGGGCAACACATCAATCCTTGCCAACTCGACGCTCGCGTTGACTGTGACTGTCAGGGGCACAGATATCTGCCGTGTGTAAAATTCCTCAGTTACCTCGTCGCGGGGAACTCCAAGATATGTGTAGTCGATTTGAATCGTTGCGTGTGTCAGCCCAGGCTTGCCGAGAATCTCAAACTCAAAAGTCGCCTCGCCTCCCGGGGAGATGTTGCGGTTCTGGTGGTTGCGCGGAAGTCGAAGAGCTTGTTTCTTTATTAGTATCAGCTCATACTCATATAATTCCGCCGGCGTGGCATCTCGGTTCGCAAGAGCTGTCTGCAGAGGCTCCTGTGTCGAGTCCTTGAAGGAGAAGAGCATAAAGTCAACCGGCGTAGTTGACTGGTTTTGCAACGTGACAGAGAATATTTGCCTCTCGCCCTCCAAGATCATAACTGAAGATTGAGGAAGCGTCGTTGACTTGACAACCACGAGGGGCTGGGGTTGGGTAACGTTCAGGTCAAGGCTAAATGGCTCTAGAGGCTGATCGTGAAACTTGCCCGACATCATAGGAGCAGACACTGATGCAATACCCTTGACTTTGATTTTGTCTTCTTGATACGGCTTCCAGTGCTTGGGAAAGACGGCAAATCTCCTCTCCCTACAACCTTTAACCTTGATTATTGCCCCCGTCACTTTGATGGACCCGGACTCCTTGGCTAGACCTTGCAGTCGGACCGCCTGCGTTCGGTAGGGTCCGATGATGGCGGTCTCTTTCATGGCTTCGAAATCGACACCTTCGGTTTCTAAACGTATACTTTCGATATCCAATTCAACGTCATAGGTGTTTTGGATTGTTACTCTGAACTTGGCTGGTTCGCCAGCAACCAGGTTTGCAGCTGTCTCGTCAGGCTCCTGCAAGAACGGATTATAAATAAACGGGTTGACATCCTGCGACGCACGGGTCGTCGTTGCTCCTGGCAAGACGCTGCGAGCGTGGGGGATAGGAACCCGGGTACTTGGGAGAGGCTCCAGCTTGATCTCCCGAACAAGAAACTCGTCCCAAAACTCAGCCGTCAAGTGAGACATGCCCAGCCTCTTGACCAGGTTCGAGGTCCGTGAAATGTTGCTAACTAAGCGGATCTGCTCATCTCTATGAATCTTTGGTGATGCATCTTCGCGACGGGGGCCCGGGGCGACGCCAGATCCAGCTGTGCGCATTAAATCACTGGAAAACTTGAGAACCCCGTTAAAGTCCGGTAAGGCTTCTGAAAAGTTGATGCATGCCCGTAAAATGTTGAGCTTGATATCGGGGAAGCCGAAGAATCTCGTCTTCATCTGGCCACGGATTCGAGCAATCACAGCATCATCCGAGTCGTCAAATCCTTCAGAGAGCGACTGTCGTCGGGGCTTCGCCCTGTCGAAGCCAACAACCCCGTATGACTTGCAAAGGAGTTCGAGGAAAGCCTCTATACCTTGCTCAATGTCTCCCTCAGCCAAGTCCAGGGCCATCGCCCCAGTCGCACCATGCGAGTTGCCACCCGGCGTCAGCGCCACGAGACCTGCAGCAGGATGGACCCCAGCATCCGCAGCTCCGCGTGTTCTTGCTTCGACGAGGCCTCCGATGAGAACGGAGACCAGTTCGCGGGTTACCATGGCCTTCTTCCGATGATAGCCCAAGGGTCCCAGAACAGCCGCAATGCCGCTCAAAATGGATATCCGATCAACGGTAGTAAGCAATTCCGTGGCTGTGGAAGGGAATGCCTTGAATAAAAGTGTTAAAATATGTTGCCTTGAAGGCGTTATCAGCAGTCGCGGCGATGTTGTGAGATCCTTGTCCAACCCTCTACCCATCACAATCATATCAAACGCCCTTTGGTCAAGTTTGCCATCGCAGAAATGCATGGCCGATAAGATCTTGCTGAATCTAATCACAGTCTCCGCCAATGGCAAATGGGGGACATTTTCGGCTGATATTCTAGAATAGAGGCCTACAATTCGTTCCAACAGCTCAGGAAGTAGAGCTTGAAGATATCGGAGGTGCCTGGGTTGAGTCTGGTCTGCATTTTCTGGTTCTGGCTTCATCGACGAGTGTTTATCTTGTGCGGGAAGACAAACTGTCGGAATTTGAAAGGTCAAGCCTGACCAGCCAAGAAGCAACAGATTCATAAGAATCAATTCTAGTGCTTTTCCGTGCCAGATGTGATCGTTCAAAGATTTGGCAGCGGCAGCTCCCTCGCCCAGTTCCTTTAACGAATCGCCCCAGCGACCTGCCTGCAGGTACATGGATCCTATGACAATGGCTGATCTGCCTTTCCCTTTGAGTCGCCATCGATCGTTTGCCCCACCAGGCCCAAATCCTTGTACAGAAACACGGTCGCGGCTTGCATCTTCAATGAAATCGGGCTTTGGGTGAGTTTCGGGAGACTCTGGTCTCTGGCTCGAAGCACCCGGAAAATCGTCCGCGCTTAACGGAGGACTGGAGAGGTTGCTTTTTAGGGGTGTAGACGGGCGACCTGGCGTGGAGACACTGGAGCCGCTGGGAGCCGGAGGTAGCGACAGGCGGCCCCCTGATCGATCCAAGCCCGTAGCAGAGCTTGAGCGCTGGAGGTGCTGCGGTATGGCAAACTGGGAATTCCGCCGAGTAAAACTGGTTGGCGAAGTCGCATCGGGGCCCCACGAGGTGGTACTCAGCTGTCTGGCCAGCGAATAGCCCCCTGGTGACTCAATCGCCGTCATTGCCTCGTAGGATTTCCCCAACGTCGTCATCTCAGCCAGCAGCAGCGACGATATGTCACACATGACCGTCTTCATCGTGGTTCTTTTGGACTCCTCGGGCGGAGGGATCGCCGCCATGCCCTCGGGTATGGGCACTTCTGTCGACGGCGACACATAATCGAAGATGAGGACCCGGTGTATGAGAGCTTTAGGGTAATTGTCTCGCAGCTCTTCAAGCTCCTGGTACAGCGCCCTGATATTCTTCTCCACCGGTGTAGGGCCCTTTCCATTCATGGAGTTTCGCTTACTATACGTCACGTCGCCTAGTTCTTTGCCGTCGGCGATTGCGATAACAGCCATTGGCTCTCGGAAGAGGTCGAACGGCGAGAGCGCAAGGTGCGAAGGAGGGGGGACGTGGGCGATGAGGTCGTAGAGCATTGCGCCGTCGGGATACGCCAATGGCGAGAACATGTCTGGGGAAGCTTCACATCAGTTTGTCTAGTCCCGCGTATACACAGTCTATCACGGTACGGCCCTATCCATGATCCTTCTCCGCTCCCCGTTCTCTCCCCCCGCGGCCAGCCATGTATATGCATGTACTTACTCCTGTTGGGTCGCCCATCGGCGCTGATATCCCTGAGCTGGACGACATGCTCGGCTTGCAGTCTCTCGGCAAAGCTCGCAAACCTGGCGGCCTTGATCTTTCCGAGGGGCAGCAGCAGCGCCTTCACCCTCGCGGGAGCAATGGGAAGCAAAGGGTCCAAGCTCATTCTAGCATCGGGAGGCGCTCAGCATCGTCCGGCGTTGTCGTTCTCAGGGATACCATAGGCGGGTCGCAATGGAGAGGGAATCGGTGTCGCCGGCCAGGCTGATGCGCATGTTCTTGGAGCGCAGCAGTCGTCGGTTGCGCAGAGCCTGGGCGGCAAGATGTCGAGTCGCAGTGATCGAGTTGGAAAGCTACCACAGTGAGGTATGTTGGTCGTTTCGTGTCCCCAAACAGCTTGTCGCACCGTCCCACCCGTGACCTCCCCTTCCTTCCTCGAGCCTGACGCGGTGGAGCTTTTAGAGGGACCAACCCACGGACTGATATTTTTACGCCCCGAGCGAATCAGTTGGGCCAATCTGGGGATCTGCGAGCATGTGTGGCGGGGAACGTGTTGAGACGGTAGGGCTGCTGAAACTTAGCGCGTGTAGGCACAAGGAACTGTCGCTAAGGCCCCTACAGTAAGAGTCAGTGTCCAGCGGGAGACCACATGGAAAGATTCATTCAACGACATTGGACCCACGAGACACTTGACGCATATCATGTTCTTTACCTAGGTGAGCATTAGTTAACAAGCGAGTCATGTAGGCACACTATTATCGTGGAAATCTTATTTACATGTACAATCGGTAGTCTACACTCTCCTCTCAGACTACTAACCCACCCACCAGTTTCCTTTCTCGTCTTCTGTTCCGGGATTATTTTTCAGCGATTCAGTTCAAACTATCAAACTAAATAAGTTCATGACAAGCTGGGGGGTGGGATTATCTGGTATAGAAGCACCCGACATCATATATCACGGAGGCTCCGCACACCCGTAGCGATAATATTTGTCAATGATCTCTTATAAAATACTGCTACGTCATAACTACCTACCTCCTAGTACTTGCTACAATATCACGGTTACTTCATCTTACCTTATTTTGATACTCTTGTCTGCATAGATCTAACCTTTCAGGCTAGGCTTTACCATTCATAGATTGATGTACTTTATGAATTTGGAATTTTCCTAGAAATATAGTTGTGCCTTGCCATCAACTACCTAAAATCTACACCATTCCACAGCCCTTGCTTCTTTTGTCTACAATTTGCCACCGCATCATCAAGCAGACACAATTGGGTCGATCTTCTGCAGCTAAAATAGGTGCATGTGGTTGCATACATATATCTCCAGGTCCCTCACTTTCAAGGCACAGCTGTACATGTATACATGAGTATAAAAGGCGTCTAAAAAGTGAAATATGAAATTAGAATATCAAAGAAAAAGTGCCACAGTCTCATAGCAGAATTCAACTTGGTTAAATGCTATCTCCGGGATACTGCTTAGACGGTAGCTCCCTCTATTATTCGCCCATTTCACCTTTCCTGCTATCAAGTTCCCGTTCACATGGCATCATAACAGCCCAAGCATCTATCAAAGACAATAATACCAGTATGGAGCAACCATGCTCATAAGGCTGCATGCACAAGTACCTTTTCCGAAGCAGCCAGAAAGAGAGAGAAAATGCCATCCATGATTTGTAATAGCCTCAAGTGGATGATGCTAGGAACCTTATCAGCGCCAGTTCATCATTGATGATCGAGCCTAAGGCAGCCTCCACTTTATCGTACAACGAGGGCCGTTGATTTACAGGCTACGGCCAGCAGCTCGTCCGGATCCGGGATCTGCAGTACGTGTATTCATGCATCCTCTAACGGGCCCGTGACCCAACCTCCAGCGAGCACTTCATGAGAAGTCAATGGCCTGTATATTTTTGACTCCCAAAGTTTTTATCTATAAAGTGATTTTGCAAAATGTGTTCGCCGCTGTTTCGTATACAGCAGTGAAGCTGATGCCAAGAACAAGGAAGGGTAAAAGTTTTTTCAAGAAACAGCGCCAATTTCCCCCTAAACTTGAATCCGACGAAAGAAAAAAAAAACCGTTGCTTGACTTTTGTCCTGCTCCAGGTATCAACTAAAAAAAAAACGCCCTCTCCTTCTCGCCGTTTTGCTATAATGTAGTGGTAGACGCAGTCGTAGATGGTCCCGTGACTGGAGTCTGGCTCGCAGCTGGTGTTTGGCTGGCACCACGATTTCTGTCGTCCCTGGCCTCCTCGGTTAATTCGCTCTCAAAGATGTCCACGGCAAGACTCGCTTCGACGAAATCTTCCATTTCCTCTGTAACAGTCTTCAGCTTCTCCTTTACCGCGAGTGCCCCTTCGGATCCTACAATGTGTCGCGAGGGCGGGTTTTCGTGGCCGCCAATGGCCGTCAGGGCGTAAATTGTCTCGTTTACTAGCTTGTCGATGGACGATGTCGGCAGTTTTGGATAGCGGTAAAATATCTCACCCACAGCTTCGCCCGACTCTAGTGAGATGCTGTCCGGTGACGTAGGGGAGCTGTCGGACTCCGGATTTACCGGGACCGCCGTGTCGGGGTTGGAGTTGAGAACGGTAGTTAGCATCTCCCGAACGCTGGGGGCATCGGCGAAGCTGTTGGAGTAAGCGGGAATCTGCGGAGCAAATGTGATACGATTTGTGAGAGACTGGATCTCCTTGTTGGGCTGGACGATGGTGACTTTGATGTTGAACGGAGCGACCTCGTATGCGAGGGAATCGCAGAAACCCTCGAGCGCCCATGTCGCCGCGGTGTACATGGACATGTGCGGCGTGCCGATGTGGCCACCGGTGCTGGTGAGGACCATGATGTGACCAGTATGCTGAGCCCGAAGTTGTGGCAAAGCGGCCTTGATGAAATTGACTTGCGAAAAGAACAGGGTCTCGAACTGGTCCCTTGCCAGGCTCTGGGTGGCGAGATTCGTAGAGAGCTCCTCAACGGTCCCAACGACAGCTAGCGATCGCCGGAAACCCGATGGTTAGCAACATGTTGGCTCGGTGCTCATGAACCGCACACGTAATCGCGAGATCAGTCAATGGACGGGGAGCAGGGTTTTTGTCATACCTTCCGACCGGCAGCAGAGAAGAATATCAATCCTCCCAAAAACGTCGACGGCTTCGGCAACTGCGGCGCCGCAGCCGCTCATGGTCCTCCCATCGCATCGAATACCGCGGATCCTGTCCTTCCACCCTTCCCGGTCCTTCCGCCCACTAGTGCACTCATTGATGAGCTCGCGAAATTCGGCACTTCGTTCCTCGTGTTCAATCTCCAAAGGAGGGAAGCAGGCTGCGACACAATCGCCGTGGGTTAACAACTGCCGGATCAGACGCACCGCCAATGGTGATAGCGATGCAGTGAGGAGCCACGTGCGAGGCGAGTTATGGGTCGCTGTCGGGCTCTCTTGGTCAGCCATTATTGATGCTTATAGATTGTCCCCTCGAAAACATTTTACGAAAGGAGCGAAGCTGATCGACAGGCGGGACTCGCAATCATTTGAGCGTAGGGTTTTTAAGTGCAAAAAAAAAAAAAAAGGAGGGAGGAGAGGATTTGAGACAAGGAAGTGTGTCTTTGAAATAAGTGACTGAGTCCGGTAAGGCAGTCTCAGACTAGCGAGGGTGGTGAATGAAGAATTAAAAAATTAATTTCTTCGGCGTTTAGGGAGAAAAAAGAGAGAGTGACATCAGTTGAAGAAAGGAGTAAGGTATGCATTAGAAACAATAGGGAAAGCAATAACAAATCAGGGATTCTCCCAGGTGCTTGACGAGAAAAAAGCCAGTTACGGCATCGCCACGGAAAGAGGGCGTCGTTCTGTATACTGCTCGGGCGTTCGCCACAAAAAAAAACACAAATGCGAAAGGTATGGGCAGGGGATTTCATGGCATCGTGGAATACGTGTATAGAACATGTACGTACGGAACACGGGATTTTGGCGCACAGGCGCAGTAGTGACGTCGAGCTGTCGGTTCTGGTTCAGAAGGCGGTAGCGCTGCGACGCAGGCTTAGGCGGCGGTACAGGCCTGTTGCCACTGGACATGGTGCTGAGTTATAGGCGTGTCTCGCTACTCGTACCACCTGCAGTGAGCGTCAGAAGCTCCAGTCCCTGACTGACTCTGACAGCAAATCGTATCAAAGCCGGGCCACACAAGACAGAAGCGAGATGGGGAAGGATAAACGAAGGCAAGTGAAGAAAATGTTGGTGTAAAAGAAAGTCTTAAAGAGAGTAAGAAAGAAAAAAGCACACACACAGCAACACAAAAAAAGAGAGTGAGGCACTTTGCAAGGACTGAGCAAGGGGGGGGGGAGCGCAGAAGCATATGAATTATGTAGTTGCTGTACTTGGTAATGGAATATTTTTTCTCTCCTGCAACTGAATCGTCAAGCAGGCTGCATCCCGTCTGGGTACTAAGTAGTAAGTACGAAAATGGGGAGCGGCGATAGTACGTTCACAGGCAACGAAATGGATCAGCCATGACGGCCCCCAGCGCTCGCTTAGACCTGACACCGGGCCCCGAGCGGAAGAGTAGCCTGAATCCATCGCCATAGATAGCTTCTAGTTGGGCATTGTTCCACGGTTACGCCCCCACTGGGCCCAAAGTTGGTGATAGAGCCGACACTTGACACCTCTGTGGCCGTAGCATAGGGCTGGCCTGGTGCAGGTAAGCTTGTTTTCGCCTTGCGAGACCCGTGTCATGACACAGAAGCAGCGGTGGGGAGGGGGGTGGTTCAAGACGACGACTGTTGCTGTTGTCTGAGGCCTGACTCGGAGCTGCTGATAGTGTTGGTGATTGTGGACGACTACAAAGACAGAATTGCAACTGCCGAGTGTTGGTGTTGTTGTCCTCAGCAGGGGGGCCAAAGTTAAAGACGGAGCGCCGCTCAAAACGAAACGTCTAAGCCACTAGTTTGGTCAGCTTTGGCTAAAGGAGCGGACCAGGTTTGTCGTCTGTTCGTCAGCCTTGCATCGACAGTCCGGATTTGGCAATTCTATAGTGGAATCACGCGGTGCCTCCCGGCGGTTTTGCCACCGAACTGGAGAGGGAGACCTCACGTCGTCCGTACTGTGCCGAGGGCTTCCGGTCCGGATACGGTGCTGCAGAGTTTTGAGCGATTGCCGGGTTGGTTTGGGCTGGTTTGATCTGCTTTTGCTCGGGCGAGTCGGCGACAGAGACTGCACTGACTACGGAGTAACTACAGTAGAAGCTAATCACAGATCGGATCCCCTGCTCCAGCTCCAGCTTCAGGTGCATCGAATCTCACTCTGACCAGGTGCAGCAGCTACCGTTCTTGTGCAGCATGCGGCGTCGCTCTGGCGCTGTGATTGCCCAGCCCTGCGGGTGCTCTATTTTCACTCGTCCAAATGCCCGTCGCCCGCTGTGATTGGGCAAAATTACGTGCTGCCACTGAGGGATCAAGGCGTATGGAGCCCTACAGGGCAAGCCCCCCCGCCCTTACCATGCTGCTGGGGAAAACGCTAAACAGGCGTCACTAAATTTGAATTGTTCAGCTGACTGACTCGCTCTCAGTTCGGGGGCAACATGCGGTGCTTTTGCTTCGCCCTGGGGAGCAACCTCTCGAGTCAAGAAGCTGATGATGCGTTATCGCCATGCACTTGACAGCGAATGAGGCAGGCAGCTAGGCCTCATGGGCGGCTCTAGCGGCATCGTGGCGACAAATGGCCGGGCCATGGCTCTTATCCAAGTATTATTTGATCATGACAAGAGAACCCTTGGAACCTTACGAAGGGCTTGCTCAGATGTCAGGGCCGGATCCGCGCTTTTCGCTTCCTTCGGCACGCCAGCTCGCACTAAACACGGAACGCATACGAAGAATCGGCCGATGTGATTGGCTCCCCCGGACCCTCCCAGGTAAGCCACGCCTCACATCAAATCATCAAAACGGGATAAAGAAGCAACAGATTAAGAATAAGCGTATGATGACAATGCACTAACTGGATAACCAAGACAACCAAGAATCTTTCCAATGCGCTACGTAAATCCACCCGGTGTTCCATCTGTCCGCCCAACCGAGCATCAAGCGAGCGCCACATTAAAACAAGGCGTGAGAATTCTTCAAGACTTGATCTCTACTTCCTCCCGAATGCTGTCCGGGTGGCCGGCCTCAGGCTCAGCATCGATCTTCTTGACCAGCTCTGTAACGCCAAAGAGCTCGTCCATCCTTTCCAAGCTAAGACCCTTGGTCTCAGGCACGAAGAACCACACGAAGATGCCCATGATCCAGCAAAATGTGCCAAACATGAAGAACATGCCCTGGGAGCGAGTCAGCACACCAATCTTGGGGTTTCATTTTGAGGTGTAGTACTTACATAGCCAGCCTTTCCCATAGTTTGCTGCATAGTAAGAACAGCTATTAAGGGGTCAGCAAAACGTCGAATACCACTTCAAGCCTTGTGGGCGTATGTCTGCCAGAATGGAGTGCCCAATAGGGGAGCGGGGACAAGGGGACGGCAGATTGGACGGTGGCTTACATCGAGCACAAACAAAGTTGAAGAGCCATTGAGTGGCTGCTCCGATGGCCACGTTCATGGCACGCAGTCGGGCCGTAGGTATCTCGCTAACCAGAATCCAACAGACGGGACCCCAACCGAACTGGAACGACCCAGCCCAGAGGTAGATGCATGTGATGGCGACGTATCCAAAAGCCGTGACCTAAGAAAGGGGTGAGGGCATGATCATCAGCCAACAATTCCCATCGAGTGGCTTCGAAGGAGCGGAGTCGGGGCGCTAGAAGCCCCCGGACGCATGAATGGAACACTTACAGGCTGGCCGGCAACAGGGGGCTGAACCCTTCCGTAGATTCCAACAATGTAGAGGAATATGCCTTGGGCTGCGGCCGTCCACAGGAGACTCCAGCGTCGGCCGAGCGAATCTGCGACAAAGACGAGGAAAACAGCGCAGGCAGCCGTCTTGACAACGCCGTACACTCCAGTGGCGAATAACGACGAGTCATTGCCAGTCATTCCGAGGTTAGTGAAGATTTGGGGAGCATAATAGTTCTACGACGTCTGCGATCAGCATATTCCCTGTAAATGCAACATTCCGATCCATCGGCCCCCAATGGGGAGCAACAGAGTTTCAAGGATCAAGTCTTACGATGGCGTTGACACCAGTCATTTGCTGGAAGATCATGAGGAAGATGGAGATGAGGGCTCGGTTGCGGTTGCCAGGAATTGTCCACATTTCCTTAAGGAGCGTCTTGAAGGTGGCGTCTCCGGTCAGTCGTCTCTCGTGCTCGAGCTGGTCGGCCATCTCCTGAATCTCATTCTGGACGTATTCCGAGTCGGCAGGCAAGCTATACGCATACACCCCCCAAAGTCAGACAGATATTCCTTGCAACACACGGCTCAGAGTTTCGAATTGACTTACCCACGGAGCTTGATGAGAATCTGGTTGGCCCGGTCCCAATCGTCTCTTCGGGCGCACCATCGGGGACTGAATCAGGAGTTAATCTCGGCATACTTGCTTTTGATGTTGAGACGTGCCGCAAAAGGGCCGTCGGGGGTTATTACGTACCTCTCAGGAGAAAGAAACATGCCACCCATCAAGAAGCTTCATGGCGGTCAGCCAACGGACTGGCTACGATTCATGCAAGTTTACATGTACTTACACGGCAGGCAGAGCTTGCAAAGTCAAAGGAACAACGTAGATTGCAGGGGCTGGGACGTGCAATAGGCATCCGTAGTTGACCCTAAGAGTGGATGTTTTAGTAAGATGATTATTATGGCCCAAAGCTAACGAGGGACCGGAGCGGTTTGGTTCCATACCAGAAAGCAAGCATGATGCCGAAGACGTTGAACAATTGGTAGAAAGCTGCGTATCAAGAAACAGGATCAGTAAACGTATAATTATTCCCCATTGTTTAGTTATCATGGGGGCTCATAGGGCGGTGTCTAAGGGGCACGGGGTTTGGCTTGATGCCTGAGGCTAGGGGGCGGGAGTAGGGCTCAGGCTTTCAAGCTTCTTGCATCCTCAATGTTCTTACCTGTCAAACCACCTCGAATGGCACGAGGAGCGCACTCAGAGACGTACAACGGAGTCAATGCAGATGCGGCGCCGATTCCCAGGCCAGCAACAAATCTGCCGACATACATGAGCGCCAGCGTGCCATTGGCAGAAGACGCAGCCTGGAAGATGATGCCGACGATGGTCAGGGCACCAGCGCCAATCAGAGCAGCCCGGCGGCCATATCGATCAGTGATCCAGCTGGTGAAGAAGCACGCGGCAAAACATCCTGCCTGCAGCGTCGAGACAATGTTCTGGCTCATGTTGGACTTTGCCTTGGCCGAGCTGGTGGCGTAGTTGAACTTCTCTTGGAAGTCGGGCATGGTCAGGATGCCACCGATGGCGCCCGTGTCCCAGCCGAACAGCATGCCGCCGAAGCAGGCGGAGAAGACGA